CCTCATCTTCGTAGGCGCATGGAAGGGCAATCTTGGTTCTTTGGGAGCCAGGAATCAACCTGGGAGAAGGACGAGGCTCAGCCAGTATTCAAGGAGATTACCTGGACTGCCACGAGACAAGACCCCAGCTCGGCCTGCCAGTACGAAGTGCTCATCAAACTGATGCATGCAGCTAAAATGCACAGTGGGGGTTTGTCACATATGTCCCAGCAAAGCTACATCTTTGAGTCTCCAGGAACCCAGTCGTCCTACGAGCACTACTAGTGATATACGGGTGGGCATGATACAATATGATTGCTGGATTCGTCCCAAGGTGCGAGTCCCATGGTGGTGGGAAGCTAGGGTTGGGCAATGTCCGGTTTGCTTCTTGGTCCTCCACACCCGGTTGTGTGGAATCGAATCGACCTGCACGAGAAGACGAAAGGAGCATGGGCAATCTGCGACCCAAGATTATTCATCCCACCGCCTTGGGTCCGCCAATTTCGCAGGAAACGTGGTGACGAGAAGCCCACGCAATGTGTGATGCTGGTGGCTTTTCTCACTCATCCACTTCATCCCCGGCCATAACTGCAGCCAATGAGTAGTGCTGGATCTCTGCATACACGTGCGGCCATGGCGAAAAAGACTAGAAGCATTTTGAAGCAGAAAAACGCTTGAGCGCAGCTGAATCCGGCATAGCATCATAGGCCGGGCTCCGTGGCGTCTGGAGGTCACTGAGCTACTTCTTGCGTAGTCGGACGAGTACGCTACACCACACGGATACATCCCCGTCATACTAATGAGCCAGCCAGCATGCAGCTCGGCGTTGGGGGCCGGCGACTTCTTCGCAAGCAGCATTAGTAGCATCGCAGGCGGGAGACGAATCGGTTCTCGAACACCGCGCGAAGCGGCTTTGGGATGCTTCCCCGGCGCACCAACCGACCAGAAGCGTCTTTTACCAATTCTCAGCTTGGTTCCGCCACGTATCAAGCCACTGCCAGGTATCGGTATGCCGTAATTTCTGCACGGCCACGGAGCAAGACCATCACGACTTGTTGCAAGTGGAAGAGGGGGGGACGACTCCTTGCATTGCCCATACGAGGACTCCGTAGGTCGCAGGACAGCAGACAGGCAATTCACAGCGCGGGGGAAGTTGCCATCATTCCACGGATGGATCTGAATCACGGTGGTTGGCGTCATTCTCAAACGATTAATTAATTAGTCCACGGCACTTTGCCACATGGCTTTTGTGTCCTTCCCCTTCCTTCTGTGCCTTGTTCTCTAAATCACCATGGTGCCGGCGGAACTGGGAGAAACAAGCCGACGTCAATGGTTTAGCTGTCCCTGGCACGTTTCATGCAATGCCATTCGCCAGGGAGGAAGAACAAGGCCTCATTGGCCGTGGGACCAGGGCCGGTGAGCAAGGGGTCGCTTGTCGAACCATGGTTTCTGCAAGGCACCTGTCTGCAATTTACGATGTGCAGAGATTTGCAGACCTGGGTATCTAGCCTCCGTCTGGACGAAGTACATGCAGTGCCCTGCCAACCTGCTACGACTGGGTAGTATCTTGACTAGAGGGGAACAAATCCGACGGGGTGGCCAGCCACTTGTTATCCAAGTTGGCCGATCTCTGCTCTGCCACCGCTGGGTTGCAGTAGCATGTCTTGTTTCCATCGGCGCTGTTGACCGGAGCTACAAGGCAGAATCCTTTTCCGTAGGTCTGCGGAAGTACCACAACAATGTTCACCTGAACGCCATCTTACATTGCCAAGAGAATCGGAGCCGTGATTGACTCGCGAGCACAGCTGAACACATTGACGCCCATACCACCGACGATACAATGCAATGCTCGATACAATACAGAGTACTTCATGCTTCGTACATGTAAAGTGTCCAGTTGCTTCCCTTCTTGGATTTCGTCTTGTCCAGGGTAGCCGCTAATACATCCTACACCGATGTCGATTACATGTTGCTGGCCTTGGACAAGATGCACAAGCGAAACGAGGCGCTAGGAGCATTTGCAAACCGCCCGACAAACGAACGGCATCTACAGAGCCTGCTCCGCGCGAGATCCGCATGGAGGCTCGTACAGAGGTGCATCTCCGACCGTGCGGCGACTCTACCACGCAGCAAATGGGACTACTACTGCAACTATTGGCGCGGCATCGGCCTCAACGCCTCCAACGGCCGACGGCACATGGCTTGTGGATTCTCGCAACTGCCGCACGGGGGGGATGCATCCCAGGCAGGAGGCACTAGGTGTTGGTTGTCTGTCTATCAAACCTCCTATCCCCCACTTGATCTGATGGCAGCAGAATGATGTGTCACCTGTCCAGAACATGACTCGTCACTACAGGACATCAATCCGTTTTCTGTCAGTGGGACGCAGTCCCGTGCAAATAACAGCCTGCGGGACAAGGGAAAAAGAGGGCTCGGACAGGTCCGTCTGGCTGAAAAGTTTCTGTCACAAGCTTCAAGCCACGCCACGCCCGCGTATCCCGCCCCTGCTCCAGTTGTTTCAAGCCACTAGAAGCGGTATGCTTTACTCTATCTAGGCTGTCAACTGAGACTTGAGGCTGAGAATAGAAGAAGTCGAGACGCGTGAAGGGCTGGAGTCCATTAGGCACTTGGATCACGTCCTTATTGGTACATGTGCTATGTTGTCGATCAACTACCTAGCATGTACTAGTCAAGCTCAAGTGTCTTTGCACCATCTCTGTCTCAGGAAAGCCCCATTGCATCAGCTTGTCGATTGTCGAATTGATGTTTGGCAACCGGATACTATTGATGCTGCCGCCTACCAGAAAGAGTCTCCATCTGTCAATGAAACCCATTTGAGCAAGACCATCGGTCATGGAGATTCTCCATTTGTGGCCATGTCAAGTCTCCCGGCGGAAAGTATTTTCACTGCTGCCAGACAGAGGGATGTGGCACACTTTTGGCATGAGTACATATTGCTACTGCTCGACCTATATTTCGGGAACGAATCATATTGTACTCCTGACCATTAGCTTGATTTATTCTAGAGGAGAGATCCGACTGCCGATGCAATGTCATAAATGACCAAGAATAACAAGCTGTCATATCGACGAGTGGCAACACACGACCACACTGGCTGACTGTCATCAAAGCAGAATGACCGCTATGGTAGCCCATTGGCTCAGAGCTTCATGCATGATGCGTCTCAAAGCCGGGTTGATCCTCGCAGGGACACCACCACCTGTGTTCGCTATAATTCGGAGTCAATGGCTCTCTTATTCGACAACTGGCTCTCCTGATTATGACGTTGTTTACTAAACTTTCCAAGCGCCAAGTCCTTCCTGATCAATACTGGCGTTTCAAACTGGGAGTAAAGCTGCCAAGAACTGTAGTTGCAGTACGGAGTAGGGATGATCTATTTTGGATACCATGAAAATGATTGGGTTTGGTCTATGTGATATGTCCTCTGCGTAAGCGCCTTCCGAACATCCGACAACAGGCTGGATTCTCGAACGGTCTGCTATGGTATGTCGGCTGCGTACTGCATATAAGCGAACATCAAGTAGATTGATCCCTTGCACCACGCCTGTCTAAATATGTCTAAATAGACTCGCTAGTGTGACGGAGCCAATATTTCGCTTGGGTTGCCGACGCCTTCTTTGACAGGAATCTCGCCATGATATGCCGTAGCCAATGAGAACTGGAACCGTGAGGGTGATTGGGGAAGTGGAATGAACAGAGGTTAAGTCACCGCGTTTCATATGCAAGGATCATTGTTTCTCCCATGTTTCGTGATCATCATCATCACTATCATCAGCTTGCTGCGGCCCAACGGATACCGCATCGGATGTGTCCCTTTGCTAGCTGAAAACAAGGATTCAGCTACCACCAGGCAACCGTTATCTGAGTAAGATCTAGTCAAATGACCAGTTATTTCAATGCAGTGCACATACGAACATGTCACATCCAGCTACCAAACATGGTATGCCGGCATTTATTTGCGTTGCATTCGGAGGGCGCTTAGCTTAAACGCATGCACGTTCGTCGTATGTCACAAGCGCCAGTGGTGTTACATTCTTAAAAAGGTGTGACTGTACCTCCGTTATCCCTTTGAGAAAGGAGTGGCTGTGTTCCCTTTGAAAAAGGAGGAGAAAAGAAGGAAGACTGAAAAAGAAAGCATCGAGGAGGAGGATGCTGAATGACGCTGTGGACGGTGAGATATGAGATGAGCAAGGCTTTTGTTACGTGTATATTAAGGAGGTTTTTTTGTCGTTTTGTTATATGTGACATGCTGAAGGAACTGACAAGGGAAAGAAAGAGGGGGAAAAAAGGAATCATAACTCTCTCTTTGTTGGTCAGCTACGAGTAACGGTGAGATTAGTAGCATGTATTAGATGAAGAGGAGATGACGATGCTCAACACTTTGACGTGCTTTCAACTAAGCTCATAAGTCACTTGTCTGTATGGACATGAGCGTGAGAGGCATCTATTGACATGTCTCCTCACGTGTCTCCTCACTTTGAACTCCGATGCGCTGACTAGGTTCTTAATTACTGGAAGAAATATACATGAATAAAGATACGAACAGTTCATTACGATTGAGAGGAGAGATCCTTACTCGAAAAAAAGAAAAAAGAAAAAGTGTACATTAAACTCCTATTCCAGTGAACCTATTTACAGAAAATATCCGTGGCCATTTCTAGTAGTACTCTGTAAAACAAGTCGCTTGGTTGTCTGCTGAGCAGCCCTCCCTCCTAAGCTGATAATGCTTTCGCCTGTGTGTTCTATCCTCAATGTTGTATGAATCGCCTGGAGTCCGAAAGGTCGTTTTACGTGGGTGATTAATTCCCAGCTAGGTGTTAAAACATGTTTCGAACCATCTCTGAGTCGTCGGTCAGGCTGTTATGAGATCCAATGCATAGTACACTTCTGAACAAACGCTCCCGGTTTTTAGATGCACAGGCGGGGAGAAAAAAGTATGGTAGTTATGACGGTTTGGGTATCATCATATGCAGTCGACGCAGCGCCGCCGCTCTAGAACTTCATTTCCTCTTAAAGAAACCAGTCGCAGATGTCGCAGCAGGCCTATTCCGCTTCAAGAGCAGGTCCTTGGAGGATTTTGAATGCTTCTTCAGCTTCGGCGCCAGTCTCTCATCCGTCTTCTTGGCCACCCGATACACCGTCGACTTGACAACCTCGTCCTTGGGCCCGGCATCCAGGCGTGTCAGTCTCTTCTCGACGCCCGCCACCTTTCGCCTCTTGGGCCCTGCTGCGACGCCAGTGGAATCGTCAGCCTCGTCTTCGCTTGAAGAGTCCGTCAGGAACTCCGCGGGCAGGACAGCCGGGATCTCTGTTCGCTTCCTTCCTCTGGTGCCAGACTCAGTTTGCCTAGCTTCAGGCTGGTCATTTTGCGGCTTGGCTTCATCAATCTTCTTCCGCTCCTCGGCTTGTTTCTTGAGGAGTTCATCGCGCTGCTGGCGCTTGCGCTTTTGTGTGGCGGCTTGCCTGGTCAAACAATTAGTCCAAGGGACAATATCAAGATGGGTACTGGGGAAACATACTCTTGAGCAGCCTTCTGAGCGGCTTTAGCAGACTTCTTGATGTCTTCGGCCGCTTTGGCAGTAGACACAGCCTCGGGTGCCTCGTCATCGCTATCCTCTTGCTCCTCTTCCACCTCCGCTGTCTCGGTGGCTGCTGCTTCAGGTGCGACAAAAGATTCATTTGGAGTTTTGTATTCGGAGTCGTCTTTGTTGCTAACTGGAGTTTTAAATTCGGCTTCGTCGTTGTCGTCAAAAACCATAAGAGTGCCCTTGGCTGGCGTCTCCTTGGCCGGTGTCTCCTTGGCCTTTGCTGGTGTGGCCTTCTTTGCAGGTGTGGCCTTCTTTACCGGTGTAGCCTTTGCCGGTGTTGCCTTTGCTGGCGCATCCGCCTCGTCCTCCTTTTCCCTCACTGACATCTTCTTCGCGGGGCTTGACTGTAGAGTTGGCTCCTCTACATCTTGCATGGCCTTTCTTCTCCTCGTTTGAACAACCATGGTGGCGATGAGATCAGCTGTGTGAAATTTTCACACTGAATTTGATATCTGCTTCTAACGCGTCGTATATCAAGAATTCCTTGAGGAGCCCCCTTAAATTCTTCCGTAATTCGATGCTAGATTTGAAGAAGAAGAAGTCTGTCTCTTCTTATAATTTCTTTCTTTCTTTTCTTTTGAGAATTGGCTTGTTCTTGGTTCTCACATTCAGTTATTGATGGCTTGAGGTTCGGGCTCAAAAAAATTTCGGTGGGGCGCTGGGTTAGCGCGTCTGATTGGCCGTCCACTTGAGCGAATACGCCCAAAAAGCAACCTCTCACTTATCGTGCGAGCCACAATATCACCATCATCGAATCTCGGCCTCATGAATGGTTAACGCAATTTCGAAGCCTACAAGGTCACGGAGAATCAGAAATCCACACGGTTTCATTTGGGTCTTCAGATCATCGCGCCACAGAGCAATTGAAAGGGAGCGTTCTATTATTTACGCTCCTCACCAGCATTAGCTTCAAGATCAGGCGACTAATCCTATTCTTCAATTATTTCACTGGATTGTGTCGTATGAGAGATACACTTCAGTATTAAATTCGACACTTTAGCTGACACCATGTCTATTTGTCGCTACTGCAAGGCCGTTTGGCCATTAGTCTCTTCAGCACGTTCACTAAGAATTGCATCCACCACGAATTCTATCCAGCGACAAGGCTCGACTGTTAGCAAGCCTGGGCAATTTCGAAGCTATGCAGTTCCAAGGATGAAAAGAACTGGGCCATCGCCACTTGAAGTGTACAAATTATCTGAAATTCCCCTATCATCCTTGGAAGCTGTCATCAGCAAAAACCCAGAGGCCTTTCAACGGCATACCCCGGATGAATATTATAGATGCGTCGAAAAATTCCATGAGGCAATCGGTCGAGGCTCGGATCCATGGTCTACAGTATTGGCAGGCAGTATGTATAATCTTCATCTCAATCTTCATTCGTCACTTGTGGGTGATTGACGACTAATTCACATCGAAGAAGACGGCTTCCCTGTAGAGGTAATCCACGAGACGGCTTGCATCATGCGCCAAATTCGTGGACCTCGGAGTGCGGATGCATTTGCAACCGCGCTTTGGGCATCGGCTTCAGAAGCCGGCTATCGGCCCTCGATATTGTCACTTACTCGGCATCTTGCTCGATCAGGGGCCTATGGGCGGGTCGCTCAGCTCCGAAGAGTCGAAGCTCGATTCAAGCAACTCGTCTCGACGGCCAGAGATCCCGACGCCCTTACTGTGGAGGGTGAACTTCAGTACGAGCAGGGGAATTACGAGGCTGCAATCAGAGCCCTTCAACGGGCGCTCCAGGTGGGGGCAGCAGGCTTCGAATGGGAGCTTTACTGTAAGCTATGCATGGGAAAAGCATTCGTCAAAATGAGCAGGCATGATGAAGCACGAGCAATCTTTGAGTCCCTGTCCGAGATAGGGCTTATTGAGGCAGACATTGAGCTCGGCAAATTGCTTCGCGTAAGCGACAGGGATGCGGCAGAAAGACACCTCTTCACTGCCGCTTCCAATGGGAGGGCTGACATGTTCAGTCTATTATCGGAGATTGCCTTGGAAAAGGCTGCAGAATCTGGAGATGACAAGGCGTCAAAGGAAGAATCACTACGGTGGGCCAAAGAGTGGTCAAAGTTGGCCGACCCTCGCACGGAATACTAGATTCGCGAATTCGAGGGCGCACTCCCACAGCCTTGACAATTACGAGGATAGCGATTCATGCTCTAGTTATTAGCCAAGCCTCGCCTCAATGCCGTGGGGAGTCCAAGATGCCCCGGATGTTTACAAATAAGAAGACAACAAACTTTCCTTCTCATTAGTTCCTAAATGGGGTGTGACACCCTGATCGACGCGGGATCCGACGGGCTGGTAGGGGCACGGCAAGAAACAGCGGGAACCAGCCTTGAAACGATCCAGGCAGCGGTGCAAATGAAGATTGTTCCTTGGGAAATATTAGCGATATCCGTTTAGGCGAGGAAATGATCCGTGCCAAATCTCCTGCAATCGAAGCTAAGAAATCGGCGCCCCAAGTGCTGGCTTTGGAGTTGACCTCTCAGTGCATAGTCAGGGGGGGGTTCTTCCAAGATTGCGAGGACCAGGAATATGAATCGGGTACTGCTTCTGCACGGTTCATGTATACGAGGATGCAATCAGCACACAGACGCTTGTGTGTCCGTGCAAAGGCCATGCAGTAGAGCATGTGACTTTGTGTGTGGGAGACGATTAACCACGGTTGGTCACCACGGTGCACAGGGTCATCGTTGAGTACGAATACGTGGAGGGGGTGATACGATGGTCCATGCTTGTAGATATCGTCTGCCATATGGTAGCTAGATAATACACACTGAGGAGGTTATATACAGCATAGGCTGGGGGGGGGGGCTATCTATAACCGAAGCTTTTGTGCTAGATAAGACAAACTGTCACAAGCTGTTAGAGCAAAAATATGATGCATTATCGTGATGGAAAGTACCATAACGGTCTAATTCTCCATTAAACATTCTTCTTGCAATCCAACGGTTTGCCAAGGGGAGGCAATCGACTACTGGATCCTTGGATATATGTATAAAATTCCTGTCACATCGCCCGTGCTCGATGACGAAACACAGCTCTACATTAGAATGGCTGCCTCGGCCATCAATCGGGTAGGTAGCCAATTGGCAGTTACAGGACATGCAGCAGATGTCACATGAATGGTGAAGGGGCCACGACCCCCACGAAAAGCTATCTGCAAACTATTCGGCCTCCATACTGGAATGAAGGAGGCAACAAATCATTGCAGATATCGAGTGTACTGTATAGTATTCATTCTAGAAGTTCTCTTTGGGCACGGACTTCGTACTGGCATGCTAGACAAAGAAGCTGGACCGAGCTGGAACATGTGATAGTGCATGGACCCTGAATAACAACGAAGAAGGCAGCCACGCGATATGAATGGGCTCCCCGGAAAAGAAGTAGATCAGGGTGCTATTATGGATGGAACAGTTCCAGAATGCAGCAGGGTCTTTTTGCCAACTGCCTACCCTGAGCATTGCATCTTGAATAGAGTCAGTCTACTTTGCTGCTAATTTTCTAGCAATTCGATTTCATTTTATTAAGATAAACATCGAATTTGAAGTTTTATTTACAGCTACAGAGAGCCAAATCGGACTTGTTGAGTAGGAATACCTCTATGGTTTGTTTAAATGGCGGGCAATTGCTCCGATTGTTGACTTTGGACTCTTTCTGGTGCTGGAATGTTGCCGTTTCTGGCGTGAGTACGGCTTATACTGACGTCATGCCACGAACAAACTGGCCGACAATATCATCCAATGTTAAAAATAGACATGAGTGAGCAGCCAGCTTTGGAAGGTACAAGTACAGTAGAGAATCCCGCGTGGTATTAGGAAGCACTTGGCACAGGAATGTGAAAAAGCAACATGCAGCAACTTGTCATACTGTACTTGCATTATTTAGTAAGGATTGGCAGAAAATAGCCATGGCTGCTCAGCTGGGCAGGATGCTTGCCGCTCTCCAATTTTGTTTGCATTCTACTGGCCAATACGTGGAATTATTTCGGTACTTCGTAAGCTGAGCTGCAAGGGGCTTCAGCCATTTGGATCCGCTCCACTTGGGATGCAAGAGATAGAGACCAGCACGCAGAGCAAAAAAGCCTCCTTGCCTGAAGCGGTAGTACTTTGGAATTGCCGGTGCCTGGTGAAGTTGGATTCCGCTGCGGGCCGCACTGGGTTGTACTCGTACCTGAGTTGTGCAAGTTGGTAATACGTTTGTACTGTATTGTACTGTACTGTGCTGCACGAGTACTGTTCCCGGCAACATGAAAATGGAATCGTGCTGTTTGATTGCTAATACGCATGCCGTACTGTACGTGTACAAGATCAATCGCACTGATTTCCCCATTCAGGCATACCGATATATATGCGAACGCCGTTGCAGCAGGTGAAAAAAGGAGTGACTGACTGACTGATTACGTGCAGTCGAGCCAATGCAGGTACCGATGGACCATCTCACTCTCCCTGCAGAAGCGACGGCTTTTCTTCAACACGGCCAATGTCGCAGATCCTCTCGCACGTGGCTGAGGAATTCTGGCGAGATTGCCTCTGGGGCTGAGACGAACATGTTTAGCAGCCGTTGGGCAGCTTTTTGTGAGACTTTGTCGTCATCGTGAGGCTTGTTTTGCCTGGTTTTGATGCTTCAGGCACAGCAAACGGGCCAAAAGGGGGCATGCAGTAGCAGAGCTCTCCACCGAGGCGCTGCAGAGTTTGGGGCTAATACTTGTACGGTACTGAGGCGCTGAAAAAAAGCCACTGCGGCAAAGCCCAGCACAGCATTTTGGGCGCAAGAGTCGGGGCCATGTTTACATGTACATTGGTGCGCGCGTGGTTTCGCGTCTCAGCTCGGGGACGCTGTCATGGAAATGAACAAGGGGAGGGGCCTAGAGAGACATTGAAACGGAAGACGCTTTGTTTTGTCTCTGAATAATCTGTCTTCTCTTGCCCTTCCACAACGTGGCTCTTGGTCAGGGGAGGGCAGCCCGGCAACCGTTTCCACTCGACCACGGGAGCAAATCTGAGATAAGATGAGAAGGCTGACGATGACACGGACTGGTGAGATATGGACATGGGAAGTTTAGGGCACATGATTCATTCACTGGCAGAGAAGCGAAAGACATGGGCCGCCGCAGCGAGACTTCCCTTGCTTGTGCAGTCTGTTTGTGCAGACTGTAGTCTAGGGAGTGACCACTAATCCAGCAACCCAGCAACGGCAGTGCAAATATCGCAAATTTTCTGTCCGGTTCTTCTAATATCTCCGGTATTAGAAGGCAATTGACTATGTTTTGTACTGTGTAATCTACGACATGGGATGCTGGATTGGTACTTTGCTCCCTTCCACATACATAGTACAGCAGATGGCCAGGGCTTCTGTTGGTAGGCACCACAGACCAGAGTCATCCGTAAGAGAGACAAGCTTTTGTGCAACGGCTTGTACTGCCAATTCCCGTATTCATGATCCGACGGCAGCGATTACTAACGACTCAAAGAGGAGCAGGATGAAGCTTTTACACGAAATGCCAACATGGGGCTTACATGGAATTACCAAGCCCTAAGACGGGGGGAATAGAAGTCGGGCGAGAAACCAAGTGGGATAGGGCAGGCAAACAAAACAACCATGGCCCATAAAAAAAAAAAAAAAGAAGAAGAAGAACAAGGACATGAACAGTGTGCGCAATTATGGAGCTGGAAACTTCTTCGCTGCTCTTCCCGTGCCTGTCATTGCTAGTCCTGCCCGAATTATGGATCCCCCCCGATGACTCCGTGCCAGGAGTTTCCATGACTCCGGGATCAATCCATCCAAGTGCTAACTAACATGGAACGCGGCCGTTGTCCCAGAGCCGTGGACCTCCTTGGTTCCTTGCACTGTCTGGTCTGCGCGGCACAGCGTACATAGTAAAGACAAGCGTCGGGGGTTTCGCACCCTGGGCCTCAAACAAATGGCCTTTTATTTTGTTCTTCTCTTGTATTCTTCATCCCTTCCATTCTACTTGATAAGTGGGTTTGGTTTGGAAATGGGCTGCCAAGGGATCAAGCTCACTTTCATCATAGACTTTAAACTGAGGTATAGCGGGATAGGTGCTGTGTCTGCTTTGGGCATGCTCGTCCGAGTCCAGCTTTTGCCTTTTGCCTTTTCGTATATTAAGCAACCATCTCAGCGAGTAATACAAAAGCATGTTTTGCATCTATTGGCACCTGTCATATAATATACTTTGGACTTACATAAAACCGGCACAAATGCACTGGGCACATGGAATCAGCCCTCCCAAACGTTAGTACCCGAGACTAAAAAAGTGCCGTCCGCACAAGTTCCAGGCACAAGCAAGGCTCTCCGGCTGCTCCGCCATTTGGCCTTGTTTATAAAAAACAACAACAAGCTGGGCTGAGGGCCAAGGTTTGACAAACCCCTGTCACGATGCAAGGTTGCCCTTCCCAAGATGTGCCGTCCCCTGTCCCTGCATCCACCGACGAAGAAAAAAATCTCACTTTCTGCTACGCCCGGATGCCCTTCCGCGCAGCTTGTTAGCAGAAAGCCTACTTGTACTTGTATAATCCAAGGCCCCCCCGAACGCGTCGATATTCCCCGACAGCATGAGATTCTGCCAGCTTTTAGTGTAGCTCTTCCCCCTCATCCCGGGCGCTGCCTTGGCTTTCCTTTTTTCCCTCCTCTTCCTCTTTTTTCTTTCTTCTGCAGGTTATCCACCCTCCTGTTGGAACTTCCCCTCTCCTTCGGAATGCTTGTTCTCAAGCCATTGTAACACTCTTTTCCTCTCCAATCGAATCAATGAACCCAACCACTGGCTTCCTGCCGACTTTCGTTTACTTGCATCGTGGCCGCTGTCACCTGTCTCAACTGTCACTTATCACAAAAATCACAAGCCCCGGAATCCCACCATCTGCCGGGCCTAGGCAAACGCACTAGAGCCGAACTGCCCAGCAGCTTCAATTTGCCTCGCACCTCGGGAGTTTTGTTGGCTGCCGTCACTTGTTATTTTTATTCTTTGCATCACATCGTTTTATATTCCTTGCCAAGCGGTCGGTTGACGACCTGTACGCTCTTGCAGTGTCATTCATTGGCGGCCAATCAGTTCCTGGTTGTCGCAAGCCTCTGTTTCAGTCCCCTCCTTCATACTGGAATCCTTCCACGGGCAATCCTATTCTTTTTTCTCTGGAATTCCCTCCTTTGATCGGCGACTCTTATTTTGGACGCAATGCCTCGCATTCCTTCTCTGGCGCTGGGAGCGTTTGCTCTCATCACGACGATGGCCACGCTGTGCACACAAAGCGCAGTCAGTGTTAGCATTTCTCAGACATCGCCGGGCAGGATAGCATCGACAATCGCCGCTGTATTCGAAGCTGCGATTCTGGTCCTTCTAGGATGGCTAATAGCAGCTGATGTTCTACCTACATTCCCCGGGCAGTCAAAGCTATGGAGGGGGATCCTTTTCGGTCTCGAAATCACAGCTTGTGTAATTGCGACTGTGACGTCGCTCGTTGGTTTGGTGTACTTGACAAGGCACGATGGAGGCGCAAATACACAGCTCCTCATCGCATCTTCTGTTACACTTGGACTGGCTGTTTCTAGTCAACTCGTATATACTGTTTATCAGGTCTTGCCTGGTTCAACGCGCGCCCCTGGTATCTCCTGGCCAGCCCGCAAGGACGAGGAGTCGGGACGAGCGCGCAAGATCAACCTAAAAGCCATCAGATATAGCCAGACAATGCCTATCATGGATCTCCCTGGCCCCATTGCCCAGCTGGACGGCCGAGGAAGTCGGAGCCGCTCCAATTCGGCTGACGGCAAGTCAATGGCTGAGACTGTTGCATCGTCCGTGACCTACGTGGCCCACTCAATCCGATCCGTCTCGAGCAAGTCAAAGATGCGCTCCTCGAAGGAGAGGAGCCGCTCCATGTCGATTGACTCGACCGCCAACCGAAGCACCATGGCTGACGACGCTTTTGATTCCTGGGACACCTCCTCGGTAGACGTACATAACCGGGAGGCCGTCCTGGAGATTTCGACGCCCACGCAAAGCAAGCCTCGCGGACTGGAAACGATTCCCGCCAGCCCCGTGGCCAGCCGGAGTCCATCACCACAATCCTTTGTTGAACTCGAGCCGCCCCGTATCCAAACCCGGCGCCGCAGCCGAAGCTACAGCCCTGTATCCATTCGACGTGAGCTTCGTGATCTGCCAAACTCAAGCAGCGAGGCTCACATCCACCCTCTGTTTCGATCTGACTCTCCTGACCCGCATCCTTTTGCGACGCCTGGCACCATTGTCATGGCAGCTCCGGATGCGGCGCGGGTCATTGTCCATCGATCAAGCAATCTTTCTCTCAACCGCCTGCGAAGCGACAGCTTGCCAATCGCACCCAACGCCTTCGGCAGGCAAGACAACTTTGACTCTAGATCGCTCAAGGCCTACCGATCTGAGTTGGATCTCAGCGAGCACGCTTTTGCCGACAGGGGAATGGCACCCCCTGCGCCTGAATGGCTGCGGAGGGAACTATGATGGACTCTCAAGGTTCCATCTTAATGACTTACGTATTTGAATTTTCTTATTCCCCTCTTCACCTGTTAACGAACCGCACACTTTATCGAATTCACCGAGGACGCCAGAAAAACGGAACAAATGGGAAATATAAAGTAGAAGGACATGGATGGACATGGCGATGATACCATTTGTTGTTGGCCAAAGTTTTAGATGAGCGTGGCGTTGGATGACTTTTTTCCTTCTCTTTGCATATATATATATATACCTCAAGATTCACTTCGCTTCACTTCGTCGGACACGATATTTAGCAAAATAAAAGCAGCATTGTACTTTTCTCAAAGCGCCCTATTCTTGATTTCACATGTGAATTAATAAGCCGCGGAGGAGTACATACGAGTAAATCGCTGTTGGGCGGCCAAAGGTAATTGAGTGGGAAGGTGGCAAGCCATGGGTGCGTATTGCGTATTGGAATTTTGCAAGCTCGAGGGTCCAATATAGAGAGTTCTGCAGTTAGTGGAGTGATGTCTGGTGACGATGCCAGGGTTTTGTTGAGGCATCAATATGATAGACCATAAAGCTTAAGAGGCGCTAGACAATGTTGATGCGCTGATCTAAGGCTGCAGCTGCCAAGTTTCTGCAAAGGCAGCAATGTCCGAGTTGGGCGTATCAACGACCCATGATTGCGTTATCGCGATATCGATACATGCACCAGGCAGGCAGGCAGCACAGCAGGCAGTAGCGGCGTGCGTATGTCATCAGCGAGGCTGGGGCTGCAGCATGCAAGTACCGGAGTACATGGATTTGAGCTGGGGAAATACGAGAGATGGGGAGAGACAGTAAAGCATTAGAGCTTGTTTATTCATGGAATCCAACATCTAGTACTCGTACAGTAGTAGTATCGTGTAGTTGATGAATCGGCTAATGACCTCCCTCGCTAACTAACCTGCAGGTGATGACTTCTTACCTTGCCCACGTTTAGTGAATTACAGGTACGCAACGGCCATCGGGTACCTAGAGCACATGGTACCGCTACTGGTAGGCAAGTACTTGCTGGCATAGTCACGGCACCAGCCTTCAGGGTCGCGCAAACGGCCTATACCTTATAGCAAAGGCAAGCCAGGGAAGCTGCATGCATGGCCACGGTACCTGCTGCACCACCCAGCGGCAAGTATACATTACCTGTACGTACAAGTACAGCACAGGTGAGTGAGGGCATTCCCTGTGGGGTCTCCAGCGCTTTTGCCGCTCTCCACCACTGGGCTGGAAACCATCACACAGGCTCAGAGCGACCCCACCCTCTCCAAAAGCCCAGGGCAGCCTGAATAACTTCCACCAGCCCGCGCCACCTCTCCTCCGACTTTGCCTCGACATACCACCTTATCCAGACCACTTCACCATAGCCCAGCATCCGCTGTAGCATCCGCTCTGCTATACCGCGGCGCATTTCTCCATCTCTCTCTGCTCGACTCTCGCGCAACGACCCGCCTCTGCCCGCCTGGCACGACCACAGCTAGGCATCCCGCTCGACCTCTCGCCTGTCCGACGCAGCCTTCTCGCTGCCCCCATATCTGCCCATCATGAAGGTCACATTTAGAGTATGTCATGTCGCTAGCTCTGGATCTACATGCGCAGAGCGTCCTATGGCCTTCGCCGTGGTCGCGGGCCTTCCCTTGACGCTGATCAGTTTGGCTGACGACGGTCTCTCCACCAGGATCTCAAGCAACAAAAATTCGTCCTCGATGTAGAGCCCACAGACAAAGTACGTCTCTCGCCACGTCGCCTTTGCCGATGCTGCCCTAGTCATAGTCGGTCGCTTCTATCGATATCGTTTGCTAACAACCATGTCCTCTATCAGATCTCCGCAGTCAAGGAGAAAATCTCAGCGGAGAAGGGCTGGGACCCCAAGAGCCAAAAGCTCATCTACTCAGGTTTGACATGGCTTGGATTTGGCCCCGTCGCACTGCGCTGGTTCTAACTTGGTGTAGGCAAAATCCTGAAAGATGATGATACCGTCCAGTCCTACAACATCGAGGAGAAGGGATTTGTTGTTTGCATGGTGAATAAGGTACGCTCATATCAGAGTGCCTTTGCTGCGATTCTTCATCGTCTAATCTTTTGCCAAACAGCCCAAGCCCGCTGCCGCTCCTGCCGCCGCTGCACCGCCTCCAGCTACTCCTGCGCCACCGGTTGCCAGCACACCAGTTGTACCACCTGCGCCCGTCCAGACTTCTACCCAGGCCGCTCCTCCCGCAACCCCGACTCCCAACCGCTCCGCCGGCACCCCCTCCGGCCTGGCCATGGGCTCTGAGCGCGCTGAGGCTATCGCAAACATGGAGGCTATGGGCTTCGAGAGAACCCAGATCGAGGCTGCCATGCGCGCTGCCTTCAACAACCCTGACCGAGCAGTCGAGTATCTTCTAACTGTAGGTGGCACTATTGAATCCAATCCATGAGGACAAGTTCCACTGACACGAATCCAAAGGGTATCCCAGAGAGCGTCCAGCAGGAACAGCAGCAGCAGCGAGCAAACCCCCCGCAGGCAGCTTCCACTGCTGCCGCCCCAGCTGCTGATGACGATGGCGGTGTTAATCTGTTTGATCTCGCCGCTCAGCGAAGAGGTGCCCCCGCCTCCGGTGGTGCCCCGGCGGCGGCTGCTGCAGCCCAAAACGACCTGGGTAACCTGGACTTCCTTCGCCACAATGCCCAGTTCCAACAGCTGCGTCAAGTGGTTCAGCAGCAACCCCAAATGCTCGAGCCCATCCTTCAGCAGCTTGGTGCAGGGAACCCACAGCTCGCCCAGCTGATAGCATCAAATCCAGACCAGTTTTTGCAGCTGCTCGGCGAGGATGCTGAGGATGATGTTCCTCTGCCCCCTGGAGCCCAGGCCATTTCTGTCACAGAGGAGGAGCGCGATGCCATTGAGCGGGTTAGTTTCTTTTCCCCCGGCCCTGATAGTTGGGCAGTCGTTAAGGTTCTGGCTAACCATTTTCCCAGTTATGTCGACTTGGATTTGACCGCGACCAGGCTATCCAGGCTTACTTTGCATGCGACAAGAATGAAGAGCTTGCCGCTAACTTCCTCTTCGATCAGCCCGAGGACGACGAACCACCGACAAACTAAAGCAATATTCCCATTGAATGCTGAGAAGTGATTGAAAGGTCTTATACGATAATACGTAAGGAAAGGCATGGAGGGGCAAATCGGAGACTATTATGACGACTTGGCAACATTAAGGCGTAGGATGACCACGTGGCAAACGGCCGCAATCATGTTGCTTTTTGAAAACCAAGTATCATGCGCGGGTTGGCCTGGCCAGAGGAAGAAAGTGCCGGCTTAATTGACCCGGACAGAACGGATAGGACAGAGTGAGATGGTACGCTTTGACAGGTCAGATGAAAGTTATTGAAATCGAATTTGGCAAACCCAAAAAAACGTCGTTAAAGCAAACAAGTTGTGTCTTGAGCCCGTTAATGGTTATTCCCTTTAGTGTATAGTAAGACTGATATGCTTAGGATTCACACGCAATGGCAATAATATGAAGTACTCGTTTTTTTCATTTCTTGTATCTTCTCGAGAAGAAGAAAAATCAGTGTTCCGCCTGACAAATGCCGAATAAATTGCATCCTGCAAAAAACCCCTAGTTCCTCAGAAAATATGAGGGGTATTATCATTCCATCCATAGTAATTTGCCCGAGCTTTCTTTCTCTGTTTCTCTCCAAACGCCGATTCTATGCTAAACAATTTGAAAAGAAAGAATAAAACCTCCCGAATTAAAAAAAAAAATAAACGAAGAAGCGATTGAAGAAAAAAAAAAGATTTCAATCAAGCTTCCCCTGCAAGAATCGGTTCTCCATTCAGCCCGTACTGCACAGTCTGTTTCCCCTTCTTCTTGCCCTTCTTCTTTTTCTTGCCGTCCTCGTTGCCGTCCTCATCGGCGAACAGCTCCTCGCGCCTCTTTCGCATGACCTCGGCCTGCTCGTCGGCGATGCGCTTCTGCTCGGCCTCGAAGTCCTCCTGGATCTTGCGCTGCTCTGCTTCGATGGACTCGACGGACTCGAACTCTATGCCCGTGAAGGCCTTGTACTCGTCAATGTCGATGCGCACCGTCTTTTCGCCTATGAGGGCTGCGTTGATGAGGTGCGGGCAGTGGCGCTCTTCGCGGTTGTATTTGAGCTTGACGTGTCGCCGCTGCTTGTTGGGGAACATCTTGGAGATCATCTCGAATTCTGTGCCGAACATGCGCAGGCCGCGGTAGAACAGCTCGGTCTCTTCTTCGGTCCAGATGTTGGGTCCTTTTAGCTTGGAGGTGTTCATAAAGGAGCTGCTGGTGATGAGCCGCGTGAAGTCGTTTTCTTCGACGGTTTCCATGTCCCCCCTTGTCGCCGCGGCGCGAGCATGTCTGTCCATAACCAGCGAGCTTTGATCGATGATGATCTGGCCGTCGACGATGCGGAATTGAGGACCGGAAGCAGGTGGTGGCGCCGGCGTGGACAAGGCAGTCGGCGTAGCGCTCTTGCTTTTGACCGACGGGTCGTCTGGGGGCGTCTCTGGGACTTCTGACCCATCGCGACTGCTGTCACCGAGCACCTTCTTGAGTTTGGACTTTAACCTAGACTGTCGTTCTCGCTCTCGAAGTTCGTCGTGACGGCTGAATTTCTTGCCAATGTGCAAGTCTTTCGTCAAGTCGGTCATTTTCAGGCTCTGCAAATCCACGACTTGTGTTTCTGCATCATCTGGTGTTACTGAGCGGGCTCGCCTCGCTCGTGTTTGGGGTGTTGTTGTTCCATCCCGAGAGGATGATTTGCGCTGTCTGGGCTTCGTGGTACCATCTTCGTTTGTCGGTGCCTTGCGCTGCCGCTTCTTCGGCCGTGCTTCGGCATCCACATCTCCATCCACATTCTCCGCCGCCGAGTCGGGCGCTTTCCTCCTACTTCTTGTTTTCGGGCCGGCAGATGGTACTGGAGTAGCAGCTGGTGTGGTTTCTTGCGTTGTGGGCGGTGAGGCTTCCGATATATGCGGATTTATCGCTGTCTCGGGCGCAGTGTCTTGGATATTTGGAGTCGGGCGTGGTGGATCTCGCAGTTCCGGCGCAATGTTGTCATCTGCGATGACGGGAAGTGGCTCTCGTAGCTTATGGACAATCGGTGGTTCAAAATGCTGTGGGCTTATCGTCGCGGCTTCTTCCGCCGCAGTAGGAGGTGCCGCTGGTGTCTCTGGAGCGCTTGGTTGCTGTTCATCAGGCGGTTGGATGTGTTCTTGAGGTTTCAGGCCAGAGACATCCTGAGTCGGCGGCTCAGATGTGATAATCGGGCTTGTTTTCGCAATACTGGATGACTCTGGGGAGGCGATATTCTCAGACTCGCTAGTGCCAGCGACATTACTTGAACTCTCTCTAGTATCAAGACTCGGGCTTTCTACCGCCGCGATCGGTACTGATTCCGGCTCGACGACTTCTCTCTCGACTTGAACATCTGTAGCGGGGATCGCGGGGCGTGGGCGTGCAGATGGAATCTTTGGCTTGAAGGCAAGGCCGCCCTTCTTTTTAAACATGGAACTCATTTCGGGCTGATTCTGTGCAGAGAAAGACGAAGCGCTGCCGTTGGAGTTGGAAAACTAATCCATTTGAAAAGGGAAGATGGTGCAAGAGTTGCGGCGCAGAGTCGACAAAAGTTTAGCAGTCACCGTCCTCGGTCGGCCAATTTTTTTGCAGATACGCCCAAGGATTGCTCGGATAAGCCAGAAAAGTTGGTTGCAGAAGTGGGGTGCGTCAGAAGCGCATCCGATGTTCTGCCGACTCATGCATACGATAAGCAGAAATCTCGATGGGGCTAGCGCGGCACTAGGCTCGTTTGGCGCGCAGACGTGCCTCTTTGATTTGCGAGGCAACTTCGAAATTTCAACTCCTGGCCGGGCTGCGTCTCTCCATCATCCTCACGCTCACCGTCGCGCCCCTTTGCATGACCGCCCGCGCGAGCAATCCAAAGCCGACGCCTGCCCTCTAGCCCTCGTTGCTTGTGCTTCTCTCCCCTCAGTCCTTCCCTCTCCTCCCTGCCGACCCTCCCTGACGCGCTCTCTCATGCCTGTTGCAACGACCCCCTCTGCCTCGCCTCGTCCATCCACGCTCGTGAAGATGGAGGACAGGAAGAGACCCGCCATCAGCGGCGCCGACGACCTGGCTCCTCCTAGCAAGAGGGTTGCCATCAATGGGTCCAAGGCCAAGGAGGAAAACACGGAGATGAAGGAAGACACCTGGATCGAAGTAAGTGTCGCATGATCCCATTCCCCCGTCCCATCCAACCCGCGAGACACCCCGGCACAGGGATTGCGTCTCGCCATTGTCCCAACCGTCTTGCCTTGCCAATCCCGCATTCAACCTGCTCGCCCTGTCAGCTGCAGCCCTCGTTGGGGCGTCGTTGCTGGATGATAGTGCTCACCAAGCCAGTGATGTTGCTCATTGCTTAGCGAGAGCAGTCAGCGGCTTCTTTGCTTTCCAAAAAATTATCTTCAAAAATCCGCTCTGAATATCCTTCACCCTACCGCGCGCTGCGTCCACCGTGATTCTACCCAACTCGTCATCCCTACACACCGACTATCGCGATATATAAGGGGCACATGGCGCTGACTAGGTATATCAGGCATATACAAAGGGAGCGATATATCGGCAAATGCAGGAGTACAGCCGCAAGGCGTCAACAGCCGAGTCGCGCTTGGAAGAACTCCACAAACGATCCGTCCATCATGACGATCATTTACGAATTATTGACGCTTGGTGGAGACAGGTATGCGTTCCCACCACAATGTCTATTTCCCGTTATAAAACGCCGTCTGACCAATAACGGTGTAGTTTTTAGAAGAACTCGAATTGCTGGCTACATCGAAAGTAACGACTACGGAAGCTCGTGGTAGGTTTAATCCATATATGCCGATTCTGTTGATGTCATATTTGTGTTCTAACTGGGCGGGACTAGACACTCCATATCTCACGGCCGTGGGCTTCAAGGATTTACATGATTTCCAAACGCATCTACAGGAAAAGGGGAAAACGATTAAAACGAAGGCCGAATCACTACTCACTCAACTCGCTGCCCAGAGGGAAAATATTTCGCCCAAAACATCCGAGCTGGAAAGCCAAATCGCCAGTCTTCTCGCCGCACAGAAGGAGCATTTTCTCAGGCTCGATCGATTGAGTGCAGAGAAGGAACAAATGTCAGAGCAACTCAACGCTGCGACACTTAGATATTTCAAAGCCGAGAAGAAGCTCGACCGTGCCAAGAGCGCGCAAGTTCAGAGGCTGGAGCAGCAGGCATTTGCCAATGCTACACGGCCTGTTACTACGCCCACCGAGGGAGGATCAGAACCCAGTGAAGTAAACGGCAGTGCAAATGAACTATTGGTGAAATATGAAGAGGTCACGGCGGCTGCGGCGAAGCAGAAAGAGCAGCTAGAGACACTTCTTGCGGAGCTCAAAACATTGCAAGAGGAAAACACCAGTTTAAAATCTCGGCGAGAAACTCTGACAGACGAAGACTACATTCGGACGGATGTGTTCAAGCAATTCAAGAGCCAAAACGAGGACCTTATCAAGCGAATCAACACCCTGGAAGCCACCAACAAGCAACTGCGCGAGGAGGCGGAGAAGCTCCAAGCAGAACGAACGGCATTCCGGACTCAGCTCGAAGCAGATATGAACCAGGTGGCTCAAGACTATGAGGCAGATATTGCGGCACGAGACCAGGACCTGACTCGCGTGCGGTCTGCTCGAGACGAGATACTTGCAGAAAACATGCAGCGAAGGGCAAATGCAGAGCAGGAGCGGATCGCGATGGAGCACATCAAGGAGCTTGTAGCAGCAAAGGAGGATAGAATATCTGCTCTAGAGCTGGAGCTTGCTCGCTTGAAACCGACGGGAGATGAAGAAACTAGCGATGGAGCCGACTCGGATGGTGTTTCAGAGGAGGAACTGCGGCAAAGGTACAAGAAGTTGAGGCAAGATTTCGACTCCATTAACCAGGAGCTACCGGCAATGGAGAAGGCGTACAAGAAAATGAAGGATCTTGCTCAAAAGAAAGTTCTCGATTACACGGCTTTGGAGGAGAAGGTGGCTCTTCTAATTGCTGAGAAGAGCAAAGCGGATCAGAAATACTTTGCTGCCCGGAAGGACGCCGACACTCGAAACAGCGAGATCAGAACTCTGAGGCACCAGAGCGGGAAGTCAGCCGAGCTTATTGCCCAATTGAAAGATTTCGAATCCCAAACTCGGACTTTGCTGTCCAATTTGGAAAAACAATCCGCGGATTTGAGGCAGGCCAATGCGGCGCTGGTCGCCGAGAGCAAAAAGATGGAATCCAATAGCCTGGAGGCTGTGAGGAGATCAGAATCTGTTACGAAGCAAGTGGGAGACTTGACCAATTTGGTCAAGTCCAAGGACGCCTCAACGGCTGTCATCCGAGAGCGAAACGCGATGCAAGAGGTCGAGGTAGAGAAGCTCAAAGTTCGAATTGAGCATGTCCAGAAGGACCGGGATAGCTGGAAGAACAAGGCACTGAGCAACTCTTCAGAGGAAGAAGACATGTTACGGGTATGTTTTAAGTTTGCGTTTTATTTTCCCCTCTTTGCTCATCTCCTGTAATCTGGTCATTCTAACTCGTGGAAAAAACAGACCATGGCCTTGTGTACGGTTTGCCGCACCAATTTCAAAAACACAGCACTCAAGACTTGCGGTCATCTCTTCTGCAATAAATGTGTGGATGACCGCATAAGCAACCGCATGCGGAAATGTCCTAGCTGTTCAAGGGCGTTTGACAAGATGGATGTCATGCAGGTTCACTTTTAAAAATGAGCCTATCAGCATCGTTCACTTCAAGATGAACTCATCGACATCACTCACTCCACGATGAATCCATCAGCAACGTCACGTATCGTCCAGAAGTTGTATTCATTCTTTCTGCATTGTTCTTTCGTTCCGCATTGTTCATTCTGCATTGGTCTTTTCGCATTCGGATTTACGGGGGAACGACTAGAGGATTCACGAGGTCTATTCACTGTGTTTACTGGCGCAAAATGGTGTTTGCTAGCGGTTGGATCCGCGGTCGAGGATGTGTCTGTTACCAATTTACTGGGTTTTTTTTTTTTTTCCACCTTTTTTTATTGTCTTCTTTTTTTCCCGGAAAGGTTATAGGGTAGGCGTGGTTGGACAATGTGGCATCAGTGTACGTTTACGAGCAAGAAGGATATGGGAAATGCTTCCAATGTACATAATATGAAACACGATAGGCAGGTGATAGCCCACTGCTCATGAGCTCTATGGGGAGCGAGATTGGGTTGGATAAGAGAGAAGCCGCAAGCTTTGCGTCATTCTGACCCATATATGCCTTTATTCTTCTTTCATTTTGTGACTACCGTGCTGGCACTGAACCCAACTGTGACATTTCAGATGACCACCTTACCTGCGCCGTGTCGAACCAAAACCTGTGCTCTCATATCTGGACGAGTTTGAGGCCGAGCTCGAGCCAGAGCCAAATGAGGAAGACTGTGACCCAGATGGACCGGCACCCCATCCCCGGGAAGGATACCTGTCTTCCCGCCGGTTGTTTCGATTTCCCGCCATGTAGCCAGCAGCTGCTCCTCCAGCAAGACCGCTCCAAAATCCAGGCCTCCATCCTTGCTGGGTTTCATCAGGCTTCGTACCTGGATAAGGCGGTGGTGGATCGTTTCCTGGGCCCCAGCCTGGACCCCAACCGCCGCCGCCACCACCACCTCCGCCTCCATATCCGCCTCTTCTCGGAGGTCTCTGTCCTTGGTTGCTCCCGTTACGCCATGCTGAATACACAATCCACCCGAGAACGGTAAAGAAAATAATTGCAAATAGCCATGCGCCCAGGTCGGTACCTCCTTCACCATCACTGAACCATCGACCATTCGGATTAGCCACGTCGGGATACCGCTTCTCGCCCTTGTCCGTTAATATCAGCCTGTACTCGACGCCACAGCTGCCCTTCAACACATAGGGATCATCAGACGAAGCGTAGCCTTCGCAGATGACGTCCGTGCTGCCTAGCTTGAACTCCTCGGGTAGGGAGGCGCTGCAGCTCCATTCGATGTCTTCTGCGCCGTACGAGGAGCCCTGATTGGTGCAGCGCATGACGTCGATTTGGAAGAGGTCGCAGACGGCCTTTGAAGAAATGCATTTGAGCTGGGGCACGGCGGCGACGCGGCGGGCGGTGGTTTTTGCGCCATTGCCGCGGAGGGTGAGGGTGCGGACTTCGGAGAGGAGGATTGCGTTCTTAGGGCGGGCGGCGAGGGTGAGGAAGGGGAGGGTGAGGGTGAGGAGGAGAGTTTCGAGAAGCATGGCGATGAGATTGTTCGGTGGAAGGTCTTGATAAAGTGAGCTTGGTGAGGGTGAGCTTGGTTGGTGTGTTGTATAGCTGCTCAGTGTTTCACAGCGCCATGACGCAATGCATGTGTTGCCGAGATGATGCTCTCTTTGCGATGATGGCCAGAGAAGAAGCTGAAATCGAGGACAAAGGATCAACAAACAACTTTTGTGGCCAAGAATTCGTATGAAAGAGGGCTCACGCTATGAAAGAGGACACATGGCCTGATGCTTCTGAGTGGTTCGCAACGTGGTGGCGAGGCTGCCTAATGTCCTTTAGTGAAGGTGAAAGGAATACACTGATTTGGTAGTGAGCTTGGAAGGTGCTCTGCGGTTGCTTCTGATTGGCAGCCTGACCGAGCTGTGCTGCTGCCTTAGGTGTTTGCTCGGTGAGCCAACAGCGCATGCCCAGGTAGGGGAGGTAGGCTACCCTGTAACGGGTGACTTGGCGTGGATTGTTTCTTAAATATATAAGGTATTTGAGTATCTAAGTGTTGGCTGTTATGGATTAGGCGGCGACCTGAGAGTATTCTCTGCAATATAGGCGAGGTGGTCAATCGGCGTCGGTGAAGGATTAGGCTTGAGAAGATTTTATGAACGTTGAGTGTGTTATTGAAAATGGCAAAACATGCCCTGCTACAAAGTTACGCGAAGATCCGTGCTCCCTCTCTACTGGAATCCTCTAAAGATGCGAGTCACCGCATGAATTCATCGATTAGGCTTCAGAGTAACGATATCGCCAAGAGCATTTAGTCTACTATTCCTGTCATACGTTTGCGAGGTTGCCGAGTAGGCGAACCAAGCATCACTGGAAGGACCTGTGTTGTCTGATATGAGATAGACATAAGGGGTGCATACAAAAGAACACACTCTGAGTAACTGAGATGAGTACAATTCCAGATTCCTGTAGTATCTGATATCAAGTGAGTAGCCGCCATGGTGTTCTTCCGTCGAGAAGAGGAGTGTGTATCGCTCACATCAACAACCAGTGCGTGACGCACGGTGCAAATGGGCAGAGAGTAATATGGCAAGGGTTGGTTGAGTCAGCCGCGGCAGATATTAGTCGATGTATTACGCGCTAAGGCAAGCTTAATCCAGATCTACCTAGGGAGGGTCGGGATGAGAGCCAGAAGAAATGGCAGTATAATCGCTGAAAGATGAGATAAATTTGAGAAGTAGATAAAGAGGAAGCACTAAAACAAAGATAGAGGAGAAATTCGCATCTACTCAAGGCCCATGCACCGTGTGGCCATCTTTTTGTCGTGGCCTCTACTGTACAGTGTAGCGGATCTGAGTTTGGGAGAGAGTCTGGCACCCCTGGCAGCAAAAGCGCGCCAAGGCAACGGTTGTCACTTGGCTGACTGTCCTTGGGCTTCTCAAAGAGGCAATACGTGGCGGTTCTTACGAGGGGATTGATTGCATCAGAAGCTGTGGGCTAATGCGGTGGCTCCTTGCAGCAGAACTTTTGGAGTTGCATGAAGAAAAAAAGGGTGACATGGCGCGGCATCAAGGCTCCGAGAAGGAAAAAAGGGAGAAGAGCGGGAAGAAGCCCAATGAGCCGTGCCCCTGTCGGATGCCTTGATCACCAGGGATGGAAGAGGCAAGGAGGAGCTCGATTGAAAGAGGGACAAGACATACGAGTATGAGAGACATGAACGGAGTAGCACTTTGTTGGAGCCAAGATTTACACCAGCCCAGCTTGAGCGGCAATCAACGGGGCTGGCCCTACGATGATCTTGGGCCGTGATTGCAGAGAGGTTGTACCAGGCAAAGCTCAATAAAATAAGGTAGTAATTGTAGGTGAATTGGTCGGCTTGATGCAGTATTATGAGGCCAATACTACTTGGTCTCAACCATTTCCGCATGTCTCAAAGCCAACCCTGTGAGTGGCAGGCCGTAGCGGAGACAACAGTTGTCAGTGTCTCAGACAAAGGACAGTCTGTACGATTTATTTGTACTGCATCTGAAGACCGCTCCAACCTGCCGTCTCCCGATCCTTTCGGGGCGAAGCTGCCACGTAGTGCAAAATATCATCTCGTTTGCCATTACTGTAATTTCCTCCCTCTTCTTCGGGGAAACAAATCATACAGCTAAAAGCATCAAAGGGAATGTGGGCAGAGTGTCGTACCAACCACCAAAAGTCGAGCACAGTGCGCGTGGGCTGGGCTAGCGGGACGGAGGGCGGCTCACTGCATGGCTTGTGCAAGTCTGTACGGAGTATGACGGCTGGAATTTTACCATTCATCATCCCTGTCGAGAGAACCTCGAGTGCCGAGTCCCCACCAAACAAAGCAATGTAGCACCGCAACAGAGCAACTAGCCAGCTCGGCCCATGGCGCGTCTCTTGAGGCCATCCGTCTCTGCTAGGGAGCTACAAGTATCGGTACGAGTACGCGTGCTCTTTCAAGAGGGCGTGTGTCTGTGCGGCTGTCCCTCCCGACAGGTCGTTTCTTACAGCAGGCATTACTGCAACCGTAGGTACCTCCTACTGACCTGAGGACCCCAAGGCTACAGTTGTAGGTGTAATTGTAGCATGTACACGGAGAACCAGGCTTGCATCTCTCCTCTTGTTGCTCTCCTCCCTTACATCTACACTGCGGTTCTGTTTCCTGCATGCCCTGATCGTCGTTGGTTTGCCCGCGTCGCGCTGCAGATACATTTGGTTCGGGAGATATGACACTCACATAGGAATTGGCCATCAACGATACCGACTAGACGACTGATTGCTGCGAGACGACGGCCATCGCCCTCCGGCGAACTCATCTTCATCGGCCATCATGGCTGCTGAAATACCTGGGAAGCCAACCGAGGGAGGGGCCTCGGAACACTCTTTGGGCCCCGGTGATACCAACATTGCCGATAACTTCGTGACCACAGAGAACATTCCGTCAAAGGCTGGTTCTACTGATGTTGACAAGGCAGAGCCCAAGGATGCGGACCATGGGACAGCGGAACCTATGAAATCAGACCTTGCGAAGGCGGACATCGACAAAGCAGACCTAGAAGAAGAAGATCCCGACAAGGAAGAGCCCGAGATGAAAGATTCTGAAAAGCCGGAACACGGGAAACCAGACCTTGCGAAAGCCGATTCCGAGAAAGAAAGCCCTGCGAAGTCAGATACTGACAAAACAGAGTCCGAAGAAGTAGACCATGGGTCAGCATATCTTGAGAAAGCAGACGCTGTGAAGGTACATCTTGGGAAGTCGGATTCTGAGAAGCAAGATCCTGGGAAGCAAGACCTTGAGAAGCAAGACCCTGAAGCCAACGCAGAGCCTGACGTCGACTCAAACGAGAAGAAGAAAAAGAAGGCCAAAAAAGAGAAGAAACAAAAGCCTCCCAAGGAACCAGAAGTCAAAGAAGACCCCGAGGAGCCTTTCCGGCACCTGCCCGACAATGAAGCTGAGATTCTCAAGCGGCAAGCCTTGACGCCCAACTTGGGGCATGGTGTTGCTGCCCTCTACCGATACACTACTGGCCTCGACATCTTCATCATGACCATCGCCATCATCTGCTCCATTGCCAACGGCGCTGCTCTGCCCCTCATGACATTGCTCTTTGGTGGCCTTCAAAATACCTTTTCCGAGTTCACAGCGCACCTGATCGACAAAGGCGAACTCAGCTCTCAGCTTGCCAAATACGTTCTCTACTTTGTGTATCTCGCCATTGGCCAATTTGCTGTCACTTACATCGCCACGGTGGGGTTCATCTACGTGGGCGAGAACATTTCCACCAGAATCCGAGAGCATTATCTTGAAAGCTGCCTAAGTCAAAACATTGGCTTCTTCGACAAAATTGGCACTGGAGAAATCGTGACTCGCATTACTTCCGACACCAACACTATACAAGATGGAATCTCCGAAAAAGTCTCAATTACCATAGGGGCCATTTCGACCTTTGTGACTGCCTTTGTCATTGCCTTTGCCCATTCCTGGAAGCTCACGTTTATCATTGCGAGTGTTATCTTCGCCGTTCTCATCAATGGATCCGTGTTTTCTAGCTACATGCTTAAGAATAGCATAGAGTCTACCAAATCATCTGCTCTTGGTGGCGGTCTGGCTGACGAAGTCCTCAGCTCCGTGAGAACTGCCGTTGCTTTTGGAGCCCAGGACCGATTGTCCAGCCAATATGATGAGCACCTGAAAAAGGCCGAATATTTTGGCTTTAGACTCAAGACTGCTGTTGGATTCATGCTGGGCGGTATCATGTTCCTGCTCTATATGAGCTATGCTCTGGCTTTCTGGCAAAGCAGTGCTTTTGTCTTGCGAGGCTGGCTCTCTCTCAGCGAAGCCCTGATTGTCATGATGAATGTCATAATGGGCGCTTTCAATATGACTAGCATCGCAACCAACTTCCAAGCGTTTATCGCTGCTGTTGGCGCCGCGTCCAAGATTTTCGATACCATTGACCGTGTCTCCCCCATCAATCCAGCCAGCGAAGAGGGTGTCATCATTGACGAGGTTCAGGGTAATATCCGGCTGGAAAATGTCAAACATATCTACCCATCACGACCTGGCGCTGTTGTGATGCAAGATGTTACCCTTGATATCCCTGCGGGAAAGACGACCGCCTTGGTGGGAGCCTCTGGATCTGGCAAGAGCACCATCATCGGCCTTATTGAACGATTCTACAACCCCGTGGGAGGTATTGTGTATCTCGATGGACGCGACATCTCTAAGCTAAACCTTCGCTGGCTTCGCCGCCAGATATCTCTAGTTAGCCAAGAGCCCACGCTGTTTGGAACGTCAATTTTCGAAAATATTCGCTACGGCCTCGTTGGGACCGAGTTTGAAAATGAAAGCAAAGAGAAGCAGCGTGAATTAGTCATTGCTGCCGCGAAGAAGTCCAATGCTCACGATTTTGTCTCTGCTCTCTCGGAGGGCTACGAAACTAATGTTGGCGACCGAGGCTTCCTTCTCTCCGGCGGACAGAAGCAACGGATTGCTATTGCGCGTGCCATCGTTAGTGATCCGAAAAGTCAGTTCCAAAACCAACCTGTTTCCTGGTCTTGGTATAGTATGGACAGTAATTGCTAACATGGTTCTACGTGTAGTCCTCCTTCTTGACGAAGCGACTTCGGCCTTGGATACGAAATCCGAAGGCATCGTGCAGGCTGCGCTGGAGGCTGCCTCCGCTGGCCGAACTACCATAGCTATTGCTCATAGGCTATCAACTATCAAGGACGCCCATAGCATTGTTGTCATGTCTGAAGGCCGAATTGTAGAGCAAGGCACCCACGACGAGCTAGTAGAGAAAGGGAGCGCTTACCATAAGTTGGTATCTGCTCAGGATATTGCCGCGACCCAAGATCTCACCTGCGAGGAACAGGAACTTATTGATGAGCATCAGGAGATGCTGGTCAAGAGGCAATCGAAAATCGAAGAGAGCGAAATCTTTAGTACCGAGGGTGACAGTGAGAACAACCTCGCGCGGTCGCCGACGCAAAAGTCTGCCTCAAGCACTGCGCTGCGAGCTCGCATCACGGACAAGGAGGAGGCCAAGTATAGCATCTGGGCTCTGATTACGTTTATTGCAAAGTTCAACCGTAATGAATGGAAGCGCATGCTGGCTGGTCTCTTTTTTTCTATTATCTGCGGCGGCGGCAACCCCGTCTGTTGTGGTGAGTGTGCTTACCCTTCTCCCCCCAAGGTTGATTCATGGCTGTCTTTGGACGCCCGCTAAACATTTGCACAAATCATTCTAGTTTTCTTTGCCAAGGAGATTGTCACTTTGACAAAAGCTCTTTTCCCAAATGCCGATATAGACCAGATTCGACACGACGCATACTTCTGGGCCATCATGTTCATCGTGTTGGCTGTTGGCATGCTCGTCAGTTACTCTGGTCAAGGAATTGCCCTAGCATCATGCTCTGAGCATCTTATCCATCGTATTAGGGACCAATCTTTTAGGGCGTTTCTCCGACAGGACATTTCGTTCTTTGATAGAGAAGAGAACTCGGCGGGTATCTTGACGGCCTTCTTATCGACTGAAGCCAACAATATTGGCGGGCTCAGTGGTTCCGCTCTGGGAACCATCCTGCTAACGCTGTCAACCCTTTTCTCGTCGATGATCATGTCCTTGGCTATTGGGTGGAAGCTTTCACTTGTTTGTACTGCAACAATTCCGGTCATGCTGGCCTGTGGCTTCTTCCGGTTTTACTTGTTGCTTCGGTTTCAGAGCAGGGCAAAAGCTGCATACGCGGCCTCTGCTGCATATGCCTCCGAGGCCATCTCGTCCATCCGCACCGTTGCGTCACTTACTCGAGAGCAAGACATTATGCGCATATATCGTGAGGACATTGCAGCTCAACGGCGCAAAGGCCTGAAGTCGGTGCTTTCATCAAGCGCCCTCTACGGCGCCGCCCAGGGCGCCACGTTTCTCTGCTTTGGCCTTGCATTCTGGTACGGCGGTACTTTGGTCGCTACCGGGGAGTATGATTTATTCAGATTCTTCGTCTGCTTCATGGGCATCATCTACAGTGCGCAGTCGGCAGGAGGTATCTTTGCGCTTGCACCTGATATGGGCAAAGCTCATGCGTCGGCCTTGGCATTGAGGAAGCTCTTTGACCGGACACCAAAAATCGATGCCTGGTCGCAGGACGGTCATCGCCTGAAAGAGGGCGATATCCAGGGCACAATAGAATTCCGTGATGTCCACTTTCGTTATCCAACCCGGCCAGATCAACCTGTCCTCCGAGGCCTCAGCCTGACAATTAAGCCTGGTCAGTATGTCGCCTTAGTTGGTGCTTCTGGGTGTGGCAAGAGCACAACTATTTCACTGTTGGAGCGATTCTACGATCCCTTGTCTGGTGGTGTCCTTGTAGATGGCCAGGACATCAGCACCCTGAATGTTAGCAACTATCGGTCGTTTGTTTCCCTTGTAAGCCAAGAGCCGGCCCTGTACTCGGGCACAATCAAGGAAAATATTCTTCTCGGCACACCCAAGGAGGACATTTCAGAGGAGGAGCTGGAGCACGTCTGCCGCGAAGCCAATATTTACGATTTTATTATTTCACTTCCTGATGGGTTCAATACGTTTGTTGGCAGCAAGGGTGGCTTGCTCTCTGGTGGTCAGAAGCAGCGCATAGCCATTGCCCGGGCCTTGATTCGCAACCCCAAGATTCTGCTCCTAGATGAAGCCACGTCTGCCCTTGACTCTGAATCCGAATCCGTCGTCCAAGAGGCTCTAGACAAGGCTGCTGCCGGACGCACCACGATTGCAGTCGCGCATCGCCTCAGCACGATTCAAAAAGCGGACGTTATCTACGTGATTGACCAAGGCCGCGTTGCCGAGTCTGGAACCCACCAGGAACTGATGAGAAAGAATGGCCGCTACGCTGAATTGGTCAATCTACAAAGCTTGGGAACGAGCTCGTAAGCAGCAGTATTCCAACTAATGCGTTATGCTCTGAAATGATGACAATACTGGTCTGCTGGTTCAAATGTGTGTGTGTATCTGTCACCTATCTAGATGTCCGGCGCAGAGCAGACGACTCATATCTGCTTGGCATTTACTGGTGTTGCTAATGTATTGGACGTGGGTACGTTTGGATATATATAGAAAAAAAAACGACATACTCACTTCGTTTTTGGATTCTGTTTCTTTCCTCTTCATGGCCCTGGAGGAGGACTCGAGGGTAGATGCACAGCATTCTTTATGGTTAGACTTGTATGGTATTTCTTATAGTTTTGTGTATGGAAACACGCCACTCTTGCCATTTACGGTCACTTTTTGAATAATTTTCTTTTGATGTCGAATGCCGCTTGCTCACGGCTCGGCGTAAATAGTTTCACATGTAAGTTTCGATTGCATTTGGTGGCGCTGCGAAAGCATCCTCGGGTCTTGACGCCAACGTCGCAGTGCGCGGTATCGTGGCCCGTTGACCATACATAGCTGAAGACGGAGCACGAAGCTAATGCGCCTTATTCCGGTGCCGACGGTGAAGATTGCGCGCGGGGATCGAGGCTGCAGCCGCCGTCGCACCAAAATCTACGGCAACACGGCTACTATCTATATTGGAACTACGTTGGCTTTTTCAGGTGACGGTAGTTGTTCTTCATGGGGGGAACTAATGTCGTGTTACCGGCAGGGCAGGCTGAAACCAGGTGTCTTTTTTTCTTTCCTTTTTTTTTTAATGACCAGCTGCCGAGAATCCGGAGTATTACGACTGCTTTATTTTTTTGCTCCGGGTTTTGGCGAGCGAGACAGGGGGGTTTGGTGGTGAGATTTATTGGAGGGTGATGAACTCGGGGGCTGTGCGTGTTCCGAATCTTGGTTGATCGTCGCTGTTATGGGAAGGCTGTAGATGATGTGAATCAACGGTCGTGAGACAATGTACAATAATAGCAACCCTGTAATACCCTGTACAAAGTAATTGATCCGTAAATATACTCGTACAATATACTCCGTACCTCCAATGCAGAGGATTCCAAGTGGGGAAAGGAAAAAAGAAATGATGAAGAATTGCGGCTTGCGGGAACCAATTGGTGGCGTTTTTTTGTGTGCATGTGGTGTGTCTCACTTTTAGGCGTGTATTCCTTTGTTCTTTTTTGTTCTGGCCCCCCCTCAACCTCAAGCCACACCACTTTAGAGAAACGGACCAAAAAAAAAAAAAAAAAAAAAAAGGAAGGGGTTTTCGCTGACGGCAGACGGTGGGTGATTTGCGCTGCGGCGCAGGTGGCGTGATGGTAGCATTGAAGTTTTTTTTTGTTGGATTGGGGGCATACGAGTACTATGGAGTACATTTGATGGATTTGGGGGGTTTCTTTGGGGAGATTTCCGGTGCCTTGGCAGGGGAGCCGCGTGTGCGCTGTGCTTTGTTCTTGTGTTACATGGAGGTACAAGGACGAGAAGCCGTGTAAGAATTACTGGTACTCGCAATACGGAGTACACTTGAGGTTATTATTCTCTAATGCGCAGAAGGGCAAGGCAAGGCAAGGGAGTTCGGTGACTGATGGGATAATAGAAGGTTATATTACGGTGGTAATCCGTGGCAATGCAGCAAGTTCCATGCAAATATCATTGTTACGTGTCGTATCTCACACGCGTCTGGCACTTTCACCGCAGTACATCCAGGTACTCGGCAGAGACAGTGGATGAGGCGCCTGTAGCCGCCATTGGCCGACCCTGATCTTATCCGGTACCAAAAAGAGCCAAAAAATAATGATAAATAAATCAAAATCTGCAAGAGCAATATCACGAAGCCCGTTTGGTGGCATCCCATGAGCGTCGCCAAAAACGGTGGATTTGAGGCTTAGCGGGAGCAAGCAGCCGGATTGTCGCTAGCCGGAGGGTGGGCGCGGCAGGCCAAGCTTTTTGCATGGCGCTATTGATTTGCAGCGCGGCCTGATTCTAGAGCTTCAAGGGGGGGGAGGGGGGAGCCGTTTTAGTGCTACCCTACCCAAGCTATGTGTCCTTATACAGCACGTGTAACAGTTACGGTAGCTACCTGCAGTATAATGGGCCTTGAACTTCCATTGATAGATGACAACCAAGATGCAGCATCTACGTAGTTGCATTTTCAAGCATTGCCTGTGTAATTGAAGATATCCAGTCCAGTCTTTACAATACTATAGTACCGAGTAAGTAGACATTCGTAACGATAATGCATTACAATACCTTAGGTCGTTGTGTTGTCGAAAAGTACAGTCATCCAATAGCACCACCATGTGGCTTGCGTCCGTCTCGCTACGCTGTGGGATGCAATTAAACTCACCTGGCGCTATCAACGGCGTCGTTATCCCACTAGGCCAGGGGAGGCTCCTTCGCCTATATTGGCGCGCCGGTCTAGCTCTCCCGTTGGTTTTTGCTCACTTGCAGCCAAGAATCAAAGTAGTATTGCTATGTACTCGTGCTGGTGAAGAATGCAACCCAAAAGAAATGGAAGTCTCCAAGGGAAGAAAAAAACAAAGAGAGAGATTGATACCATGTTCCAATCATGCACTCTCTACGCCTCAACTTGGCCAAATTGCAATCCCCCGGTGCAGATTAAGCTCTTCAGCTCATTCCCCAATAGCACGTCCCCAGCGGGCCAAGGCTCGTGCGGCCTTTTTTTTTTCTTCAAGTACAAGTATTTTCCGTCTCTTTTCCTTGCCAATCGCAGCCGCATACCCCGTCTTTTGTCACAATGCCCGTGCCCGCAGCCACTAGCTGCATGGGCTTGGACCGATTAGTCCAGCGCACACCGTCCATGGCGGTCCATGGCGGGGCTCCTGCTCGAACAAGAGCGCCCAATAACTAACTAACTACACATACGCACCTCCATTCTCCAGTCGCGCTTGCCTCGCAGCTGGGGTCTTTGCTGCAGTCCCGCGTCGTCCCTTCCCTATCCGCCACTCTGCTCCATACTTGCGACCTAGTACTTCTGCTCCGGGACTTTTTTTGCACATCTTTGCTCTTTTCATCCCTCCTTCGACCTTCCCTGTACTCGTATCAACACCAACTCCTTCCCTACTAGTAATCCTGCCTGTCTTGGTCTTTCCTGGCCTTTCTTTGCCTACCACGGTAGGTGCGCTGGTGTCACTCGCCGTGCCGACAATCGACTTGGAACCGGTCTTTCTACTCCCCCTCTCTCGTGATTTTCTCTCCCCCGAGAGTATATTTTCCGGCTCTTATATCGCGAGACGGATTCAGCGGGGGGTGGTGGAGGGATACGACAAAGAACAGTCCTCGGTGGGAGAGGACGCTGTTCGTTCAGGGGAATAAAGAGGGAGCGAGTTAGGAACCTCGGTTTAGCCAACGAGAGAGCGCATCTGGGCACCGTCGTCGCCTTCAACCGCCTCTCTGGGACCGGGTTGCCTATAGCAATCGACCACGAGAACGACTTCGACCTATACGCACCTCTGTCTAAATCGAGTCATGGTCCTTACGCCTCGATAAGCAGTACAGTTCCTGGGCATCCGTAAACGAAATTAATTCAACCTCGACTATAACCTGCTTGCGACGCCAGCCTCACCGAGTTTCTGGGGCATTGCGATCTGGGACGAAAAGCATTAATACTGCTTCGGGGGTTATCAAAACCAAATATCAAGGTGTTCACCATGTTCAACTCTGCAATTGCTGTCTTTACGGGCCGATCCATGGCCAAGATACCCAGACGGCGATTGTACCAGATGCGGCTCGCACTTTTCCTCGTCGCATTTCTGGCGACGACACTCGGATCTGCTGCCTCCGTACCAAACCGTGCTTCAACCCGCGTTCCCGCGTTATCAATCGATCTCAGCCAGCCTCCCTCGCCGCCCTCCTCTGTGGAGATGATTAATGGATTCTCTAGCGATATTGGCGAGCATGAGCAGCTTCTCCACGAGGAGCCTGGCAGCGGTTCTAACAATGATGCCACGACACTCGAGAAGGGCGAGAAGAGAAGAAGGAGTGCACATACTCCATCTTCGACTACGACGTTGACCAAGCCAACTAGCAGCCCGTCATCATCCCCATTGCCTGTGCCGTTTGACAATACGCCAGCCTCCGCCTTCCAGAGCCAGGGCTCAACCGACTCCTGCTCCAGCTTCATATCGGGTCTCCTCTCAAATCCCACCTTCAAGAGCTGCTACCCGCTCTCTATGATGCTGCAGGTGCGTTCAGGATCTTCTTTTCTGCCCGAATTTGGGATACAGAACATGAATATCTGCCAGTCAAGGCTTAATTTGCTAACTCAGAGATGACAGACATCGACTGGTCTCTTTCAAGCCGAAAAGTCGCTTCTCAGCATTGTCCGGGTGCTCGACGCAACCTGCCAAGCTGACTCAGCTTCATGTGCTACCTTTCTCAACCAAGCTGCGACGAACCTCACCCAGAGTAACAATTGCAAGACGGAGCTTGCACAGAATCAGACTTTAGTCCTGCAAGCGTACCACGGGTTGCTAGCCTACAAGACCATCTATGCGGCAACTTGTCTCCAGGATCCGACCTCGAGCCAGTATTGTTTTGCCAACGCTGTCACCAACCTCAACACGCCCTCGGATGCCTACCTCTACTTTTTACCATACGGCTTGGCCCTACCTGGCAGCTCTAACCCCTCCTGCAGCTGGTGCACTCAGAAGACGATGGACATCTACTTTTCTGCCTCTGCAGACCGCAGCCAATCTGTTGCCAATGTTTACGTGGATGCTGCACGCCAAGTCAATACTTTGTGCGGTCCGAATTATGTCAACGGCACTCTCCCGCCGGCCTCATCAGAAGCCCTCGCTCTACGACCGGCCATTTATACCATTACATTGGCTGTCCTATGTGCTGCGTTTGCCACCCTCGTCTCGATTTCATAGACGGCCCCTCTCGATGCTTCGGGATTGTATAGAATCCTATCAAGCTTAAACCTATTGCCGCCATTATCACTATCTTAACAACATCATACTGCTCGGAATCAGCTCCTTCCGCTTTAAACTTAATGTTTTCAACGATTTTTATACCGACGACGAACAACGCCTAATATTTTCTCATATATACATACGACCTTGTCATCTCTACACTCCCTACTACTTTACCGTAATTTACAAATAAAGCGCATCAAAATATGGCGTTTTACCCCCCTCTCCTTTACAACGCAATTATCTGGGATGCAGGATATAATACTCTTTTTTTTTTGTTCCTTCAAGGGGTACTTAGTTTGCATACGCGCATATACCATTATATACATACTTCTAGGAGGGATACTGGCATTTCGGGGAACATCAATACCCGTCTATGGGCGGATGAGAAGGGCTCAAGGGCACGGGCTGGGGGAATATCCTGGGAATCGGCCTAAAGGAAGACGAGGCGGTGGAATTCTTGTCGACTAATAGCGAGTTTCTGTACATTCTGTATACATGGGCCAAAATGGAAATATAGGTCTCTTTGCAGCTGTAGTTCATCTTTCCATGTAACCACTAAGTAAACAATAAGTAAAAAGAATTTTGCAAGGAAGAGAGAAAATAGCCTCGACATAGCAGAGAATAATTTTGCCATATGTGTAGTTAATTATAGCTGACAAACACCATGCTGTCAGTGCCGATATACTGCCTACCATGGACTCCGTATAGGAGGCCATATCTAGGCCATATCTCATCCATAGTTGCCCCCCCTGTCGTATATTCCAGCTCTGGCTTCGTTCTAGCTCTTAGCCTGCCAGGGGGAAAGGTGCCCAACAAGCAATCTAACCGGGCTATTCCTATTTTTGTATTTTCGGAAATCCTACCAGCCAGCTATGTGCCACCGGTCAACCATTTTGAGAGCCAAGGGGGGGAAGGGGGCAGCGTCTCTTCCACGGGCATACGGCTGTTGCCAAATCCAAGCACCGCTTTCCAGCAGCATCAACCTTTGCAAAAGATTAATGCCCAAAACGAGCAAATGTCGAGCTCTTGTTTTGTCGGCTATGCCGCCGCACCGTTACGTCAGGGCGGGTAGCACGACACCCTCACCCTTTGACAACGTCTTGACAACCAGCCGCACCAGCCGCTCCAATTTCGCCCTCGGCTAATATACTTTTTGGTCCAACACAGCAACTGAGTTGACAGGTCATCATCTGGCGCGTCCAGTTGGCCCAAAGCAAAGGCTTTAACCGCTAATATGCAGGGCAACCAAGCCAGCCAGGCCCAGTCAAGTGAGGCGCCTCGTACGTTGGTGTGAGATAATAGTTCTAGCACCCAGAGATAAAATTAAGCCCTGATGAGCATAAACATGAGTCTAATGCCTGACAGCCAGCTCTCTCTTGGCCACGTTTGAATGTGGGCTTTGGAGCGGGGGGACCCATGAGCAACCGAGCAGTTCCAGTGCGGTGCGGATTGCGGCATCACTAATGGGCCATGATTGGTTCTCTCGTTCCACTGTACGGCTCCTTTTGGCCTCATGCAAATTTGCCCGCGGGTGAGTCTTTTTTTCTTCATCTTGGTAGGTGAATGTGATGGGTGGGTGTCAAGTGGGAGCATATAGCAACGCGATTCGGAACGATGTCGCGACACTCCCAATGCAGTTGAATAGAGACTCTAGCAGCGCAATGATGCGGGTCGGACTTGAGACTCGTGACAACTCTCGGTGAGATATGGCTGGTCTCATTGTGCCACGTACTCCATGTACAGCGAAAGGTTGGCGCTTTGGATCCAAAGAAGGCAAGGATAGAACATAATGAACACTTGCGGGCGCCGTAAGCGTCTCTTCTACACACCCTGAAGCAATTAGTACTGTCTTATATCAAGTCGTCATTTTCGTAACCCAACCTAACCTCTTAGGACCTGTGAGCTTTCAGGCCGTGCTTAGTGTCTTTACATCATCACCGAGTCTTTCGCTGCTAAGCGGTGACGGGCGCCACTGGTGATCCCAAGAGGATCCCAAGGGGAAGAGCAAAGAGCATTGATTTGGGCTTTAAGCATGCCTCACACAGGATCATTCGCTGGTGGCGACTGTCAGAAGTCATCCAGGTGATGTCGACACACCGCAAAAGGAGATAGGGAGAACCAGGGTTGTCAAAATAGAAACATAGCCTGCCAGGGACTTGAGAATATAGAAGGACAAGCACACACACACTTTGTCGATAGTATTACTGGGTGCCAACAAAAGAGGTTATAGACAGGAAGGCCGTGGTCGCCTTGGCACACCAAATCTATGTTTCGACATTCCTACATGATCTTTCGCGTCATGTCAACCGGCAGTGCCGCCGTGAGATCAATGCTTAGCCTCAGCTGGTCCACTAGGACCGTGAACAAGCCGATGAGCTAATGAGCGTGAAGGGGGTAATATCGGGCCACCATCATCACACAGAGGCACGTGTGTGAGTGAGTGCCCATTTGTCCATGGATGAGACATAGTTGAGACATGGAGACACCAGGAAAATTTTCACGGAATGGACGAAGAGGGGGCGGAGAAGAGGCAGCAGTACGCCAGTATGGCTTACATGGCGCATGATGGTGTGAGACCTGATAATCATTCTTCATGCCGTCTTGATTCGAAGTCAACCGTTCGATCTGAAAGGGTTGACTGTCGTGGCAAAGCTTCTCCGCTCAAAAAACTCCACTTCAAGGCAAGTCCCTGGCTCATAGTCTAAGGACCTTGTCCTCGCCGGGGAAGACGGAAGGCGGGAAGCGGAAGGCGGGAGGATGCAACGAAGTCTTTTGGAACGAGGCTACCCAGCAACTCTCGGATGGCCAGGGGAAGCCATATTGTGCGCCGTCGTATGTTCCCATTTGCAGGCCGAACCTGAATGGAGCACTATTACTGCATACCTGTACAGAGTGCATGTGAGATGACGGGGATGGCGAGCCAGCCTGGATAAGTAAATCCACGGGCCCGGTTCTTGGCGACTAGAGTGAAAAACGCGAACGCTAATGAGAAGAAGACGAAGCGGACAACGTGTTGTACCAGCGCTGCAGTGAAGCTACTTGTACTACCACTCTACTAGCAGTACTCGGCAGCTTCGACCATTCCGACCAACGGCACAAGGGTGTTGTTTCTGGCAAAGTCATGATGTCCAAGACAAGTCCGGCCCAGCCTTGCAAATTGGACCATTGCAGAAGAGTCTTGGCCAGGTGGTAGGGATAAGGCAACAGCCACAAGGGAAAGGTGGCCTCGCTTGGCTGCTTGTCCCGTAGCCGTGGCAGAGCGTGATAAGGTGACTGCTCACCTGCACAGGGACGTTGGTCTGGAGCACTCGATTTGACAAATCGTTTTGGCTTCACTGGTACTGGTACGAGCACTTCACCCGCAGCGAGACAGACGAGCGTCCGGGGGGTGCGGCTGACAAGCGAGAACAGGAGTCGTGTTGGGATTGCTTCGTGCTGGTGCTGGTGCTGGTGCTGGTGCTGGTGCTGGTGCTTGTCTCGGTACCTGTGCCTCGTCCGGGGGGGGGGGGCAGAAGCATTTTGCCTGACGAATTGGCCATTCCCAAAATGCCTGGCGTCGTGATGCCGTCTAGACACGGCAAAGGTATTCAAGTGGTTCTTTCACGAACCCTCCGACTGGGCGCTTCGTATAGCAGCAGCTGGTTCCTGAGGCAGAGGTGTTAGATAAGCAGAGGGGCCTAGGAAGGTATAGGTAGCACCTCCGCGGCACAACCCCACCTTACCTTATTCTGCTGGCTCTTGTTCAAATCAGATGGCGGTGAGAGGAGGAGGGTGGTAGGTCCGATGGCGTAAGGACGCAAGTGCCGATGGCGGGCAATCTGGCTGAAAGGACGCAGTAGATACCTGGCAGGTACGCTGCGGGCACTAGGCAGGTCCCCCTCCAAGCAGACGGTCAACCACCGATGATATGATGGCATTAGAAGGAACATGTTGGGTACCTTGGGTATGAGCTCGTAAAGTATAGATAGGTAGGTACCTAGGCAAGTACCTGGGTACCGTGATGCTCCAAGAATTGGAGAGTGGCCCCTGCACGGTTAGAAAGGTGCTTGACATTCGACGTGCTGAAGTATCTCCTGTGTGCTAGCTTCGTACTGTACCGGTGCTGTATTTCTGGCAACTGCCTGCCCTGTCATTGATGATGCCCAGACATTGGCAGGCACACTTACGGCACGGAACCTGCCAGCTCTGTGCTGTCAATACTAGGCACAAGTACTATGTACGGACAATATCCGGCTTGCCCTGCCGCTTGCTTGGAGGATCCAGGATCAATGCCTTGCGTCGCGTATTGCCTTAGTACAAGAACGTACAAGAACGTCGCCGAGTACTAATCGAACTTGGAAACATGCTCAGGATGGCCTCCAGAAAATTACACAAAACCTACGAGTACGAGTACTAGTTGAGAGCCCGAGGCCTGTTAAACCGGACGCGGCGCCCTCTAGCTGCTATGTTTTGGGTTAGCAGGCCCAGGTACGGCACGGCAGGGATACCATTAGCCCAAACTGGATCTTGCCCTTTCTTTCTGGACATTCATTGATACAGGTGCTAATGTACGGAGTACAGGTAATAATGAATTGATGTGAAAACGTCCAGTCCTTGGAGGTATTGTTTACCTGGTACTACCCAAGCCTAGGTACTAGGTAGTAGTACTCCGTACCTAGCATTGCTGCTGTTCAGGTGTGACTCCGTTGGCCCAGCACTGCAGGTGACGGACGATCCTCAAGAGGCCCAAGGGGGGAAAAAGGATCAGGAAGGGGGAAAAAAAAAAAGCAAAAAGAAAGGCCAACAGTTCCTGTACAAGGATCTTCGTCCAGAACCTCGAGGATTCGCCCAGCCCCCCTTCGCTTTTGCTTCCTCAACAAGTGACTTGCACCACGGCGAATTACCATGTGCGTGCGTCAACAAAAAATCCCCGTCGTGATGCTGATATGCGAGTGGTGTACGAGTAAGAATAGCCAGACGCGCCTTGGGCATGCTAACGCATCGTGGATGCTACTCTGGAGCAATTCTCGTACCGTGCAGGCACTGCCGTGGATCGCTGAGGCCAGGGTCGCAGTACCGCTACATGGCCTCGTACCGTACGAGTGCGGACAACGAACATTCTCGGCGGCCGTCGTCTATTCCCTCGTTTCGCCGATCATACGGGCCGGCTGACCAGCTCCAATACTCCGTACTTGAGCTTGGCCTGCAAGTTGGCAAGGCAGCACAGACCACTCAAGCTGGAGGAGCACCAGCCAAAGGCCGTCACGCTCCATCACACTCTGGTGGTCCAACCACAGAGTTCGGGATTCAAATTCACATCTTGGCCCAGGAAAAAATCAGTGCTCCAGCCGTGCCGCCCGCCCCATGACTCGAAAAGTCCTACGAGGGCGGTACTCGCCGCACATGCACACACGCACATACATACGGTTGTACTAGGGCGCAAGGCAGGGCACGTCTCGCACGTCTCCGCCCCAACTCGAACCTCCAGGCCCGACGGACTAGATCTCGATGGATCGAGGCCCATCATTCCATGCTGCTGGTTGGCGGCAGCCACATCGGCTCATGCCCAAATGCCCCAGGCACTGGGCAGTATGGACGGGTGTAGCTCTCCTGCTCGGCACCGAAGCAGTGTGGCGGGACGCACCCTGCTGTTGCCAATCTCCAAAAGACTCAGAGCAAACTTCTTCATCTTCTAGGTGCATGAGGCGGGCGAGCTGATCTGATCTGATCCTACAACGGTGCAGATGGATAGCCACCTACATCAGGGCAATTGCCAATATCCCGGTCTCCCTTTAGATTGGCCCGTCCGTTAGGTAATATCACCCGACACTTTGTGCTCAAAGCCACCAACAGCCATCCTTGCTTCGCGCCTTGCTTCGCGCCCTGAGCTGCGACCTGGAGGTGCCAATGTCGCGGCTGGGCTGGAATCTGGCTGGGCAGGCCGCAGCTGCTGCCCCGTTCCCGATACCACGTCTTCCAAAGCAGAAACCTTTGCGCGACCACCGACTGCCTGGAGCCACTTCTGCATTGCCTGACAGCACCACTCCAGACCATACAGACCATACAGGTAGTATTGCTTCCATGGCTTGGTACGTACGCACAAGACAACTTCTGAGCTCGCCTACTAGCGGAATCAATGCGCAAGACTGTAAGCCGCAGCGGCCCCAGCGATTCGGATTCACCCACCGCCACATCAACCATGCTGTGACATGGGGCATGTCTCCGCCCTGTAGGAAATAAGATCTGTCAGTTGTAACTTGCGCGCACCCCTGGCCAGCGCCAATTGACAACCCCCGGCTGGGCCGCTCGCGCAGTGGTCTCATTATTGTTTCTGCGGCGTGTCTGTCTGTGGAGTGCTCATGCGTTGGTTCCCTACCGGTGCTACGTCGAGCATGTACAGGTAGCGCAAGCAAAGATGGGCCAAATGTCTACATTACATGTACGAGTATACCTCCATGATCGAGTACCCGATACAAGGCTTTGGCAGCAAAAACGTTCCGAGCACGGCCACTGGCCATTGAATGTCTCTCGTCTCCCAGCCAGACCCTCCTTGGCCTACTATTCATCCTGCCCGCCGTGGCCCTCGGCACGCCAACGCCTTCACTCGCGCTCCCGTGTCTCTTCTTTCACTCCTCCCCCACTCCCATCCTGTCTTGGTTTGCCTTTGTTCTTGCTTTTGGAACTGGCAAAGTCACCAGCGAATCCGTATTGCCGAGCAATCAAGCTGCCGCCTCGTGTCCCACCCACCGTCTTTCGCCCTTTCAGTCATCGAGGCAGGGGCTTGTTTGCTCTCTCATACGAGTTTTACTTGGTGCTTCCATTGGTGCTAACATCACCGAATACTCGTGCCAAGCCGAGCAGAGGATTGGTCACTGTCTATTCTTCTACTTTCGGCGCCCACTTGCCTGCTTTGCCTCGACGGCCTTAGATGCCACCCTGTTCAGTATAACCTTTTACCCATAAGTCTCTGCCTAGCCAGAGTGCTCCATACGACCGGCAGCCGCTTTTTCTTCTAATCGCCGGGGTGGTGCGTCTTGTGTCTCACAAGGGACGGCAGGCGCATCGACAGCTTGCATCGTAAGTATGCACATGTGTATTTCTCCCTCTCCCTCCCCCTACTTGAGCTTCTGCTCTGGCCGCGCTCAAGCGGATGATTGTGGGTGAACGGTGCCCGTCTGCCGCACATTCCGCCGTGCACCTCCAACACTGCGTTCAAGCTCCTCAAGACGACCTACTACAAGTAAGCAATACTGGACAGCACCGAATTGCACTTGTCCTGGTTCCCGAATCTGCAGTAGCTTTTGTATACACACACTCCTCTCTTGCCGCCCCGCATCAGCGCACACATCATCCCCTCCACCCACGCCAGCAACGATCTTGGTTGCAGGCATGCAGCTTCCAGTTCCCTCTACCTGGTTCAAGAACTCCTCCCGATTGAGCCCTGGAATGGGGGTCTAGGAGATCTCTGACCAAGACGGCATTGACCCGTTTGCGCGTCTCGCTCTAGAGCAAGGGTGCGCTGACTGACCTTAATATACCTACTACCAAGACGGCCATCTCTAGCTGCCGACATTGCACTACTGCCTACTCGTATTTGCTTGATCCTGCCTACTCCCATTGCACCTTTTTTCATCCCGTTGCTTGTCCTAGGGCAGAACTGATCATGTCTTCTGCTCCAGGGCGCGGCCAAGACGACCTGTCGAGGCATCACAACTTATCCACAGGACCTTCTGGCTTCTCAATTGAGATGGACCCCAGGAACTCTGCCAGGCTGGATCATATGCCTCACACACCAGACAACGTCGCCATGGATCGTTATTCTGCAAACCCCGCCATGGGAATGCAGCGATTGCCTCCTCCGCAAGGTCTACTCGCGGGAGCACCCAGCGGACCAGACACGTTTCGGCCATCTTCTCAAGATCCTCATTCATATTTTCACCCTCACTCTTATCCTCACAATAACGTTGGCCATGCAATTTCGCCCCCTCTTATGTCTCCTCCACACATGCCGTTTGCCGGCGCCATCCCTCCCCAGCAGCCCTATCCTCCCCATCAGATGACTGGGCAAGGCCAACCACCTCAGATGTATCCACCAGTAGCAGCTGGGAGGCCGGACAACACGACCGATCCGCGATTGTCACAGTACCCTCCGGGCATGAGCCATATGAACCGCCAAACGACACCGCCGCGATCCTACCAACATCCTGAGAGCGGCGTCCCGCCGTCTTTTGTTGCGAGACACGACCAAGACACTCCCATGACGGAATCGTCATACGAGCCAGAGCCTGCACGGCCTGCAAGGCCTGCAAGGCCTGCAGGTCGATTGCCATCCCAGACTTCAGACAGCGCAGGACCCCCGGCGGCTCAGGTCCCAAATCTACTAGCTGCTAACAAGGCCAAGTTCTTGAGTGACATCAGCTTTGAGCTCAAGATGCGCCAGCAGCCAAACGCGGCACGGGCTTGTGGGTTTGGTGATAGAGATCGAAGAGTCATTGATCCGCCTCCGATTGTGGAGCTCGTGGTTAGAAACCCGAAATTTACACAAGAAGAAATCAGAGTATATTTGAGGTACGAGAGCTATGTCATGAGCTGCGCCATATTTGACGAGTCAGGGGAGCGTGACTCTTCCTACATGCCCGAGGAATACCAGCATCAACGACGGCTGATGGGTTCTCTCGTTTCAACGCCATTTGTGGGACAGGACGAGAACGGACAGGAGGGGTGCTTCTTCTGCTTCTCCGATCTTTCATGCCGCACGCCGGGCTCGTTTCGATTAAAATTTACATTAATGATGATAGACCCAAGCCGGGCCGGGACGGTCAAGCACTTTCCCATCCTGGCGGAGATCAAGAGCGAGCCCTTTAAGGTTTACAGCGCCAAAGAATTTCCCGGCATGGTGGCCAGCAGCAGTCTAGCCAAGCGTTTGAAAGAGCAAGGATGTATAATTTCAATCAAGAAAGGAAACGATAGAGGGCGAGGCTCCAGAAACAACGATGATGGCTCCGACAACGATGATGATGACGATGGGGAAGCATCGCAAAGCCAGAGGAGGAGACGACCGACACGAAACTAAACCAGGCTCAGGACACACATGTACAGAACAGAAGACAACGGGAACCCCGACATAGAAACTCATATGAGCATCAAATGTACTCATTACGTATCGCCAAGGAAAGACGGTGGGGGGGAGGAAGAATAAAAGGGAGGTAAACCACCCCCGGAAAGCATTGGATGATTGGGCAAATGGTTCTTGATTAGCTTGGTGTTTGGCTTTGACCACAGCGCTGTTTTTTGGCTGCTAGTTGGAGTTTTCTGGTTCGCATTGGTTGCAGCCACTGGTACAGCACATTAGTTTTTGGGCGCTGAGGGGGGTCAGCAAGAGGCCAGGATATGCCTCCCGGAACGTCCCCGGCGATGTTGATAGACATTATCCATTATAATTCCGTTGAGGCTACATATTTCCGCCGAAGCCATTCTCCCCGATCCTGCCCCGCGTCATACGGCTATCCTCCCGTAGCTGTTGAAAGTGCGGCCTGTAAGGCATACGAGTAGCTAGACATAGTACCATAGCGTCGCGGAGGCCGCTCCGGGGTGTGCAACCTATCGGATAAGCACAAGGACAGGCAACCGTTTCAGCTGTCTACGATTCGCCAATTGCAGCAAGGGACAAGACACAATGCCAATGAAGGGGAGCGGCATTGTCTGATTGCAAGAGAGCGATGGCAGGACCCCCAGCTCCCGTTGCGAAGATCGAACGAGTACTAACTTGCACTAACAAGGAATGTTCCCTGTAAGAGTACGAAGTATACTTTGGATTGATGCCATTGTTGGGCAGCAATGCAATGCATTCAAGAACCTGTTACATGTACCTTGCACACCTCGGTACTGTAAAGCGGCACTGAGCATTGATGTCTTACAGCATGGATAGGTATCCATACAGAGAACTGCTTGGCTACCCGCCATGTAAATCCCCTGCAAGGCTCTTCATGCCGTGTAATGTGCGCTGCAAGATACTGCCTTACTCGGCTCGCTTCGCACTGCAGGTACTTTTTTGCCTGCGAGACGGTTGGACCGAGTTCCGCCAAGCGTCGGCACGGGCCGGCCAGTGGCACAGCACAGTAGCCCAGTATAGGATCAGGTTCAGGTACCTTTGCGTGCTTGGATTGGGGAGCCAACAGAGGGCGAGGGCGGTTGGTGGTGCGACTGGTCGCCTGCATGCGTGGAGGCGGGCGGCTAGTCCCAGGGCCGACACGGTCGATATCTGCATCCAAAACCGTACTCGGCAATAGTTGCATTTTGCTATTTTTATTTTTCCATATTTTTTTTTCTTTTTTTAGTCCTGCTCGCAGCATCCAGGGGGGATGGTATAGTAGCTGTATGGAACTGCTGTAAGCTACAGCTGTACAAAGTACCTACAGTGCATGCACATAACAAGCACGTTTTCATGCGTATCTACGGAGTGCTGCAGTACCTGCTGTACACGATCGAGGCAAACAATGGAACAGCAACTCGCTTCTCTCCGCCCCCGCAAACGCCACAGAAAGCGGAATAGCCTTAGTACTATTGACTAATTGATGCCACTACAGACAGGTACCAACTTGTGCAGACGCGGTGCTCGTACAGGTACAACCAAAAGGTCCTGCTAGTGCGCGACGAAACAAAGTGCAGTGTTGTATTATAGGTATTAGTAGTGTGCGAGTACAGTTGTTTAGGTACTGTAGGTACGTGTACCCATGCTGGCGTCATTCACGCGGTGCTTACGCACCCTCTCGCAGCATTGCTCTGTATATCTGCCGCGCTGATAAGCGATACCTCACTGCTCACCTCAACCGGCCCTTCGCTTCGACACAGCCCACACACCGTTCTCTGTCTCGCCTTGGCCAAGTCTCAACCGTGCATGGCAATTGCACAGCACCTGTATCATTGATATCACACCCATCATATTATCGCATGGACGAGGCGTCGGAAAAGAGACGGCTCCTACGGCCTGCGTCTCCAAGCGGAGGATCAAGCTCGCTAGAGCCTCCGCCGTATGAGGTTCCGGCCTATCCCAGGCGACCGCGCCATCGCCGGCTGTTTGCGCAGAGCATGCTGTCCGTCAGGACGGGCTTGAGCGTTGTAGTTGCTGCATCCGTGCTCTGGCTGTGCTTCGCCGTTGATCGCCAGTACCGAGCTCAGCAGCATCCCGGCGGGAAAGCTTCGCCGAAGCTGCTGCAACGCTTTGAAGAGGCGCTGGCGCAGTGTCAGGGGCTGGAAAAGGTCCCCGGCAGGCCTGCGCCTGGCTCTCGACAAAGCAACCCGCGATGGTCGCCGACCAATGGCCAAACTGGGACGGTTGTGTTGAGAAACGCAACCCTGTTCGACGGCGAGGCTTTCGTTCCCGACGCCGTCGACATTGTCTTCTCCAAGGGTCTCATTGAAGCCATTCACAAGACGTCGGACAACAAGGCCATTGTAGGCGACAGCGTCGTCGAGTACAACGTCCACGGCCGATATGTCACCCCCGGTCTCGTTGACATGCACTCACATCACTACATTAGCACATGGCCAAGCACCGAAGTGAGCGATGACGCCAATGAAGTGAACCCGGAAACTAAAGCATTTACCCCAATGGTGCGCGTGATTGATGCTCTGAAGCCTTACGATGAAGCCGCCACGATAATTCTATCGGGTGGTGTCACGTCTTCGCTCATCATCCCCGGCTCGGCAAATCTCATTGCTGGCGAGGGTGTGCCTGTAAAGAACGCGCTCTACTCTGGAGAGCATTCTGAACCTGTTGTTGAAGATTTGCTTCTCGAGAGAGGAGTACCTGCAGGCGAGCGCCGTCGGTACATGAAATTTGCATTTGGTGAAAATCCAAAGGGCACATGGGGATATACTCGACTTGGCAACGGCTGGCACCTGCGAGAACAACTGCAAAAGGCCAAGGAGCTGAAAGAAAAACAGGATGATTACTGCTCTGCCATTCTGGAGAACCACCACTGGCATGATAGTCTCAAGGCTAGCTTTATTCACCATCATGGAAAGTTTCCATTCCAGCTAGAGCTTGAATCAACAGTGGCCATTCTTCGGGGACAAGTCATTGTACAGAACCACAACTATGAGCCGGAAGATATAGAGACTATGCTTCGGATAAGCCACGAGTTTGGGTACAGAGTCTCGGGGTTTCATCATGCTACTGAGGCCTGGAAAGTGCCAAACTTGCTCAAGGAGAAGGGGGACAACGTCACTATTGCAATTTTTGCAGAGTTTAGTCTATACAAGGCAGAGTCATACTCACCGAACCTGTACGCAGGATACATTCTCGATAAGAATGGCGTTCCTGTGGCCTACAAGTCTGATCATGTCATTGGCTTGACGAGCGCCAAGTATTTGGCCTCTCAAGCAGCCATTGGGCATGCCTTCAAGCTTCCGGAGGAAAAGGCCCTTCAGTCAATCACCTCCGTTCCAGCAAAGGCAATTGATCTTGATTTCCGTGTAGGGTACTGTAGGCCTGGTTTCGACGCAGATATTGTGGTGTGGGACTCCCACCCTCTATCAATTGGCGCGACGCCTCTGCAGGTCTTCATCGACGGCCAAGCCCAGCTTGATGAATCTCAAGTCAAGCAGAGCATGGACGTGACATTTACGGCAGCTCGTACTGGAGATGAAAATGACAATATCAAGCCACAGGTGCGGTATGAGATCTCAGATGAGCAGAGAGAATCAACGTGTTCTCAAGCTTCCGAGACTGGCCAAAGCTTCATTATCGAGGGTATTCAGAAAGCGTTTGTTGACAACTATCCAGAGCTGGCAGCCTCGCTGGCACAAGTTGGCGATGAGCCTCTCAAGCTTATTGTTGAAGACGGGGAGATTTCGTGTTTCGGCTCAGCTGTTACATGCGCAGAGGCTGGAAGCAGGTTCGAGCAAAAGGGAAAGAAGGCTCTTCACATATCTCTGCAAAACGGACATGTCCTGCCAGGGTTGACGGCCCTCACTCGGGCCCTGGGTATGACCGAGATTGCCATGCTGGACAGCACTGGTGATGGCCAGGCGTCGGGTCAGAGAATCGGGGATCCTGAGAGCGTGGTCTACGCAAAGTACGGAGTTTGGCTTGATGGGAAGGAGTTTGCGAGGGCCCGTCTTGGGGGTGTCACCAGAGCAATCTCGCTCCCGCTGGCAGATGCGTCTGGCTTTGTCCAGGGCGTCAGTGTAGAGTTTCTTACCAGCGGTAAGAAGAGCCTTACGGACGGAGGTATCGTTCAGGGTGACGTGGCTTTGCATCTGGCTCTGGGCGATGCCACCAAGCATTCGGAAGGCACAGTTAGCAACGGCATTGCTCATCTCCGGAAAATGCTAGAGGACGGGAAGGGAAAACATAATGAGACCGTGTACGGGCGAGTGGCGGCGGGCAGATTGCCGCTCGTTGTGAACAGCAACAACAAGGTGAGAAGGTTCGATTCCAACTATTCGGAATGAATAGATCTGCTAACTTTGGGAAACTTCCTAGTATGACATGTCTCAGCTGGTCCTCGTCAAGAAAGACTTTCCCGAGACCAATATTGTGATACTTGGTGGCAAGGAAGCGCCCTACGTAAGTAGTATCTATCTAGAATACTCGGTAATGGCCAGGTACTGACACTTGTTGATTAGGTGGCCAAAGAGCTTGCTGCTGCCAACATCTCCGTCATCCTCTCAGAGAATCGGCCTGCTCCTGATACTTTCCGCGACAAGGACGCAGTTGTCGGGCCGCCTCTTACTAGAAGCATAGCCAGCCATCTCAAGGAGGCTGGCGTGACATTTGCTTTGGCTATCTTCGAGACTAGTGAGTATTGCCCCGTGACATCAAGTTACATTATCGCTGTTGTAGAAGCTCTCTCACTGACTTACATCTTTGTAGCAATGCCGGCGGACTATCGCATTCACGATCTAGGTCCAGAGGCCGGGTGGGCGGCCAAGTACGCTCATCTCAGCCAAGAAGAGACCGTTCGACTTGTGACTTCGAATGTTGAGTCGATTTTGGGGCTGGAGAAGAGTAGGGATTTGGTGGTGTTTGAAGGCAATCCCCTGAATTATGGCGCTTCCGTCGTGCTTTCGTTTCATGCTAATGGGGAGACTGGCAAGCTGGAAGTTGCTACTTGCTTCCCTAGGGAGGATGAGCATGGAAGCGTCCTGCGGTAGAGGCTGTCTTTCTTTCAGTGTATCTTGATCATCTATTACATAGGTACCTATCATACTTGTCACCAATAATATGTCGGAATTATAGCAGCTGATGGCTACCTACCCTACAGAAATAAAACATCAACCACCTTATGGATACCAAATACAGGTAAGCGATGCTATCATCGGCAAATATTATAATGGAGTAAAGTTCTTTACTACCAGTGTGTTTCTCTGGTGGTCTTGGCTATTTATTTAGTTGGTACGGTACCATGCTTTAAATCATTTTCGCATCATCAAGAGTAAGCGCTTCTACCGATGCTGAGACCGGCGAATACTGAAATGCTTCTCGATTGCCGGCAACTCAAAGTTAGGGAGACGAACCCACGAAAAGCAGGTGTCATCGGAGTAAGCAACAATAAAACATTTGGCTCTTGAATCCCGAGAGCCAAGTTGGAACGATTCTAGTCTTTTGCTAGCACTAAAATCATGCGATTACATGAACCTCTGTAAAGAAAGGTACGGAGATACCTACACGTAAGCACAGATACAAAGGCGGTGCACCAAAAAAAAGAAATCCTAGAGAAAGTAAAAAACTCGTAGCGAGGTAACTTCCCATCCAGGGCTTTCCAAATGGAAGAAGCGGCACTCTGCGACAATAGGACGTACAGATTTGGCAGGATGGAGATCGGTGGAAGGGGCGATCAATGCGTGCTATTCCCTGTTTCGTACGTTTTCGCGATTTACTTCCCAATGGGTCATTACTAAGGGCCTTAATTGTGGGTGCTTTTGTATTAGGTATTACATGATGCGACCCCCTGACTGGCGGCAGGCGAAGAAAATAATAATAATAAACACTACTGTATTATGCGAGTTTGGAGCTGAGTAGTAATCTTGCAAGTCTGGTGTTGAATAGGTATAGGTAGGAGTATGCTTATGAGGAGTTTTGCTGCGTCCTTCCTATTCCATGGGAGAGGGTAAGAGATGCAATGGGGTACGAAGGGTGCAGAGTGCGCAAAGATGCCGCGACGGCTCCGAAGGCTTCAGTTCTTTTGCGATGATGGCCTCATTTTTTTTTTTTTTTTGTTCTCGAGAGATAGGAATGGTGAGGAGTCGCTGTTGGTGAGACGACATCTACCTACCTATTACGTAGTGGAGGCTGTGATGTTGGTGCACGTACAGCAGTTCACCCATTCACCTCAACATCGCTATCCGTTTCACCAGGACATCAGCTGGTAATGACAGAGCCACGAGAATGTGGGAGAACTGATCACTTTGTCTGCCCTCTGTTTGCTTTGACAGTATTGCTTTGTTCGTGCTAACGCCCAACGAGTGTCGTGTCTGCCCTTTAATACAAATGCAAACCTCTTCACAGATCCCAGAGGATAAATCCAGCGCACACGTGTGAATTATTGGCGCCAAGCCCGGCGGCTAGCAAGCCAGGGAGCTCGTGCATGGCCCCATATCTATTCATTGTCTGTTATGAGTAGTTGACATTCTCACCTGATTCCAAGACCAGGGGAAGAAGGGGAAAATGAGAAAGTGACTGGGGAGGGGCCAACACTTGTGAGCCATCTGTATAGATTACCTGTACCACAGTAGAGCGGGTATGACAGCCGTGGCCCGAATGGAAAGTCCTAGCCTGGCTCCGTCTTTGAGTAGGTTGGGAGTTGTAATATACAGGTCCCACGGTAGTACTTGTTTGTACACCGCTTCGTTTGGGTTACCCCTCTCTCTTTTCATTTGAACTCAGTTCGACGGGGTCTAGATTGGAAAAGCGGCAATCTTTCCGATATTGTTGGTTGGTACACGACAGATGAAGCCGCCATGAAATGCGAGGGGACGAATCAGCAATCGATGAGGATTCCGTCTTGTGGAGGGTGGGCGGCAGACTCTATCCCTACATTTGTCGTTAGTAGCACCAATAGATAGTATTGGTTTTCAGATATTTGACAAAATTTTTAGGCCAGACTGAATTCTCAGCAGACGTACTCCGTAGGTTTCGTCATATAATCTATCATGCACTTTGGCCAGTCTTGTGCCTAAACATCTTGGATACTTTTGAAGTCGTATATCAAAAACATGTAACCTGTAGAAATCCACAACAGAAGATGGTTCATCACGCCCATGATGCTGAGAGCTGATGTCAACTACATACTTACCCTACAATGAATGCACTTCCATCGCTTGGCGGTTTACAGTTGCCGTTATGCTCGTATGCTTAATCGGCCACCGTCTGACAATTTCCTTCTCCATCGCCTCGCCCCCAACTCTACCTTAACCTTTGCCCTTATTCCCGCCAAGGCCCTATTATCTGATGGGCGACCACGGAGGTACGTACCCGTAAGCAACGTTGAGCCTGCCATTCGGCCGAAAGCAGTAAGAGGCAGCCATGGCAGCCAATCGGCTAAGGCGTTGCGGTCACCAGCGCTAGTGCGTTTCAAAGGCATGGAGGCCCATCTGGACTAACTTGTTCGGTGTGAATGGAGTCAGGCACAGCAGCAATAGGAGTAGCGCAGGCTGTTTGGTCCAGGAACGGGGGACGGAAAAATCAGAAGAGGCAAAGAATAGGGAGGGGTGGTACGGAGTGCTATGGGGCTTTGTATGGAGCAGTGTGAAGTAGAGGCAAAATAAGTCAAGCACAAACCAACATTGCTCCGTACTCCGTGTCAGTCACTGGCTTCATCAGGAGGCTTTTACAGTAAAAATGTACCTATCTGGGAGAGGATACTGCAGCAGTTGGGGACGAGCGTGACCGGGGATGGGGAATTGGACAAGATGGGGCGTGGCAAATAGGGGAACAACCATGGATGTTTATGTGAACAAGCACAGGCAAACAGGCCAAGCAAACACGAAGACAATTGCAAGTCGAGAGGCTGGGCGGCACAGCTCCGTGCTTTCACCTGTGCTTTCATCTGTGCTAGCAATAAACCTCGCAAAATTTCACGCCTCCGCGTTTCCGATATAGTCCCCTTGTATACAAGAGTAATGGCCACGGCGAGGGGCATCCCGGCACGGAGTCGGCCTCGGGGCATCTCGCCTTTCGATATCCACAGGGTGGCGCTTGTCTACCTGATCACAGATGGCTACATGTACGGAGTACGTACAGCTGGACAGCCCAAGGTTTTACAATTGCTGCTAGCACCAGGCTACGCGCGCCATGCCATGTCGCCGGAAGCACGGCCGACGCCTCTCTTGGCTTCTCTCGGTGCCTGCCTTAGCCGCGCCCCTAAAGTTGGACGAAATGTCAGGCTCGGAACGAACATACGGGGTAAAGAAGCAGTGTGATGGGTGACGCAGGCCCACAGAGGCTCGGTCCAGGCCACGACAGTCGCCATGGACCAGGGATGGATTCGGTTATCACCACCGATGGACTATCGTTTTGTTCGATTCCATCGATCCGTAATTTCAGCAGAATCAGTTGACCTGGCTGGATAGATTGACGGGTCATTTACTCAAGACTTCTGGAAGCTGTGGACCGATGAGTGATTACTTTGTACACGTACATAGTAATATGGTGGGAGACCCCATTCACATAGATTGAGACTAGGTAGGAATTGATAAACATGGCCGACACCAAAAGGGCAGTCCAGGAGGGGGAAACAACAATCAAAACAAAAAAAGGGGCGGAAAACGGCAATCTGTTTCCAGGTCAGCTTGGTAATAAATGCAGAGCTGAAAAAAAGTAGACAGGATTTCTGATACATGCCAGATGCAAGGAGGCCAACATGGCTGACGTAGAGTTTCTTTTTTTCCTGCAGCCACACCAATAGTTTGGCTGCAGCAAACAACACAACAGAGCACACAAAACAACAGATAACAATAGTAACCCCCCCTCAAAAAAGTAAAAATAATTGAAAAATAAGCAAAAAAAGGGCTGCAAGTAGGATAACACTGCATGCGATAGCGCTCATGGGCGGTAAGGATCGGCCAGCCAGTCAGATTTGTCGGCGCATTCGGATCCCGGTCCAGCAAACAGAAAGATTGGTGTTTCAGATCTGCACATTAGCGCCCAGCCACGCAGGAAACGTGGCCGTCAACCGACCAGAGAATCTGGGCAAATGATTCGATTCCGAGCCAGTGGGCGTCTAAGTGGAGAGTCCTTTGGGCGAAGAGCGAAGCGCCGGCCAAACTGCCACCTGAGATGCCAATTTTAACGTGCAACGGCTAGTCTGGAGTAGATGACAGTTGCGATTTTGGTGAGCGATGGGAGGGGGGGTTTGTTGGATGACAGCTCGGTGCTAGACAAGGACTAACACGCAAGGCTCGTAAACAATCCATCGACTGTTCTGGGTGCTGTGCCTGAATCTGTCCATGTACGAGCACAGTACATGCAGTCTGGTCACATATAGACTTTTTCACATTCGAGGGATATAATTTTTGCGGCTCGCAAGCTTGAAACATGAAACACTTTGGCTGGCCCCCGCCGCCGCCTTATGCCCAATCACGCCCGGCGTTTGCTGGAAAAGGTTCTGAGCCCTTATGCAGGTACAGAGTAAGAGCCGCGTCCTAGCTCATTAGACGGAGCCTGCAATGGAGTCTCTCTCCTTGGTCTGTCCGGGTACTCGCCACTCCGTCTCTGGGCTTTGCTGACTGGGCTGGAGAGGTACTCTGTACTCGGGACAAGTACATGCTTGTATGCATCTCTAGATGTGATGGTGTGATGAGGAGATGGGGGATGAGGTAACCTGAGGTACCGGTATCTTTGCTTCGATGCACGAGTAAGTCTGCCTCGTGCTTGCGGAATATTCAGGTCCATACTCGTACATGCGTGTACCCTCTGTGTAACCCCGTAGGACTTTTTGCTTGTGTGCTCAGCACAGTCTCAGCCATCTTACACGTCGTTGTGATACCTCTGCTGTACTTGGCCATGGCCAAACCACATGCACCCATCTTACTCGTATACTCGCCCATGCGCGGGGGCCCCTCAGAGCACAGCATGATTCATGTCTGGGCTGTTGAAAGAAATGGAAAGAAACAAAACAAAGGGACAAAGGATACCTGCTTATTCGCCCTCGTATGGGCTAGACCCTATGCGAAATATGGCCGTGATTTCTTTAATCTATTTCTCATTGCCTACGGATCCGGGCCTGGCCAGCCTGCAGCCCCCTCGCCGGGCTTCTGTCTCGACACACAGTGGGATGCCGGCTGCTGGCGCCAGGGGCTCGACAGGGGACAAGGGCCCTGAAGGCGCAAATCCCCGGTTAGGCGCAGTGCTGTGCATCCACCACAAGTGCTTGGCTTGCGATGGCAATTCTAGCAGCCCAGGCCCTTGTTCCTTGTTTGCAGCGCAACGCAGCCAGGACAGGACAGGAACTCCTTCGGCCCCACTCCGTAGAATCGTCCCCACGCCCCTCAAGATACCCTCACCTCTCACCTCTCACTCTCTCCCCCTCTCTCGATTTTTCTATTTTATCCTCATCGCCGCCGGATCCTTCTCTCGGTTTTTTTTCTTTCTTCTCCAGGCCGCTTCTTTCCTACATCTCAAAAGTTGCTGGGCACTTCCTCTCCTTTAAATCGTTTTCGATACAATTTGGCATTTCTTTTCGCTCTTGTATCATTCCATTCCTTCGTCACGACAGACATTCGACATTCTCTCGTGGTTTATACACATTCGTTTCAAGGTGCTCAGGTATCACCGCTGCAACTATTTTCAACCGTCCTAGCGACCTTGCATAGCTCGTCGAAAGCATTTCCTCGATTTTGATACAGTCTCGTTTTCTTAAAGTCACGGATCTTTCAATACTTTCAATATGAAGTTCTCTACCACCGCGGCCGTTGCTGCCATGGCTGGCGTTGCCGCCGCCAAGGACAGCCGAACCTTTGCTGTTCTGCGATTCACCAACAAGGGCTTGGTCACCACTCGTGCTGATCCCATTGTCAACCCTGGTGTTCCCTCTGGACACGTCCACAACGTTCTGGGAGGCAGCGGCTTCAGCTTCAGCTCCACCGGTGAGGAGCTCCTCAAGTCCAACTGCAGTACCGCTCTCGTCAAGGGTGACTACTCCAACTACTGGTACCCTACCCTCTACTTCCACGACCCCAAGACGGGCAACCTCGAGTACGTTGACGTCTACTACACCAACGTCTACTACTTTTTCGAGGCCACCAACGACCAGATCAAGGCTTTCCCCACTGGTCTCCAGATGCTGGCTGGTAACTCCATGTCCCGCACTGTTCCCGCTGCCGGCGGTGGTGACCAGCTCGACCCTTCCAAGGGCCCCATTGGCAACGTCCAGTTCACTTGCCCTCGTACCAGCTACAACCCTCCTTCATACCCCGTCGGCTCTGACGGCTCCAAGGCTGGTATGGTCGACCCCAACAACCAGGGCGCTGGTGTTGGTTTCCCCGATGTTACTTGCGATGGCATGTACTCTCCTCTCCGTCTGGACATCCACTTCCCCTCTTGCTACAACCCCAAAGCTGGCCTCACCAACTACAAGGAGAACACTGCCTTCCCCACCGATGCTGGCAACGGCAAGCAGGACTGCCCCCCTGGCTGGATTCACACCCCTCACATCTTCTTCGAGGTCTACTATGACACTCAGCCCTACAAGGGCCGCTGGACCGAGAACCAGGGAACTCAGCCCTTCGTCTTCTCCACTGGTGATGTTACTGGTTACTCTGGCCACGCTGACTTCATGGCTGCTTGGGACGAGGAGCTTCTCCAGCACATCATCGACACTTGCGATGCTGGTGACGCTGGTATGGACCAGTGCCCCGGTCTCTTCTACGGTCTGAACAAGGGTGACTGCACCATCCCTCCTCTGGTCAACGAGCAGGTTATGGGCACTCTCACCAAGCTCCCTGGTAACAACCCTCTCAGCGGCTTCCAGTACGGCGCTGCCCCTGCTATGCCCGCTGCTTCCAGCTCTTCTGCTCCCGCCGCCTCCAGCAAGCCTGCTGCCCCTGCCTCCAGCAAGCCTGCTTCTTCTCCTTCCAGCAAGCCTGCTGCTCCCGCCTCCAGCAAGCCCGCTTCGTCTCCTTCCAGCAAGCCTGCTGCTCCCGCCTCCAGCAAGCCCGCCTCGTCTCCCTCCAGTAAGCCCGCTTCAACTCCCGCCAAGACTATCGAGTCCAACCCTGCTTCTTCTCTCCCCGCTGCCGGTGGCAACTCCCAGTGCAGCGGCGCCAATGTCCACACCGTTACTGAGACCATTACAGTCACCGCTGGCACTCCTGCCGCCTCTTCTGCTCCTACCAAGGGCAACTCTGCTGCTACCGTCGGTGGATACACCTACGCTGGTTGCTACCAGGACAACATCGGCCGTGTTCTCACCGGTGATATCCTGCCTAACCTTGGCCCCATGAGCAACGACAAGTGCGTTGCCAACTGTGTCAAGAAGGGATTCTCCATCGCTGCTACTGAGTACGGTGGTCAGTGCTACTGCGGCAACGAGCTCGTTGGCTCTGCCAAGCTCGCCGAGTCCCAGTGCAGCATGGCCTGCGAGGGTGATTCCAAGGAGGTCTGCGGTGGAAGCTGGGCCATCAGCGTCTACAGCAAGACTGGCTCTGTCACCCTCAAGGCCGCCAAGCGCTCTGAGCACGTCCACCGCCACCGCAGCCTCCGCAAGTAAGGGGTTGTTGCTGGCTATTTCGGTGCACTTGGGGTTATGATCTGAGTGTTACGGAGTATTTGGTTTGAAGCGTTGCATGGGATTCCGATGGGTTTATGGTAGCGGGATCTGGAAAGGTTGGGTCAGCAGCAGGTATGATATCTGCTGACCTTTGGGGTGATTGTTGGATATTTCGATTCTTCCGTGTATTTTTTGATGACATAATTTTTACGATTCTTGGTTTACTATCTGGCAAGTCAGTTAGGAGCCTCCCGCGAGGGATTTCAAAGCATTTATCAATCGAGGTCTATGAATGACTGGGTCTTATAGAGTCTGAATAAAAGTTTATGAGCAATTCACAAAAAATAAGTAACCAATTGGTGGTGCAGTAGTGACACAAGTAGAAATTCCACATAAAGATGATGTAATCTGTGACTGAATTCCATCGTACTCTCTGGCGCACATGTGATATTTCGCACCTATAATTTGTTGCATGTGTTTGTCTGTCATGACGAAGTTGAAGTTGGGATAAGGCTGGTAGACTAAAGCGGGTGAGGCGCCTGGGCTGGGATGGCGGCTGAACTACGGCTAATTTCATATTTTACATTTCTCATTGCAGGACCTCATGTCACAATATGCTACTCAACCCTCTCTATTTTTTTCTCTTCTCTTCCCACAGCCTCAATTTCTTTTCTCCCCTTACTATAAGGGTGTTTTTGTGGAAATGTCGCTTTATCATGAGGCAGCAGAGATTTTATCCTCATCATCAGACGCAAGCGGAAGCTTGAAATCACGAGTTTTTGGCAAGAAGAAGGGCAAAGCACCACCCGGACAGCTGTACGCCCTCGTGTTGGAGAGCGCAAAATGGAGTCCGGTTTTGAAAGAAGTAATTGAAAAGGCAGAGATTTTGAAACTGGAGCGAAAGGTAAAGACAAGAGAGGCGTCCGAATGATGTTTGGATCTACCCGTGTTGAGTTGAGTGAAGGGCTTGTGAGTGCTAACTTTTTTTTTCTTCTCTCTTCAATGGGTAGCTTACGCCCACACTAGCTTTGCTACTGGTGCATGATTTATTACTTGCCAAGGGAGGGATTGCACTGCCCCAGAGCCATGGACTGAGAGCATCGATAGAGCGCCACAAGGCGCGCCTCAGCTCGGAATTTACGAGGGCGAGAATAAGAAGAAAGGCGGCGACAATGGACGTTCTAAAGGAACAGGTCGAAAGAACGTCTGCGGGAGAAGAGGCCAATTACCCAAGATGGGTGCGCGTCAATGCTCTCAAAAGCAGCGTGGAGGAACAGCTGGAGACAACCTTTTCGAAACACACCAGAGCCGAGAGCATTCAAGATATTATGAGCAAGCCAGGCAGACACATTTACATTGACCCTCATGTACCGAATTTGCTTGCAATCTCTGCTGGTATGGACTTTGCAAAGGTGGAAGCCTATACTTCTGGGAAAATTATCCTACAAGACAAGGCATCGTGTTTCCCCGCGTATCTGCTGGATCCGCGATCTGAGGACGGAGATGTTATCGATGCTTGTTCTGCCCCAGGGAACAAGACTACGCATCTCGCGGCCATTCTTTACAAGCACCGTCCGGAGTTTGAAGACGCTCCTCAGACAATCTACGCCTTTGAGAAGGACTCAAGAAGGGCTCAAACGCTGGAAAAGATGGTCAAGATTGCCGGGTCAAAGACTATCACTCGAATTGGGTTCGGGCAGGACTTCCTTCAAGTGGATCCTACGTCCGAGAAATACAAGGATGTGGGAGCTTTGTTGTTGGACCCGAGTTGTTCAGGCAGTGGTATCGTTGGTCGAGACTCAATGCCCGAGTTACACCTCCCAGATCCGCCGACGGAGAGCCGTGGTGGCAAGGGGAAGCCAGGCGCCGCCAGCACGAACAAGAAGAAGAGGAAACACGAGGAAGTTGAAGAGCCCGCACAAAACGTGCTGGTAGACGATGATGGCAATGAGACTGTGGTGAAGTCGGAAAAGGACCTGGAAGCACGGCTGGAGGCGCTCTCGGCATTCCAGCTGACGCTCCTACTGCACGCATTTCGATTCCCCCGAGCAAAGAAGATTACTTACTCAACATGCTCAGTTCATTCACAGGAGAACGAACGAGTTGTTATTAGGGCCCTGGCATCGGACATTGCAAAAGCCAAGGGATGGCGTATTCTGCGGCGAGAAGACCAGGTGAGTGGGCTAAGGGACTGGCCGGTCCGGGGACTGGCCGAGGCCGCAGAAGGTGACGAGACAGTTGCGGAGGGTTGCATACGGTCCTATAAGGGGGATGGCCATGGGGTAATGGGCTTCTTTGTTGCCGGATTCGTGCGGGATTCGGTCGATATAGGGGAACAATCTGCGGGAGGGGCGTCTATTGATGTTAGCGGGGATAATGGCGAGGGGCCATATCTCCGTGACGACGATGGCCGGATTTTACGGGATGTCATTGGCATGCCTGTCCTCAAGTCCACGGAAAGGCCTGTCTCTCTCCACGGAGTGGATGAAGGAGAGGGGGTTGAAGTAGATGAGATGGAAGAAGAAGAAGAAGAAGAAGAAGAAGAAGAAGAAGACGAAGAGGACGATAGCGAAGATGACGATGACAGTAATGGCGGAGGTGAAGACGAGTGGGAAGGCCTTAGCGATGCGTAGTCTGGCGCCAAAGGCGTCTAATAATACAAAACTGCATCCCGTTGAGTTTGGTGTACCTTGTAATACTCCCACAGCCAATATTATTTACTTTTAACTGGATTTCCTCAATTGATTTGGTGCTAGTAGCTGCACGCTGGCACTTTGATCCTTGTTTAGTTCTATGAAGTACGAGGTTGGACGATGAGTTGTATCCCTGGCAGTGAATTATTGGCTCATAGAAAGAAATTTTTGAACATGAAATGAGTCATTTGTCAGTTGCTTTGTGTGATTGAGGCACAGATGTAGCAACGTACAAGTAGGTCCAAAGATAAGCGGTTTGCCTTGGATAGTGGACCGTGTGCTTTGGTATTAGCTCTATTCTCAGTTGGGCTTTGTAGAGCAACGAAATTGGCTGGCAACGTTTCCATAACAGGCAAACTCAGGTAGGTAGGAATTTACGTAGTACTTTAAGTCTACATGTATTTACACGACGTAGACACTTGGATTCGAGTTTGTCGATGTGGCAACAATTATGTGCTTACACAATCGACGCCTGATCAACTGCACCGGACTTCAAATCCGGACTGGAAACGAGCAGACAAACATGAATAATATCATGCTATAAGCGTACTACTAATCAGTTCCTACGTCAGGTGAGGCCCAATTGACGAATTCCGGTGCCCTTTCACGGGTTGCTGCCTGATGACACAACGTGCAGCTTCCTTCACAAAACGAGGCTGTAGCAACAACAAACTGTTTGCCTCGGCACAGCCATGCAAAATCTTGGCATGGATTTTAACTCGTGGGATTAGTGGCATGTTTAATTACCTGAGAGCGATAAGGCTCCGGTGAGGTGCTCCGCTGTGGATAGAATGTTTTGGTGAGAATCTCAAATTTTTGGGGGCCTCTTTTGAGAAGAACACGAGGCGGGTTCCACCGTTGGACAACGCAAGGGCCCAGAATCACAGGCAAGTCGTCGTGTTTTCACATGACGATGGCGAAAAAAAAAAATTAGAAATTTTCTTCGTCTTCATATTTCATCTGCCTCGTTCTTATCTGTCTCGGCAGCTACCGAGCGAAGAAAGGCCCGTCCAAGAAAGATAGTGTCGGGCCGGCTTCCGCAAACAGATCTACTATCAGGCGTCAAGTGGGTTTTTCTTGCTACGAAAAAGGACGCGCCGTGTCCGATGGAGCCTCGGCACATGAGTTTTTGGGTGACGAGATTCAACTTATCGAATGCACGGACGGGCAAACGTGGGACTCGTCGGTCAGTGCGTTTTTTTTTTCTTGGCTGGAAACGGAGGCTGGTTTGTTGTCCGAGAGATTTGGAAAAAATGTGCATGTGGTGTCAGGCCACGAGCCGCGCCCCTTATCGATCGTGGCATGACTAATTGTGGTCTCTCTTCTTTGTGGGTTTGTCTTTTTGGAGATTCAATCCCGTCGGCGTGGATCTAGTGCATCGCCTTAATAATAAAAAAGAATTAAGAATGAAAGACAAAAACAAATACGAGTATACGGAGTATACAGTAAGAAAATTGCGGATGAATAATCGGTGGGGATACTCGTTCCATGCACTTCAGTTTGTCGGTCTGCACGGTTCAATGCGTTCGTACTTTGTTCCCCTGCACGGGTACATGCGCCGTAGAAATGCCGTGGAACTAAGAGAGAAGAAAAAAAGCACGCTTCACTTCACCAGAAGCACACCAGGAAACACAAGTTGATCCTTGTCCGCGAAGCTTATTACCCAAACGGGCGATGGCCAAGACAAAATGCTCCGAAGTTTTTTAGTCAGCCGCATTTAGTGGACAAAAGGGAAGAATAAGACGGGCAAAATGGAATCAAGAAAACAAGAAACAAATAAGAGGCGGAACGGGAGCCGCTTTTCAATAAAAGAAAAAAGAATAAAAAGGAAAAAAAAAAAGGGAGACGGCTTGGCGCTGGCCCCACAAAAAGTACCCTCTTCCTTCAATGGCATGGCAGGATCTCCACGTGCCAAACAAAGTTTTGAGCTACTCCACTGGGGCTAGCGCCGCGGCAAAAGCGGGGCCGGGTGTGATGGGTGGTGCAAAAGTCCGCGGAGTTTCCATCGTCTTGCCAGCAAAAAGGTGACGAGTTTGGCTTTTGCTACGCGCTTCTTTGGGGTCGTTGCCTTTCGGAATTCCGCCTTATTACTCACTTGCCCGGGGCGTTTGGTTTGAGATTTGTTGGCTTGCCTTCGTTTTGCGAGTCCGTTTTAGGCTCGGGCTGTTGTTTTTACTCCGTTGTGGTGCTTGAGATGGACGCATGCGAGTACACGACCGCAGACGTGTGGAGTTTGGGGCCGTGTTGGATGCTGATATATGCCCAATATTGATTGCTATGGATCACAGAACCTGGTCACTGGGACGGAGATGCGGCGACGAGGGCTCCGGGTCCGAAGACTGTATTACCGAAGTCAAAAAACATATTTCCGATGCAATACGCACGCTGTGCTCATACGGGCTCTGTAAGTCGTAATCCTGTCTCGTCAAGGATCGACTAAAAGGATTCTGTACAACTGTTTAAAACTACGTAAACATTGATACGCACAACACTTGCTGCAACCATACAGGTGTGACAGTATTACATCTGTCCAAGCTTGTCCTAGCTGTAGGCCGAGATACGGGAAGTTTGATATATTAAAAAAAAGAAGGATCATCACCAGAAGCGGGCTGATGGCGCGCGGTGCTTGGTAATAGCCCTGTTAGCCTGTACTCGTGATTGCAACTTGCAAACTATCTGACAACTTGTACTTGCGCACGACGCAGTTTGTCAGCGTCCGGCAATCGACACGTTGAGACGGACTTCGGGCGCGGCTCCGGGTTGGTGGGACTAGATGCCGGAGATTGTAGATGCCAGCGACCGGGATTTGTTTTGCGTTTTCTCATCTTGCTTGGCAGCGTTGCAGTTGCGTGTTGATCTGAAACGTGCCTTATTTTCAGTGTATCCTGAGAGATAGCCGCAAATGCCTCTTTTCCGATGTGGCTTGGGTTCGTCTGACATCTAAGCGGGCATTTAGGCGGGGGGGAAAGGGATTTTCTATTCTGCCCTTGCTGAGAACAAGAGCCGTGACCGGGGGACACGCTCCGTCATTCGCGGAATGCTTTTTTGGAGAACTGATCGGTTCCCTCCCTCATGGGGCTTGGGGGACGGTAGCCTGTGAGGGGGCCATGTTACATGATTGGCACGGAGAAAGAGGTCGACACCCATGAGCTGTGTTGTTGGTAGCAACGAGCTACGAAGGATTTGGTTGGAGCGTTGCATTGGGCAAGCGTGCAGCTGCAAGGTGATGTGCATAAAAGAAGAGGCGTATTGATTGATAGGCAGCTATCTTGGCTGCCAGCCGGTCCATGTAAGGGGGCCAGCATTTGTCATTGCTACCGTGTATACAAAATAGCTACATTGGGTGGCAGTTATAATAAACATGAAGGAATTCTCCGCCCCTCCTATCTCCTAAACGAGACGAGCATACTACATAGTAAGGCGTTAATAAGGCGGAGCAGGCTGATGGATGCTTCGATTACATCCATACGGATATACGAAGTACAGCAGTAATACGGGCGGGCGAGTTGCGGCGTGGGGCCGTTGCCTGTATATATGTATGTTACCAGCCTGTCTTGAATGGAATCGAAAAAAGAAACACAATTAGTTCCTAAATGGCTCAAGACTGCCTCTCAGCTGCTCTTGGTAGTTAAGTCATATACATTCCAGCAAAAAGATGGCTTTTATTGTAAATAGTTTAATATGCAGTATTACAGCACGACACTACAGGATTCAACACGAGTTGTACGAGCCGAGTTGTCAATGTTGTACTCGTACATACGTCATGCCGTGCACAAAAGTCGAATCCTGCATTCGGCCGAAGCAAAAACCCGGCGTGGCTCCGTGGCGCCATCCAAGCGCTGGCCAAGTCCATGGACTTTTGGCGCTGAACTGTAGTGCAGTTCTGGTGGTGCCTGTCCTTAAGCGTACAAACAGGGAGTTAGCGGCGGAGAATGGAGATAGAAGAGCGCTGAGGCTCCCGAACCATCCCCAAGCGGCCTAGCGACTCGCATCGGCTAGTCCCGACTGGGCACTAACGGCTCGCGGCTTCAGATTGCGCACCTCGTCGAGCATTTCCCACTTGCTCTCATCGCTAATAACCGCTGTTATCTCCACCAAAGGGCGCAATACTGCTCAAACCCGAATCCCTTGTCTAATTCCACTTTGTCCGGTTGCTGATCTGATCATGCAGCTTCTGCAGCTCCATCCCAGCTCTGGTGGCTTGGCCCGCCAGATCAGGTCCGCTTGGCGTCGAGTCCCTGGCCAGGCTTGTCCTTTTGCCTGCTTCCTTTTGCCTGTTTATAAGAAAAGCATCCGGCACTACTGTTGCAAGCATCCAATTATCCCGTCCTCCAACCCTCCGGACCTGGACCTACTGCACAGTACAACCGCAACAACAATCGTGCCAACCTCGACGACTCTTAAAGACAGGCCCCCCCCTTCCCCGGTCAACAACCAGCCTCGTCTCCTGACTCGTTCCTCTACTCTATTGCTTTGCTCTCTTTCGCCTTCCCGTCTCTCATCTCTCCACAGCCTCGCACCATTGCCGGTCTGCCGAGGCCCAACGGCGTTCTAGGCCGAATTTGCTTGCCAAGGGGCTTCATTTGTCAACAGCAGACACCATTGTGGAATCACTCGCCCGGACGATTCAGCTAGGGCTTGGACGACACCCACCGCTTCCCGCTGACGGAGTTCCACAAGATTAGGTTGTATTTCAGGGAGGTAAGTCAACATGTAGCTGAGCATTGCTCAACCCCTGTCCCTATGTACGGAGTATAGTACCACCTTATTATATACAAATACATGCCCCCGGTGCCCTCTCATGATCTGACACTGATGCAGGCTTCTCACACCAAAAAGCTGGGCTGTCGGCGATTCAATCTAAGGTTTTTGGCTGGCACATCTACTCCGCATTCTCTAAGCGACCATCGCTACGCACCATAACCGCAACCATGGCCGACGAAAAACCTTCCATGCCGGAGCAGACGCCTCATCCGCCTTCCTCTTCATCAGCATCTGCCTCGTCTGCCACTGTCACGACGCCCGATCACGATGTCGAGTCTCAGCAACAGGCCATTTCTGCTGAAAAGGTCAGCCACTGGAGAGTGCTCCTCGATCAGACCGGTGTTACCCAGCAAGTCCTGGAGTACAACTACGGCGGTCAAGGTACCACAGAGTCCCCATATCTCGTCGAATTCATCCCTGGCGACAAATGGAATCCCATGGCCTTCAAGGACTCATTCAAGTGGGCCATTACTCTCATCCAGGCCAGCGCCACCCTCTCCGTCTCATTCGCCAGTTCTGCCTACTCAGGTGGTGTGAGGGAGATCATTGAGGAGTTCAACATCTCCACAGAGATCGCCATTCTAGGTGTTTCCCTGTTCGTTCTAGGCTTTGCTATTGGTCCGCTTCTCTGGGCTCCCCTCTCTGAGCTCTACGGCCGCCAAAAGACCTTCTTCATCAGTTACATGGCCCTGGCTGCTTTCAGTGCTGGAGCTGCTGGAAGCCAGAACATGGCCACTCTTGTCGTTCTCCGATTCTTTGCTGGTGCCTTTGGATCGTCTCCCTTGACCAACGCTGGTGGTGTCATTGCCGATTTGTTCCAGGCCAAGCAGCGAGGAATTGCCTTCAGTATCTTTGCCATGGCTCCTTTCTTGGGCCCAGCTCTTGGTAAGATGATAATGCCATGTTCAACTTAATCGAGTCGCGTGACATGCTAACTGTGATTAATAGGTCCGATCGCCGGTGGTTTCCTTGGTGAGTCCAAGGGCTGGCGATGGGTTGAGGGCTTGATCGCCATCTTCACCGGTGTTGTCTGGATTGCCAGCTCTTTGGTCTACCCCGAGACGTATGCTCCCGTCTTGCTCCGTCAACGCGCTGCCGCCCTGAGCAAGCGCACTGGCAAGGTTTACATTTCCAAGCTTGAGGAGGGCCAGCCACCCAAGACCATTGGTAGCCAAATCAGTGTTTCCCTCTTGAGGCCCTGGCTGCTTCTGTTTAAGGAGCCTATCGTCCTTCTCATCTCCCTCTACATGGCCATCATCTACGGTACCCTCTACATGTGCTTCGCCGCTTTCCCCATTGTTTTCCAGCAGGGCCGTGGCTGGAGCCCTGGTATCGGTGGTCTCGCCTTTATCGGTATCGCCATCGGCATGACCATTTCCACTGTTGGATCCGTTTTTGATAACAACCGATACATCAAGACTGCCGCCAAGTCCCCTGACGGAGTTGCTGCTCCCGAGGCTCGTCTGCCGCCCGCCATTCTTGGCTCCGTCCTGATTCCCATTGGCTTGTTTTGGTTCGCGTGGACCAACGGCCCCAGCGTCCACTGGATTGTCTCCATTATTGGTTCCATCTTCTTCGCGATGGGTATTGTCTTGGTCTTCCTCTCACTGATGAACTACCTTGTTGATGCCTGTAAGTTGCTACCGTACCCTATCTATTCCCCTTTTGTGATGGCTGCTAATGTTCGTCTTAGATGTTATTTTCGCCGCCTCGGCTCTGGCTGCCAGTTCCGTTCTCCGATCTCTCTTTGGTGCTGCTTTCCCTCTCTTCACCACTTACATGTATCAAGACTTGGGTATCCACTGGGCGAGCTCCATTCCCGCCTTCTTGGCATTGGCTTGCGTTCCCTTCCCCTTCCTCTTCTGGAAGTACGGCGACAAGATCCGTGCCAGGTGCCAGTATGCCGCTGAGGCCGCGGCTGTTCTTGCGAGAATACGAGCCAAGAATGTCGTCGTTACCGAGGACCAAGCCGCCGCAGAAGTCAAGGAGCACGAGCGGGAGAGGCGAGCTAGCTTGGCTCTGCAGAGAGAGCAGAGCCGTGCTAGCCGTGCTAGCCGTGCCTCGCACAAGGCTCGCGAAAACTAAACGGTCCATCCTTCCTAATGGATCACATCTCACCTCAACTTTACTTTCGATTGGATATATCACCACCCCCTTTTTTCTTTTCTATCGACACTTTTGTATTAGCAACATCACAGCAACATAAGCTTGATATGCAGATACATTTACCCCTGGATTTTTATGCAAACATTTCATAGTCATTTCGAAGCGATAGAATATGTTGGCTCACTGTTTTTTTATGGTTCCGAATAATGCCTATGCGGAACGGATATGCATTGATTAATATACATATATAGAATTTTGTCCTCTCTATGACGAGGGCGAAAGCAAAATAGGGTCATGGGATGCGGAGTATATGATGATACCTCTCACAATATTGGGAGGACACGGTCTCACACGTCTGATGTAACGGCTAGGCCACTCTTAGCGTTTTTTTTTTTTTACTCATTTAGACAATATCGTATGGATTGTCGATACCACTATAGCATGTACATAGACAGATTGGAAGACAGAAGAAAAGTTGAATGCTCTAAACAAGGTGGACCTTTGATAAGTGATAAGCAAGTGATGTATGTGGATCCTGTAGTGGTGAGCTGAGGCTCATTACATGAACACCAAATGAAGTCTACCATCAGGGCCACAGACATCATCTTCATAATTACGAGTATACGGAGTAACAGCAGGACAATCTGCAATGCACAAACCAAAAAAAGGAAAAAGGAAAAAAAGAAAAAGAACATACAACAGCCGGTGTTCGCTGATGGTCACCCACTCAACTACTAATCTGCCGGTTAGAGGCTTGTCTAGGGGGGAGCAGACGAGACCCCGAATTGTCCTCTACCTATGGTCGTATGTGATAGGGTCACGAGGGCAACAGACCTAAAAGGAAGCAAGGAAGTTGGCTCAAACAACGCAAAAAAAGTAAAAACATACAACAGCCGCTGACGGGACCCCGAATTTTAAACTGCCTGTGGTCGTATGTGCTAGTGGAGGCTTAGTCCAGGACCATATGCGCATACTTCGACAAGGCTGTCACTGTTGGGGATGATGCGAATTGACTTGAGCTAGAGACGATATCGAGATGCTTAATGCGTCGATGACTTGACAGTGGAGAGGACTGCCCAAAGTCAGGCTTGTATATTCGTGGTGGTGGTTGCTGAAGTTACATGTAGGTTTTAGCCAAAATAAGCCACCGGGCCTAATTGTTCAAAATGCTTCGTGATACTTTCTTTTAATTGGGGCAAGAGAGTGATGCTTTGAGCATTTCAAAACTATTTAATCTCTCAGTTCGTCCTTTCTTCCCTTGAATTCTGTAAGAGTTGGATTTTCCCCCTATATCTTGTGAATCTTGTCGCTCGGCACGATGGAACAGGTGATCAACGCCATGCAAGTCGAGTCGCCAACCTCCACCGCCAGGGGCTTTTCGTGGGACTCGCTACCAGTTGAGATACGCCAACAGACACTAAGCTGGGTAATTTTACCCAGCTCCGGGAAACGGTGCAACGGCCCAAAGGTGGCTCGATTTGCAACAGTGTGCCGGGAATGGCAGGAGATTGTTGAGACTTACACATTCCGTCGTCTCGTCCTTGATCCTAGCTCTCTCAGCGAATTTGCAGCAATAGTTGGACGAAACGACTCTCGTTTAGGATATATCCGAAAACTCTGGCTTCAAGTTAAACTCGCAAAATATAAGTGTCCTGCTTGCGACAAACCAGAAGATAAAGCAACACAGTATTGGTGAGTGAGATTTCCATCTCCATCTTCATTTAATACAATATACTTTTCTATTAGAGGTGGGCTTACCCAAGTCGTACAGCAACAATATGATCTTCACAACGTGTATTCAGTCCCTACTGGAGACTCTTAAACTCTGGGATCCTGCAAGGCATGGCGCATGGGGAATAACACTAACGCTATCTATTTCCTCGCCTAGTGATACAGAGCATCGACTAAACCGATTCGAAATAAAGGACGATTATCCGTTTCTTTACGCTGAGGACCTAGACCTTAAACCCAGCATATTTGACTTCCACATGATGAACGCTGCTAATCCATCTAACATTTACTTTCATGGCGGTGGCCTTCTGCCGTTATATAATGAGCATATCAAAAGGATACAGGGAACTCCGCTTCACTTACAAGCGCAGAGGAATGACCGAGGCCGTTTTGTAAATAAACACAAGACCAGCCTTCCTGCCGTACCCATGATTAAAGGGCTGGTCATTCGCAGACAGTTTCGCAGGGAAATTCACGTGGGATGCTTGTCCCAGCTCCTTGGCCAAAGTTTTATAGCGCTTGAGTGGTTTCGCTTCGAGAGAACAATCTCTTTTAATCCTTGTCAGCAAATGTCTTTTGATCGAGGTATGTAAGACGCTGGTTAGGGTTTTTAGGCAAGCATTCAATGACCACTAACATTGCCTCTCTCTTATCCAGGCTTCCAGTTGCAATTACTCCCATCTCTGCCGACAACCTTGCGTCAATTGTCCCTGACGCAGTGGGAAATCCCCAAAACCGAACGTCTTGATTATGTCTACGATAAGTCGGGATCTCAGATATCTCTGCATGCTGAAGAATACCTGCCTCAGGAGATGGCAAAGCTTTCTCAAAGATTGGAGCATTTCTGCCCACCATGGCAGATGGATACAGCAGCTTTTCTTCAGTTCATGATTCAACCAGGCAAACCATCCAACATGGACGAAAGAAAAAGCTCCCTAAAACGCGTCGTCTTGCGCTGTCCGCTCCCAAACTTAGAACACAGCGGACGCGATTTCGTGCGGCTGGTGATTCTCGCAGCGAAAGCGGCCCTGCACTCTCTTCCGCAACTTGAAGTCATGGAGCTTTGGGGCACATGTGTAGACGGAGAAGAAAGCTCTGCCTACATATTCCGCTACATATACGAAAATAGTCGAGCCAGCATCGTCTGGAGGAGCCTCGGAAACACCATGCTTGCCCAAACGCGAGTTCTTGCCCAGTGGGGAGAGGTGGCACGGGAACATCATCAGACAATTCTCACGAGCGACGTCGCCCCCTTTCCGGAGACGAAGATGGATGTGGCCAAATCCAAGGGGACTTGCATATTCCAGCATTTGCTGCTAAAAGATTTGGTGTTTGATCCTATCACGCAGAAACATCTGGAGATCGAAGCGCACCTTTTCCCATCGCAGCTGAGTGATCCTCTGAATGCAAATGATTCATCTCCAGAATTGTTGCCCATAGACCTAGAAGAAGTGAATGGTGCCGAAATGGACGATGACCTGGCGTCACTGGAAGCAGAAGTGGCGGAGTTGGAGGCAAGACGCACTGCTTTGATTCGGAAGCTTTATGGATAATATTTGGAACTTGGGTGGGTGACTTTCAGCGAACACCGGCTGGTGTACCATATCCATTAAAGAAATATGACCATATCCATTAAAGAATACATTTGCTCTTTCCCATGCCTTTCGTCTTGGAATGCCAGGAATGGTGGTACATGCTTGGAAGGTCAGTCTCAATAAGTTCTAAGAGCAAAAAATTGGTTAAGTCGCATCCGCTTGCCTTAATACCGCCAAACTATGTTTGCCGTATGTTAAGTGATTTACTAAATGGAAGGAGATTTCCTCAAGATAAGGCATAAGTAATAGATAAGAAGAAACGTGGTGTTCATAATTGAAAGCATCCTTTATAGATTATAGAAAGAAGGCCAGAATGAAACAATTATAAGAGAACAATAGCAGTCGTACCTGGCTTTCCTCACTTTAATAGTTGAGGGCATTTCCATCAATTCACCACATCCGTCTTCTGTAAAATGCTGCATATAATCAACCCATCTTTATACTAGTGTTAAGCTCATAACTGGCTATCTCGAATTAACTCGACGATAGGCTCTTGTGGTAAGGCGGTTGATGCGTTTAGTTATGTGGGTTTGTTACGCATCGTTACATACTGATCCTTTCAATCAGCTCTTTGAACACCACACCAATCCCATGGTCGGGTAGCTGCCTCGAATATTGGTGGCATATTACCCCAATACTCGACCTCTGGTGGTGGGTTGCTATGCGGCCACCACTCGATTGTCGCAAAAAGCTCCCTGCGAACAGCTGCCTTGACAACCTTGCCTGAAATATTGCGTGGAATGTTCTCTCCATCTTTCAAGATTCGGAGAATAGCGGGAAGCATATACATGGGCAGGCTCTGCATGAGGTCCGACCGGATGCGAGCCAGATTAATCTCAGGCACCGGTACACCACTCGCTCCATTAAGGCGAATAACAGCTGCGCAGAGTTCTTTGGCTTCGTGATCTGGAATCGCAATGACACATGCTTCTGAGATATAAGGTAGATCTAGTAAGCTTTGTTCCACTTTCTGTAATGGAATTCGAAAGAAACGAAAAAAAGCAACTACGAGCTGGGTTAGCTGATTCATTCATACTGAGTAGATGTGAATGCCTCCAAGCCGCCTCTACAAAATAAAACTTACAATCAGAGTTTTTTCGACCTGTAAAATAATATTGACCATCTCTAAGCTCAGCAAGATCCCCGGTTTTATAGTATCCCTCTTCATCGAACGCAGCGCGAGTTAAATCATCCTCGCCAACGTAGCTATACAGAACCGCAATGTGAGCGTTGGCGTTGTTGAATGAATTTATGGGCGCAATACTTACCCAATGAGCATGAATGGGCTCTTCACAAGGATTTCGCCGTTGTTACCTCCTGAAAGTTTCACCTTGATATTGGGGATTGGAGATCCGATGAGAGACTATTGCCATTGTGATTAGTTCTGAATGCGCGACCGGCTGCAGGCGTGAAAATGCAAATAGAACATACAGTGGTTGTCACGGGATCTCTCGTGGCGATGGTTAGACCGCCCAATTCCGTTGCACTGTAGCCAATATACATGTGCAAACCGGTTAAATCAGTCCAGAACTTCAAGGTTGAGAGATCAATCATCCCTGCAGAGCACTTCAGCCCATCTAGTGCCTTGAACCAGCTGGCATATTCGTCGCGTTTCTCATTTGGAACTTGCCCGTCACAGTTTATTAACAGCTCCCTCATGTTTCTTAATAATGTTGGTGTGAAAGCGGCCTGTGTAATGCGATGGGTTCTGAACGCGTTTAGAACTTCCTTGGCACTGCCTTTTTCTCCAAGTGTGTAAAGCTCCGTTCCAGCTAGCATAGGCATAATCAGAGTTCGCGCCCCGCCAATCCAATGCCCTGGACGATAGTTGATGCAAGCTTCTCCTGGTTTCGCAAGGCTCACGTTGGTGAAGCAGTTTCTCGGAAGAATAACACCTTTAGGCAGACCAGTGGTGCCAGACGTAAAGAGAACCATGCCTGGGCCATCTGGCGCAAGTCGGAAGCCTTCATCAATATCGATATTGGAGGCCCGGACGGGTTCAGCATCATGAGAAATGGGTAGTGTAAAGGCGGCTCTGCCTTGACTATTAACAAATGCAGCTATCTTCGCAGCCCTCTCAATACAATCATTGCTGCCAACCACGATGCAAGTGGCTTTTGTGATTGACAGGAAATGGGATGCTTCTTCTGGAAGGATGCCGGAGCCTTTTTCGTTATGAGGTTAGATAGAAGTCACGAAATGTATGCCTTTTTGTCTGGCGTTCAGAGCGACTTACCGAACGGAATACATGCACCACCAAGGGCCCGGATAGCGAAGAAGGCGACAAGAAACTCATAACCGCTGCGTGTAAGAACAGGAATGTATGGAGTTTCTTGACGTAGTATACCATGCTCATCGATTACGGACGATGATAACTGCATGCGGAGCTCGTTGCGTGTGCGTATAACATCACCAAATAGCTGTGAATAGCTTTTCTCATAGCCACAAACGTCGTGTATGACTATAGCTGAGTCGGGTCTGTTTTTGCTTGCATGCAGTAATTTCACCAAAACAGGGTCATGCGGAAATCTATGGAGTTCGTTGATTGTCATGGTGTTCGCTTCCCCCTTCTTCTGCTTCTTTCTCTCTCTTGTTTTTTTTTTTTTGTTAGAGAAAAGATTCTTTTTTTTTTTTTGAAGAAATAGTTAGAGAGAGAGAGAGAAGAAGGAGGCGAGGTAGGGAGGAGGATTGCGATAATACTACTCAAATTAAGCTCGTCGTAGCTGCAGGGCGAGTAAATCGAATACTAATATTCTGAATCTTACCATGATACTCTTAATCCTAATACATTACTCACCGCCTCTACCAGGCCTCTATGATTGACGTCACCATGCGTAATGTTTCAGTTCTGGGGGCGATGTCTCAGTTCTGGCAGCTGTGTCTCAGTTCTGGAAGCGCTGTCTCAGTTGTGGATACGATCTCGTAGTAAGAAAATGTTTCAGTACAGTAATACTAGGATAATGATTGATGTTTGCGTCATACTTGATATCTGTGTCCTCTATAATAGGGAACCCTTAGGACCTATGATGAGAATTTCCATCGTGTTTGTGCACCTATATATATATGAAGTGCGTAAAAGTGCGACGCATCGACAATATCCAGCCACTTGATACATTTTCTTATCCCAAATGGGTGTACTGCATCCTACTACGACTCTACTCTTTTCTTCCTTTTCTTTTTTTTTCTTTTTTTGAATTAGGTTATACAAAGTGCAGCTAGTCCACGCAGATAAAAGCAGTCAGAGCCTCAGGACAAGATTATTGATACCTTTGCCCAGGCATTGTGGTTAGTTGTCTTGGAACACACTCTCTCTCTATGGTCTCTTGGGCCCTTGAACATCCATTAATATCTTCAGTTACTCCTATACTATAAACAACAGTGAACTTTACTGAAAGTATCTTCTTGAGGAAGTACCGTCCGTTGTATTCCGCCATGTTTCCGGAAACGATCGCACCGTCAGCGACCGGGCAAATTGCCCTTATTCCAGAGCTTGTTCCATCAGACACTCTGCGAGTATTCCTAGTTCAATACCCGGGCGTGCAATTTCTTCGCCTCCAATGGCAGGATCATTCAGGCCTCCTGAGGGCCCGCATAGTGCCCATTGAGCATGGACTAACCATCGCCGCCGGAGAGAGAGTCATTCATGTACCGCCTATTGCGTTCCACTGTATCGTGGATAACAACTTGCTGCCCGAGCTCGACCCAACAGGCAACGACTGGCTGGTGCCTGATTGGAGCTCCCTGCAAACGCGACCGACGTTGGATCCTCTGTATGCCAATGTGATGTGCAAAGTTGTCGAGTATACCCCAGCGCGGCCCGGGCCAAACTGGAACCTCTGTCCCCGCCGTGCTCTGGAGATAGTGGGTAAAAAAGCTGAGGAAATGTTTGGAGTGTATTTTCTTGTTGGGTTTGAAGTAGAATTTGAGGTCATGAAGGCCTCTGCAGAGGGGATCCTGATTCCTTATAGTTCTGGATTTGGACGATTCTCTGTCTGTGGCCTCCGTGATCCATGTTATGAGCATGTTGAAGAGGCGGTTCGGGCGCTGCTGGCGGCAGGCGTCAAGATTGATGCCTTTCAGACGGAGGGGCGGCGCGGACAATACGAATTGACCCTCGGATGCCTCCCTCCGCTTGCCGCTGTCGATCAGCTGATACTCGTTCACGATACACTCAAGCGTATCTTCAGCCGCCATGGCTTGACAGTAACTATGTCGCCTCGACCAGTAGAGTCACGTCGGCAATCGACAGGGCAGCATACTCATATCTCCATCAACCCGCCCCATATGCAAAATCACTTCCTCGCCGGCATGCTACAGCGCCTTCCGCAACTGTGCGCCTTCTGCCTACCTTACGAGATATCTTATGAGCGTGTCCAGCCATATCTTGGTGGTCATTTGGTTGGCTGGGGCACCGAGAACCGTGTAGTGCCGATTCGAAAGATCAAGGACGGGCACTGGGAGGTCCGCTGCATCGACGCAACGGCCAACATGTACTTGGCCTTGGCAGTAATCTTGAGCGCCGGATTGCTCGGCTGTACCAACAAGGAGCCTCTGTTATGGCCGGATACGGGCATCATGACAGACCCGTGGCCCCAGGATGCAAAATTTCTCCCCAAGAGTATAGGAGAGGCGCTCGATCTCCTGGAAGAAAATTACAAAGATCTTGAGACTATGGTGGGAAGCAGTATCATTCAACACTATCTACGTGTAAAGAGAACGGAGGCTGCAAAACTGCGCGAAACAAATGTGGAGGAAACGCGCCAATTGATGTGCGAGCTGTTTTAGATAATGTTAGTTCGTAAGTGATTGAGTAGGAGATCAAAATACTATATAATCCATTTGGTTATGGAGTTATCATTGTTTTTATTATTATTCTTTGGTCACTTTCCCAATACGGCCATAAACAATTCTATTAACTGGAGTCATGGGCTGGTGTATTCTGGCTAAAATCATAGCGAATTCTTGTTTATGATAACCTATTATACCTGGTGAGCCCGTAACCCTGGTGTTATAGCTTACTGCCTTGTTGCTGTACGTACTTGGGAGAGTCTAAAGCTAGGTAGACGGTGATTGATTATGTATCTTATATTTGTATTTTTGCCGGGTCGCAGAAGAGGTATCGGGGCTCCGTTTCAATAACGAGCCAGGAAACCTGAACAATGATCATCATTTTAGCGCGGAGGTACAACAGCCTTCAAAACCGGAATTGCATGACCTCTCAATTTGGAGCCTTTGGATATATAAAAATGGAAGAGTTTTTACTCAATTCAAATGCTTGACGGGAGCCCGAATTCTCCTCTACTTGTGGTCGTATGTGCTTGAGTCAAGACATGATTCTTTATAATTTACTTGATTGCCAAGTGATGGCTGCTTTCAATATGGTACAAGCACTAGGTTGTGGTAAAAGGGGTTGAGATTTTAAATATATATTAGCACTTAAAAAGCAGGGCACCTGTAAATATAGGATGAAACCTTGTTATATTAAGTCTAAATGAATGATTTGCTATGCTAAGATGCCGTGATTGTGGATTGTTCCGTGTGTATATGCCTTCTAGTAGTTGGGTTGTAATGAATGTCGAAAAAAGTAAACCAAAAACCAAAACCTATCCCCTTCTAAGATGCCGAACCAATCCCCTTCCCGTCTAAGATGCCTTTCAATTCCCGAGCTTAAAAAAAAACTTAGAAAACGTTTAAGCGTGCACATTGCAGGCGATGGTGAAGCCAGTCTCCCAGTCCAAAGGCTGCTGGGAGAACTTCTGGAAGTCTCGCGAAGGATCGGAAAGGCTGGCGACCACAGTTTGGAGATCCTTCAGAACAACACACTGCACGTTGGTGAAATCGGCAGTGAACTGCAGGCTGGTGACAAAGAGAGTTCCATCCTTGAACAGGTTGGTGTTGCCGTAAGCCTCTCCAAGGCTAATATCGGTTCCATCAAGAGGGATCAAGGCGTTGCCGTTTGCTCCAGTGACATCGTTGGCAAATTGAACTTGAACAGTGCCGACATTGCGAGGAGCAGGAGCTGCGGAGACAGCAAGGGCGAGAGCGGAGAGAGTGAAGGCAATAGCGGAATGCATTTTGATAGTAGTATAAGTTATTTGTTTAGATTTGAAATGAGAAAGATGTGGTTGAAGAGGTAGTGTTGTTTGTAGTGTTGGTGTGATTGTTGTTGTGATGATGTTTGATGATGTAGAAAGTAAAATAGAAAGCAAGATGGAGAGCTGATTATATAGATAATTTCTGTGCTGTTGAAAATGTATTTTTATTGTATACATCTATAATCTGATATAATTTGATATACTTTGACATCTACAGAATAAGCGGATAGAAGCGTTCCGTACAAAGCCACTGCTAGCTGGAGGCTAAAGCCGTAGGATAATAATATGCTATTGGTTTATACAATTTATAAGCGTATTGGCTATATTTAATGCTGTGCATCACTGGTTTACGTAAACTAAGCAGCGGGCAATGCGATGTATAAGCCACCTTGCTAGCCGTTGCTTACCTAGTCTGCTGAGGCAGGACATATATTGCATGCGCTATGTAATCCCTAATGTAAGCTACAGTCATATGCAAACACGAAGTCTATACGAAGTAATCGCAGGTAATAAGCTGCAGAACACTTTGGTGGAAGCGGAATCGAAGGTTGTACAACGCATTTCACATAGCCAGAGTATGCTTAGTAAATTGCCTTAATGTAATAGAGGTCATATTTAAAATCAGCAGAGACACAAGAAGTCTCGACACCTGGTAATTGCCCGAATAGGTAAGAGCTAAAAATAAAGTATAGAAACTTTAAAGTTCATCTGGAAATAGAACAGCGCCTTAGCCTAATTTTCATTGCCAAACTAAATCACTTTGCCTCCTCTACATGTTCCTGGCAAGAAATCTACCCTTATCCTCCATTCCAGACAGTCCATACTTGTAAAACCCCTTCGAGTACCGTGTGCGGCCACATCTCGAGTCGGTAATCCGGAGGTGCCGTCTTCAAATTGCAAGGCATATACTCGGGGCAGACACACATAGCCAAGACACATCAGGCTGTAGGATCTGTGCCAAGAGCTGACAAGCCCGTTTGTTCGCCGACACATCTGTACGCCACTCTATCGCCACCTGTTAGCTGTGTGACCAGTAAGCGGATGTGCAAATGAAAAGAAGGATGATACTCATGCCGAGAGCTTATTGCGCCACTGCGCATGAGTCAGTGATTCTCAGGAAGTTTGATTGCCGGAAGAGAGAGGAAGTACTGAAATAGATGCGAAACTGCTGGATTGTAGAACTGGAAGAGAGAGATTACGATAGTTTTACAAATGTAATTCCTCCACATTTATGCCCGAGTATTATCATTTATAGCGTGGCAAGTTGGTCGATACCTAGGGGGAAGGCACAAGACCTTACGGCCTCGAAAACACACCCACGGCCCTTGGATTACCCTTGACCTTCATCTACTTCATCGACGAGAGTATAACCGTCTACGTAGGTAATAGCTAGATTCAAAGCAGAGATAAAAGCATGCTTCAGCGCTATAATCTAGTGCCAATCAACAACATGAAATATATAATCACAACCTCCGTGTTAATGTGTGTCAGATGATTTGATAGCAGCCAATCTTATAGCGCAGAGTTCCTTTCCCTCCAAAAACAGAGGCATGCGACTCCAAATTTGGAGTCTTTGGCTGTAAAAAATGGAAGACGTTCAACTCGGGAAAAGAGTTGTATAGGACCCCGAAATTTCCCCTAGCTATGGTCGCATCTGCTATTAGTGAATGATAAAAATGAGCATTAGAACCCTTTCTTCATGCACTACAATCCTATTCTTTTAGATTAAGTCTTCATTTCGTTAGAGTCATTGAGAAGGTTCGTCTCGGCGATGGCACGAGCATCATGGGATGCACACATCTTTTGGTATCCTACCCTGCCCTCTGGGGGCTCGCTAGAAGAAGATTTGCAATATTAAGCTGACGGCTACGGCGCCACCGGTAATGGCAAAATCTCTTCTTCTCTACCAACCCCCTACCCGTATGTGTACACAATCGTCAGCACATAGCATGTCCAAATGGCAGCGGCAATGGTTGATCTAACAGCACTACCATGCTGGGTATGTTCGGTATGCTCTTCCATTCATGAGTGGCCCTCCTATCTGGAGGTGATGACTTTCCAATTCGTAAGTGCCTGGATACATATTGTCTACCCTACAGGATAATGGGGATCACGGGGTAATGTGAAAGTGGTATGCGCGACGCGGAGCCTATAAGATGCTTCTGGCTTATATAATAATGCATATAGTATTCGTAGCCCAGCCAAGCGTTGGGCAGTCACGTCTTTGGGCAGTCGTGTCTTCTTTCATCCTGTAACTATTTAATTCAGCATCAACTTTCTATCCGAATTCCTAGTCGTTAGGTCTTGATCCTACCTACGTAGGATCACTCAGGATCGAAATGGATGATAGAGGCGGTACCCAAGAGCTCATCTCTCACAATACTTTTGGCGATAATGCACACATCCACCAAGGCAATGTACATATTTCGAGTGCGTACCTATTGTCTATATCTAAGATGTACAACATCCGTCACATTGAAGAGTAATTGACTTTTTAATTAGCCAATTATGCCGCCACCCCACAGGAGTCGAAACTCGATTACCTGCCCGCCAGCTTTGACGCAGAGAGCAAGCAACACATTCCCGGTTGCCTTCAACACACACGAGAGCAGATTCTCTCTGATATCCATGATTGGATTGATCATGAAAGCGAAAAGCGTATTTACTGGCTCAGTGGCATGGCAGGTACAGGAAAATCTACAATTTCTCTAACGATTGCACGCGAATACTATAAAAGGAAGCAATTGGGAGCAAGCTTCTTCTTTTCCAGGGGTGGTGGTGATCTCGCATCAACCAAGAAGTTCGCGACTACTATGGCCGCTCAGCTCGCGGAGCATTCTCTAGTATTACGACAGCATATCATGGACGCTTTCGCATCGAACGCTCGGATTGATCACCTCGCATTGTATAACCAGTGGGAGAAGCTTATCATGGAGCCTCTCCGCTTGCTAGAGTCGAACTCTATCCAGTCTCCGCTTCTCATTATAGTCGATGCACTTGACGAATGCGACAACGAAAGAGACATGGTAATGTTGATTGAATGCTTTGCGAGCATTATTTCGACGGTCAAAAAGATACCACTCCGAATTTTTGTTACAAGCAGGCCGGATCGACCAATTGATCTTGGATTTGAGGGCATATCCGTCAGCTCACGTCAACATTTCGCCCTTCACAGCATTGAACAGGCAATCGTGGATGGCGACTTGGAGATATACTATCGTCATCAGCTGACGCAAATATCCCAGAGACATTGCTGGAATGACAACGTAATATCTGATGAGGTGATTCATACTCTCGTGCAAAAATCACATGGGTTGTTTATCTATGCCGCTACAGCTTGCCGATTTATCAATGAAGGAGGCATCCTCGCAGAAGAGCGGCTCTTGAATCTGTGTGCCACTGGACCTTCTACTTTCGAAGCCGAAAAGGGACTTGATAGCATCTATAACACAGTTTTGGAAAACTCGTTCAGCGAGCAATTGGATCCTGGCGAAGTTGCAATATTGCAGCAAAAGTTTCAAAAAGTTGTCGGATCAATTTTGGTGTTGTTTGATACATTCACCCTGAGTGATATCGTCAATTTTATCAAAGAGCCAAAGACGAGGGTCATATCAATACTCAATAAGCTCAAATCTGTGTTGGATTTTGCGGAAGACGACGGAAAGCAAATCGATATCCTTCACCCTTCTTTTAGAGACTTTCTACTTGATTCAAGAAGATGCTCAAACCAGTTATTCGGGATTTTCACCAAGCAGGTTCATTATGATCTATTCGAACGTTGTTTAGCTATCATGCATGGTTTTCTACATAAAGACATGTGCAAACTAAAAAAGCCAGGGGTAAAGGCACGAGATGTTTCCAAAGCCCAAGTGGATCAACATATACCTCTCTCGGTTCAGTATGCTTGCAGTTACTGGATGCGACATCTTCAGCAAAGTGGGCAAGACTGGAAAAGTCATGAAGGCATGGTGGATTTCTTCCGAGCTGATTTCCTCGGTTGGCTTGAAGTTCTCGCTCTCTTGGGTCGGCTATCCGAGGGAATGACTATGTTGTCAGAGCTTCGGTCTTTGCTAGAAGATATACCTGACGAAGAAAACTCCTCGTTAAGCTTCTCCAGATTCTTGGAAAAGCTGAGATGGCCCCGGGCGAAGGCCCCCAACACCGTTGCCAAGGTCCTCGGCGAGCTCATACGCGACGCCAAGAGATTCGCCTATTATCATAGTCGCATTATCGAAGAAGCGCCGTTGCAATTGTATTGCTCAGCGCTCCTGTTTAGTCCCGAGCAAAGCCTTATTCGTCAAATATACCATGACCAAGTTCCAAACTGGATCACCGCTTCATTCGAGAGGCGCGACACATGGCCCACATATACGCAGATTCTGTGGCACCCACCGGGGTTTATATCATTTGTATTCTCACCAGATGGCAAATATTTAGCATCTGGGTGTGACGATGGAACTGTTTGGCTATGGGACGTCGTGACAGGTGCAAATCAGCGCATTCTTAGGGGTCATTCAGATTGTGTGAATTCAGTTGCCATCTCTCCCGACAGTCAACTCATTGCCTCTGCGTCGTGGGACCGTACAATCCGGCTCTGGAATTCTACGACTGGCGCATTTCAGGATGAAATTTTGAGCCATGATCACACGGCTTGGTGCCATGATAGGTCGAGTTGTCAGGTTGCATTTTCACCAGATGGTGCCTCGCTTGTGTTACGCTCGACTATGAGTGCCATCGGTTATAGTAACATATCGCTGTGGAATATTGTGACACACGCCACAAACTGGCAATGTCGAGTTTTAGATTATGTCTCGGACGTCGTATTCCTGTCTGATGGTAAGCGTCTTGTCTATAGCACTAGACACGAGACTGGCCTTTTGGACTCTAGGACGGGACAAACTGTTAGCAAGTTAGCTAAATACGGGGGACAAATCTGTTTATCTAACCTTTCATCTAGAGGTCAGATGATGGGCTTGGCAACAAAAACACACGTTGAGCTTTATGATATCCAATCAAGCGCAAGGCGGTGGCGTGTTCGGGTTGCGTACGCTCATGTCCTCACCTCTCCACCCGCGTACGCTTATCCCATCACCTTTTCACCCGACGATCGGCTCATCGCTGCATACCTCAAGGGACGCATTGAACTTCTGGATGTTGCATCTAGCCATACAAGGCATATTATAGAATGCCAACTAGATGACCTGCCTTTCGTTCGGCAAATCAAGTTCTCATCGGATGGAACATTTCTCGCATCGAGTTGGAGTGACAATACCATCCGGTTCTGGGACATGCCAAGGAGCAGGCAGCAGTTGGTCTCTTGTTCCGAACCCCCCCAACCGCAATACGTTACAACATCCGAATGCGGCAAATTCATTGCTCTAATGCCGCCTTATGAAGTAAGCAAGCTACACTCCTCCAAGGTTCAAGTGTACATCTGGGACACCCAGGGCATGAGAATGGCACACACATTTAGCCTTAGCACACAGCGCAGAGTTGAGTACATGATGCTCTCTCCCAATAGTCAATTTCTCGCTATTCAATGGGAAGGAAGCCATTACGACTTGTTCGAGTGCAAAACAGGGACATCAGTGTTCCATAGCAAGAACGCAGACGATCGCAATCGACACATATTCTCTCCCGATAATAAGCTCCTTGTCCTTTTAACCAGGCAGGATTCTATGCAAATTTGGGATATACAGAAGAGAGCTACGATATACGAGATCCAGGTTACCAGGCTTAGACGCATGGCGTTTTCGCTTGACTCCAAGCTTATCGCAGCTATCGTTTCGGATGAGCAATTATACGTGTTCGACCTCGAAGCAAGTGGTCATTTAACCAAGGTCGAGAGAAATTTCATTTTCGTCACTAATATGCAATTCACACACGAAAACCGACTTCTTGTGGCTAACGGTTGGAATCCGAGTCGGACTGAGGTTTTGGATATCCACACAGGAAGAACTCTGCGTGTCTTCCATCCGAATAATGATGCCCGTTCCTATGGCGGTGAAAAATATCGAAAGATAATTTTTCAGACTGCTGACATTATTGTGACATCCGATGGAGGAGACTTTACAGTTGAAGTATGGGATTTAGAAACCGGCGAATTGAGAATAAGTCTAGAATGGAACAAAAAAGTTAAAAACATTCATCTGCTTCCCTGTAAGGCGCATTTGCTTATAAACGAGGTTATAGTGCCACTGTCAAGACCAGATTCATCGACTTGCTGTTCCAACAGAGTATGGATCGAGAGGCTCTACTTCAAGCGAGGCGAAGAACAGTTAGTGTTTGTACCACAAGATTACGCATCGGCTCTCATAGCTGTAAGAGATGAGGGCGCTTCTTTTCAACCATTTGATGGACGCGCCTGGGGGATGTCTGCTTCATCACAACTGATCAATACTTTGAAGTTTGACTTTTCGGTGAACGAAGGCTTTGTCTGATACTGAAAGCGGATAGATGATCTATTGGGGATGGGGAGCCATCCCCAATAACTAAAGATACCACGACTACAAAATGTGGCTTTGAAGTCAATGGAGCGACACATTTGAGCGGTGTGTTGGGCATGTGGACGGAGTTTCTGGGACTCGATGGTCTTGCACGCGGCAAAAACAACTTTGGCAAATTCGACGGTGACGGTACATAATATATCTATCCTTCACTGAAGTACATCACACAATAAATGATAATCCCCGATGTGGAAGATTTTTCCCGGGTCTACAATGAAATAAATTTCTTCTGGTGAAGTGATGACGGGTCTAGGCAGTTTGGTCGGCCTGGCATATTATTTACACAATTTTGCAGGAAAAGAGCTCACTTACGGCCCACTTACTTACGCTGCTTTAGGAATTAATGAGAGAATTTCTGGGTGAGCTAGAAACCTAAGGGTGCCACTTTAGGCGATCTGGGTGATTCAGGTGATATGAGAAATCCGAAAGTATCTATCACCGAGCGCGGATAGATGGACTGTCTCTACTTAACAAGGGTTTAGCTAATAAAAAGAATAATATCAGTTGGGTTTGACAACTTCGTATTTCCACTCCAATTTCCTCCGAAGACATGTACCAGCTTTCATCACGCCCAGATTCCAATGTGCAACTTCATTGCCACCTCTGGCCCTGTCAGCGGCTATCTCCGCACCGACAATGAACTTGTGTAGATTGCCAAGCTTCTCGGCATGCTTCAAGAACACTTCCTCCTGTAGCTCGTGCTCTGTCTTATCAGTCATCTTAAGCGTCGTCTTCTTGGGCTGCCTTCTAAACCCGCTGTGTATAAAGTTAGCCCCTTAATCTCAATCCTGGCTGCCGCCATGGGATAATATAAAAAACGTACGGCGATACTTCTCATAAAACCTGACTCTTTTTATGATATGTACTTTATCAAATACCAAATTAATTTGTTAAAGTTAGCTCATTCTATATAATAACGCTTATAAACGCCTATTTATAATAGTTTATATGCTTTCTATAAAATCCTCCTTGATATCTTCCTGATCTATGGAAAAGTGAATGTGTTTATCTATTTGATCTAAATAATAGCTGTAAGGAAGAATTCTATATAAAGTGTTGTTCCAAAGGAATGAGCCCTCTAGCGTCTCTCCAGGACCGATAAGAAAGCCATTCAGAAGGAGAAGCGCAAATACGCAGTCCGGCCAGCAAATCTCCTGCATCAACCAAGTTGTCCTGTTCTTTCCGAGGAAAAAAATCCTACAATAGCCATCGCCACATAAAATGCAGTCATCGCGATACCCATTTCTGAACTGAACATGGCTCTGATCAACTTTCAAGGTTCCCAATCTACCTGTGTGGGCACAAACACTCGCCAGCATTCTTCCGCTCTCTGCTCTTATCGAATTCGTCGACGTCGAGACAAGCATTCACGTCTACGAACCCAGGGGTGGTTCAGTGCCCTTCTGGAACTGGCCTATACCGCCATCAGGCGCGCGAATCCTCCTCTTGAAAGACACTGCAGCTGGCGACTGTTTACTAGACCAGCCCCAGTGCAGTTAGGGGCTGACATGTATTGATGGCCGGTATGGAAACTAGTATCCGTGCAGCGCGCCGGCTACCACACGACTCTGGGCCGGCAAGGAAGAGGAAGCTGGCGAAGAAATTAAAAATGAATCCAAAAATATGGAAAACCACAACGGCGAGAACAGGTATTATACGTTATCCAGCTGCGCGAGGATACGACCTCCGATGCCGAACATGTGGAAGGAAAGAAGAGCTTCTGGCGGAACTTTACTAATTCAATCCGGAGACGTGGCCCACGATATATAGCCGTCTCCTGTACCGGGTGGACCTGTTGGATAGGGCTGATAGTGGCCAGCTTCATGGGCCAACTATATATCGCCGTAATATACCTTGTCCTGATGCCATCGACTTGCTTTGTGGTTGGCCTCACGCACGGCACCAAACCTCGCAAGCCACTGATACGTGAATCCCAGCCTTTTCCACGCCTTGTAATTGCAGCAGGGAGCGAAAACTCACACTACTGGTATGCGTTCGAAGGCCACAAAACTCTGCTCAATGGGCTGCTCAACATTTCGCTTGCACCATCCCAAAAGCTCCCATACCGGCCGTTTGGTCTCTATCTTCTGAGACTACTCACCCTCGGCCAGTGGGCGATAGCTCTCGGTTCTTCTGCTACTATGGGATGGGATGCCTTCATAATTTCCATCTAGACGGCATTTTGTATCGTTGCGAGCGCGTACCACTACCCCGTCGAAGTTGGAACCAAGGAGTGGCTTAGCAGGGACTGCAAGGTCAAGGCAACAACAATTAAAACCGTGCTGTCTTCTCGATACGCTCTGCTATTTGCATTAGCCATGATAAATCCAGACACTAAAAGGGACGAGACCAAGTGGATGGACCCTATCATCTCAGAGTCTCCGGAGCGAGAGATGATTTGGAAGAATATGTTAGACTGGTCAAAGGGAGTTAATCTCCAAAATGAAGCCTCTTTGAAGACCGAGTGGTGGTGGAGGTTAATGGAAGAAGGCGTCAATGTTGGAAAGGAGATCCGGAAGAGGCTGAAAGGTCACTCTAATCCCAGAATTGGCTCTATAGTATAAACAAGTTGATCGATTGCAAAGCTACCTAGATACATGTGCAGCCTTTCAGTTTTAGCCGGCACTTCTTTGCAGCTAAGAGCAGCTGAGGACGCGCCAACTGCCCCTCTTGGGCAGCAAGATCGCTAATGCGACTGCAGGTTTACCTAATGTTGTATGCATTCTGATTCGTAGTTGTGAATGTCATGGATTACAGTTGATGACAAATAAGACTCACAAGTGTTCAGATACGCCCCCCAGCTATCAACAAATTGGTTGAGCATAGTCGAATATTGTATTACACAACATTGTGTTATGTAATTTATTTAAACCTCTTTAAAACTAGAGTTGGGGGTTGTTCCACTAGAAAGCTGGAGGTCTTCGTAAGTTGATCCTCCAAAATCGCAGAGGCATAAGTCAAGTGATTGAGGCATTGTACCAGTACTAGGAAGTTGTCAGGTCTTAGACCGCCATGCATAACACCCTTGCTGTGAATCACGACTATAAATAGATGGCCGGAATAAACTATTTTCGGCGAATTGAGAAGCCATCTGCATGAGATTCCCAAATGATGAGTGCAAGCTTACCCAGCAGGTTATGATGGTGGAGAGAAATGGCAACATCGAGCTAGAAGGAGACGAGCGTCTTTGCTTATCAACATAATTGAGTGAATGCCCTAAAGTCATCAAGGTACCTATAGATACGCATATAGGAGACACACACTCCAAATGGCCAGCCTACTACACGAGGTCGGCTAGTTAAAGTCGATTACTGCTCATAATACTCGAGAAGGAGAGAATAAAAGACCTGATTGTTCCTTATATGATAGTAATTGACACATCGTATCCACCAATCCTGAAACACTTTGTTATTCATGTCCCGCTACATTCACTTGCGAGTGGTGTTTTCCTGCATTGAAGAGTCAAGGGGTTAAAGATATACATAGTACTCAATCAGAACCGCTTAACCCAATATGTATAGTGCCCCATCTCCCGGAGAACCTGCTCAGATGCCGCCAGGGTTATTCTTAGACTTGCCCCTCGGATACAAGTACCGAGGCTGCATGACTAGGGTTGCACCCCTTTATGAGAAGCAAGATCTGCATATCCGCATCGCTCATTGGGGCGGATCAAGAGTGCAAGTTCATGCAATTATTACATCGCTCAACTTGGGGCAGAGTTTTCAATGTCTGATGACACGAGCCTAAAGATTTTCTTCCCCATAGGCTCGTGTGCGAAATATAAATTATCATCATGGGCCACATCTTGGTCTGGTGGTTTCCACAGCCCTTAAATATCATAGACACCTATTACATCTTGAAAATTCATCATGTTTAAGATAAAGGCTCTTGCTGCTTTGCTGGCCTTCACAGTCAGCACGTTCGCGGCCAGTAGAACCTCTCCACCTGCTGGTGCCCTTGTTGTCGGCCCAGGCTTTTATTCAACCGTTCAAGCAGCTGTTAACGCACTCAAATCAACGTCTCAAGAGCAAATCATTTTTATCAACCCAGGCACTTACAATGAGCAAGTAACTATTAATAAGCTCGCTGGACCACTCACCATCTATGGCTACACTCAAAATACAGCATCCTACGCCTCCAACACGGTTACCATAGCTGCTTCTCACAGTTTGTTAGATGAGGCTACTGATGATGCAACCGGAACACTGCGTGTGGAGACAACTAATTTCAAGCTGTATAATGTCAATGTTGTCAACTCACATGGCAGCGGTTCACAGGCCTTGGCTGTATCTGCAAATGCTGGGGTACGTTAACAAGTATCATGCTCCATCCAATCTCAGTTTCAATATCGGAATCTAACTTGATTGAACAGAATCAAGGCTACTACGCCTGTTCTTTCAAAGGCTTCCAAGATACCTTGCTCGCAGAAACAGGCGCTCAGCTCTATTCACGTTGCTACATTGAAGGCGCTACCGATTTCATCTTTGGCCAGCAAGCCACAGCCTGGTTCGAGAAATGCACGATTGGCGTACTCCCTGCTTCCATCGGCTATATAACTGCATCCGGACGCACATCGAATTCAGCTAGTTATTATGTCTTCAACGGGGCCACCATAGGGGCAGCTCCGGGTAAAAGCGTAACCAGCGGGGTGTATTACCTTGGTCGGCCGTGGGGTGATTATGCCCGAGTTGCATACCAGTCTTGTTCCATGAGCAATGTGATTAATGGTGCGGGTTGGCATATTTGGAACACGGGCGACGAACGAACAGACCATGTCTCTTTTGGTGAGTATTCAAACTCAGGAGCTGGGGCATCAGGTATAAGGGCGTCATTTGCCACGAAACTCAGTAGTGCTTTGACGATTGGAAGTATTCTAGGTAGTAGTTACGCTTCACAGTATTATGTGGATACGTCGTATCTTTGAACTAGCTAGCAATTGAACAGAGAGAATTGGATAGGAGCATCTGATAGTTCCGTTCATCATGGCCACATCAGACCATATCAAATAGGCACTTCCCTTTTGACTTTCTGGTACTGTCTTTTCGGCCCATCTCGTAATTGGCGCGCAAGTGATCTAGACTCGAACAAAAGAGGAGCAACTTCTGCCTAAAGTCTGCGAAGAAAAATGCCACCGACGTAGCGTCTTCATTGGCAGAGAAGAGAAAGTAGAAAACTCAAGTACACATAAATACATATCCGGGGCAGTTGCTGGTCGGTTTGGGGTTGCATTCGCAGCGTGACATTGCAGTTAATATCCGGTCTAGGCACTATGGGTAATGCGGGAGAAAACTTACCGTGTATGGTAAATTCGGAAGAAGAGCAGCCGTGTCTATAATAGGAAATCTATATGTCTGTTGATATACTGTAGGTGCTCTCTCTTATACATTACGACAGAATTCGTGCAGAGTCTTTAGTATATAAAGCTGGCTCCCCGACAAGTTTATTGATGTAAGTAATCTCTACTACACACAACTCCAAATCATCATATGGTGTCCATCTTTGCAATATGATGCTCACAAAGAGTTACCTCCTTGCCGCTGCAACTGCAGCCTCGACACTGGCAGCGGTGCTACAACCAGTTCCGCGTGCCTCCAGTTTTGTGACGGTATCGGGAACACAATTTAACATTGATGGTAAAGTAGGCTACTTTGCGGGCACCAATTGCTACTGGTGTTCGTTCCTTACCAACCCTGCGGATGTTGATTCAACCTTGAGCCACATTGCTTCCTCTGGACTCAAGGTCCTACGTGTATGGGGCTTCAATGATGTCAACCAGCAGCCTTCGCCTGGAAACATTTGGTTCCAGAAATTATCCGCATCCGGTTCTACGATCAATACAGGAACCGACGGGTTGCAAACCCTTGATTATGTAGTCAAGTCAGCCGAGCAACATGGCATCAAGCTTATTATCCCGTTTGTCAACAACTGGAATGACTATGGTGGAATTAACGCTTATGTGAATGCCTTTGGTGGCAATGCCACTACTTGGTTCACTAATTCGGCGGCTCAAACCCAGTACCGCAAGTATATTCAGGCTGTCGTCAGCCGCTACAGTAACTCAACCGCTATCTTTGCGTGGGAGTTGGCCAATGAGCCTCGCTGCAACCAGTGCGATACTGGCGTCATAGTTCAGTGGGCTACAAGCGTGTCTCAATATGTCAAGTCGCTCGATTCAAACCATCTTGTGACACTTGGAGATGAAGGACTCGGCCTTAGCACTGGAGACGGCTCTTATCCATACACCTATGGAGAGGGCACTGACTTTGCCAAGAATGTGGCAATCAAGTCGCTCGATTTTGGAACTTTCCATCTTTATCCGGATTCTTGTAAGTTTTCTATATAGCTGTTTGGAAAGGTTGATCGTACTAATACTGTCTCGTACAGGGGGTACAAACTATCCTTGGGGAACCACCTGGGTTCAAACCCATGCTGCGGCTTGCCTTGCTGCAAACAAGCCATGCGTGTTTGAAGAATGTGGGTTATCTTGTCCACTTCATGACAAGGCTATGCTAATATATCGTGATTAGACGGCGCACAGAACAATCCCTGTACTAACGAAGCCCCTTGGCAAAGTACCTCCTTGGCTTTGGCTGCCCGTGGTATGGGCGGCGATATGTTCTGGCAGTGGGGAGATACCCTTTCCTATGGTCAATCCAACAGTGACCCATACACCGTCTGGTATAACTCATCGAATTGGCAATGCTTGGTCCAGAATCATGTTGCAGCTATCAACGGCGGCACAACCCCCCCTCCTCCTTCATCTACGACTACCACCAAGTCGGCCACCACGACGTCGACTAAGACCACGTCGACGGCCTCGCAGCCTACTGGCAACTGTTCCCCCTTGTATGGCCAATGCGGAGGCCTTTCATGGACTGGTGCTAAATGCTGTTCACAAGGAACTTGCAGATATAGCAATGATTGGTACTCACAATGTGTACCTTCATAAAGCGCCTGGATACGTGGGGACATGAGGCTGATAAAAGGAAGGGTCCATACGTAGGATGTATGCAGCTTCCCCTGGCCCCTCATAAAATTTCCATATCGTGGCCTCCTGTTTAAGTATCTAATTTATGATAACCTAACTATCCCTTGACCGATGTATTGATAAAATGTGGTATTTTGGCCTGTCGCGATTATGTATCGATCATCATTGAGCGTATGATAGGGGTATAAAGTTTAAATCTTCTATACTGTAGTTGTTATTACATCTATCTGCCATTGAGAGCTCGTTGTCTACTTGTATTCCCTCCGTGATTTTGTGGGTGGCCGGACATAAAGGTCAGAGAGCAACAAACAGACTCGCGAAGCCCATCTCAGACACCTACCTACACTGTTAATTGGTTTGTATGACGTTTGTCCCCCATAATTACAGTTATTCTTGCATGCCGGCATTTCATTGCTCCGAGCGGCCATTCGCTTCTTTAGCCGGTGTTTGGTGTTTAATTCAGCCGCTATCATGATCGAGCTCTCTGGCAGAATCCAACTTTGGAATCGTTACAAATACAGGAAGAATGTATAATTCTCCAAGGTCATAAGCAGAATGCACGTAGTAGACCAGTCCGTAAGGGTTTCAACCAGCTTTCTAAGTCAGACATTTTAAATCACGGGCTTTGAGGGCTCCCCGATCCCAATACCGCTCTAAACCGCACATCTGCAACCACTTATATGTACTCCTCACTGTGCTTGAGCCTGTGCAATCTCAGCCGTAATAGGCGGCAGCTTGCGTCCCTGTTCTTTCTCGACCAGGAAGTGCAAATGTCCTCTAATGTCGTCGCGAGCAACGCCTTTGCCTGCGCCATCATCAAAGCCAGTCCAGCGGTCAACGTCGGCCTTGATTGAGGACAGCCATAGCATTTCTCCCGTCCAGCCAATAGTGCGTGCTGCATGGCCGATATACAATCCTCGGGTTGTGTTTTTCATTCTTCATACAGTAGCTAACCTCTGGGACGTTACAGCTGCAGTAACTCAGCGCCAATGGAACTAGTTCATACAAAGTCTCGAATGGCCCATGGCGTGGACGAAGTTACATGTATTGACTACTGGGTACCTGGCGTGGACGATCTCGCGCTAAGCTTAAGTACTTGCCTCTCACCAGCATCGGAGACAAAAAAAGGAAACACTGTGCGCGATCGGAAGATTTCCGCTATTTGCACTGAGCGGACCGCAAAGCTTGGGACCCGCGTCGGCTGCTTTTCGCCAAACAAAGCGTCCCACCTCCAATCAACTTTCTCGATATCGCGTTTCCCCCATTTCAGCCTCCTCTTGTTTCGTCCTTTATCGTTTCCTTTCTTCTCTGCTGTTAAAACATCATATCATTCCATGCGTCCTTACTTTTGATATCCGTGACCATGGCGAGGAGATCGCAGCCCAGCACCGACTCGTCACCGACGTCATTCTATGCAGGCAAAGAAGACGAATCTGAGCGCACCGCCAAGTCCACCACCGCGAGCACACCTGTTAAAAGCCAGCCGTGTCCATATCGAGAGGCGCGAGAGCTGCCACACGAATTAAAAGAACACTGCCAGATCTTTCTGGAGGAACAACTATGTATGTATGCGTTCATATGCACCTGAATCTATATCCGCTTCCATCGCCTGACACTCGATCACTTTTAGATACCTGCGCTATCAACCTCCTCAACAGCATTCTTGGCTCCGGCATCTCAAGAAAATCACCAAGCAGCAAGCCGGTGTCCATCCCCCCGCCCAGCCATCTCGCACTCCTCAGCACCATTACCGTTTACCCGCTACACACCACGCGCGTCGACAAGCCCGAGCACCTCGACGTCCCCTCCCTCGCCTTGGGCTACCTTCGCAATGTTCTTACGGTAGTTGGACCGCTTCACGCCGATTTCCGATCCGCATTCCAGTTCCGCTCCACACCGAGATGGAAGAGTCGAGCAGGACATACTGGCCATGGTAGTGACAGCGAGATGTCTGATGATGACTCGGAGGGCCGCCATGATTTGCTGCGGGGAAAGATTGCAAATGAGGGCGGTGTGTGGACCAAGGGCCAGGACTTCTGGTCTACCGTGGGGTGGGCGTTTCACTGCTGCACACTGCTGCCACATCGATGGAGGTACTGGAAGGCGTGGCTGGAGTTTATGCTGGATGTGTTGGATGCTGACTGGGATGAGCGAGAGCGTCGCGACAAGGAGGATCATGAGACGAACGGTCAAGTGGGCGATGAACCTACCATGTGGCGTGCGGAATCCATGATCATCATGTACATGGACCAAAAGGACGGTCGCCACTCCGGCCCCAAGGCCATCATGAAGGCCTTGTTTGCTTACAACGGCAGCGTGTCTTCTTCATCTTTCCAGGCGATATTCGACAAAGAACACAAAGGGCCGAGGCGGCGGGTGAAGAAGCGGAAACGCGATGCGGTCCTTGACCTGGCCAACGACCAATTCGGCGACTATTTCGACGAAGACGACTCAATTTCTTCGGGCGTCTCCGAACCTGGGACCCCCCAAAAACAGCGCGCAAAAGCTGGCGGTTCAGGGATTGGCGCGGGTATGACTGAATCCATCCATCTACGGCTGCGTCTATTCAGACTGCTTTCTGCAGCCACGAATACGCTACGCAGCCGATCAGAGCTTAATAGGCTTTACGAGGATTTTGCAGCCGGCATCAAGGTCCTTCCCTTGGATATCTTTGCGTTACTCGTTTCCCAGCGGTCGAACCCTCTATTGCCAGAGACGCACGTCACCTTGTTAAAGGAATTCTTCCACCTGCTTCTCCCCTCATCCTACAAGGATCCCCGCAAAGTGGACGAAGAAGGCGATATCACGGGCAGTCTGACGATGCCCATGCTGGAACAATGCTACGTCTGCTACCCGGCGAATACAGTTGGCCTGGAGGATAATGCTAAGTTATCGCTGGTGGTTGAGAGCGCGATTCAGCTGCTGTGGAGATTTGAAATGGTCGAGCACACGGAGAGTTTCGCTGCCGCGGTAAATAAGGGCATAGAAGCGAGAGCGAAGAAGGCGCAGAAGAAGAGGACAGGGCCCCGAAAGGTCGATGCAGCCGATTCGCATGCTCTTAATGTTTTGAACGCATCTGCCGAGAGGATCCAAACCTTGTTGGAAGTGCTGGAGGCTTCTGCTGATTGAGTTCATTTCTTTCTTTCTTTCTTTTTTTTTCAGCGCGCTTTTCTCCCCTTTGTTTGGCGTTTTCTTGCACACATGGTAATGTTGTTGAGTCTTGGTCTGTTTTCTGTTTTCAAAAGTCCAATGGGAATGAATGGCGTGTGGCGAATATTGCTGTTTTCATGATTGCACGAATAATTGTCTGTCGGCACAGAACTGGAAGCAAGGCGTTTAAAGGGGAAACTCTTGGGGGTATACACTATGATACACATAATACACGTCTATCCACCGATCAATCCATAGATACATACACACCTATTTATAATACAGATGATACCATTTTGGTGACTTTGTTGCTTTGTCTTATTTTTGTTCTCGTTCTCATTTTATTCTGCTTGCCGCTCTTGCGTCAGGCAGTTGGTTGTCAGGAAGTGGTCATCGATTTCTTTTTGCGGCCGCGGGATTCCACGCCGTAGGTTGCCATTTCTCGCCGGGTCCCTGGGCTGTTGCCCTAGCCCAGGGGTCCTTTTCATCTGCCTTTTCCGTCTTGGTCGCCTGAGGAGATGCCGCACTTGTCTCGTCTGCTTGTCCTCTCTCCTTTGCCAAAGGCAGCTTCTCCTGTTCCCTCGGGGCCTCCATGACCCTAGGCTTTGCCTCCCAGCGCGCGTCAGCCTCAGCGGCGAGATACTTCATCCTCTCCTGGCGCACCACCTCTGCGTGCTGCTCCTCCAGCGTCGGAGGATCTCGCCGTGTATGCCGTAACCATTGGTGCCATTGCGGGCTGACCTTGACTTCGGAGTAGTGCGTTGATCGGGGATATGAGACGATGCGGCGCCAGCGCTCGCCCGAGTCCTTTGTCCCGCGGGTGTTGCGGAACTCCCAGAATGTGTTGCCTTTGAGATCAAATCCTGGAGGGGAGTCAGAATGGAGTGGCAATTCTGGTTCTGCCTATATATGGGTTTGATGCCGCTGGAGGCGAATAGAAGAGACTACTAAGTGGACAGAGCAAGAGAGAGCTCCAGGAGAAAGCAAAAAACGTACCAATGAGAAAGCGCCGCCGCCAAGGGAGGCGCAGGGCCTTCCACTTGTACCACGCCTGAGCAATAGGGCCAATTTGCTTCGACGTCATGAGGATGCGGCGACGATGGACTTTTTGGAGGATTGAGCTTTTGCCGGCGAGGTTCTGCCGTCATAGGATTTGGACTCGATGCGCTACCTGTTTGTACCTAAAGGACGTGGCTGTGCGGCGCCACCTCGTGCGGGCACCAGCCACGACGAGCAGCTCTCGGTACCTTAGGTAAAGAGGTAATAAGTACCTACAGCACCTTACCTGCTGCCCCTCCCTTTTGCAATCAACCTGAAGTACCCAAATGTACATGCAACTCCTTCAAAGCAATGCGTCTCTTTGTAATGGCACCACGCAGGAATTGCCCTGTTAGAAAGCACGGCTTAGCGAAACGAGGGGCCAAGGATATTAATGCAAGTCACCTCCTATGTCGTCATTACTTACTAAGTGAGCATGCAAGGACCTCGGGCATATTGCCATCTTAATGTTAATAATGTTATTAATAGGTCCCGCGGTACCGGTACGAATAGCACCTTGACCTGTACCTGAGGCTTCTGCCTGTGTCCAATTTTGTCCAATTTTGTTCCATAGAATCGCCAACTCAGCCCCTGGTCGCCTTGTAATAACTGTAATTTGGCGCCAGATTCTCCCCCGCCAGCTCCTGCGCCGGGAGCTGACGTGCGTCACCCGCCAAGGGGCCAAAGCCGCGAAACTGCCCCAAGTACTTGAACCCTTTTTCTCTTCTTCCTCCTCCCTCTGTTTTATTGTAGTCTTAGTCTTGTCTATCCTCCCTCTTGGTCGCGGTGCGCGGGCAATACTCTCACACGTTACCGAATACACCCTAAATTTCCTCATTGTTGCCAGGCTGCAAATTCCAGTCCGCTGGGTTTCTCTGTTGCGACTGCATTCCGGACCTGCCGCTTACTCACCCCGTCTGACGCTGACTTGGTGACGACATCATCCTCGACATCCGATCACAACAAATCGCTTCCCTGCCCTTCCTCCGACTTCCACGCTTGGAGCTCTAAAAGACAAGACGATCGCCTCACCGAATAGGACACATCAAACGAAGAGAGTGCGCTTCTACTAGACCAAACATGGCTTCCGTTACGTCCTTGGATAAGGACCTGCGCAGGTTGCGCCTCGAGAAATACACTCCCGCAGCAGCCAACGAGGCTCGCGCATGGATCGAAGAGACTCTGGGGGAGCCGCTGCCGTCAAAGGATCTGCTGGAAGGCCTCAAAGATGGTGTCGCTCTTTGCAAGTATGCGATGCGCCCGCGCCCGCGCCCGCGCCCACCCCAGGCTATTGCTGTTGTCGCGTGCTAACTTTTATCCCGCTCAGGCTCATCAATCTCGTCGCTCCCACCCCCGGCATCAAGTTCAAGAAGTCAGCCATGCCATTCGTTCAGATGGAAAACATATCGCATTTCTTGCGCGCATGTCAGGCTCCGCCCTTGAACCTGCATCAGCACGACACATTTCTCACTGTCGACTTGTTTGAGCAAAAGGACCCGGCCCAGGTGCTGCAATGCATTGGCGCATTCAGCAGAGCCGCAAACGCCGCCAACCCCAAGAACTTCCCGAATCCCATCGGGCCCAAAACAGGGAAACTTGGAGTCACAGATACCAATGTTAGACCAACGAGCTCGGGCAGCCAGTCGGTCAGCAGTTGGAGCAAGAAGGAGCATGAAGGTTCAACAGCCCCGGCCTGGAATATTGCACAATATGGCTATATGGGTGGCGCCAGTCAGGGCAGCATGGGAGTTGCTTTTGGGGCTCGCAGGCAGATCACTAGTAGTGCGCCTCAGGTACCAAGTTTGGCCGAAAAGGAGCGCATCAGGAAAGAGAAAATAGCGGAAGAAGAACGCCAGCGACAAGAAGCCCAAGCCCGGCGCCAAGCCCAGCTGGAAGCCGAAGAACGTGCTCGTGCCGAGGAAGAGAAACGATGGGAAGCAGAGACGGAGCGACAGAGGGAAGAAGAACGCCGCAAGGTCCTGGAGGAGAAGCAGAAATGGGAGGAGCAGGAGCGACAGTGGAAACAGACCGAAGATAAGCGCCGAAAGGAAGAAGCTGAGGCTGAGGCTCGCGTCGAGGAAGAGCGGCGCCGTGCCAGAACCCGCAGCCCTGCTAAGCTGCGTGGGCAATACTTGAGCCAATACCAAGCCGAGCAGGCTAACGCTGAGAAGGCCGAGACCGATGAATCAATGCAAAAGGAGCGGATTCATGAGGCACGACAGCGTGAGGCCGAATATGAGCGTGACCGCCAGGAGCGAGCCGCTGACGGTAAAGTGCCTGATTCGCCGGTTCGACTAAGAGGCCGGCCAGGCGAGCCGCGAAGCCCCAGGGGGGCGGGCAATACTTCGCAGCTAAACCGCCACGAGTCTTGGTCGCAGGGTGAGCGCGAGGTCCTCCATACCAAGTGGAAGCAGCATCAAGGAGACTTGAAGGAGGATGACCGAGAGGGACTGGCGTCATCGCCGCTGCCCAGGTCTCCGCGCCCTCTACCCAATCCCAGCACCGCTCCGGGCGGACGGCCACTGCCTGATCCAGCCAAATACTCTTCTCCTCCGAGAGAAGCGCCACAGAGTCGCACAGACCGCTTCCTGGCATCCAACCCGGCGCCCATGCCGTTTGTGGCCCAGCAGACTTATGCTCGAGAGCTCGGCGCCACGGAGGAACGTGATGCCGAGGATCAGCGTCGAATCCAGAGCCAGGACAAGACCAAGGCGGCCGGCTGGGCGTCCAAGTCGTTGCTCGAGCGCGAGAAGGACCTGGAAAGACAGCGACAGAAGGAGTGGGAGGAGGCCCAGAAGGAGACGGCAGCCATTAAGCGGGGCGACAGCGGCGTTGACGGCATTGGAGGCGGGATTGATGGTCGATGGGACGTCAGCCAATGGAGCGGCTACACCGGCGGTGATGGCCAGAACAAAGGATCGCAGGGCATCGGCGCTGGTCGGAGGCAAATCGTAGGGCCACGACCTCTACCGCGGTAGGGTCCCGGACGATGACAGAAGCAAAAAGTGAGGGGGGAAGGGGGCATATCGAGGAACCTCATTGGCAAATACTTAGATGATCTTTGGTGGGCGTCCATCCGGTTAGAGGATTACATAAAAAGACGGGCGGTGGTGGTTGGGACGGAAAGGGCGGCGCATGTTATATCTGGCTTTTCATCTTGTTGTCCTCGATGTTATTTTTTTTTCTTCTTCTTTCTTCTTTCACTCATCCTTTATCTTGACTCTTCTTTCTTGAAACTTCCTCTTTTTCTCTAACTTCTCTTCTTTTGTATTCTCTTGCAGAAATTATGTTTTAGCGTTGATAACCTCTTCTTTTTCTTCTTCTCTATCTCTTCATTTTTGAATCCAAATTTGCTGAATCTTCGCTTGTGAATCTCTTTTTTTTTTTTTTTTTTTTTTTTTTGAATCCAAATCTACTGCATCTTCGTCTGTGAATCTTTTTATAGAAGCGTGCGTCAGACTGGCGATCCAGCTAGCAACACCCATCCCATGTCCCATCTCGATGGCCGCCCCTCTAAATTACTCCCCGTCCACTAAGTCATCCTTGATGTGGTCATATTTCCGCCAGCGGGACTGACGGTAAACCCCCAACTCGGCCAGTCGAGGACAGGGTAGCTTCATGGTAGCTCGAGCCAGATTCTGTTAGGCTGGCTATTGATGCAGGGCGCCGCGCAGCCCACTCTAGCCCAGGCGAGATGGGAAAATGGGGGTCCCTGCTTGATTGGCCCTACAAGCAGCAATATTACCAGTCTTCCCATTACCCATTACCATCATCATCACCGTCCTGTGCTTGTGGTCCCTTGGCCTGGCCCTGCGGATGGCACATGGAGACAGGCGAGACATCTTTGCGTCATCCAGCAGCTGCAAAGCCCCCTGCAAAACGCACAGGTACATTGACATCCTGTACCGTGCTGAGCAAGCACAGAGTCAAAAGCCCTTGCGCTGCTGATATCCCGGTCTACACATGCATTAGGTAGAAATCACCGTTGGGCTGCCACCTGGACCCGTGAGAATGGGCTAAAGGGTTTTGATGCTCGAGACAGAAATCCCGCGATATATCCTTGGGGTCCGAAAAGGGGGCCCGCCAGCCATAGCGATTTGCTTCTCGAAAAAATGGCCACACACACTGTCAAGTTGGGCATGGATAGAGTGAACACGGGGGCAGATGCTACAGTAGCAAGAAGGCGTTTTATTTTTGACTTTTTTTTTTGGGCGGCCGTCGTAGTTGAGCGGGGATCCGCGACATATTTCCTCGTCTGCTGTAGGACTTGCAACTTTTACTGCGAGGCAAAGACCCTTGTGCATCTCGTCTTCTCTTGTGCTCCTTTTCTTTGAGTTAAAATTTTTTATCATGTGGGCCTCAAGAGCCACTTTGATAACAGTCATCAGTCATTGCCGTCTACTTCTCTTCCCTACCCTTTCCGCACTATCACGGGGACGGACAGCCACACAGCCCCTGTTGGATTTGACCCTCGTCTCTCGCTACCGAGAATAGACACACGGACAACCGAGTACGCTAGCCATAGGGACCGATGCTGCTGTTGTTTGACGCAAGCCGAAGGAGAATAACCATGTTTATGCCGATGTTCCATTTTCAGCCGCTTTATCCTCTGACGCCTCAGTGCGGCACCTCTTGCACATGCACCAGCCCCCCAGACTTCCTCGAGCCCATTCGCGTCGTTGTTGTACCGGCAGGGTCACGTCGCAGTAATGGTTCAGAATCTCCTCTCCTTTCTTGATGCCTCCGGGCCGGCCGCCCACGACTCGTTCCTTTCTTGCCGAGAGAACCATGCGGCCGCTCCAATCCCAGGTGACGTTGGGATCACAGTCGTGGTTGGCAAGACACCAGTAAGGATGCACCGCAGCAACATCCGGCCTTCCATCTCGTGGGTTCTTCCGGGCTGAGGCCGTCCCACGAAACTTGGCGTATAGTGTGTTGAGTACCCACAGATCGTATTCCGGCAGCCCGGCGTAGATATCTATGTCCATCTTCTCCAGCACATGCAGCGGCGTCTCGATGTTATACTTGAAGGAGAAGGGAAGCGTCCACTCCGGTGGAGGGCCAGCGTTGGGCGACACATTGATCTCGTTGGTTCGAGAAGGTACGAAATCACCCCAGATGAATTTCACCTCTCGCACATCCAGCGGATGAACCTCTTCGTTAACAGCCATCGCCAAGACTCTAGCAAGAAGAAGAAGGTGAAGTGTCTCATCAGCTTCGAATGCACTAGGGTCCTTGGCAATAGAGTCCACGTCCTTATCGCAGACGGCAGGATGATAGCGGCTCTGAGCCTCATCGTGGCACTCTTGGCTACAGAAGACGGTATCGAAGCACTCCTCGCACTGAATGGACCGATTCTCGCTACCGAGTGGGGCGAGCTCGGAGCTGCAGGCGTCACAAACGGAATCCTTGTGTCGGTTATTGGCTGTTAGGAGGGTGTACTCCCTAAGCACAACCTCGCCGGCTTCGATATCCTCCTGAGCAAAGACGCCAAGTTGTTTGCAAGTGGGAATTATTTCGTAGTTATCCGTTTCGCTTTCCCCTTCTAACAAGACCGGTAGAGTCGCCACTTGGACGGCACACTTTGGAGCCATCTCCCTCAGGCCGTCATTCAAAGACTGCAAAGACTCTGGAGAGAAGCGATCTGGCTCATGATCATTCCAAGGATAGACCTCTCGACGGACAAGGCCAAAGTCGGGCAAATCATCGGCATCAAAGTCTGACAGGCCCAGCTTCTGTCTGGCCACGGCGTCAATGTGGTTTCTAGTATGAAGAAGCTTCGCATTCTGGGGCGCAACCGCAAGGCCTCGATCACAGAATTGAGAGGCACTTCTCAGGCAGCCGCACAGCAAGAGGCTCAGCGATAGTATCTGATATGCTCTTATCGATGCCAGGAGCGCCAGCTGACCAGATGCCACCTCTGCGTCTCCGTGGGTGCCATTGGCCAGATCAGGGTACTCATCGGCAAGATGCCCATGGACCAGGGCCTCCGGGAGAGGCTCTCCGATATATCGGCTCAAGGATTCTTGGGCCTGATCGTGGTATTCAAAGCCGTCGTTGACAATCTCATCAGTGAGGAGAAGAGCCCGATATGCGTCACCAGCGGCAAGATCGGGATATCCGAGATCCGCATAGACGGCCGCACGCTCGAGATAGAGAATTAGGTCATAGGGCAAGCTCTTGAGCCCCTCGGTTAAGAGCTGACGACGCTCGAGCAGCGTCTCGTTGACGGCGGTTTGATCTATATCTGGGGACGACATTGGTACCAGTCAGTCGTCGAAACCAGTAATCAAACAGGCTACTACACCACAACTCTAGGGTGTAAGGATACGGCAAACGTTTGATAAAATGACGGAATCTGCGAGGAAGACCAAACAGCAAATTTTGGTCAGCGTCCAGGCCACACGCTCAAGTCGCGCTACAGTACAGTAGAGAAACGTCGTTACCTGATGACAGCGTGTCAGGGTTACAAGACCGAAAGGCCCGCCGAGCTGAAACAAGGGATAAGAAAGAGACAGGAAACCCAAAGGCAAAGCGTCAAGCTGTCAACGAGCGGTCAAGTCGTTGGGTTCCTAAATGTCAACAAGTTTCTCCTCTCTGACTCCGCAGCAAGGTCGGACAGAGAACTAAGCTGGGCTGGTGGGGAGGGCAAAAGTCGATGCCAACTGTTCGGACGGCCCAAGGCCAGCAAGGACGCAGTGCTGGCGGGTCGTAGGGATTGCCGCAGAAGTGTGCCACTGGCGGCAGAGCTGGAGCTGCCGGTTTGCAGGATTTCTTGGATGGGCAACCAATGCAACGGCTGCCAGGGTTATGGCACAAGATGGGAGACACGGGATGCGGCCTTCTATATCCCCGCAAGGTGGCGGGCGCTGTATCCAAAGGCGTCCAGGAGACGGAGAGAAGGGGGTGGCCAAGCAAGCCCAAGATAAGAGAGCCTGTAAGCCTGCGCGAGTGACAAGGCGGCGGACAGCGAATCAACAGGCACGGCCTGGGCTCGTAACACTCAAGTGAGGCTGTCTCGTGACGCACTATGCTGCTGTATGGCTACAGGTCCAGGCGTTTCGGACCAGGAGAGTGGCTGCTGCTGCTACTGCTGCTACTGCCGGCTATAGCTCCGTCTGCTTGGATGGGATGGCTCTGCCCTTGCTCTGGCTTGGCTGTGAGTGGAATAGCTCTGGCTCGATTCTGCCGGGTTCCAGGCAAAACGGTTGGCCAGGAGGCACTGCGGGTTGAAGCAGATGAAGACAGCCCTGTTGGAGATTCGAAGCTACTAATTTGATATCTCCAGACTGGTTGAGACCGGGAGGGGCAGCTCAACAGGGCTCTTTCCTTGCAATCGGTGAACAAACTGGGGGAATGACGCGACCAGGACAGGCCCGAATAGCGGCACACGCTGGAGCCCTTTTTTGCACTCTGGCACCCCTACTGGCCTGCGGATGACCAAGAGCCAATGATTCGCTATCTGCACCAATTCTAGCCACGACGTGCAGCAGACGGGCTCGATTGGAATTGTGCACCTTGATAAATTAATAAACAAGGGCTGAGGCTGGACAGGAGGGAGAGGGACAGGCACAGGCTAAAGACGGGGGGGGGAAGGGAGTTGGAGGAGAGCCGTGGGAGTGGGAATTGGGAAAGACGCAGAGTAAAATTTTAATGAGGCCTTAGACGATACAGCGAACGGGCTAGCAGGCGAGCAACTGTGTGGGATTAGGGTGGTTTAGCATGCTTTCCGCCTGACCCAGCTGGACCCTGAATCCCGGGTGGGACATTTGTGGCAGCCAAGGGGATTTCAGGGTCTGCCACACTAGAGTCGCATTTGGGCTGGAGGCTCCCGGAGCCGGCAGTAACGTAGCGAAGACTCGGCTCTACAGTTGGTACCTACTGCAATAGCTCGCCTGTAACCGTGTACAGTTGGTGGATTTTTGTGCTCGTCTTGTTTTGCGGCGCTGGGGGAGGCTGGCTTGGAGCAGAGCAATCCAAGTCGGGATGCTGCTCCAAACATGGCCAGCATGTCATCTTGAGCATCAATCACAATGCCCAACAAGAGAGGGAGAGAGAGCGCCCATTTAACAAAAAAGCCAAGACAATACACACTGACCCCCCCCCTTTCAGATGCCGGGTTCACATGCGCCCTTAGCTTTATGACAGGAGCACACCAAGTTTCGGCCCTCCTGTTCACATGCGCGGGGTGCCCAGCTTTGCTCCAAGCTGCGGGCTGGGTTGCACCCATCTCCACAAGACCCGCCAGAGATTGTGCTGGTGACAGAGGGAGGGCATTCAAGTGGCCCCTATAAGATGCTCGCACAGGTATCTCCGTATGGCATGCCACGGAGTGCCTACTAGTCTAGTACGAGGACTTTGGCAGAGGCCGACGTTGGAGTGTGGCGACGTCGGCACGCTGCGGCGGGGAATAACATGGGCCATGGATGGTCACCAGCATATTCCCGCCGACCCATCAGGAATTGCTTGCAGTAGCACTAACATCATGGTCATATCTCAGCACTCGCTTATGGTGGCATAAAGTGATGCCTCAGATGTGGTCTATGAGGCTGAACGACCTGTTGAGAGGCCCATGTAGATGATGAATAACCAGGAAATGATTGTAGACAAGACTTCATCATTACGTCATTATTGCCAAATAGTCTTGTATGCTCTCCCATCTTGTCATCCCTAGCTGCAGCAACGGGACCGCCACCAGAGGCTACCTTCACGCCTCGTTTGTGGCTGTAAGTTGACACTCGCTAGATGCAGATACGTTTAGTACGTAGGTAGTATATTTGCTGGGAACTACTACTGGATACATGTCGGGCGTAAAGGTGGAATATAAGTAGGTACGTACATGACCTACAGAGAGCGTTATAACGGTATCTTCATAAACACCTGCTACCTAGGGATGCAATGTATACTGTAAATATGAACGCAGATGATTTTCAGGTACAAGACCGGAGGCTCCTCCGTCTCGGCCGCGGACGTACATACAGGCTGGGTACTAACGGCTCTCGCCCGAGATTAGAGCCCATGTCGGTACATGTACATGTAGCAGCAAGCGCAGGGGGCTACCAACATCACAACGGCACCCAGACGCTACGAGGCAGCGTAAACCTCAACTAGCATACTACATATGTACGGAGCACTACCGATCTGAGACAAATACTCGGCAATCATGTGAAATGAAGCTGGAGGTGCTTCTTCGTGAGAGGAACCCACTCGTCGCTAACAAGCGCTGTTCGCTTCGACGGCCCAAAGCTGGGGAACGGCATGTCTTGCGTTGGGGGCGTCTTGGCGAGCCTTGATCATCATGTCGACAGAGCCTTGGGGCAGACAACATGAAAACATCAGACCTCGCCCTCAATGCTGAGCCGCAAGTTCAGGACCAAGTCCTCCGTATTATAGCAGCTCCGGCTGGTCCAACACGGCCTGCAAGTTCGTATTCATGCTAGTACGAGTACGTGCACGCTCCAACCAGCATCCATGCTTAAATCTTTGCCATCCATCAATATCTTGCAAACATAGCTCCAGCCTATCAGCGCCAGCACACCCAACCCTGCCATCAACCGCACAAGCACAAGCACAAGCGACGCGAAAGCGCAGAATGGCGGGAGCGTGAGCCCCTCTCACATGGCAGAATCGACAACAACCTCATTGCTACCTAGCCCGAGCGGCACGAATCCTACTACCTCCCTCCCTAGGTCTAGCATCAGGTAGCTGGACACTAAGCGCAGTGCCGAATTCCGGACGACTGAGTCTTGACGTTGACGTGATGCTTCTCCAATCCCGACGTTTCAAGCGGCATGCAGACCGCGGCATCCCTGCAGATCGGTGCTTCAATGCGCACATTGTACATACTTGGCTTCTTTTTTTTTCTTTTTTTTTCCTTTTTTTTTCCCAGCTTCCAGACTCGTCCCTCTCTGCAACACTCATTCAGCCGTCTCCCTGTGCATGATTAATGCTTCTAGAACCATGTCGTAGTATTGAAACAGCCCAGCCCGCCGGACACGATTTTTAACCTTGATCGTAGTGGCAACGCCTACCTGAACTCTGCCCAGCCTTATCTTATCTTCCCACGCCTCTGACATAACCCCGCGCGCACGCAGCTCCGTTTCTTTCGAGCTGGCGCAACCTTCAACTCCCCAAACGGAAAAATAGAGCAAACCCCGCCATCCAAGCATCCGGACCTCTAAGTGAATTTGCACAGCTCCAAGCAAAATAAAGAAAAAAACACCACGCCGAATAGACTGACGATCCTTCGAATACACGATCCAGGCACTGTCCTTTCTTTGCAATCAGACCAACCTCAACAGTCCTGCTTCCAGCCTCGTTTTTACAGTTACAACCATGCCCAAGACACAGCCCAACCTATACGCCTTTCCAAGCGGCGATGTCCTCGCACAAGCTCTGCGCGCATACGTGATCCAGAGCCAAAACGCCGGTATTGAGCGGCACGGCGTCTTCAAGGTGGCCGTTTCTGGCGGCTCGCTGCCCAAGACGCTCGCCGCGGCCCTCCTAGCGCCCTCGTCCGGCCCCGGCGACGTCGTCGACTTTTCCAAATGGGAAATCTTCTTCGCCGACGAGCGTGCCGTGCCGCTGGACCACGCAGACTCCAACTACGCCCTGGTCAAGGCCGAGCTGCTCGACAAGCTGCCCGCGGACCAGCAGCCCGCCGCCGTGCACGCAATCGACACCACGCACCTCGGCGACATCCAGGAGCTCGCTGACCAGTACGAGAAGACGCTCGTGGCCAGCTTCGCCTCGCGAGATTCCGTTCGCTTGCCCATCTTTGACCTCCTGCTGCTCGGCTGCGGCCCGGACGGCCACACCTGCTCCCTCTTCCCCGGCCATGAGCTGCTCCGCGAGGTAGACGCCTGGGTTGCCCCCATCGAGGACTCCCCCAAGCCGCCCCCCAAGAGAATCACCCTGACGCTCCCCGTTGTCACGCACGCCGTCCGTGTCGCTTTCGTTGCCACTGGCGGCGGCAAGAAGGATATCATGAAGCAGATCTTCGACGCCGGCGCGGGGCTGCCTTGCGCTCTTGTCAACGAGGCCGCGGGAGACCGATGCAGCTGGTTCGTCGACGAGCCCGCCGTTGAGGGCGTCACCTTCCCCCGGAGGGCGTACCTGTAAAAGGAGATGAGCATGGAAATGGCGCATTATGGGGGAGGCGGAAGAAGAACGGATTCGAATTGATGATGATGCATGACCACAGCAAATGATGAGATGACGCGAAAAACCGTGAATGGGCAGATGGGCAAGCAGCATCTTCAAAAAAAGAAAACCGAAAAAAAGAAAAGGAAAAAAAAATCTTCCCATGTGTGAAGCCAACCCGCCTCCACGAGCTTGGTTTCTTCTTTTTTTTCTTTCCTGTGTCCTTTTTATCGCTTTCGCTGGGAGGTATTTTTTGACTCTTTGAAAAGAAAAAAGCTTGTCTCACGGTTGTATTTTATCATTGATATCTTATGCCCCGGCTTCGAGGAGCACGCTGGGCCTGTCCTTTTTTTTTTGTTACTTAGATTATAAGATGCTTTACTGGAAAAGAAACTTATCCCGTTAAGAAGCAAGACAGATTGAAAATCAGTCAAGATGAAGACTATTGTTCGTGAGGACGCTAATGCCGATGCTCAATGCCAATATAATGTTGATGCCGATGCTAATGCTAATGCTGCTAATGATGATGGTTCTGTTGTCCGTTCCAACGTTGGATGTATGCCCCATGCCGCAATCGTTATGTCGTCAAAGCTTCATGTTGCAAAGAAAAGATGTACCAAAACAAAACAATCCCAGACCAGAGAAAGAAATAAAAATAAAAAAGAAGAGAAAGGAAATAAGCAAAATATCAATACCCCTTAACCATTCAATGGCACTTTTCACATTTCGTTCCAGGCACCTCCCACCCGCGAAACCCGGAGGTCGTCGTCGTCGCTCCGATTCATCCTCTCAATCCACTGATCCTCCCTCACAAGCGCCTCGTGCTCAACCTCCTCCATGATTCTCAGCTCCGCCAGCATGTCGTCAATCAGCGAGCGCGATCCGTCTAGCATCTTCTCCAAGCTCGACTTTTCGTCCTCTTCCGGCGGCTCGGTGTAAAACTCATCCCGACACAAGTCGTCGATATCGCTGAGCTGCTGCCTCCATTCGTCTAGATGTTTAATGAGATCTTCACGCTCTTCTTTCCACCTGGCATCCAAGTCTTCGATGAAAACTCTGTCATCCCCTTGGACTTGCACGACCCCTCTCCTTCTCGCATCCTCCATCTCGCTCACCCCATCAATCCAATTCTCGAAATGTCGTACCACACGAGCATATCGGCCACCCGGGTCGCTCAGTGACCATACGTTCGTGATGATGGATTCCAAAGACTGAATCTTCTCGTCCAGTCTACCTCCACTGCCCCATCTTCTGAGCGCGAGCACATTCCGCTTCTCCAGCGCAGCACTCTCCTGCTCAGCAACCTCCCTGCTCTCTTCACTTAGCTTTTGGAACCGGCTTCCCAATTTCTGTTTGGCACTCGCTCGCCATTCGGCATCTACAGTTGGAGCCTCCTGATGCAGCAGATACAGCTGTAGAAGTTCTGCCTGAAGCTTGCTAACCTCGGCAGACGCAGCAATATTAGCTGGCAACTTGGAGGGCGAAGGGGGGGCTAGATGTGACGCAGAAGGTTTAGCAGACAGAGACTTCCCCGGCGAGCTGGGTCGCTGTAGGGAAGGATTTGAAGGTCGTTTCAATTGGGACGCTTGGTCTGATGACAGCAACGTACCAGCAGAGGATGGCTTGGAAAGTCTAGACACCACTCTACTGAGAGTCGCCAGCGACGGCTTACGAAACGTCGACATCTTTTCAGTAGAGGGAGCTCGGCGTTCTAGCTTTGGTTGTCCCGTCGGAGTCGCAGCCCGGCTACTAGCAGCTGAATTTGCAGACCGGGTGGTGGTTGGAGTAATAGATCGAGTCGTGGAGGTTCTAGTCGCAGATCGGGCAGAGATGGAGAACGTGGTAGCGCGAGACAGCCCTCCTACCGAGGGGGATCTCGTCCGATTCGAAGGCGGCGTCTTCGCATTTACCGACGAAGGCGTAGCCGGCCCCCCTGAAGCTGAGAAAGTATTGGACCGAGCCATGGCAGTCGGTGTTACTGATCGTCGAGTCGTCGTTGGTACGCCCGCCTGGGCTGTTGGTGTTGCGGGCCGTCGGATTGGATCTCTCGACCTCGACGTGGGCTTCACCACGGTTGGTCCAGCGAGGTTTGTGGCCGAGCTTCTTGTATACGCAAGTCCCGTCGACCTTCGCTCCAGTTCTTTTGGCTTTCCCTCCATTGATATGCTCGCAGACCTCCCCCTCGTCTGGATGGAGGGTCTAGTCATGGTTGTCGATGGTGGATATTTGTTGGTCGCGGCCGTCTTCTCCTTTCTCGCCATCACCTCCTTCGTTGCCATCGTCATTGACCTCGCCAGACGCCCGGGCATTGGCGGCGCACCAGGAGCCCTAGCATTGCTGTTGGTGGCCGTGTTCTTCAAGCTGTTCGTCGAGCTGCTGGAACTAGAAGCTACCGAGACGCTTGAGGCGCCTCGGGCACCATATCTGGGCAGCCGACTTGGCGACGTACTTCGGGGCACCGACGCCTCTCGAGTGCTAGACGATCGGGTCGGTATTTGTGGGATGCCCGTGTTTGAGCGTACCGAGCGCGAGCGAGGAATTGACGACATGGCGGTGATGCTGGAGGTTGGGAAATAATGAGGATGAAGCTGGCCTGCCCGACGGTGACATTTCACCTGTTAGTGCCCTACGCCGGTGATGTCAGGGAGCTTCAGGCGCTATAAAGCCCAACTGCCGTACCTGGCTACTCCCGTTTGGGTCAGGCTCACATGCTTGTGTGGCTGGTAGCCCCAGCTCCGCCAATTGGATTTGTGGTTTATACTCCATAGCCATCTCGCCTTTCCCCTGACTCAAGTATTGATACTGGACTCATAGCAAGAATAGGTACTCATTACTTGACATTTAATATTGAGGTATGAGAAATTCTTCATTTTTTTGTTTCTCAATTGCATCAAAGACGGCAATATCATATCATCTTCGAGTACTACCTCGACGGCTAAGGTACATAACATGTAGTCTATTTTCAATCACTCTCTCAGAGAGAACAAACCAGAGATACCCTGACTCATGCAAACAAATTCAAAGTTGCCCAAACCATGGGTTGGCATGTCGACTTCCCTAAAAAACCATTGGAATTATCCATTCCCATTCTCTTTGAACCAACGAGTGACTGAACCAATCCTCTTTAATACTGTACATGTGAAATATTTCCGCCCCAAGTCTTGCGGGTAAGCCGAAAAATGGTATCAAAAGTAAAACAGAGGGCCGAGCCAGAGCTTCCTTTTTATGGTACTTCGATACAAGTTTGCGTTGAGAAAAAAAAAGACACTGATGATGACATTCGTACTCCAGATCCCATGACAGTAATGCTTCATGCCGTAAAAAAAGATAAAAAAAAATAAATGGAGAAGAAGAAGAGAAGAAGGGGAAAAGTGGGCGGGCGGAATAGGGGTATCATGAGTATGTGGCGGGTAAGATTAGGAGATATGCGGCGTCATTGTGTTGGCTACAGCCCCAGAGAGGTGCCAAGACGAGATGAAGACGCGAGTCCTAAGGACCAGCACTGGCCAGGCCATCAACTAAACGGCGGAGATCCCGTTGATAGCTGCCAAGCTTGCGGTTGCAGGCCTCGCATATCCGTAGATGGCAGAAGGCACACACCCAGCGATCTTCGGCGTCTGCTCTGTCGCAAGTTTGACAGGTGAGTGGGCAATTCCTGTTGCTTCGGCGAGCCATGGTTCTGTGTTGTTGAAAGCAGTTGAAATGTGTGTCGCTAAGAGGTCTCGCCTTGACAATACCATCTCTGGGCAGATTTGGATACTTTTGTGTGGGGAAATATGCAGCCTTGGGATGAGGTTCGCCATCGGATTTCATCTCCGCATAGAGCGTGCCATCACGGCCCCGGTACAAGAGCCCTTGTGTTTCTGATTGCAAAAGTCGCGGGTCTGCTGTCGCCTGGGGCTCGCTGAGCTGAGGCTTCACTGTTTGGGTTACGTTTGCTCGGATCACGGCAGGCTGGGGCTGGGGCTGGGGCTGCACTGCGGTTGTTCCTCCAGAAACAAGTGAGCGGGCAGATGCATCATCTTTAGGAGGAGAAGCTGCCGGTGCAACCACTGGTGCAGATACAGCATCGTCCTTTGGTGGTATTGTGGATACAGCCCCTTGGCTGGATGCACCGGTACTATTGGCGTCAGACGGCGGACGAAAAGAATTCTTGACAGCTGTGAAGTCCTGGCTGGGGCTTGTCGGCAGGGCCTTTCGTGATACAGGTTTCAGAGCGCTTGCTGCTGCAGTCTGGTCACCGGAAGGCTGTGGTGGGAGACCTTTTGAAAAGTCCGGAGAAGCGCCCCGTGGAGCCTCGGGAGATGACGCTGGAGACACGGGAGAGATGAAAGGCTCGACAACCGGCTCTTTGACCTCTTCCTTCTGGTATTCTGGTGTTGGAGGTCGCTTCGCGGCTGGGACACTCGGGAACCCAGCTTTCGTACTAGAAGTGCTGGATACCGACTCGGACCGCTGAGAGCCAAGTCTGTCTTTGATCTGCCTCAGCTTGGATGTTTCGCTCCCCATGGCTTGCGTGGCAGGGGGCGGCTGGTCCTTTGCCGGCAGCGAGGGACGAATATTCCGGCCAGGCAAGCCGCCAGCAAACGGAGGAGCTCGCTGGGCTGCGGCCTTGGCCGTATCGGACGCTGGCTCCGACGTTGTCTCCGGTCCAGCTGCGTCTGGGGGGAGCTGTGTATCTGCGGTTGATCCATGGCTGTAGTCGAGCTTGAGGCCGGGGAGCTCTCTGCTGGCTTGGCTCATGTGTGGACGGCGTTTCCAGATCTCGGGGCGAGGAGATGATGGGGAGGTCAGCTCTGGACTGTCTGGTCTTGGAGGCGTTGGTTTCTCGTCTTTGGAGGGTGGTGGAGGAAGATTTCGATCAGCAGGGCGCTGGGAGTGGCCAATGCCAGCGTTGGGGCGAGCAGGCAGTGAGCCACTGCCGCCTGTGACATTGGCGGTTGGAGCACTGGCAGGCGCAGCAACTGGGTTTTCGCTACCCGATGCTGCGACTTCCTGTCCTTTCTCGCCCGCACTGCTCTGCTGCGACTCGTCACCATCTTCCATATACGCCAGCAGGATGCTCGACAGAGAGAAGGTGGGCGATGGCTGGGCCAAGAATTGCGTCGTCGGCGCAGGCAGCTGCAGGTTCGCGATGGGCTTCCGCGGGATCGACATCATGGACCGGCCACTCAAGGGCGGCGACTGCAGGCTCCCCGAGACGGAGCTGCTGGGCGAAAGTGAGGGCGCCGCGATGCTGATTTGGCTGCTGGTGTTCGCGTAACTTGGGGTATTACTATTAATATTTTGATTCAGGCTATCTTTGCTGCCGCGATTTGGCTGCGGCGTCGTCGGCAGCGTCTTGGTCGGGGGCACGGGAGGCAGCGGAGGAAGCGGGAGGCTCTTCGTCGGCGGCGGTGATGCGAGCGACGAGGTTCTCGCCGGGAGACTAAACTCGCTATTCTTTCGATTATGATTGATGCTGCTGTTCACAGTGTTGCTCTCGCTGTCCTCATCGTCGTAATCTTCGAATCCGGGGACTCCAGGCAACGCCTTGGAGAAGCGGGATGCGCCGCTTTTAGGGACTGAAAGATCAGATTGCCGCGACATCGTGGCCCAACACACTGACACGGCGGAAAATCAACGAGAGCAGAACGGCAGAACGGTCGAGACCGGATTCAAGAGGACGACCGCATATGCCTGTGCTAGCTTGAGACGATTGGCAGCGCCCCTGTGAAGCTCACTGTTGGCAGTGGGAGTGTTTTGCCCGTGTTGCGCAGCTCCGACGAGTGCGCATTGGGAAGAATTGGCAGTCCATGAGCAGAAGCAGAAATGCTGAGACGAGAAGGTCGTCCTAGGTTGTTTTAGATTCCGAGCGAGTCCCTGGCTAATACAACTTTGGCCGAATGGCGCCAGCCAATATGCGGGAGCGGCGATGAAACGGGCATCAGGACATGGGGCTGGTGGCGCCTCGGCGGGGACGCCAGTCTGCATTGTCCTTGCATATGACATGGCCTGGATTGGATTGGATTGCTTGGAATGCATTGGATGTCGTCGCAGGTGGACAGGGATTGCGTCTGCGATCCTCTGCAGGAGATGCAGCTTGGCAGGGTGAGGCTGCATTCTACCTACATGCTACAGTATTACCCCGTATGTTTATCGAGTCATCTTCACTCATAAGCATTGACTATTCATTCATTAGGCACCAATTATTACACTTCACTTGGCCAAGGTATTTTGACGTTGTCAATAGCAGTCAATCTGCACCTACGATGATCTGCCGCAGATGCCGGCCATGTCAAAACTTGTTCTCGTTTTAGGCTCAATCGTATTCATGACGCTCATAGAAGCGCCACGACGTCATGACATGCTAGCGCATGAAAGCTATTCCGGATTCTCGTCATGGAAAAAGAAATCAACAGCCGGTGGGAAGAAAAGTGATGCAGATTGTCAGCTCAGCTGGTCCAGCATCCATGCCATGCTCCGCGGTGGCTGAGAAACCCGGCCCAATCTTGCCGGTGTCTCTGATTAGCCACTCACCAGCGTGCGCCACCAACAGACGGCTGGGCGCGAAGACACATGCAGTGGACAACTGACGTAGCATTAAATCCATGTGGTTCAATTGAGGCCGCCGGTCCATGTATCCACAGGAATGTAACAGCGGCTCGTTGGCACTGTGAACATTGACAGTGCCGCTGACTTCTCTTTGAAATGGCAAAGATAAGCTTGGAAACAAATAGATGGAGTACATGTATCCGGCGGATTGGCACGTTTTATCGTCTGAAGTGATTCGACCCGTCATTGGCAAACCGACAAATAACGTTGCCGGCTCCCCGCATGTGGAGGAAGCCTGCAGATGCGCACGGGCAGATTTGCGACACATGGCACGGCAGAGCTGATGCTAAAACGTGGCAGCTGGACTCCGTATCTTGTTAGCCGAGATGGATCAATTGGAGTGGTTCGATTGGTGCTCATCGGTTGCTTCGTACCGTACAGTACGAGTACGTGATCATTCCAATTGAGAACATCACTTAGACGATCAGTAAGGCATTTTCAACATTTAGCAAGTAACATACATTGAAGCCCTCATCTACTCAGTAGAATCTTCTTCCGGGGGCAAAAAGTGTTTATCAGGCCATTCAAAAGCGTCCACTTCCGCATCCTCAGCATCCAAAGCAAACCGGCCCGGAAACATCCTCTTCTTCACCTCCCTCTCCAAATCCTTCACGTCTGGAAGAGCGACAGCCATAGGTTCGAGCAGTGCTTCGTCGGGATTCTGGAGCCCAGTGTCGTCTTCAACCGGAGAGGTTTCTTTTGGTTTAGAGTTCCGATCCGTGAGCCAAGGAAGAAAGCTCAGCAGTGTTATCAAGATACACGCCAACGAAGCAACAATGTATACCCATATCTTTTTGGCCGCACTAAACTGCAGCTCGTCGTCTAGTTGCAGAAATGGCGTGCTGAACACCGTCTAGATTTGTTTGTTAGCTAATTAAACGCTCATGTTGGCTACTTAAGAGTTTACATACTGCGACAAAGGTAGGGGGTAGATATATCATGGTGAGAATTGCAATCCGGGTAGCCGTTACGGCATTCTTTGCTGACGACTCCGACTGTGCCTTTGCATGCTTCGACTCAACCTGTGCCTGGGCCGCAATTCGACGCAGCGCAATGGTGTTGGCCCGCATATAATTCGCATTTCGAATCTCCATGGTGTGCAGGAGCTATGTCGAGATTAATGTTAAACCTGGAGCATCACAATATCGCATTCATTTACTCACAGTGTGCCTGACGCTGAGGAGGTTGTTCTTCAACCTAGCTGAAGATGAAATGAGCACATCGATGCCGTGGATGGCATTTTGCATCCCGCTTAAGACGGTTTGGCTTCCCAGGAACCAATCATCTGGATAGTGTCGCATTTGGTTCAGAACTCGTTTGTTGGACTCCATCACAAGATCAAACTCTCCAATCAACTCCAATGCTGCGTTGCAGTTCTTCAAGCACTCAGCATCAAGCGCACCATCAATACTCCCGTTTGCTTGATTATACTTTGCAATAGTCAGTTAGTAGATCTTGACAGCTCAACACGAGGGCACAATTACTGCAATTTTGGCCATCTTGTCAACCTGAACATGGTGTTGTACAGATGATAGATCCTCGACTTCCCTTGCCAGAACAAGATGCGCCGTAAACCAACTCGGCCAAACCATTGTCTCTCTAGCCCGCCCGTTTTTGGTAACTTGTTTGCTTAGCTCTTTAGAAACATTCTCCTCGATCTCTCTTGGACACAAAATAAGTGTACGCGCTGTTCTAGTTTCATTATTCAAGACGTGGCAAACGTGGATCTTAAGTTTAATTCCTATCACGCTTGACATGACTATTGGCACCGTTAATCGATACCAGATACAGGTCGTCGTGCCTATGGGCTCTGAGCAAGCCCTCTCGGGGGCAATAAAAAAGAAGAGATTGTGTGCACTCGTAGCAGGCAAGTTCCAACTGGAGCAGATCTGCCGGACAATAGCTTCTTTGGCGTATATATGCTCTTGGTCGTATTTCAGTAGAACGGCATATTCTGTGTCAGGCTGGTTCAGATTCGCATCTTCACTGTTGATATAGGTCACAGGCTTGGGTTCTGGCCAGCCAGAAGAAAATATGAGGCCTGAGTCATCCTCACTAAAAGTTATTAGAGGTCCGAAATTATAATTTGTCCAAAACTCTGGCTTCGTTGATGCCATCGCAAAGTGTGTTTAGATAAAGAACAAAGACTATATCGACGTCGAGACCAATATGGAGATATAATATAATACAACGTTGAAATAAGAATACAATGTGTTGGAGTTGCCCTCGATGTTTTTACATGTAGGCATCCAAGTTAGTCCTTTTGTAGGTACTTATACTGAGCCATGCTGCAAATATGCCTGTGAGTATGCCTATTAGTCTGCCCAGCTCAGCCTATTGGGGGCGGCTTCTAGGCGTCATTGACGTCATTGAGAAACGTGCATACATGTAAAAAGCATGCACATTAATACTATTGCTCGGAGTTGAAATCTATACATCTTTTATCCTGTAAGAGAGAATACATGTAGCTTGAGTGAGATGCATATGTCCATTTATGCTCGTTTAGGCATTTCAGCCACCCCCAGGTTTTACAAAGTCCAAATGCGGAGTTCATCTACTCCACACGCCACAACCTTCAACTTCCCTACAAGTGCCTTGCAAACGCGATACTTGCTTTATCGTCTCATCAGTAATTGTTCAAGATATTATTAACAACGCTTGACATGACCATAATAGCCTGAAAATTCATCAAATCATCTTAAAAGCCGCTCTCACGCTCGTCTTCGGATTATATCGCTTCAGTGAGATTTATAATAACCCCGGAATAATACGAGACGATCTAAATCCAAAATCGGATGCTAAACGCGACTCGCAGCTACATTATTCAGCATCATCTACTCGATGAATTGCAGTTTGGCCTATCGATAGTGATGGATTTATCATATTTACTCAAGATTGCGTTCTTTTTGGATCATATTATTTTGATGAAAACGCCCTTGGGTTGACAAGGCAATGCGCTGATATAAATATCGCCCCTGGCTAAATGAGGACGGCCTGGGTGGGGGGGCTCACTAGCAACTCGTATATCGACACATCTCACCGTTTTGTTTTTGCGTGTCAGCTTTCATATACGCATCTCACAAGAGAGGTGTGTGTCTCCCGGTGTACGCGCTGCCATCTAGTTGCTGCAATCCCTACCTTTGCTCTCTGTCTAGGTAAAAACAAGGTTGTACTTCCCCGAGATTGAAGCTAGGGTTATCAACGCGATCGGCGGTTGTTGTAATTTGACTCAACTCCCATCAAGATGGGATCACCCAGTTCCAATGAAGAAGAGCCATTGGCATCTGCTCCTCCAACAGAGACGTCACCCCTTCTTTCCCAGCCTGGCCCTCGCAATGGCGTCTTGGGCAATGGCAACGATGTCGAAGATGGTAGTGTCGAGGCCAGACCGAAGAAACATCCCATGGCTGACAAGATGCACATTTTGCTTCCTGCCATTGGTGTTGGAGTAAGTACATGTAATCATCCCACTAGAGAAAACATGTTGACAAGACGTCTTCATCCAGGTCTATCTCGTGGCCGTCGACCAGCTCCTTGCCGTTGCGACATATGCCAAAATCGGCAGCGAGCTCAATGCGTTAAACAACACGAGTTGGATCGCCACCGCGTAAGCACGAACCTCACAAACTGATCTCCCGCCGAAATATGACAAGTGACAAAAGCTTCTAACGTAAAAATTTGACAAGATACTTCCTTACCCTCACAAGTTTTCAGCCGCTGTACGGAAAGCTCAGCGATATTTTTGGTCGAAAGGCGTGCCTCCTTTTCGCATACGCCGTCTTCGGCATCGGCTGCTTGGGGTGCGGCTTAGCCCAGAGCATGACGCAGCTTTGCGTCGCTCGAGCGATTGCTGGCATTGGTGGAGGAGGCATGAGTTCTGTTGTGTCGATTCTGCTTTCTGATATTGTCCCACTGCAGGAGCGCGGCGTCTGGCAGGGCTATATCAACGTGGTATATGCTGCTGGTACTTCAACTGGAGGCCCCCTGGGAGGACTCTTTGCTGATTCTCTTGGATGGCGATGGTGAGGGTGATCATGGCTTGAAGAGCTGAAAAGAGAGGTTGAACGTCGGCTAACATATCAACAGGTCATTCATGATTCAGGCCCCCTTGTGCCTGGTAGCCTGGGTTTCGGTATACTTCATCCTCGATCTTGAGCCTCCTTCAAAGGACCACTGGGTCGCCAAAGTTCGCCAGATTGATTTTCTAGGAGCCTTCACCCTCGTGCTCGCCGTTGTTTCTCTACTAACGGGCCTAGACTCGGGTCCTAACCTTGGATGGTCTCATCGCGTCACCATCATCTCCCTCAGTCTCACGCCTATCCTGTTTTCCCTGTTTCTATTCGTGGAGATGAAAATCGCCAAGCACCCATTTGCCCCGGGCCACATCATCCTCAGCCCAGACTTACTTCCCTGCTATATCGTCAACATGTTTGGCATGGCGGGTGAAATGGGCGTCATGTTCTTTGTGCCATTGTATTTCCAGGCCGTCGAGGGGCTAAGCGCCACGGCGAGCGGCTCTTTGCTTGTTCCTGCAACCATAGCCGGCGTGATGGCGTCTCTCGCCGGCGGCTGGGTCATCAAGAGGACTGGCAAGTTTTACTGGCCAACGGTTATTAGCTACGGCATCTTGTTTTTCTCAATGGTGCCGCTGATCGTTTCGGTGTGGTTCCGCTCACTGGTTGGATCCAATACCGCATTCGTCCTCTCGGCCATTGGCAACGGTGGTGGTATGTTTTATTTAATTTGTCCTTGACCTTCGCCCCGCCCCCACGCACTCTATGCTACCTCACATGTACATGGATGCTATCTACATACATTATATGCCATTTATACAACACCAGACTAACATTGATTACTCTCTCTCCAAGGCATAACTACCATCCTCATCGCTCTTCTTGCCAATGCAGCCACCGAAGACACCGCAGTGGCCATTGCCTGCTCGTATCTCTTCCGCTCGCTCGGCTCCAGCGTTGGCGTCGGTGCCAGCTCTGCCGTGCTCCAGCAGGTCCTGAGAACACAGCTAGCTTCCCGTATTGGAGACGATGCTGGTCAGATTGAAGAAAAGGTCCGCCAGAGCCTTGACGCTATCAAGGAGCTGCCACCGCTTGTGGCCGAACAGGTGCGCTCAAGCTATCAGATTGCTACAATTGGGTCCTTTGTGCCGTCAATCTTGTTTGGTCTTGTGTGTTTTACTGCTACGTTTTGGGTGAGGGAGAAGTCTCTCAAGAGGTAGATAAGGTACAGGATGGAAGACGATCTAGATTCCATCTTCGTATTGTTGCAGGCCGCAGAGCCATTGCATAGGTACACGTTTATAGTATAGAGGTAGTCCTTGGCAGCATCCATACATGTAATTAGTATTAGAATTCATTACATGTAGTAGATAAGGAAAGCCAGCTTCGTGTTTATCGTGTCGACGGCGCAACGCATGACCAATTGCCTAATGTTCACCAACAGCTCGCTACTACCTCGATAACGGCAACCAAAAGTCCGAATTACATGTGGCACTGCAATGCTCGTAATCACAAGCATACATATACGAAGCAGGTACGAGAATTGTCAATGCCCTGCCAAGTTGTGCTCCGAAAACCGGTGCTATTCTGCATCCCAGCAGCAGATCGGCACGGGCCCTCGCCAAGCGATTGCGCCTTGGAGCTCCAGCCTCTTCCCTTGATCCCGGCACAACGGCGCAAAATCTTGGCCAAATATTTTTTTTTTGTTATGGGCATTTTTCCCTCTTTGTGATGCTCCCCGGCACAGACGCCCGCCGTAGACGCACGTCTGTAGATGCAACCCTGACGATGGATACGGCTCTCCTTGTGTTTTGATTCTGATGCTGCACGATTGCGCAATGTCTTGGCCAGGGGGGTTCGGTCAATGGGCTTGAGTGATGCCTGGTGCCGAAATTCGGCCTCGAAAGGATGGCGATGAAGATCTGCATTTTGGGCCTTTTGATTTTTTGGTTCCTTTGTCCTTGCCATTATTCATCGCCCACTCACTTGCAGGACATACTCGCACATGTCTAAGCCACAAAAACAAAGGTGCGTAATCTTAATATTATGCTTCAATGGCAACATGTACTAGCCTAACCGCCTAGGTAATTGCCGCAGACACCAGACCTTAGCGAGCCGCGTTAGACAATGGAACTCCAAGTCAACTCTACCTGTACTCAGATATTACCCATCAAGTAGTATTTAGGCATTAGGGCAGTTGACGTTGAACCATCTCCCTACTACCTCAGTATCTAAGGCAATACTACATTACTCTGTACTACATATGTACTAACAAGGCAATACAAGGCAAGGGACTTCTAAATTCACGCCTCTCTCTTTTGCCCGTTTCTTTTTTTGTTTACCTACATGTAGGTACCTATTCTTGTAATACTTGCTACTAGTTGCCTAATTAGGTGCCCACTACCGTAGCGTCCTCCCAAAGTTCGATTCAATGCTCGGTACTTTCGAAACACCAAACGCCATTCTCTTAGGCTGCAGCCCAGCGGCAACGGCAAGGATTCACATGCTCCTTCGCCGAGTCACCTCTACACGCCCAGCCCACGACACATGCCCAGCATCTGTCCGTACTCGGTACCCAAACCAAGCAGCATGAGACGCTAATCAGATCGGGCCAATTTACCCCGCGCCGCCTATATTTGTTCCGGCGCCCTTTATCGCGAAGCTTTTTATCAAGCTTAGACGGGCCTTGGCGCCTCAATCCAGAAGGTCGCAAGGCGTGCGATATCCATCGCGACCCAAGATCGGGCTCGGAAGCAACTGACGGATACGGCAGGCTGTTGAGCTTCGAAACTGCCGGAGCCGGCCGATCGTTTGTTCTTGAACGGACGTGTGAGTTGTAGCATTGGGAGCTTGACGCGCTTATCTCTGTCTCTCTTACACGGACGGAGGTGTTTTGGGGCTTGTGTTTGAGCTGTGCTCCTGTTAGCTCATGTTGTTTTGATTTTGATTTGTTTAGTGTTTATTTATTTATAATTAAGTTTACTCCTTTAGTGTTAGTCATGTAGTATTGTCGTCGTCATATCATATGTCTAGCCTTGTCCTGCCGGTGACCAGGCGTCTATTTCTCATTTCAGGTCTATCCAATCCGTCTCTCTGTCCGCATGCACGGTCTTGCATGGCCAGTCTCCAGCCAGTAGGATTTTGACGTGCGATGCCATCATCGTCGCCTTCTGTTTCTGGCCTCCCCTTCTCTCAGCTTGGATCTTTTGCGAACCCTAGCAATTGGCCTTTATTGTAATCTCCCTTTAGGAAGGAGATGCCTTCATGCGGCGCCATCTGGCACTTGGGCCTCGGTCTGCGATTGGGGAATCCATCCAACGTCGTAGTATTGGGCTGGGCTGTGCTTGATACGCATCTAACTGGTTATCATGTCTGCCTTGGATGATCTTGTTGAAGGTGTATATAAATAAGGGGGACGGCTCCCCTCGACTCGACTTGGAGAATCACCACAGTTCACCACTTGAATTCCATCCAAAGCCCTCTTCTCCCTACCTTAGAAGACCAAGCTTCCATCACTCGCAATGGCTCCCGTTTCCCAGGTTGTCTCAGCTCTTATGCTGCCCGCTCTCGCTCTGGGAGCTGCCATTGAGCCCCGCGGCGCTGATATCGTTGGAGGAACTGCCGCTGCTCTCGGCGAGTTCCCCTACATCGTCTCTCTGTCCACCCAGGGCTCTCACTTCTGCGGTGGTGTTTTGGTCAACGCCAACACCGTCGTCACCGCTGCCCACTGCTCCGTCGACTTCACTGCCTCGCAGGTCAAGGTCCGCGCCGGTACTCTTGTAAGTTGGCTCGCCCCTTCTATCACCTTAGCATGAGGAGCACAATTTGCTCGCTTTCTGTTCTCTTATCATATCCCACCCTGGAAGAATGTCAGTCATGATACTAACAACACCGTCGTTATAGACCTGGGCTTCTGGCGGTACTCAAGTCGGTGTCTCCAAGATCATCGTGAACCCCTCTTACAACTCCCGCACCACCGACTTCGACGTTGCCGTCTGGAAGCTGGCCAGCTCCATCCCTCAGAGCTCCACCATTGGCTACGCCACCCTTCCTGCTGCTGGCTCTGACCCTGCTGCTGGCTCCATCGTCACCACCGCTGGCTGGTAAGCATGTCCCATATCTTATATCCTACACCTTTCACTTGACATGAGACCCAATGCTAACTGATTCAACAGGGGTACCACCTCCGAGGGCAGCTCGTCTCTCCCCGCCAGACTCAACAAGGTTTCCATCCCCGTCGTCTCTCGCGCCACTTGCCAGTCCGAGTATGGAAGGTCTGCTATCACCACCAACATGTTCTGTGCTGCTCAGGCTCAGGGTGGCAAGGACTCTTGCCAGGGTGACAGCGGCGGCCCCATCGTTGATGCCAACGGTGTTCTCCAGGGTCTCGTTTCTTGGGGCAACGGCTGTGCTGAGGCCGGATTCGCTGGTGTCTACAGCAGACTCGGCGCCCTTCTCAGCTTTGTCCAGGCCAACCTTTAAGCGCCTGTTAGGACAAACAAAAAAACCAAAAACCAAAAAAAATCTCGTCTTCTTAGCGGCAGAGATCCTGTTCTCTTCTTGATTGGTTAGGAAACCGGAGCTGTGGGCGAGTCCGGTTTCACAGCAGAAGGCCTTGGCCAAGTAGTTAGGGTAAATAGGATTTGAATTTAAAAAAAAAGGCATCTCACTGAAAACACACAAGACTCGTTTATTAAAGGGGCGCAGTATGAACTCTTTGTTGTGATCACTCTTTGTTGCGCCATAAATGTCGATCGAGTATATGATCCTGTTCACTTAAACAATTGCGTCATTCTATCAACCGCAGTCTCACGATATTTCAACCTATCCATGAGAACAAGAGAGAAGATTGACTTATCATGAGCATCGTGGAGCAAGACCTTAGTGGTAAATTAGAATTGTATCGTGATGAAAATATATCATACTATCTCGTTATTCCCCTTTTGCTCGCGGGGTTTGCATAGGCTCCATCCCAAAAATATCGCCAGAACTAAGAGGGTCTCTTTCATCCAACTCGGACGGTGCTTCTCCGAATAAAAACGCATTCTTTTCCCGGCTAACATTATTGTTACGTTTCTTTTGTTGAGCTGCAGGTGATTTTCCTATTGGAGGCGTTTGTGGAGGTCCAGACTCGCCCGGTTCTAGCATCCATGAGAATGAAGACTGTGCTATAGTCGATCTAGCAGGTATGGAGGCAGCCGCTGGAGCCTTGGGTTGGACTTCATTCAGCACCTCCTCTTTCTTAGTATCACTGTTTGTGGCTTCTGCTGCCTCAGAGAGAGGGTCTTGGATTTCTTCAGGCTTCTTTGTTTCGTCCAAAATTGAAGTTGCTTTCGTTTGGTTCAGAGCGGACGCATTCGTGCCAGAAGATTCAGGCGATAAAGGTTGGTTCTCTTTTTCAGCTGGCGGCGCTTTCTTGATTTCCTTATCCTCTCTTTTGTCGGCCGCAAGTTGGACTTCCTCAGAAGCAGGGGAGTCTACGGTCGGGATATCCATCGAGGCATCCTGCAGATATATCTGCACAAATTGGACTTTGGCTGCTGCAACTTCGATCATGTCAAGGCTTCTAGCCTTATCTTCAAGATTAGACAGAGATAGGGCCCTCAGGCTCATGACGGTCTCTTCGAGCAGGCTTGCTAGTTGGTCGTTTCGTCTCTGCATAACAGCCAATGCCTTGGCTGCGCCATCGTCGGCCAGGACGACTCTCGGATATGGTGAAGAGAGACCTTCGTTTAGTCCCTGCATATTTCTTTTTATTTCACCAACGGCATCCCGTAACGCTTGGTTGATTCCCAACTTTTCGCTCTTCTCTAACACGCCCTGAATCATATTTTCCACTCCACCCTGTTGCTGAAGAAATTTTGATGGCGAGCGGATTGGTGACCTCAAACCAAAGCCCTTTCTGCGAATTGAATCAAGTCCAGAGAGGGGTGAGCTAATGCGTTCAGCAGGCTCGGGGCTCTTCGGAACCTTGGGAAGTCTTCCTGAATACTTCTTGATCAGGGTTGCTCCCCCGAGTGCATTCATGTGATCGCGGAGATAGAGTGCATCATCGACGAAAGTATGAGGTCCATGCAACTGAGCAGGGGGTGGGTACTTAAGAAGTAGTTGCAGGCAAACAGAATAGTCGGATTCTAACACTAGATTGAATTGGTCAGAATAACGAATTAGGGACTTTTACGAGCGAACAAAAGATAACTCACATTGCCAGCGGATTCGCAGCAGCATGGCGCAACAAATGAGGTCTATAAGGTCTAACGTAGGATCGACGGCCAAAATTGTATCCCAAAGCACAAGAAACTGGTTGAAAGGAAATTCTCGGCTGAATAAAAGTCGGATCCAGCGGCTAGTAAATAGATTAGCATTCATGTAGGAGAAAGTCGGTTACCAAAATTGATGAATAGTTCTCGCACTCACATTAAAAATATTTGGGGAAGTATCTCTATACTCGTAAGATGTGCTGCTAGTTCGGGATCAATCTTTTGTAAGCAGACTTCGTGAATGAATTTGCTCCGCTCGACAATGGCAGAGCTTTGCTCGGGAAACCGAGATTGTGATGGGCCGTCAGTCGGTGGGCTTGGATTTGGTACATCTTTGACTTCGTAAAACGACTGAGCGTGCTCCATCAACTGAGAAAATAAGATAAAGGTATCATGCTCAATGAACGACAGGTCGATGGTTTCGAGCATCAGCTCCTCAAGGTCATTTTCGTCATCACTGGCGGAGGTGGATGCTCGATCCAGGGCATCTTGTTCGACGACGTGTAATATAGGGGCCAGGAGTTCATGCATTCCCTGTCGATAACCACCCCTATTTGGATTCTCCTTGCAGTAGACAAAGAGTATATCCAGAATCATGCGCTGCATATAGTCTTCATGATAGTTTGCTTCATCCGGAAGTCTTTGAACGTCTTGCAAGATTTCTGCTCTAATAACTTCATCTTCGCGGACAGTATTCCAAGGGGACTTTAAATGTTAGAGCCCATCGAGTCCATGTCTAGGCCGGAGGTTCCCACTCACTTTAGGATCATCGGCCAAAGGGTCAATGGTGAGCTCAGTGAGAGCCTCAGGGTGGTTTATGAACTTGAGAAAGTGATCACGACGTTCGCCATATAGCTCTCTCTTCTCGCGGAGAGATTGAGACCAGATTAACATGGTATCGTCACCATCTTTGGACAGAAGAAATGCCTTTCCGTAGCAAGTCAGCATTAGACCCCCATCCCCAGACATAGACGTTACATGCGTAAGCAGACTCACCTTCCAGCAGACAGAACGACAGCCCGATAAGCAAGGGCTCGAGGGGCCGTTATGGCGGACCGCATTCTGTAAGTCCTCAACGCTTGCGCAGTGCGTCTGAGTTGCCTGCCATCTTGCTCTTCAGGAGCAGTCAGTTGGCGGCTCTTGACATTCATTGTGTGAGACCCAATACTCACTGCGTCTCTGCAAGAGATCTCATCCTGACGAGGGTCCTGGCGAGTAAGGCTAAGCAATGAATCTCATCGACATGGCACGCTCACTTCCAGCTCTGAGGTGAGTCTATCGCCGCATCGGGAATACCAAATTAGTGAATATTACGCAGTCCACGATATCTCACAAGGTCCAGCTGAGAGCGAGAAGAATGAGAGGGCTGTGGAAGTACGGCGCAATAGCCCCGCACGTGGGCACCTCGGATGTACAGGTACATGCATACTCAGCTGCCACGGATCGCTGTAGGCGGGTGGCTAGCGCTATATCCCGGCTCCGGTACACCAATGCCGCGCTCCAAATGGCCCGCAGAGGCGTTTTGTGCATAGGTCCTACTACTTGGGCTCTCCAGCCGCGTCCTCCGCTTACTTAACTCCTGTCCATACGGATACGCTCATCTCAAGCTACCGCAGATTGCTCGCATATGTACAAGTAGAATCGCGTCCATCCCTGCAACCGATATCAAGAAGCAGTTGTTTGTCTCTTCTCGGCAGTTACAAGGAGCATGCATCTTGAGATTTGCCAGAATGTCGGCTGATTTGTTTGCCGAATTTGCCAACAGCAATCCGCCCCCTCCACAACAACCAATTCCGCCAGCCGCATCTCAGACTCAGCAAAGCAAGCCCGCGGTCAGGGACCCCTTTAGCTTTGGCTTCAACGACTTCACAACAGCAGCAGCCTCGCCAATTGAGAGATGGCCTCCAATCCAATCCCAGCCGAGCGGAGCTATCAGTTGGGCTACTTCACCAGCACTTCCGCAGACTGCGCCAGCACCACAGGCATTCGATGATGCTGATGACGATGGCTGGGGAGACTTCGAGACGGCAAAGCCTACTCCGCCAGCAGCTACAATCAGCAAGTCGTCCGATCCGTTTGGAGGGTTTTCCGCTCCATATAAGGGGCCTGAGATTGGAAATCGGCCTTTCCGGGCCCCCTCCATCGATATCATGACCAATACCTTGGTTGATGTCCAAGCAAATAGGCCCAACGACACCGGCCTTTCATGGAACTCAACGCCAACCAATTCAAGGTTCTCTATGGCCTCGGCACCGACGGATTCCAACGTGCTCTTCGATGCCGATGATTTCGAGCTCCAGGAGCCGGATGTGGATGAGGATGATGATGAATTTGGTGATTTCGAAGCGGTGGCTCCAGCACCGATGCAGCCAAAGCAGAGCTCCACATCCAAACCCGCGTCTTCCATCAACTCTGCACCGTTGCTAGACCTGCTCTCTCTTGACGACCCTCCGCAACAGCAGCAGCAGCCTGTTAAAAAGGTGGCTCACAAGCAGTCCCCTCCCCAGCTCCTAGGCGCACTAAGCTTTGGAGCTACATCAACACTTCCGAACCCACCAAAGTCACCATCGTTTCAGGAGCGAAACCCGTTCCCAGATCTTGGAATCAAGACAAGTGTAGTAGCTGCTGATACTGCCAAGAAAACACGTGATGCCCCGAAATCAGCAACACCAGTGACTGCTTGGCCAACAACCAAACATAAAGCAAAGTCATCAGTCGCCAAGAACTTCGATGATGATTGGGACGCGTGGGATGATACGCCTAGTGGAACTGGCAATAAGAAAGATGTTACCACTAGCATTCCTCAATCCGACGACTGGGGCTGGGACGCTGGCGATGACGGTGAATCCAACGCCATAAAGGCGAGCGATGATGACCCTCCCCCAACCAACGTTCCGCCGCCATCCGTCATCTTGTCTGCTTTTCCCAATCTCCTCAGTTCAGCGAACGCCTTTTTCAAGCCAATGTCTGGGCATAGTGCTTCGATAAAGCAACAGGTTCTTTCTAACCCCAAGGCAATACACTTTCTCCAAGGCTACATCCTCCTTGCCACGACTGCCGCTAGGGTAATTGCTGGTCGCAAACATAGGTGGCACCGGGACAAGATCCTGGCGAAAAGCATGTCTATCTCGGCTGCTGGCAGCAAGGGTATGAAGCTCGCGGGCGTCGACAAAACACAATCAGCTCGGGAAGACAGGGAGGCAGCAGATGTAGTAGCTGTATGGCGTGAACACGTGGGACGCGTACGATCTGCCGTCGCGGCTGCCAACACTGAAGGCAAGCTCAATCTCAAGGTGCCCGAGCTGAGCGAGAATATGCTGGTCCAAACTGCCAAGACGGTGCCGGCGGGACCTAAACCATGTATAATATGCGGTCTGAAGAGAGAAGAGAGAGTGTCAAAGGTTGACTATGATGTAGAGGACAGCTTTGGGGAGTGGTGGGTTGAGCACTGGGGCCACAGAGCTTGTAAGAACTTTTGGGTAGAGCATGAGCAGAAATTACGACAGCGTTGATGGATGAGTCATGCAGTGGTAATTCGTTATTCATCATATTTATAGAGTTATACAGCATAATATTGATAGCATTTACTTGGTACTTGCCAGCATTGAACCTATTATATGAAGCTACGGCTGACGGCAAGCTTGCAGAGATGGGTGGTACAATATAATGCGACAACGGACTGAACGAAAGGGCAAGCGGCTTCTAATTTGGATGCAAAAAGGCTGCAAAAAGGCTTAGTTTACAAATGATAACACGTAAACCCTGGAATATACATAGAAAGAAGCTTATAAAAGAATCTATTAGCCATGTCTTTTTTCTGCATTCTGCCATGCGTGTTCAATGCCTTACGGTACCCGCCAGCTGATATCGAGGCAGCTCCGGAAATTGCGGATTAGGTGTCTTTGCTGACATCGTCCCATTGTGATATGATGAGACAGGGGACAATGCAGCATTGGCTATTTGGAATTTGACAGGAGAAGCCCTGATGCACAGCATGAGAAATATCATCCCCGCCATCGATAAGGTATCGAAATGTACAAGCGTTCAACAAGCGAGGGCTGCTGTATACCTAGCAAACAGCTCCTCCGCAGCTACCACTTAATGTTTCTCGCTTGCACATACTTTCTAGCTGTCCGCGGTATCTAAATAGGGCTATTGCAGACCAAAGTGGTGCTACAGTTAGTATTGCGCTCAATCGAAATATCCTAAGCAGATCTCCAGACGGACACAAGTTTCAACGGCATCATGCCTTTACTGTAAGCATAAGCCGCATGTATCGCCAATGTCCAGACTCGACAGCAGGCGTAGAGTTTGCCCCATTGCAAACACCTCCAGCAAAACGATTGGTGTAGGTGTAGGCTCTGCGGCCGTGAATGGTCGCTTATACGGCTGCTGCGCGCCAAGGAGGAGTAGCTGAGCCGGTCTCGACGCTGATTGCCCACAAGATGGAAGGGTAGGGATTGAGAGCGCCACTATCAACTAGGCTTGCTGCAGCGAGTGCACTGCATGAAAGTCAAGGGAGGGAAACCGGGATCTCGTTGGATTTCATTTAGTAACTTTGCGTCACACCAGCAAACTTGACAAAGTGCCGGTTTGCTCTGCAGAGAGGGCATTTGGAAAGCTGCAGGGTGGGTGATTTGGGTCCTCAAGAGTGCATACATGTATAGACATATCTGAGTGACTCGGGCGAGAATAAATAGTCTGTTACTAAAATTGTGTTGTATTGGAAGGTAATAATTCGAGTAATGGTAAATGGCATGCATGCATCCGCCTAGCTCAACAGGTATCAATGATGGTGTTTAAAGTCTTCCATGTGAAAACGCATGGAGAATGAGGATGTGCCAAAATCTGGGGGCGCTGCTCACTCCACTTCCGCTTTAGGCAAGAAGACCTAGAAACCTCTTCTGAGAAAAGCTGGATCGCGTGGCAGACGATACCAGAAGAAGACGCTGTCATACTTCCCCGGCAGCATGCACGCAGGCAAGAAACAAGGTACAGCCCAGGTAGTGCCGGGTACTGCCCTTTCCAGTCACCTCCAGGCCCACCTAGCAGCAACAATGAAGGGCGCCTAGTCGAGAGGAGCGCATGTACCAAGTACCGCGCCTGCAAATTTACTGCATGCCTATACATCATTCCGGGCATCAGAAGCGTGGCCGTTCCTGGTGCACCGTTTGTCTCCGATTTTTTCGCTTTGCCTTCCCATTCCTTTCTGCTTTGAGGTCTAGCATAGCAGGTCCAAACGCTCCAGCGCGCTGGGCTTGCTAGTGGCCACGGCAGTGACAGCTGCAGCGGCGACAGCGCCCACAGCTTAGCGCTCGCCGTGCTAAAGCTGTGCTGTGCTGCGCTGTGCTTGTTTTCCAGGTTCCCATGTGTCCGGCGCTTTCTCCCTCCTTCACCTCTGCCTCCCCACCTGACTTTCTCTCGGCTCCCCCTCCAGAGCTCTCTCTCACCTTGCCTCCAGTCTCAATCCCCGTCTCTCTCTCTCTTCCTCTCTCACATCTCCTCATCTCTTCCCGCCTCTACCCTTTTCTCGCACTCTCGCCTCCCTACGAATTTCCTTCCCACCCTCCGTCTTCCGACTCCCCCTGCGCACTTCCTTGCCCTTGGAGACCGGACCTTGTCGCGTTTCTCACTGCACCTTCGCACTCGCACGCCCACTCGCCTCTCGACCCCGCCAAATCCCTGCCAACACCACACACAAAAAAAAGAGTCTGGCAACGCATTCGACGCCTTGCCAATTGCCAACTTCGTACCGCCGCCTCGCTCCCTCTCATCCTCTCATCCTCTCATCCTCTCAACGTTCGCGCAGCTTCCAGCTTCTCGAAAACTAATCGGTAAGTATATCACATGCTCTCCCTGCCGTTGCTTGGTGATGGCACTCGGCCTCATTTCAAATCCGCCGCGGTTGCGGCAGTCCCGCATGCCGCCGTCAACAGGCGGCCAACAGTCTTCGACGCAGGTTGCGTCACAGATGGTCCAGCTATGCGCGCGCGGCCTTGCGCGGCCTACGCGGAACCTCGGGCAGCTCTGCTTCCAACTTTTTATATGCCGTGAGCTTCGGAGCTGACATCTACCAGTTAGTTTTGAGAGCGGTTTCTGATTCCCTACCTTGTTATCAAAACTTCCGTCGCATCCACCTCATCTCCCCCGTCTCTTCTTCACCCACCCCTCCTACGCAACAATCATGTCGGCCTCCCAAGATATCCTTTCGTCCAATGGCGGCGATATCGTGGACTCTTTGGACCAGCTGAAGATGGACGAGCGACTTGGCCCCGACGGCGAGCTCGCCCCTAAGACGGACGAAGAATATGCCCAGGCTCAGCTCACCTTGCGCGCCATTGTTTCCTCCAAGGAAGCTGGTGTTATCATTGGAAAGGGCGGCAAGAATGTTGCTGACCTCCGTGACGAAACCGGTGTAAAAGCCGGTGTTAGTAAGGTCGTCCAGGGCGTTCATGACCGTGTCCTCACCATCACCGGTGGCTGTGATGCCATCTCTCGGGCCTACGCCATCGTTGCTAGAGCTCTTCTGGAGGGCGCACCCGCTGTCGGCATGGGTGGCGTCATTCAAAGCAACGGCACTCACCGTACGTATTCCTTCTCTTGACAACAAGCGCACTCGTTAACGTGAGGGAAACCAACGTATAGCTATCAAACTCCTCATCTCCCACAATCAGATGGGCACCATTATCGGTCGACAAGGTCTCAAGATCAAGCATATCCAGGATGTTTCCGGCGTCCGCATGGTTGCGCAAAAGGAAATGCTGCCCCAGTCAACCGAGCGTATTGTAGAGGTTCAAGGCACCCCCGAAGGCATCCAGCGAGCCATCTGGGAGATTTCCAAGTGCCTGGTTGATGACTGGCAGCGGGGCACTGGCACTGTGCTTTACAACCCTGTAGTCCGAACCCAACCCTCCGGCTCTGGAAGCCTGGGTGGCTCCGGCTATAACGGCGGCGGTCGTGGCGACTACGGAAGCCCTCGCGTGATGCGCACCGGAAACGGGGCCGACTTTAGCAATGGAGGCTCAAGGCCATTCAGCCGCCGCTCAGATTCCGACGCCGCAAACCGCGGTCCTCCAACCCACGACGAGAATGGCGAGGAAATTCAGACTCAGAACATCAGCATCCCCGCCGACATGGTTGGATGCATCATTGGTCGTGGTGGCAGCAAGATTAGCGATATTCGCAAGACTTCCGGAGCTCGCATCTCCATTGCCAAGGTAAGACTCAATGATGGGACGTCGTAATCACACCCAACTAACCATTGCCCTAGGCCCCCCATGACGAGACCGGCGAGCGCATGTTCACCATTATGGGCACTGCCAAGGCCAACGAGTCTGCACTTTTCTTGCTCTACGAGAACCTGGAGGCTGAAAAGATGCGTCGCAGTCAGATGCAAGACCAAGAGTAAACCAAGGACTCTCTAATAATGAGCACACTGGCTGTTGCCTCATGTTTCTCGTACCACTTGTGAATGAGCTGTATTTGGGCTGGATTTGGCGGATTAAGGGCGTCCAGATCTGGTTTGCCGCAAGGCTCCTCTTTCCCCCGCTGGAACAGGGACAGGATTTTTGAAGATTATGGTTCATCACCAAAAGCATTCAACGCAGCCACCGTCCTGTTTGTTGCGATTCCCCTCTTCCCCCCTTTCGTTTTCTCCTTACCCTTTTCCTTTCTCCCTCTTTACCTCTAGTTATGCTTTCTCACGTGTCATTTCTATCCCAACTGGCCCACCATCAGAACGATTCTATCTCTACTACCTGAGTTGATTCTCGCGCCGACTATGAGGCCACTGCACTTTTGCTACAGCGGCTCAGCTTCATCCGAAGATGACGATTACGCGAGCAGGGCTCATTCGGTGTCTGCAATTCGACACGATATGGACTCATCAATTTTTCTTACCACCTCGACCTTCCGACTCACACGCCGTTGTTTTCCTCCCTCAACCACGAAGCTGTGCTCGCAATCGGCCTGCCATAAATTGACATCACTCTTATCCCACGCCTCCTTCCGAGATTAATGGATTCAAAGACATCGATACAGCCGAGTCGAAGTTGCGGCTTGGGACAGCCAGTGCCGCTTATGGGCATTGTGACCTCGCTCTTCGGCGGCCACTCCATCATGATCACTCTCTTCTCAACTCTTTGCTCCGCGATCCTTGTGTCATCTTTAGTCCGGAAAAACAAAAAGAATCTTACCTTACCAACCAAAAACACACCAATCCTCTTACTTTTACCATCGCTGCGCGACGACGGATATGTAAACATGGCGTTAACACACATATCGTCTTCCACTCATGCCCTCTATCCTCGCTGCTGTTCTCTCTGACAGTGGATGACGACTCTCTCTTTCTCTTTTTTTTCAAGCAGGAATCAGGCAATACCCCGTAGCGTGCACGAAAGGCATGCTATGCGCATGAAACAGATCTGGGATTGGGGATGTCTAGATAATAGTGCATCTAGTCAGTCGTTGAGCAAGAGACTGAAATATATTTGGACGCAAACTGATTTGCCTGTGACTTTTGTCTGATGTTTTTCTGTGCAGTCTGTGTTACTGTTTCCATATTTTTATTAAAACCAACCGTGAAATGCCATGACCATAAATCTCAGCATCATGTCTGCAAATCGTAGTGTTCCAGAGCTGTTGGATTATTCTGTACAGTACATGTGAAATACCTGTGAAGTAAGGGAGCAATGCGCCTCTCAGAGCCCCTAACCAGAACCGGAAAGTTGCCTTCCGGTAAGCGGCAGGCGCACCCCCACCAGCCTCAGGGTCCTCCTTCCTTCCCCAGACGTCAGAGCGCCGCCATGGCTGCGAGATGATGCCAACTTGTCAACTTTTCAATTTCTGCTGCAACACTCGCTTGCATATATATTCGGCAAAATTGACGTCGTCATTCCTTTTTTCCCCCCTTGTTGTTATTTCTTTCTTTCTCATTTCTTTTCCCGCCGTTATATCTCACTCTACTTCCTTCATCCCTTCTCTACGCAGTCGCATCTTGTCATTGCCGCTATTTTTCGACGATTCGACATTGCAGTCGCAATCGCAATTTACCCCGTTGCGCACATCGGCGACGCGCTCCCCCGATCTCTGAACCATGGCGCGCACAAAGCAGGTAGCCGTGAAACGCGAGGAGTCGTCTGAGTTCTTCAACAAGCAATCTGCGGAGTGGGAGAATGCCAATGGAAAGGAGTCCAAGGCGACGAATGGGCACGCGGCGCCATCAAAGTCGGCGCAGGGCGAGGCCGGCTTGGTGCAGCTTGTGACTGCGGTTGCGGGCATCTACGCTTCCTTGTAGGTTTTTGGTTTCTGCGAGAAGTTGAGATGAGATGGAACGATTTCTCTCCTCTTTGGACAGTTCTGCTAACGCGCGCGCGGCGCAAAATAGCTTGACGTGGGCGTACCTCCAGGAGAAGTTGACGACCAAGGCGTACGGCCCAGCCGACGCACCAGAGGTCTGGCATTTCCCCGTTTTCCTCAACACGATCCAGTCGCTCTTTGCGGCCGCCGTCGGCTTCGTCTATCTCTTGGCCTCGACTCCGAAAGGCGCAGCCGTGCCGCCCATCTTCCCGTCGCGTCGCATCCTCGGCCCGCTCGCGCTCGTCGCAATCACCAACAGCCTGGCCAGCCCCTTTGGCTACGCCAGTCTTGCGCACATCGACTACATCACCTTTTTGCTGGCAAAGAGCTGCAAGCTTCTCCCCGTCATGTTCCTCCACATTACAATCTTCCGGAAGCGCTACCCCATCTACAAGTACCTGGTCGTGGCCGCCGTTACAGCTGGCGTCGCTGTTTTCACCCTTCACTCAGGCCGCAAGCATAAGAAGTCCACCCGGTCTGAAGAGGCAAACGTCTCTTGGGGCTTGCTGCTGCTCGGCATCAACCTCCTCTTCGATGGCCTCACCAACAGCACGCAGGATTACATCTTCCAGACGTTTCGCCCGTTCACCGGGCCGCAGATGATGTGCGCCAACAACATTATGAGCACCGTTGTCACGTCCTTGTACCTCCTCGGCAGCCCTGCGCTCGTCTCGACCGGTGTTGGGGAGTGGCTCGGAATGGACGTCGCTGGTAGTGCTGGCGAGTTAAATGCGGCCATTGAATTCATGACCAAGTATCCCGCTGTGTGGAAGGATGTTTTGGGCTTTGCAGCTTGTGGTGCCCTCGGCCAAGTCTTCATCTGTATGTTTACCCAACCACTCAATTGCCGTAAACAGAATCTTTCGTGCTAACACCTTTTCCCTCCTTTAGTCTACACTCTCTCCACATTCTCGTCCGTCTTGTTGGTCACCGTCACTGTAACCCGCAAGATGTTTACCATGATCCTCTCCGTCGTTGCCTTTGGCCATCGTCTAACCCAGATGCAGTGGCTCGGAGTCACCCTCGTCTTTGGCGGCATTGGCGTCGAGGCTGCTATTGCTAGGAAGGAAAAGATGGCCAAGGAAGCCGCCAAGGCGAAGAAATCCTCATAAACCAAAGACCATGATAGAAACAGATTTCTGCCTTTTTCTTTTCAAAAAAGTACATATATACTACAGTGGGAAACGTCGCTTGATGGGATGGCCACGTACATACACATATAGCCCTCGACGTTTGGATAGTTTGCTTCTTTTTACAATATGGCGTTTGTTGGAATCCTCTAGAATAGCCCTGGTGTGACAGGGACTTGATAGAATGAATAGAAATTAAATGGCACCAAAAGCAAAGAGAGCAGCAACAAGTATTAGGGGATAGATGTTTTGATTTAAAATCTGTTTAGTTTTTTTCTTCTTTTTTTCTTCTTTTTCCCTCTTCTTCTTCTTCCTACCCATACCCTTTTACCCTCTCCTCCTCCATCGTGGTATCTTTCTCTCTTCGTCTCTTCATCGTCGAGGCTCTTATGACCTCTCCATTTCTCTCCACTGAAGACCTGCTTCCAACGTCATCCTACCCTCTCTGGAGTCCCCCCTTGATTTCCTTAAATGTATACCAAAATTCCGAGGGTTGGAAAAAAAAAACATGCCGACAAAAAAACCAAGTACTCCCCTTCACATACCCAAGTTTTGCTGTTATCCAACAGCTGATCCTTGATAAAAACAAACAAACGAGCGAGTTATATAAACACAAGAAAAAACACAAATATGATAAGTACATGGGGAAATAGAACATGTTTGGTGCTATGTGCAAAGAGGCTATGAATGTTTTTCTTTTTTTCCCTTTTCCCTGCCTCTTGTCTCTCAGGAGGAGATGTTCCCTTTTGAGCTTTAGGCCGGCCATTAACAGAACCGGGAGGCAGGTAAAGAGATAAGACGCCGATAAGGAGCAAGTAAATCAAGCCACGAAGGGCTGGCTGTTTGATTCGCACGAGCCAGGTATATCATGGGCGCTCCCTCTCCAACGCGTGTAGTTGATAAATCGATGGCTCTGTTGTACACCGTTGAACGCCTGAAAATGCCATAGAAAACCCACGAAAGTGGGGGAGAGCCGATAGCCAAGATCTCATATAGATCATATTTTTTGTAGCAGGGAACCCAGGCTTCACCAATTTCCTTCTAAGACAATGTGTTTTGTATCAAGATAAATCTCATGAGTGATATGATGCTAAAGAAAAGATGTCATAAAAGCATGGTGAGGCCCGTTATAGGATGTCATCAATGGAACGGATAATTGATGCTTCGCCCTTGGTTGGTGGGCTTCGCGGGTCCATTTGAGTCGGCCTACCAAACGAGAAGAACGAATCTCGGCCAAAGGTTGTCTTTCGTGGAGAAAACAAGTTTTCTGCAATCTCCTGTCGCTCGATGAATCTCATTCCGGCGATAGATGGGAAGCCACCCATCGGATTGTTCGTCATCTCTTCGTCCTTGGGAGACATCAAGACATCCTCAGGAAAGATGGCCGAGAAGTGGACGGCTTTTTCGCTGGGAGTCTGCAGGGGAACCGAAGACGAATAGTCTCGAAGCCCGAGAGTCGAGTAAGATGCGGTTGACTTCAGTCTATGGCCGCCCATGGGAGCCAAACTTGACTTTGACCTTCCTTGAGCTGACTTGGGCCGCAGAGGAGGAGCCTGGAGCTTGAAAGGTGAGGGGGAGGGCGGCGGAAGAAGATCCATTCTTGTCTGTCGAGGGCTAGGCTCCGGCTCCCTGATTGAGGGCTCCATCTGCTTCGCCTTCTTCTGCTCCGGCTCCATCTGCTCCGACTCGGATTTCTCAAAGGTGTCTCTCCACGAGAATGTCAAGGGCGCCGAAGCAGGTCCGGGGGAAATAGTCTGCAGGGCATCCGAATTCCCCGGCAGGAGATTGAGAGGAGTTTTGGTCTCGCTTCCCTGTCTACTTCTGCCGTTCTCTGCTGGCAGAGGCGCGGTATGCGGCTCTTTGGAAGGCATTTCGATGGCATCGGCAGATAGGGTCAATCTGTGCTTGGATGGACTCCTTCCGGTTCGAGGACGATAGGGACCCGAGCCGGGTGACGAGCGTTTCTTCTTGCACAGCTCCTTTTGGAAATCTTGCAGTGAATACATGAGCTTCATGTTGGGACTAATCCAACGGCTCTTGGCCTGGGCCGCGTAATACGCATCGTTGACACTAAAGTCAGGGTTCTGATATAAGCCGTAGGCAATGATGAGACTGGCTGAGCGGCTTGCTCCCTGTTGGCAGTGGACAAGCACCTTCTTCCCTTCCTTGGTGCGATTCTCAATTGTCTCGCAGAGGCGCATGAGATCAGGCGCAATGTCAGTGTTGTGGTCCCATGGTATATGAATGTACTCCGGTACATTGAGAGGATTCGCCTTTGGCGTCGTGGGCGTGTCCGTGTCCATGGCACCATCCTCCGAAAGCTGGAATTCAAATGCGGTAGAAAAGCTGGAGTTTGACACGGCCGTGTCCGGGATGGGACTTAGATTGGACGAAATCCCTTTGCCCCGAGAAGAAGGACCGTGCAATGAAGGCTTGGCCGGTTCTTGCTTGGCCTCGAAGGGATTTCGGACTTCGTGGGCAACGTTGATGACGACGTCAAATCGAGAGGCCTCTTCTGCGGTAGGCTCAAGATATAGATAGACATTGTCGCCGTATATGGCTATCGGGCCATCAGGATACCCTGGCGTTTTCTGGTCTTCATTGTTCTCATGCTCACGAAAGGGTTCGTCAAAGTCATTTCGAGATGCAAGCTGTGTCTTGATGGGAGTGTCCTCTTCCATGATTGCCGCATCGAATGTCAGATTCATACTCGATTTCATGGGGCGCAAAAACTCTGACAGCCCCGACTCGTTCCGCTCCAGCACCTTTGGAAAGGTCATTCCTCCAGCCGGCCCAAACGTGGATGTCTTCAAAGAGGAGGACTGGATGGCTGGCGATGAGGTGGAATGTTTAAGCGCGCGTCGTTGCAGGATCGGGGGCATGCCGGGCGATGCGGGCACTTCCAACGACGTTTGTTTAATCAAATCTGAAGCATTGGTCTTGAGGCTGAGAAGGCTAGGTTTCCTCTTCATGGCAGGGATAGAGGGTTTGATGAAGGATGGCGAGCAGGGTTCTGACACCATGGTCTTGGATGAGGCTGCTACTGTCGGTGGCTGGATTGATAGACCTTTCATGTTCCTTGGCTTTCTCGGCGCCGGAGATGTCATAGGGCGCTCCAATGCGCTCGCTTCCGAAATACTGAGCAGAGAAACCGGGTTTGACGGGCCACTAAAGCTTGCAGAGTGAAAGTTGTTGAGCGGGATCAAGTTGAGGGGAGAATCCGGCGACGATGATGGCGACGGGTCTGAAAGAGGTGAAGAGTCTGTGGTGGAAAGCGTAGTGGTGGGAGAGGAGTCGTCGGATTCCGAGGTCTGGGTCGAGGTGCTGTCGCGGTGCTTGTGGCTTTGGTCCGGAGCAAGACAAGCCTGGAGGCTAGTCTGCTGAGAGGGGGTTTTAGATGCCACGTCGAGGAACTTGGATCCAACGACGGTGAATGTGTCCCGATCCGCCATGGTCTCGGATTCAAGATCAAAGACAGACATAAAGGTCGGTATCTGATCTTCGTATATCTGACGCGCCGCGGCTGAGGGCATGGTTTCGAACAAAAAGCTGCCCTTTTGATTGTTTCAAAGACTCGAGTCTCTTGCGCCCATGAACCCCAATAATTGACACGTGCGCTGTTGCTTGGCTGCGTCGGCTAGAACAAAGAGGTGAATATTAGGTTGAAGTTGAGTGTGCTCGTCGAAGATTATACTGTTGTAAGAAAAGAAGCAAGTAAAAAAGTTGAGCGAGAGAGCGAGTGTTGAATAGACGTTTCGAAAGAACGGATGGGCGAACTGCAAGAAAAATTCAAGAAAGTAATCAATGGACAGCACAGCTGAATCCGGTTGTTGGCAGTTCGCGATACAAAGAGCACGACCGAGCGGTCGGGATTATGGCCCGTGAGGCGTCGTAGCAGCGACGGACGCAAGCAGCTGAGGCGGCAGAAGGCGTTTGCGGCTGGCTGTGCGGGCAAATGAACTCGGGAGAGGACCAAGAGAAAGAGGCGAAGAAAGAAACAGCGTCGGATCGTCGACGGCAACGACAATGAGGCGTGCGAGAGTCCAAATCGAGTCGAGAAGGGAGCTGGAAGGAATGGTACCAAAAAATCGAGGTGAAACAAGAACGGCGCCTAATTAGCGGACGGCCACATGCAGGTGGAGGGACGGGATAGCCGCTGGAGCAAGAAGAAAGAGGAAGGGAGAAGGGAGAAAGGAGAAAGGAGAAAGGAGAAATGAGAACAAGGCAGCGCCGAGGTTGCAGATGCCGGATCCTGCGCGAGGGCGAGCGGGAAAGGGAGGGCTGCTGGATGTTGCGAGAATGAAGAAAAAAAAAACAATGGAAGACAAGACAGGACGAGCAAGAATTGGAGTTGGCGTGACGGTGTTTGAGAGGCTCGCCAGCAGCAAACGGCGGCTGGGGGCAGACTGACTACCTGGACTACCTGGAAGGGGGGCAGCTGCAGGCGAAGCAGCGCTACCAAGTGCTAAGTGCGCCTGCTATAGACGCTAGGTGGCTCCAGGTAGCGGTGACCTGGTCCGGCGTCAAGGGCAGGGCTCCCGGCAGCTCAGCCACCACGGCAACGGGGTGAGACCAAGTACAGGGTACCTGTGCGCGGCCGAGCCGCTACCAGTGCGACCCCGATTTAGTTGATTGATGACCGCCATGGGTCAGTCAGGTCTGGCTGGTTTTTTTTTTCTATAGGTACCCAATCCCACTGGCATTGACATCAATTACAGCACAGTACTGTACCTGCACCAATCCAATCCACGGGCGAGTGCTAAAAGTAGATACACGCTAGGTGCTTGATGCATGTACGAGTACCTCATCTGCACGCACCGCATCCGCCATCCGCCTCCCCACGCAGCCGCCCGAGCAGCAATTTCATGGCTGGAACAAAGAAGAAGACGATGGAGGAATGGAGGAAAAAAAACCTGCTGAACACCGCTGCACGGCACCGCTCGTCCAACCAACCACGCAGGCAGAAGCCCTCGCCGTCCTGGACCCAAGTCCCCGTAGCCCGTAGCCCGTAGGGGTCAATTGGCCTGGAAGCGCAAAAGCACCGCAGCAGGGAAGCCCCCACCTCCTCGTTTCGAGTGGTTGAGCGGAGAGCAGGGGTGCGTGCGAAACAGCGCCTAGGCTAAATATAGCCCTGCCCAGCCCGCCAGGCGCCAACGGCCGGCCAATCACAGCCCCGCGCCCAAATTGTCGTGCAGAGCGGCTTCTTAAATTTAGCCCTCGGTGGGGCCCGCCGTGTCCGTCCGCAGCAGGCCAGAAATTTTCAAGGCACCTGCCTGCCGAGGGCTGTCGCTCGCTTTGCGGCGCTGCACTGTCCGCATCGCGTTATTGGCTTCTGGACTTGTATTTATTGGACGTTGTTTTCTCGTCCATTTCTTGCTTTTCTTCTCTTGTTTTTCGGCTTGCCTGTTGTTTCGGAACTCCGGACCCTCAGCTCCGCGTCCCGGTCAATAGCGGCACTAACACTCCAGGCACCGTGACGTTGCTTCCCGGAGAACGGAGACGGTGACTCCGTATGGCAAACGACTGCGGGCACGGAGCGCCAATAGTTTCAGCAAGTGCAACCACCGCGGCGAGTGGCAAGAACATCATGTCATAATCTGCTTCCGTCTCGTACGGACGATGACCTCATCTCGTCGACATGAACACAGCTTCGAAACTCTTCGCGTCAAAGCTTGGGTAGGGGGGTACTGTACTGGCATCTGGCTGTGATAAGCCAAGGTTGCTGCATGTCTGCCCAGATTAACATGCATACAAGCCTGTCCAAGCACCAGGTTCGTACATTGGTACTGTACATATATGTCTCACCCATCCTGGCAGGCGGAACGATGGCAACCGATATCGTAGCCAAGTCGTTTCTTTTCGTAATTCCTTGACTTCCTACGGAGTACATACTACCTATCACTAAGTCTAAGGCGCCAACACAACATCGGATACGTTTACGGCTGCAGGCTTGGAACTAGTACCTGTATTACTCCGTACTCCGTAGTACTGATCATTCCGTGTCATTATGATTGGTACAATATCTTTCCATGTTCATTTTTTTATCCTCTCTGCTTTCTCACTCAGCTTCCAAAACGAAGCCATTGCAAGACTAGCAGCCACGCTGACGGAACTAAGACCTATCACCTATAAATAGATGTATAAATTGGTATGTATTCAGCATACTCGTACGTCGCAAGCTGCGTCAGTCTGTCTGAGTCAGTAGTATCGGGCCTCGATTTCTAGATCTCACATGACCGGCAATATGTGAACACTGTGCTGGGTCTGCTTCAAATACAGCCATACATTGTCAGCAGTCTTGGAAGGTTTTCGTGTTGCGATGGCAATGCCACTCTACTGCTGCCAGGGTATCTCATGGCATCAGCACGCTGTGGAGAAATGCACTGCAAGGGTTCCTTTCAATGTTTAGAATAGCTCCAATCCTGCGTGTAAGAGTTAGTCGCACGGGTCATCCAGCATTCCATGGCCAAAGGCAGACAAAGGGCAGCAGTCTAACCCAAAAACAAAGAACCTTTCACACATCCGTTATCCATGCTATTTGCGTACTCGTACAAGCAAATGTGCTGGTGTAGGGCCAACAAAGGGCTGGTGCACAAAAGGGCTCATCACAATCTCATTGCGCCGATCTCTGCACGCCAAATTAGCATGCTGCTAGCTGTAACACGACGTGCAGATTAAGGTCATGTATGGAAACTTGTCGACGTGTATACGGTGGCATTGCTACGACACACTGTAGCATCGTGCCATTGGATGCCATGAAGCAGAATCGACACCATCGGCACAGACTGCTGCTACTACCATCATTTCCGATGGGAATCTATCTTAAACAACGTGGAGGAAAGGGGGTCCTGAGACGTATTTGGTTATAGAATGTAGCCATTTCCAGGGTGCAAATAAGCTACCGAGCTAGGAGCTCATAAATTACCCAAAATCAAGGGGGTGAAACGTGTTCCCCAGGCGAGCATACGAAACAACGCCGTCCCGCTTGACTCTGTATTTTGTCTTGAAGAGCGAAGCCCCATCAAAGACGAACACAATGTGGCCATCTGATTTCTTTGTTACTAATCCCGCTATAGTCTAGGTAAGTAGTTGACGAACGCCAAATCTGAAGCACTCCGAGCTTCAGGCTCGTGCCGATCAAGAAAATACCACATGGCTTTGACAAGCGGATGGGTACCTGTAGCTAAATACCACCTAGTAGGTAGCCAAGTAAGCTAAAAATCCATCGTACCCCCAGAAAACGAAGGGGAAAGATGGCTGTAAAATGTGGTGCCCTTTCGTGGCGGTCCAGACCCGACAAATCTGATACTCAACATGAAGCAGTTGATACGGGGGTTCACCCTGGCGCCGCTTCGTCGACGTGCTGTGAATCCGGCAGATCTGACCACGAAAACCAAGATCTAGGGTAAGAGCAATGACCACGAGCCAGAGAAGCAGCATTGAGAGAATGGAAAAAAGCTTTACTGTGGGTTGGCTGACAGCTAGAGGCGTGCATAACACACTGATCTCCGTCCATAATATCGTACAATGCGCTAAAACACTTTCAAGCATATCGCTTACTAGCATGTAAAAGCATGAAACAACACTCCAAGAGGTGGCTTAGGGTTCTCATTCCACGTTGTGGGCCCTTGCCCATTGACAAACGCACGTCGGAGATTCTCCCGGGTCGAAAAGAGTAAGGAAATCATTTATTTTTTACCATATTGGTGACAATCAAACAGGCGTGACGCCATGTGCGTTCGGTTAAAAGTCTCCGCAAGGGGCCCCGACATATTTGACGTTTGATAAGAGACTTACCCCTGAAAGCAACCTGAAGTGGCTAAAAGCTCCTAGTCGTGGACGAATTTGTCCCCGTTTACGCTCATTATCATATTAGTGTAATGCCATTGGACAGAGTAGTTAGTAGGATGCTGTACCTTGAGTGGTTTATATGCAGACCGAGAATTGCCTCCCAGCCGGAGATCCTTGACACATGTATGGACGAGCTGCCTCGTGAGATGAAGTCGCAGCAGCCATCATGAACCATTACTCCACCTTGAAGCTCCCCAGTTGGCAGTTAGGCTTGTTGGCAGCAGGCCAACGAGAGGATTCTCCGGACGGCCACTCCATCAGCCCTGGAAGTATTACTCCGTACGTGTTACAGATAAGGTAAAGAGCGCACAGGCGATCGGATCGGTCCAGATTGGCATCGAGGAAAAAGCAATTCTGCACTGTAAGCGGGGGACGCCTTTGTTTGCTTCTTCTTTCTTTTTTTTGCAGAGCGTGATGAATAACAGGCGAGCTAGGCAAACTTGCCAGGCCCTTTCAAATTCGATAATTTAATCTCACCCAATCTAGGACGGTGGTTCGCTTGGCGCTTCGCAATCAACAAGATGAAGTGGCCGCTACCCGCGATATATATTGCCCGTAAAGTGTGCAATACTCCGCGGGCGTAAATGAAAGAAGTACAAGAACGGGCTAGTTCAACTGAGAACCCTCGCAAGGCCTGATACCCAAACGTTGGTTGACAGCCTTTAACCCGCCTTTGGACGAACCCCTATAGCCAAGGTATACTTGTATGTACTCGAAGTTTGTTGATATGTCGGGAATACAGGGTTCCACGCCCGCCCTCACTGTCGGTACTTCGTATGATGTACTCTTTAGGCCGAGCTGAAACCCATTGCAATCTGCCGAGTTCAGCGAGGGCCATGGCCGCACATCCGCTTTTGACATTGCCGGCAAGGCGAGGCTGTCACTGCAATGGAGCTTCGTAAGTTCAAATTGCTTTGGGATTTCAATATGCCTTGGGCGGACTAGCGCACTTTCCTCACGCGGACGATCCACCGCAATAAATGGCCCCATGCGCAGTGTCGCGAATTTCAAGCGGCTCGGTTCTGGGTTCTGGGTTCTGGGTTCTGGGTGCTGGGTGCTGGCGGCGGGCTAGGGCACGTTTTTGTCATGCTATTATATTACTTGTACATATTCATCTTCATGACGTACAGACATAGACGCTGGAATTGGTAAGCCAAACAAGGGTCCGAGGAATGAAGAAGGAGAAGAAGAAGAGAAGCTGTGGAAGCAAACTGCAAGTAAGTGCCTCCGGTAGGGCTGGAGACTAGGGATAGCTGCTTTGGGAGAAAATGCATGTAATGGCCAAGCCTGGGTAGGGTCGGGATTCTCGCAAGCGTCATCTTTCCACCCGTGCTTGGGCCTCTGTTGGCCAATACAAGCACTCAATATAATTTCTCAATAGGTACCGAATTAAATTTGACCTGATGATATTATACGCGAGCCTGAATGCCCTCCCCTCAATCAGGTATCTCCGTATCTACGTACTAATAAGGTACTGGTGGTGGTGCGGAGGTCAAGTCCAGAGGTAGTACCTCCAGCACTGCCGAGAGTTGGATTGGGTACCAACCAAATAACAGCTGGACAGTAGATACCAGGTAGATACCTTGTCCAGCATCAAGAAGCAGAGGGCACTAACGCCTGGAACTACACACCTCTGAATCCATCCAATCCCATATTATCCCGGCAGCTCGATTGATTCGCGAACCGCCCGTCTTGCCGAACGCAAGCTCTTAACGCCTGCCTGCTGCCTTGACGTCGACTGTGGGAATCATCCGGACGGGAGAGGCACGAGTCGAATCTCACATAGTGGCCTGTTCCCATGATCACCGCCGTGGAACCAGATTTGCTGCTTCCGTCTCCATCCTCGTGCATGTGCCGTTATTTAAGAGGTTGGGACGCAGTGCTACTATGTACTCATGCATGCAGAGGCCCGGCCAGCACAGCAAACGCCCCACGGCCCCAAAGCAACAGCCGAATCATCCAGCTGTCTTTGACTTTGACATGCATACTTGTACTGCAAGTTTGTGATTAGCACCAAGTAGGCACTAGCAGGTTTCTTGATATTGCATTTGTTGCTCATGCTGCCGTTGCGTCGCGCTCAAGGCTATGTCATGTCATGATGCCTGTACTGCGGTATTAGTGAGTGCTATTAGTGGCCGCCCAGCATCATATCGCGCGCATTACTCCATATACGTGCCAGCAACCCACATCACAGGCCATGCCACGCTTCCCCCCATGGCAGCCCATTTGCAGTCCTTCAATGTCCACAGTCTTTCTGCCAGGGGAAGCAATGCTTGTCTAGCCTATTTTATGCTGCATGCTGGGCCGCCGTTGAGGTCCAGGGCCGCCACGGAGCCCCCTCGCGTTCCCCTCCCTTCAGAAGACACTCACCGTGATTCCAACTCTTCCATTCTCTACTTCCGCTCGCCCAGAAGCTTTTGCTCGCGCCCAGCTGTGCTCCCGTGTACTCGTGCTTTGCCCTCGGTCCTCCGTACGCTCGTTGACACCGGCTTTGCACTGCTTTGTTTCCGGCCTTTTTTTTTATACCTTGGGACGACCGCTTTGGCGCTCTGCTCCGCGGCTTGGGCGCCTGCTCAGCTCGCTTCTTTTTTTTCCTGTCTCGCGATTGAGACGGACCCCTGCACAGCTGCCATGCTATGAAAGCAAGGGGCGCCTATTTCCAAGTCTACGAGTCCCAGACACACTCGACCGTCGGCCGTAGCCACCGTGGACGCCCGAAGGCACCCCCAAAGGCGCCCAATCCTCAAGCGATTGCTGCGAGACACCTGAAGCCCAGATCCAGATAACTGAGATCGCAAGGCCGCCGCTCGACGCTTTGAAGCCCGACGTCGCCCACCGCAGGCAACCCTGCTCTGAATACGGGCCATCATTTTTCTTGCCGTTTCTTTTTTTTTTTCTTTCCTTTTTTCATTTTTTGCTTGCTCCCCCTTCGCTGTGGCTGATGAGCGACGCGGTGCCCGGCGGTCCATGTACACGCTGCTAGTACCACCCAACGCTGTACTGCCCAGTACCTGTACAGTCACTGCTGCCCAGCGCCAACATGACGGAGACTGCTAGTTTTACAGCGGCTCGTTACGCCAGTTCCACAGCCGCCAGCCTCCCAGGCAAAACGCTTGCAGCGCCTCCCGCCTCCATCACAGGCCCCTCGTCGAACCTGCACTCGCATCGCCAGAGCCACAATTCCTCCAAGCTGCCGTCCTTTCGCTTTGCTGACATCAAGAACGCTCCCACTGCCGCGAATACCCAGCCCGCCAAGCAGCCGCTGCCTCTCTCCCCCCGACGCCTCACAGCCCCTGTTGGCTCGATCGATTCGCAGCTCGACCGGCGAGACTCCAAGACGCGATCCGACGCCGCGACAAAGGTCCTGACGCCGTCCGCTGCCGCGCGCAATCGCCAGTCGCTGCCCGCGTCCGTAAAGACAGCAGAACCGCTTGTATCGCCGCCGCGCCCGAATCTGCGCCCTCGAGCCTCGTACCAGACGTCTGTTAAGCCCGCAATCTCAATCGTCGAGCAGGAACGGAGAGTCAGGCGCCCCGTGTCGTTTCCCGACGGACTCGCCGACGAAGCTGCGCAGTCGACCAAGGCCTCCAGTGTCGCGCGCTCTTCTTCTCTGAAGCAGAGCAGTCGCCGTTTGCCCGCATCCCGCAGCACAAACGCCAACGGCAGAGTGACGCCCGACGGACCGCGAACGTCACTCAGCGCTCGCCAGGCGGCCATCGAAGAAGCAGTCTCTCCCACCACTCGAGTTGTCCCGGACCCAAAGCCAGGCATCAAGGTGCGAGCTCGAACTCTGCCGGATTTGCCATCCTACAAGCCGCCGTCCTCGTCGGGTCCTTCAGATGAAAACCAGGACCAGTCGCTGCAGCGCCCACCTGTCTCTTATAAACCGCCGGTAAACGGCGCCAGTGCCGGCCAGCCTACGGCTTCGACTGCTGTTCGCGTTCCGCCCATTCGAGCTTTTCGATCTTCGGGCTCTCGCAAGAGCTCGGTAGACGACATGAACTACAACTCTCGTTCCTACGACGTGGAAGATCGCTATGTCGATTCAACTGACGACCACACTCTTCGCGCTCTGGACGGAGACTTCTTCCAAAGGAGTCCTCCCACATCCAGACACGGCACCAACGGCGATGACACGGGCGATGTTTTCTTAAAAATTGCTTCTGAGGAAGCAGCGCGCAATTCAAAAGCTGATAGTGCGAATGACGGTAAATCAGTAAGTAAATGGGTCAATGGAAGAAAAGAATATGAAAAGAAATTCCTTGTCTTGGATACTTGGGAATCTAACTCGTCACTATTAGCAGTATCAAGTTAATCGCACTACAAATCGGCGCCCGCTTTCCTATCACCCCAGCTCTCATTACCCCATGTCCCCTCCTTCGGTGAACCGCCGGCTCTCTGACCAACAGGATCGAGATCGAAGCCGCTCAGTTAGATATGAAGACGAGCTGACAAGCGAGATCGCGCGGACCAGCAGCGCCTACCGCAGCCAGCTCAGAGACAAGGCTACATCCTCTCGTTCCACCGAAGACACACCTTCAAGATCCAACGGCTCAGGACTACGACCGTCACTCATGACGCCCCGGACTGCAAGCCTCCAGGACCAGGCTGCAGAAAACTCCCCGTACAGCCGAAGACGGTCATCCGTGGTTGACGCTCCAGCCTCTAGCTCGGCGCGCTCGTCTTCTCACAAGGCCACTGTGCTTATTCAAAGTCAGAATAAGACTTACAATCCATCGCCTCTAACGCGTTCTTTCGAGATAGAGGAAGATGATGACGATGACGATGACCTCGAAGCCGGCAATCTGGCCGAGGGAACTGAATCGACTACATCTACCAATGCGCCATCTACTGTTTGGGACGAGCTGGATGAACTGAAATCGCGAATCCATCGTCTGGAGTTGACTGGGAAACTGCCCCCCACCTCCGCGGCCGCATTGATCAAAGCCTCGGAAGAGAGACCGCCAACAGCGACGACAACCGTTACAACAATGTCTCTTTCGCCTAAGAAATCGGCAGCCGGGCAGCAGACAGATGCTGGTAGTTCTACGTCGTCACAGCGAGAGGCACACTCGAATCTGCACTCGGCTCTGACCAAGATCAAGACAATCCTCAGCCCGGAAGTATATCGCGCGCTTGAAACCGCGGCGAATGATGCCCTTGCGTTGTCGTCCATGATGGGCACACCTGGTCAGCCTGGTCCCATATCAGGTTCTGCCAGCGTGGTCGGTGGTGGTGGTGGTGGTCCTGCAATCACGGATCGTCAGCTCCGCCGTAGGACAGACAGCGTTTGCCGCAGCCTGACTGAGCTTTGCATCGCCCTTGGAGAGGGTACTCCCTCTCGACCCGCAGCAACAACAATCCCGCAAGTCGTGATGACACAGATTAGCCCGAACCAGGACCGGAGTGCGCACCTAGAGCCACCTAAAACCCCGACTATGATGAACAGCAAGACTTATTCGGTTTCTCGCCGCTCCAGCGTCGTGCCTGATCAGGCCACGCAAATCATCACCAGCCCTAGAGCCATGTCCAAATTCGAGGAGCGAAGGAACATGATATTGAACGGAAGTCTTGTGACTAGCCCTCGGAATTCGGCTTCCACCCCAACAACTCCCAACGAATCTATTGCTCGTAGAGCGTCGCTTATTGTGTCACGCGCTCGCCGAGCGGTGACTGAGGAGCCGGAGGATGGCAGGCGCTCCTCTGCGCTTTTGCGTCGACGAGCGGCTGGCGATGACTCCGACGACGGCGGCCGAAGAACTTCATTCCTTGTCCGTAACCGACGGGGAACTGTCGGCGAGGAAGACGAGGGATCTAGGTTCCGAGCCCCATCTAGGGCCATTACCGAAGTGAGTGGCGGCGGGTCTAGAGGAGCTACGAAGGAATATCTACGTGTCTCCGAACGGGTCTCTGATGCCCCAACTCCCCTGCCCGAAGCCGACACGCCACAGCCACCGTCAGCTCTCAGCCGACGACGATTCATATCCTCGAACCTGCAGCCTTCTCGCTTGACCGTTCCGTCTACTTCAGGAACGCCCTCAACCAGAAAGTTTCTGGAGAGATCCCTGCCTGATGGGACCGAGAGTGGCTCTGAGAGACCTGCCGAAAACCGCCTTTCACGACATCTATCGGTTCAACATAACTCGGACCGTACCTCCACCTATCATTCATTACAGAGTCGAACTAGTAGCCTGCAAATTCGTCGAGCAAACCGGGACAGCATGGTTCTCCCGGCCTCTTCGACCACAGCCACAAATGGCTTGAGATGACCTTAAACGACAACACGTTTAGATTCATGATCTGTACCATACATAATCTTTATTTTTTTTTCTCTTTTCAAAAACTCATCTGCGAGCGTCTTATTTTTTTCTGTCAGCTTTCGTCTAATTCACTCAATCTCTCACTCTTTCACTCTCATTGTGTGTCTCTAATTCTGTCATATCTTGTCACTCTCTCATATTTCTTTTATTGTCCAAATCATCAATCAGCATACATGCCAAACCATTTCCTTCTAGAACTACTGGCTTGACGACCTAACGACGGACGGCCTGCTTGACTTCCTTCACGGAGCCAAATTCTCTTTGTTTTCCATTCTGATTTTTCCATTCAAAACATGTGTATTACCTGGTCTGTTTTTTATCGAGCATAAAAAAGCTTTTGTTTCTTTTCTTGCGGGGGCTGGTGTGCTGTGGCCTAGACCACACAATTCGTTTTTCTTTTTCCGGGCGAAGAGAGGAGTTTGATTGGTTTTTAAACAGCTTACTTTTTTTTTTTCTGAAGTAGTGGATTGGTTGAAAGGCAGGCCGTGAAGTCTTATTGGGAAAAAAAGGGGGAGGGCGCAGAGTTACAATACCTTTTTTGCTTTTTGTTTTTGTGTTTTGCCTTTGATCGGTTTACTTTTTTTCTTTTCAAGGGAGCGAGCAAAATATAGCATCAACGTGTGTGCGAATTTCTTAATAAGACTTAGTTTTATCTAACTGTGAACCTGATGACTGTCGTGTTTTTTTCTTTTTTTCTTTTTCCCTTTCTGGATTTGTGATACCTTGGAACAAATGGATAACTGTGGTTGTTAGTGGGCATATCGGGCCTCCCTTGAGTAACATAATTATGAATGGACTTGCGGTCTGACGGTCTTAAGAATAAGCTTTACTGACGGACGCCTGAATGCGGAGTTGGACCCATAGCCAAGGGCAATGTAGTCAGATTGACTCTCGATATTATCATATAATGTCTGAGATTGACGTCGCACGGGGACGATGTCTCATGTCCAGAGTGCTAGCTGCTCAGATGCCGTCTCTAATCCCTGCCTAGATGCCGTCTCTAATCCCTGCCTGTCTCACGGAACGAAGATGGCGAATCTCCGAGCAAGCGCTCTTACTTTTTGTTATATGACATAAGTTGGTGTATGATGAATAGGGGTGTTAGATGACATAAGTTGGTGATGATGAATAGGGGAGAGTTTGGCCGAGACAGAGAGTCTTGGTTGGATGATGGCATTGACTGCCTTGGCGGCGGCTCCCTTCAAATCAGGTGGATGTGTATTGTATGGCTTGGTTATTTAAGACGAGGTGCTTGCCCTCAGAGATTCTTGAATCCTCAGTCGGTACCTTTGTTTTTAAGATCAATACACATATTTATCGGCGCTACGTCTGTCTATCCTTTTGCATTTCAAGCAAAATGAAAAACCCCATTACTTGGGCGGCCTTGGCCTTGAGCTTGCTGTCAAGTTCTGTAACTGCTCAAGACCTGGTTAATGTTACCATTCCCAGCGGCACCATCGTCGGTGAATCGATTCAGGACATTGATGTGTTCAACGGCATCCCTTTTGCTGATCCGCCGACGGGCCAGTTGCGCCTCAGGCCGCCGAGAAGGCTCTCTACTCACCTCGGGATCTTTGATGCTACGGGCGTTGCCAAGCTGTGTCCCCAGGGACCCATCTTCAGCTTGTCCTCGACCAGTCCTCAGGTGGCTGCCATCGCAGCGGGAGCTGTGAGCGACTCCTTTGGCATCCCCACGGCTGAAGATGCCCAATCTGAGGATTGCCTGACCGTCACTATACATCGGCCCAAGGGCACCAAAGAAGGCGACAACCTCCCCGTGCTCTTCTACATATTCGGAGGAGGCTTCATGATTGGAGGCACATCGGCGGCAGTCAATGAACCCACCAAGCTCGTCCAGACTGGCATCGATCTTGGCCAGCCCTTCATCTTTGCGGCTGTCAACTATCGGGTTGCCGGCTGGGGGTTCATGCCTGGAGCTGAAATCTTGCGTGAAGGAAGCGCCAACGCTGGCCTTCTAGATCAGCGCATGGGTCTTGAATGGGTGGCTGACAACATTGCTGCCTTTGGTGGCGATCCCTCCAAGGTGACCATCTGGGGACAATCTGCTGGCTCAATCTCCGTGTTCGACCAGCTGATTCTACATGATGGCAATGCCACCTACAAGGGCAAGCCTCTCTTCCGCGCTGCCATTATGAACTCGGGATCTGTCACTCCCGTCGATCGCGTGGATTCAGCCAAGGGGCAGGAGCTGTACAACCACGTCGTGAAGCAGGCTAACTGCGAGGGCCCCAATTCTCTGGCATGTCTCCGTGGCCTGTCGAACCAAGAGTTTGCTGCGGCGGCCAACTCAGTTCCCGGTCTGATATCGTACGAGTCTCTGGCTCTGTCGTACCTCCCAAGGCCAGATGGCACGGCCCTGACGGAGAGTCCTCATATCCTGGCGCGGGAGGGCAAGTTCCATGCCGTGCCGATGATTTTTGGCTCGCAGGAAGACGAAGGAACCTTGTTTAGCCTGTTACAGAAAGATATGGGGTCGACAGATAAAATCACCGACTACCTTTCATCTCTCTACTTCCACAATGCCGACCGAGATCTGGTCAAGGCTTTTGTGAGCACTTACAGCGAGAAGCTTGAAGACGGAAGCCCGTATCGTACAGGTACAAACGAGGGCTTGCTCCCCTACCCAGGCAGAAAGAGAATCGCCTCTATTCTCGGCGACATCGTCTTTACCTTGATACGTCGCTGGACGCTGGAAACCATATCAGTCCGTCCAGGCCTGTCTCTTTGGTCGTCGTTTGCATCCTACGACTATTTATTGAACTTCCTTGGGACCAAACACGGATCAGACACGGGTGTCTTTTTCAGCAAGAACAACACTTACTTTCCCTCGCTTTCCGGCCGAACGTATTACATCAACTTTGTGTATAATATGGATCCCAATGAGGGACTTGCTGTAAATGTCACTTGGCCAAAGTGGACAGAGGACAAGCAGCTTCTGTGGTATAATCTGTTGGGGAACACCCTTCGAAAGGATGATTTCCGGAGCAACAGCTCTGATTTCATCAGAGAACATATTGACTCACTGACCGCTTAGAGCATCATATGGCACTACTATTATATAGGTAGTTTAATAAACTAAATATTAAATCCCTATAGGTACACTGTTTCTTAGAGGTGGAAGAAGAGACGGACGATGGCTGTTGCCTTCGCACTTTAACTGCAGGTATATGGCTCGTAATCAGCACTATTAATCCTTGATTTGTACTGAAATGTAACATCTAGAAAGTACCTTGTTGTAATAAATTATACGGCCAACTATGCGATGTCTTGGTGTAATAGTGTAGTAAATTTAATATTTTAATAATTAATGTCATTCCCATTACATAAATATAAAATCCAATGCAAATGAGCCGCCGATGAGGCTATGCCGTGTTGCTTCGATGAGAAATCCGCAAGGCAGTTTACAAACATCCATGCACTTGGCGGAGAAGTTAGTAGCGGGAGGTGGCGATGAGCCTTGCTGAGTCACGCCGACTCTGTACTTGTACTTTCAATTGTTAGGACTTCCACATACGGCACTAAAAAGTGCACCCCAAACTCGCTGCATTGGCCTGATTCTTTTAAATGTAAATGACCATCCTGTCTGGATATTTATTTGCAGAGGCCGCCGGCAGATTTAGTCTTGCATCTCACCACTTCTGTTTCAAACATCGCATTGTTTTGCTTCCCAGTCTAACAGCGGCAAACCGCCATCTTCAGGTTTTTACTGCGAATCCGGCACACACCTTCCGCCCTCTCACACCAACATCTCATAGACCAACATCAAAAAGGGCACTTTCTCACAGCGCAGCAAAGATGAGCGCTCTCGAGGAGGACGGCTCAAGCATCTCTGCCCAGATAGCTATCGAGGCCAAGCTCGCAGACGGAAAGAAGCAAAGAGGCGGCGGTCGAGGCGGCAGAGGAGGAGGCGGCCAGAGCAGAGAAGTGCTGGTGTCAAAGGCGCTGTCGAGGCTGTTGAGGCATCAGGCTGCAAATGCCGGCATCCAGCTTGACGCGGAGGGATTCGCAGCACTTGACGAAGTGGTGAGTTCTCTCTCTCTCTCTCTCTCTTTTCCGACTTCTTACATCATTCTTATGTTTTTCTAACTACAATACTTCCGCAGCTGAAATGGGGTCCCATCCGGTCTCTCAACGTCACCCTTGCCGAAATCAAGCAAGTCGTTGCCTCAAACGAAAAGCAGCGCTTCACCATGAAGTTAAACTCATCAATCACCGTCGAACCTGCTCCATCAGATGACAGCACGGCTCCATCTCACTACCTCATCCGCGCCAACCAAGGCCACTCCATCAAGATTGAATCCGCCGCCCTCCTTGAGCCCATCACCTTCGAGGCCGGCAACGTGCCGTCAAGGGTTCTCCACGGGACCTACTTTGCTTTTTGGCCTGCCATTGAAGAGTCTGGAGGGCTAAAGGTCATGGGAAGAAATCACATCCACTGCTCCACGGGAACGCCAGAAGAGGGCGTCACGAGCGGCATGAGGAAGGATGCAGAGCTGGTGATTGAAATTGACGTGGAGAAGAGTTTGCAGGATGGCATTCAGTGGTGGAAGAGCGACAATGGAGTTTTGCTGACCGAAGGCGGAGAAGGCGGCATCTTGAGCACGAGCTACTTCAAGAAGGTCACGGGGCGGAATATTGATGTTGGTGTGCTTTGGGAGGACGGGGAGAGATTATCAGGCCTTCCCGAGGGGATCAAGGGAAAAGTTCCGTCGGGCAAGGGGCCTAGAGGGGGTGGTAAGAGGGGAGGAGGAGGAGGAGGAGGAGGAGGAGGAGGAGGAGGGCGAGGGCGAGGACGGCAGTGAGAGGACAAGAACAGTGATGCTATCAGCATGATAAAAAAAATAAGTAAAGGATAAAAAATATCATCGACGGTATCCTGATAATGAGTGCCTAATAATGAGTGCTATAAGAAAACGTGTCATGCCAACCCAACACCAATTCCCAGCCAACCTTCGTAGTGAGCATGACAGCAGCGCCAGCATCGCGACTACCGTATCAACTCCTTCTAGGGCTCTGTGCGTTCTGTGGGCTCTGGGTCGAAGGAATTGATGACCTCATGCCTACGATCCAACTCCGTCTTGAAATACTTGTACAACTTCTCGGCCATAAGCATCTTGGCTGCACCCTTTGAACTCGCTCCCGTGATATCAGCTATATTATCCGGTACACGACCACCATTCTGGAAGGTGACTGTCCCAACCCAACATCCTGGTTTTTCTAGGTCAGGTACAACCTTGTACGTGGGACAGCCAAAGTTGAGGCGTTTTGCCTCATCAGCAACTTGCTTCAGGATGGAAGGACCCTCGCCATTGTACAACTCTGCGTCGGGCGTGATCGATCCGGCTGGTTCAGCCAAAGGTTCGTCCGTGGCCGTCACCCCGCCGCTTGCTGGTGGTGGTGATACTAGAGTCGCACCGCCGGCGTCTCCTGGAGGCATGGCCAATGAAGAGGAGCCGGTGTTGACGCTGTTGTCACTCGCCTTTGGGCTTGTCAACACAGGAGGGGTGGCTGGTTTGAGAGAAACGCCACCGGAGATTGGGTTAGGAGGCGGTGCAGGTGCAGTAGTAGGTGCAGGTGCAGTAGTAGGTGCTGGTGCTGGTACTGGTACGGGTGTTGTTGTATCTGCCGGTGGTGATTTTTCAGCCTTAAGATATGCCAATGCGTGCTTTGCAGCATATTGTTTAGACGCCTGTGTAAAAGTATGATTGTTAGTTTCTAGCCTTGCCCTGAATCTTTAACACTAGATAAAAGGTCTTATTCTTATATATATAAAGAGAGAGAGAGAGAAAGAGAGAGAGAGAGAGAGAGAAAGGGGGGGAAAGGAAAGAGAAAGAACTTTGACAAACCTTTTTCGTCGCAAACAACGGTGGCTGTTGGCCCCGGGAAATGCCATGACCCTCACAAGGGAAAACCATGTGGCTAACAGAGGACAGGGAACATGTTGTCCTCCACCGCATATTGAAATTGCCATTGATGGGAATTTCTAACCCCACGTCTTGATATGTGGGAAGGGCCAAAGCATTAGTATTGCTCTTCTTGTTTTGATACTGGATGTGCTCTGCGACAAGATGCAATTAGCCACCGGCTCTGATTCTCGGCTCATCTGCTGGGGGGGATGCTCACGAATGAGAAGGCTCACGTAGTCCAGGCCGCCAATGTCCGGCTCAACCTCCACGAAATTCACAAGCTGGGAAAGCGCAGCGAGCTGTATCTTTGTCATACTGGGGGTTTGGCCTTGCTGTTCTGCCTTCTCTTGGGCCTCGACCCAGAGCTTGATGCGGTGCCACGGCACGGCGAAGCTTTGTGAGGCCATAATGACGGTGTCTCTGCTTTCCTTGGCAGCGGACTCTATGAGAGAAGACAAGGCAGAGTAGAAGCGGGCTGAAGGTGAAGCCGAGGAGCGTTGCTGGGCCGCAACCGACCTGGAACTGCTGCTGCGTGTGCGAGTTTGGATCTGGTTGCGATGAACACTGTGATGTTGAGTGCGGTTGCGATTGCGCCTGGAACTTATAGCTCTGCGGCCCAGAGAGACGGGAGGGCGAGGCTGTCGGCGCATAATAAATAAGCAATCATGGACGAAGAAAAAAATGAAAAAAGAAAAAATCTCCAAAAAAAAAAATCAATCCGCAACGCAATGCAATGTAATGGGCGTTGGGTTGGGTGCGAAGGCAGAAGCAGACGAAGCCTTGCGGGCCTCCCGAGTTTACAAGTTTATCAAGGCTCTGGGCTCAGCACCCAGTTGATTGGCCTGGGGAAGCTTGAGCTGGTGAGGGGCATGCAGCAGCCTTGGCCCTGGTGCAAATCAGTGGCGCAATTAAACTCGATCCTTGCGGTGCGTCACAAAACAAGGCAGAACCTGGAGATGCAAGAGAGAAAACGCTAAATGCTTGATGCTTGCATCTACCAAAAATACATACAATGTCGCGGCATGCCTCTTACTATACTATAGTAGTACGAGGCGACTAGCCTCATGTCTACAGTAGTCCAAGCGAGCCCCATGGAAATCAAGATCAAATCTACGAGCATGTACATGTTTGCCTGTACGCCGCACCTCGTGTGCGCATAAAGATACCTGCAGCCGGATGCTACCTTGCCTCAAAGCCCCTCGAAAAAGCCGCCGTCCCCATTCTCGTCATCCTCATCATTGGTAGCCTCTTGGGCCTCCCGCATTAGCCTTCTTCTTTCTCGCCGGTTATGCGCTTGTGGTATGTCCTTGTCGCCATGCCTAGATGATGTGTCCGGCCCTTTGCCCGGTCGCTGCTGTTGCTGGCCTCGAGCGTGCCGGGAGGGGCCATTGTGTCGTGGTTCGGCTGCGCTTGATGGGGCTGTTGGTCGCGGCCTGATTGGTGGCTGTGTAGTATCAATCTCGCCCGTATCGTCTGGCGATCTTCGGTCTCGTAGCTGCTCCAATGCGGGAGGCCCATCAGCCAAGGCTTTTTCGATCACTGTCCACATTGGTGGTCTCTCCGCTTCTAGAGCTGCCTTTGCGGCCGCAAGCTTGCCCTCCTCGGTCTCTTCTTCATCGGCTCCCTTCTTGGCTGTGGAGCTGTATAGTCCGACGTACGTCTCGAGATGGGGGAAGTAAAGGGTATACGTTTCATCCACTTCGGCGATATGGAGATTGCGCCGTATGGTTTCTGCCTTGTCCGCATCGCTTTCCTGTTCGAGCTGTCGCTTCAACTGCTTCACCAGTCTCGAGGCCTTCTTCCGTTCTAAATGACCCGTCAGTAAATGCAGCAGGCAGTGAGCCAAAGGAATGGCCGCAGAATCGGTCTGCAGGGCTCCACGCACCAAAGAATCGAACCATGTGGTATTTGGATATCATTGTGCTGCGCTTCTTCTTGTATGCCTTGTCTAGCATGATTTGCTTCTGTGACGCCAGTTCTCGTTCGAGGTCGATTCGCACATTGGCCGGCATGTCCCGATTTCGTCGCAGGCTTCTCTCAATCGCCCTAATGCGCTTCTTGGCTCCTGAGTCTTCTTGTGCCTGTCGCTTGCGGCCGATATATGACTTTTGCCTCTTTCCAGATGCCGCGCCTTGCGACTCTACCTCATCGTGCTGCCGTTTGGTGCCCATTGTGGTTTCTGCCTTGACGAATCGAAGAATTGGTGTTGTGACTTGCGAAAAAGAGGCTGTTGCTGCTGTCCTGTATGGGCCAACAAGGTATTAAACGTAAGATTGACGCAGAAGACGCCTCTTTGGCCCGATTGTCAATGCTTCCCGTTGTCAACAACTTATTTTTTTTTAATTCTGGGCGCATGACTGAGGGAAGGAAACCAGAATGAAACTCCATAATACTTTTTCTTATCTTATCAGGTGAAAAGCTTAATCTAGACTAGTGCTCCAGCACTAGCTGTCCAATCAGGGGGTGTCTACTGCTACTCTAGCTGCTTGTCCCGCCCAAAGCTCAAGAGCTGGCTCCCAGACGATTCAATTAGAAAGCTGCTGAGCTGATGAACCAGGCGACGGCTCTTCCTGGTGATTCTCACTTTCTCTTCTGGGCCATCCATAATATTTGTCCTCCCAAAGACATCATTCTGGAGCCTTGGCCGTCTTGGGATGGCAACTTAGAGCAAGCTCGACCTCGTCTATTGTCCAGCGTCAGGCCATGGCTAGAAGCGGAACCTCATCTGTGTTATGCGTTTGAGTCGACCCGCCGCCAAAGGAGCCTTTGTCGACGATCTGACGCAATTCAAGGCCGATGCCAGTGGAGATTGTGATTTGGTACCAGTTCTAGAGGAAACCTTGAGTATTCGGGCCGTACACTCACCACTTAGCCAAGACATCGGCAGTCGATGAATCGTCATCGCCGACACAGCATCAAAGATGGATCGCCCCGAGCCGGGACTTGTCAAGTGGTCTCCCAAGGCCTCAATCGATAGTTTTGTGCATATTAACCTGCAGCATCGCGTTGTTCAGCTCTACGAGCCCACTGGCCACGCGCGCGCTGGGAGGTTTGACTATACAAAGGGCAGCAGGCACGACGATTTCCCCCCTCTCACGACGTATGACTGGTCTCCCGAGAACCCAAACCTGTTGGCCGTTGGCACCGGCGCCGGAATCGTGAACCTTTTGAGGATCGACGATAACTCCAATGCATATGTTGAATTGGGGCTTAAGATGGCACGGACTTGCCAAGCCGTTTCCTTCAATACGACTGGCCTTTTGGCCGTGGGTTTGGATCGTGTTCGAATGGACTCAAGTCTACAAGTATGGGATGTCCATCGTCTATCGTCTGTGACATCTCTAGGGAAAGGTTTCCCTGATAACTGGGGCAGTCTTTCAGAACCCAAGAGATTTGAGCCGAGTGTGTCAGTCTCGAGTATCAAGTTCTTCGAAGATAGCCCCCAAGTGTTGGCAGCCGGCATCAAGGGCCAGGGAGTCAGGATACACGATCTTCGTGGTAAGTGCAGTATCAATTTTGAAACTCTTCAGACTTAGACTATCTGTTATCGAGTGGCAAGGGTGCTTACTTCTGACATCAAGATCCAACTGGCGTCCTCACTTTCCACACCAAGTGTAATAATAACCTAGCAATCGACTACGCCGATCAAAATTACTTCGCATCCTCAGCCCTTGACCATCCTGGAGTCATGATATGGGATCGGAGAGCAACCTCTCGCCCCGTAGCCTCTCATACCTACATCCAAGCCGTTGAAGAAGACGAGCTCCCTTGGGGCGGAGCCTTGCGCCTGGACACCGTTGTTGATACCGATTCTGATTCCTCCATGGCTGAAGAGAAGCATTCCCTCATCCGCTCTCTTCGTTACTGCCGTGATCACCGTGGTCTCCTAGCTGTTTTGTCCCGCACCGGACAGCTCAAGGTCTTGGAAACCAACAAAGAACTCCCGTCGTCAGACGCCGTCCCACATGAGGGCCCTGAGCTGCTTAAAGTACAGCGATCTCACGAAATGGATGTTTCATACCGCGACAACTCTAGAAAGAATGACAGAATTGTCTCATTTGATTGGGTGACGCTAGGTTCAGCTGCACTACGACCTAGACTTTTAGTCTTGCGGGCAAATGGCGGGTTTGATATCCTGGAACAGTCTTCTCGTACGGCCGATCATATCTTCAAGCTTGTGCCTTGGCAAGCCCCTCATCGCGGCCTTGAAGGTACTGGCAGACTCGAGTCCAATTTTGACTACTGATGTGCTAACTTGTGATTAGAGAAAACACCTTACCAAGATTTAATGCGGTTTGAGGCCACACAAGCGCCCAAGATGCTTGCCCCTATAATCATCGAGAAAAACCTGTCTGATGTTTCAATATTTGGGCCGGACAGGGTGAATGTTGAGGCCAGCATCGAGAAGGCTCTGGACCCAAAAACGCCAATATCCATTGTTGTCGAAGCTGTGGATGAGATCAATTCGCCTTTGCCCGAGACTTTTGAAAAGGCCGAGACAATTGCAGAAAAGCTTCGCAGTCTACGCAATTATGTACGGGATGAGAGCATTGCTCCTAGCTCGCCCGACGAAGGCCAGCCGCATGCCAGTGATGTGAGGCGGCTAGGTAACGGCAAACCTAGCTCCGCATCCATTAGCTCTAATGGCATTGGCTCTTGCAGAGAGATCCATGAAGCACTTCTCGGAACTCTTGCTTCCGCATCTGGGCTTCCCAGAGAAGCACAGTCTGTAGTGGATCACGTAAAGCTTTTCCGTGCCAAGGAGAGATACCTGTTTGATGCTGTAACCAACAGGAATGTAACGTCTGACGACCCTTGGAAGAGATTCGTCTGGGATTGGATTGGTGGTGAGTGCCCCATATATTCAACGCTATTCTCTCTCTCGGTTTGCTAAGCAGATGCTAGACGCGGAACGAGCCGCAGATGATGGCGGCTTAATGCTCTCTCACATGGACCTCAGTTACTTGGGAGTGCATGCAATCTGGACAAACAATCTTGGTGAGTAGCAACATTTGAATAAAGCTTGAGGAACGGCCAGGCTAATCAAAAACTTTACACCTAAAAAAGGCCGAAACCCAGCATCTCGCGTATCTGCAGGTGGTCACGTTCCCGATGCTTATACTTGGGAACGCTCTATCGGGGCATACTGTAAGAAGCGCCAATTGCCCAAATTTGACGGCGTCGTGACGAGAAAGCCTCATCATCGCCAGCTATGCCTTGAAATATGCGGCTGGGGCGATGACCAGAATCACGACCCTAGCGGCCTGGATCGAGAAGCCGACCCAGAATATCCAGCGGGTATCCATACAATGGCAGCCTCTAGAGCTCTCTTCAGGGGCGACACGAAACTGGCAGTGGAGATTTTGAAAGAAGCTAGCCCATCGCATCCGGAGCTGCTCTTCGTTTCATTAGCTCTGCAGCTCATAGGCCGAGAAGGCAATCAGCTTCCTAAAGAGAAGTTGGACATTGACGAGGCAGTTGCGTCAAAGACGGACCCGTATCTTCGGGCGATATCATCCCTGATAGCTACGGGTGACTGGACCATCATCGCCAACCAGTCTTCGTTGCCCCTTGCCGACAGAGCCTATGTTGCGTTTCGCAACTTCACCGATGACCAGCTTACTGCCTGGCTCAACGAGCAAGTCTCCCGTGCCGTGGACGAGGGAGACATCGAAGCCATCTGTCTGACTGGCATCACTGACACCATGGTGGATATCTTTGCTCGCTATGTAGAAAAGTTCAACGACTTCCAGACCGCCACGCTCGTCATGTCCATCTGCGCTCCTCGATACATTGATGACATCCGCTGCCGAGCGTGGCGGAATGCATACCGCGCCTATCTTCAGCGCCATCGCTTCTTTTTCCAGCGCACCAAGTTTGAGGTGGAGTCTACCAAACGCTCCAAGCGTGATGGCGTCCCTGCACTCAAGCCCTCGTCGCGCCAGATTGCCCTCCGTTGTGTCTACTGCGATGCCAGCACATCTCTCGCCAATCACCACAACGCAGCGCCCGTGGTGCCCTCGTCCACCATGGAGACGCGCAATCCCATGCTCGCGACCAGCATCAACTCTGGCGTCAGCTGTCCTAACTGCGGGAGACACCTTCCTCGCTGTATCCTGTGTTACGAGGTTGTCGGCGTGCCGCGGTCGGATAGGCCTGAAGAGAGGGAGGAGACTCGCATGGCGAGCCGGTTTCCGACCTTCTGCCTCCGATGTGAGCACGTGCTGCACTTGGATCACGCCAGGGAATGGTTTGCGAGGCACGCTGAGTGTCCGGTGCCAGAATGCCGTTGTCGCTGTAGTTTCAGGGCGAATCCGGAGCTGAACTATCATTAAGTGTGGTGATTGCCGGTGATAACTCTATGCGATATCAAGATGTTGAGATACAAAATGGCTTCAATCATTCTACTTTGAAGAATTCCTGGATCTATCACGATGGATAGAACTACCATTACCAAGTACCATACCAACTCGATTGATACCGTCTGATCTCTCCAAAACTCCACCTGTTTCTGTTAGGGGAAGGGGGTTATGTAGCTTAGCAAGGGAAAGGAATTTTTTGTAATTGCGTGTGTGTATAATATATATATAATCCAGGTTTGCTTTATGTATTTATTCCTAATATTCGCGCTCTTGAATGCCAAACAACATGAAACCGGCCCCTTTGAACACAGCGGAAAATATGACGAAAGAAACAAGACGATGGAACAAGTAAAAGACAACACCAAATCTCCCTTGCACCTAAATAATCGAATAAACAATGTTAAGGGGAGGAAAAAAAAACTCCACACCCCGTTACCGATGCCCCCTATTCACCCAACCTGTCCCGGCCAAGACGTGAGTCTTCCCCAGCCTCCCTAGTTGTGTCGCTTATGATCAAGTGCGTATTATTGTCGTAGTCACCATTCCATGAGGACGTCTCGCGTGTATGTATCGTCTCCGTTATTCTCACTAGCCAAACGCTGCTGCTCCCCCTTCAAAATCTCCTCCCCAGTAAAAATGTGTATCACTTCATGGGTATCATGACCAAAGATGTATCGTGACCTTCCAGGGTCTATGTCCGTCCCCCGCCGATGCACCAAAAATATATATATATCTGCTCCGTCTCCCCGTTCTATTTGGCTTTATGTGCCTTACACCACGGGTGATCCAGCACCTGTTCTATGGAATACCGCTGAGCAACGTCTCGGTTCAACATGCAGCGGATCAGATCGATGCTGTCCTCGCTGATGATGAAGGGGATACGGAGGTCTCGGTCCATAATCTCATCAATACTGTAGAAAGGGTTCTCCTTGTAGACGATGGTGTATAAGAGGATGCCGAGAGCCCAAACGTCCTGCTCTTTGCCGCCATAAGGCTTCCCGGCTAGGACTTCTGGTGCGGCATAATCTAGAGAGAAGGTGGTTAGCATTTGATTGCGGGAATTTCAAGGTAAGCATCGGCATGAAGAAAAAAAGGGGGGGGAGAATAAAATTCTTACCAATTGTGCCCACAAACACATCAAAAGGGCCGCTCTTGATGTATGCCGCGCTACCAAAATCGATGAGTTTGATGTTTCCTTCGCCATCAAGGATCACATTTTCATCTTTGATGTCGCGGTGAACGACTTGGGCTTTCGTGTGCAAGAAGTGGACAGCGTGGGCAACTTGAACAAAAATGCTCCGGCATTCAGACTCATCCATATTTGCGCGAAGCTCAATATAATCAAACAGATCCATGCCAGGGAGACCGTGTGGAGCCATTTCAATGTAGTAGTTCACGTCGTCTTCGAAGAAGCCTTCCATTTCCACAATATTGGGATGTCGAAACTCGGGTTTTCGTAGATAGTTCAAGACGTGGATTTCCAAGGGAACAGTTCCGAGTTTTCTGTCCCGTGTCCAGGTATCGACGAGAATACGACGCTTAGTCACATATTTCAACACTACTTTCCTGCCTGTCTTCTTGTGCCTAGCAAGTTTCACCTGACCGTAAGCTCCTTGGCCCATGTCTTCAAGGATGGTATAGTCATCAATGGTAGTTTTGCGCTCAGGCTCATCGTCCCCAGACTTCTCTGGCTTCGGGGCTTCCTTTGGCGGCTCTAGTTTGGCATGTCCAGTAAATTTTGCAGCAGCGTCAAGTGCGGCCTCTTTGATTTGTTTGGGGATAGCAGTGGCCATCGCTATGATTGGTTGCTTGACAGCCTCGATCTTGGGTTCATCAGAGTCTGAAGGTATTTCCATCGGGGTGTGTGCAGGAGTTTGGCCTGGTGAGGGTTGATGAGGCGGCGTTATAGCGACAGAGTGATCGGGAGATTCCATATTTAAATGTAGAGACGATGTGTGCAGGTGCCGTGAATACGTTATCCACAAAGCAAAAACCAGCTCTGATTGTGAAACAGAACCTCGGGTGTCGTGCCCTTCAGTTGTGTCCGAATCGCTCTCTTCGATGATGTCGATGTGTTTTTCGCTCTCAACGACGCGCATCTGCACGTCAATTTTCAACTCGGAGCCGTCTCGATGTCTCGCCGGTATGCCCTCGGGCTGTAGAAAGGCCGCGGCAGCATTAGGACGTTGTTCTTTCAAGGCGAAAAATGCGGCCGCTCTGCGGAACCTGTGCTCTGGAACGACCATGCCATCCAGCAGCTGAAGCCCGTCTTCTTCTGTGAGTGTGGCAAGGATCTTGTCAAAGTCGGGGATGAGAGAATATATGGGCATGCCATCGGGCTTCTCGTAACCAAACAAAGCGCCAGAGAAGACAGAGTTTGAGCTACGAATCTTCAACGTTTCTGGTTCCACGACAACGATGCCAGCCATGTGAGGAAAAGTTGAGACACGCAGCTCTAACTTTCCACGAACTTGCTCAATGGCGCATGGAATATTCGACTTGTGGGAGTTGGGACATGTAAAGTATCGCCTCCGACTTGTTTGGGCAAAGTCAATCTCGCCCTCATTAGGATCAATGCCCTGGCGCGGTATCCGTGGAATAAGTTTTGCAACATCAAAACCCGGTTTTGTGGTTTTGAAGCCCCAAATAGGCTCGGTTGCTCCTGTAACGGACTGCACGATACCTTCTTCATCCAACACTATGTGCGCCACATCCTCGTGAATTTCCTCAAGCACCCAGATCAGCCCCACGCGCTTCTCCTTGACCCAGAGACTTGCTGATCCGGTAGCACCATTCCGCTTCTGAATCGGAACTACATCACCGCACAACAGAACACCGCGTGATAAGTTGTTGCGATGATGGCCGCTGGTACGTGTAGTCGGCGGGTTTGGATCTCCGCTGTGGACGGTCTGGGCTCGTCTTGGGGATGCCACTTGAGACGGCGGGGTTCTCGAGTTGGGTTTGTTAAGCAGTTGAGCAGTGATTCCCGATCTGCCGCCCAGCAAGGCGGACGCGGCCGAAGCAGCAGGAGTACTTTTGTGGCTACCGTCACCATCCTCGCCCAGATCCGCGTCACTCAGCTGCATAAGTCTACGCTCCAGCCATGACCGTCTCTCTTCTTGTACAACCTCCAGAATGCCCATTTTTCGAACCTCGGCTTTTGTGACACCAAAAACAAGACAGGCCAGATCGTTGGCCGCTAAAATAGTCCAAGGCGGCTTTGCCTCTGTCGTAAAGATTGCTTGGGCGGCTGGTACCCATCTATTCGTATGTCCGTGTACCGCGGGGCCAACCGCAGCGGAGAAGCTCTTTAACTGTGCTGTAGGCTGCATCGTTGACCCTGGTGAGGCCAATGGCTCTTCGTACAGCGGCTCGCCAGGAAGAAAAGGTTGTGACATGGTATCCATCAGTTTATCTTGTAAAGCCATACTCAGGGTGTCAGTCATGGTCCGCTTCAAGTTGGCCGGTCTTGAGGTAGGGAGTGGCATCTTTGAAGCAGCTCCATCATCGCCAGCGTGAGCTCTACTTGAGTCTTCTTGCTTTAGCTTGGCATCAGAAGCTGCCCTGTTGAGCAGCTCGGCACTGGTGGTGAGTATTGGCTCTTCATCACGAACGGGACCCTCTTTTGAAGCTTTATATGTGAAGTCAGGTGCCGTTAAATCCACGATCGATGCTCTCGGGCTAAACTGCATATCAAACACATTCTCAGCAGATAAGCCAGCCGGACCAGTCAATGGCGGAGGAGCAAGGGCCGTGGGATCGGGATTTGGCAAGTTCCCTGCGCCTATTACTTGCGCGCGTGCAAGAAATTCCAGCATGTGCTGCGCGTCGACATCGCCCGAAACCCTGGCCTGGGCGCTGGCAAGGCCGGCTTGAGTCGAGGTCATGGTCAGGCCCATGCGGTCCTTCATGAACTCCAGGGAACGCTTCAGGACATTTTGACGATTGTGCAGAAAATCCTCCGATTGATGTGCGAAGGAGAAGGAGTGCAGAGACTCGGAAGGAAACCGCGACAGGTCTTCGGAGAAGCTGGGAGATGTGGGCGCTCCGACGAAAGGCGTTGTAGCGTAGCTGCTCAGCATTGCAGTCATGGAGGTAGAGCGGGTGAGCGCAACAACTGAAGGGCTGCGTGAAGATGCATTCGAGCTAGGCAGGGTTGGCGCTCGGGAGGGAGGATGCTGCTGTCGTATACGGCGCAGGCCAGAGAGCCCCAAGCCGTGCTCGTGGTCGGTAATAGGAGATGGTCTGATCGGAGCGCGCGGTCAGCAAACAAAAGCGAGCTACCATGGCACAAGTCTGGTGCGGAACACGCCGCCGCCAAGGGACGAACCTGGTGATTGGGTCGTGGTCCATGATGCCGGCCGACGAGGCTTCAAAGGACATTCGGTATCGACTGCGGTCGGACGGGTCAGCTGATAGGTGCAGGTTTCCCGTGCTGCGGTTCTTGGGCAACGACAGAGGCTGCATGGTTCGGTCGTGTCCTCTGTCATCGTCCCTCGTGCTGCTCTCGGTGCCTGGAAATGGGACGGGCATCAGTCACGGCGTCATGGCTAAGGATTGGCTTCAACGTCCAAACATACGGTTGTCTTGGGGGCCGCCATGTGTCTGAAGCATACTTGTAGACCTCAGTTCGCGCGCCTCTCTAGTGGAGTGATGTACGACGCAATGTGAAAGCAGGGCCCAGGTGGCGAGGAGGCGTCAATCGAGCCTGGTCTCGCGAACGATCGAATCAGCTCGGCCAGGCTTCAACGGGGCGTCGAGGTCGTTGGCAGGCCGATTGATGCTGCAGCTGGCGTTGACGGAGCGTCGCTATTTTCGGTGCTACGCGGATGCCGTGGAAAAGCAAAGGATACGGATCGGTGGCCGTAACAGGAGGGTTCGAGTGCAGCTCAGGCGCCCAGGACCGGTTTGCCAGTGCTGCAAGACGAGATTTGCTACCACAAGGGAGAGAATTGAGGTCGGTTTGGACAATTTGGCAAATCTGCGGTTGGGCGACTTGTTTGGGGCGAGGGGTTCAGCGGCGCGAGAGGGGTGAAGGCGCTGGAGAGGAGCCACTGCTGCCCACAAATCAAAATATCGACGATTGGAGTCTCAACAGCATGCCAATGGCAGTGAGAGAAATTCTGGTCCAGTGCATATAAAGCCGAAAGTGCGCCCTATCGTGCTTAACACCACAGGCACTTTTGCTCTTCAATGTCTTTTTCCTGAGGTCGAGTCTTGTCCTAGCTCTACTCTATGGATGCAAGTGGTCATTGATGCTGAAATTTTTTTCTACAGCGCGCAAGTGGTTCCTCTTAGGCGCACGACTCCAATTCCTGTTAGGTACCTAATAATGCTAACTCCATGTAACTACTAACTCATCCATGCCCTACGAAGAATCTTGTCGTCTGCCTGACAGCACAGACATTTCTGCAGCTTCTCTCTCCTTTCCTTTTTATGGTTTCTTTTATTACTATGAGCCATTTCAATGCCATTACCACTCACACCATGAAAGGGAACCGCAAAAGCTTCGGATTGGGTAGTGCCAACTCAAATGCGCTTTATTCTGCAAGGAGCAACGCCAGCTGCAGAAAATCGACGGGATTGCAAGACATGATACGTAATTGGTTGGTTGGTATCAGCTCACCGGATGAGCACCAATGCCAGCATCCGAACCTCTTCAGTTGCTCAGCTTGAAACACTTACAAGGCGATGGCTCGGCATGTGAATATCACTATATCTACTAGTCCGTGACTAAGTTGCTGCTACCGAGTAATAAAGCAGCCACACGTTCCTGTCTACAGATAAGTATGTGTAGCATAACGAGTACGATTGGTAAATAGAAAGAAGCATGCTCTTTTAACCCACGGCTGGCGGTAGAATCGAGCGACAGGACGAGTAGAATTCCCACATTGGGAAAAGTGTTCATACAAGACAAAGGCTTATTATGATCAGCTGCTAACCAAGATCTGGCATGTAGCCCGGCTTTTCCAACTTAAATCTCTCCAAGTTGTTTAGACATTTAAGACAGATGAAACAGCCCGAGACATTCTCTGTAGTCAGCCGACATGGAGATTTGCCGGAAGCTGGGGATTGCACCGTCCAAATGGCCCATTTTCCCCTTTAATAGCAGCTGTCAATCTCGATTATCATATCCACCTAGAACATGTACCTGGGAACTACGCGTAATACTTATAGTACCTATATATCGCAAGTTTAGCATCAATATCTTTGTCTTATTGTTTGATTTTGTAGCAGGTAGTCAGCAGCATCAGCAATTTGACCGCTAACAAGATCCACAAATGCACAGGTATGATGCTGATACCCTAGAATCGGCCCAAAGAGCCCAACGTCGCGATATCGCATTATATGTACGCGTTTATCCCCAGCAAGGCCATCGTTACCCAGTATTATTTATGCCCAATGCTCTTTCTCGCTATTGCCTACGAACCATTCCCGAATTTTTCTCCAATTAGCTCATACTAACCCACACGTTATTATTACCAGTTGGTACCTAGGCAAAGCCCCTTGGCAATTGCAGCTATCGGGTACCAGCGGGTATGCGATATTTAGGAGGCATGTGCCCCCTGATTTGACTGGTTAAGACAAGGTCGATCGTTGCCTCGAACGCCGCATGCACATTTGCATGGCATTCTCTCGTTCCATTCTGCGCTACGGCACGCCATATGGAAGGATCGATATCTGGTGCCTGTTCAATGCAGTCATGTACCTGCTAGTCCTCCACTACTGGATGTGAAGGTTTCTTACGGCCCGAAACCTGCTACCCAATACTTTGCCAGTCTGTACCATTTTTGCCACCCTCTTAAGGTGCTAACACGGGTACTTTGCCCCAAAGAACTCTCATGGACGCTCCATTTTCATGACAGAGGATGAGCGATATATGAATTCCAGGTAGCATCTCCGAATGCAACGCGATTGTCACACGACAAGACCAGCCATCCAGAGCGCCACAAGCCATGATGCATATCGGCCCTGACCGCAACATGGCTGAGTGCATGTGCTGTCGAACTCGTGCAATGAATGACAGGGAGAGGATTACAGCAAAAGCAAGGTACTCCGTACTCAACACTTCTAACGGCACAGAGATGCTAGTGCGAGCCGCTGTACGAGTACATAGTACAACTCCTCTAGAGTGGGCTTCTAGTGGGGGTTGCGCTGCCGCAGGGTCTCCATGCAGCGCTAGCCGCTAGCGTTGGCGTGGCTCCATATCTTAGGGAGTGACTATTCAGCATCCCATTCTTGACATTGAAATTTAAAGCAGCCTGGGCAGTAATAATAGAAGATAGTAGAGGAATATATGGGATAGTAGCAGATAGTAGCAGATAGTAGTAACGATAGTAGAAGATACCAGCGATATTAACATATACTTGAGGAACTGTGTAATATCTATTCAAGTAACGGTGATAAGAGATCTTCATTATAAAAGTACTTGTACGTTGTTACTCCATTCGGAACTCTTAGCTGCTGGGGCCGTATCTTATCGATATACCCCAGCTTGCTGGGCGCTAGCCGTCTATTCGATGGCAACTCTACGGTACTCGCGAGTAATGTCCAGCATTCAGTCACAACTCGTAAATGGCGTTTTCCGGAACCAGCGCCAACAAGCCCACCGCTGAAAAAGTCAGCCACATGTTCTCCAGCATCTGACGGGGGTGGTTTCTGCATTGTTAGTGACCGAGGTGGGGGAGACCGACCGAAAACGAGCCCTTGCCTTGCCTTGCCTTGAGCCTTTTCTTTCCTGACGATGCGTCCAACACGCCACCGTCCTCATTCGGTTTTTTTGCTCTCTCCCCCTTCTGCCTTTGCCTCTGCCTCTCGACCTGTTATCTCTCATCCTCGTTCCTGTGATCAACAGCCCGCCTTGCTTGGGTGGGCATGGGATAAAGATCGCTGCTTGCTATCTTGATTGCGATACCGCGAAGCGTGAGCCAGTCTCCTGGTGCGGTCACGCTGACCACCCCGCGGCTGCTCTGGTAGCCCGGCTGACCTCTACGCCATCTTGCCCCGTGCCTTGTCGACGGCATCGAGCAGTTTTCTGCCGCGAGCCTCGTGTCCAGATACCGAGTCGATTCATCGAACAAGGCGGCCCTCCAGCAAGTCGATAGTCATCAGTGTGATGCATTGACAAGAGCCTCGACGGCCTTTAAACTCTCCCCTGGCGGACCCGGGCCCCGCATCATCGCCATTCTTTCATCACCGCAGCAAAATTTAAGATTTTCATACGCGTACGAACTAGATCCGTTGGAGATTACTTTTACTTTTCCTCCCAAGAAATACACCGAGGACACATCTGTCGAGACGGCCTTCTCAGTGGAGGATATACCCAACAACAAACAAGAGAAGCCTGTATCATCCGTCCAACGGGACTACCCAACCAACCATGGCGGAGGTACTTGAGATCGCGGCGGACGCTCCCATGTCCGCTGACGAAGGCACTGCTCCCACTCCACCTGACGTGCCCTTGAAGGGTAAGAGTCGCCAGCGAATTCTCCGCGGTATCCAGCGCATTTCTTCATCGCCGTCCCTTCCTGGCGTCGGACGATCTCGATCCATTAGCAACCCTTATAGCATCCGATATGGCTCCATCTCTTGCGTCAGTCTATCCACGGCCGGGCCATCACAAGCATCTCCCAGGTCTGCAACGCCGCAGCTCTCTGCTCTGAATGTGACGGGCGCTTCACATCCAGGGTCCAAGACTAAGGTGTTCATGTTCGAAGAGGAAAACGATGATGATGTCGAAGAGTTCCCGGCTATTCGCAAGGTCAATCATGGGCTTTCCAGTACTTCACCCGCTGTGTCATCCCTGCCCTCCGAACTCAGAGGACGAACCAAGCCCGTAGAAAAGAAAGACTTCAACTTTTGGGAGGCCATGCCTCACGAAATCCGAATCCACATCTTTTCATATTTTCGGCCCAAAGAATTGGTGCGGATATCCAGAGTCAGCAAAACCTTTTACGGTTTTTGTTTTGACGGTCAGTTGTGGACATCGATCGATGCTTCGGAATTTTACCAGGAAATTCCTGCTGCGTCACTGGCACGCATCATCGCCGCTGCTGGTCCCTTTGTCAAAGACTTGAACTTGAGGGGATGTGTCCAGGTCGAACATTATAAGCGTACCGAAGTCATCGTCAAGTCGTGCAAGAACCTTATGAACGCGACCCTCGAAGGCTGTCGGAATTTCCAAAAGCACACCCTCCACAATCTCCTAAGAAGCAATGAAAAGCTGGTTCATCTCAACTTGACGGGACTTGCGGCGGTGACAAACACATCCTGCAAAATTATTGCCGAATCATGTCCTCAACTGGAGAGTTTCAATGTTTCATGGTGCCAGAAGGTTGAGGCTCGTGGGATCAAAACAATTATCGACGCATGTACGAAGCTGAGAGATCTCCGTGCTGGCGAGGTAAGGGGGTTTGATTGTGCCGCAACTGCAGAGTCAATTTTCAAGACAAATCGACTTGAGAGACTGGTCCTCAGCGGATGCTCTGATCTCAATGATGAGGCGTTGAAGATTATGATGCAAGGGGTTGATCCCGAAATCGACATCCTCACAGGTCATCCTGTGGTTCCTGCTCGCCGGCTTCGCCACCTGGATCTGAGCCGCTGCATCAGACTAACCAGTGCAGGTGTCAAGGCGATTGGCCATGTGGTGCCGGATTTGGAAGGCTTGCAGCTTTCAGGGTGCAAGACGTTGACTGATGCAGCGCTTGAACTTATTCTTGCCTCAACACCAAGGCTCACTCATCTCGAATTGGAAGATCTCGACGAGATAACCAACTCTCTCCTCTCCGAGCATCTTGCCAAGGCGCCATGCGCTGGTAACTTGGAACATCTCTCTCTGAGCTACTGTGAAAATATTGGAGACTTGGGAATGCTTCCGGTCATGCAGAAATGCATAGGGCTGAAGAGCGCCGATCTCGACAACACCAGGATCAGCGATCTGGTTCTCGCAGAAGCCGCCTCGATGGTTATCAAGCGTTCCAAGCCGGCCTCAGCAGGCGAGGTCCGTCCTAAAGTAACGCTGCGTTTGGCAGTATACGACTGCCAAAACGTAACTTGGACAGGTATCCGAGAGATCTTGTTCAGGAATGCCCAGGTTAGACCAGCTGTGGGACAACCTGGTGGAATCACGTACCCAACTGAGAGCATTGGCCTGAAATGCTTCTACGGTTTCCAGATGACCGTCGATGAGCACCAGAAGAGAGTTCTCCGGGGCGATCTTGTCGCTGCCGGTAGACTGGAGAGGAAGTGGGCAGACTACATGCAAGCAAACGAAGAAGCTGGCGCAGGAGGGGCTGGATACCGGAGGCGCCGGCGTCGAGCAAGGCATGCACAAGCTCTTCATGCGGATGAAGAAGATGGAGGTATTGTCGGCCGCCGCAGAGCAAGGACACTGGGATCTTGCTCCGTAATGTGATAATGGGGATCACGGTAACATGTTGGTCTTCAAATTATGAATGTACGATCATCTCATTCTGTTCATCTACTCTGAGGGTGGAATTTTTTTTTTTTTTCCAAAAGAAGAAAAGCTCCAAAGGCTTCTTTTTTGCCGGGATTCTTTCTTTCTCTTTTTTCTCTTTGGGTTATTTCTTTCACTGCATGTGGCAATGGCGTTTTCTGAATGCCACACAGCACTGGTGTTGTTGTTTTGGGGGTAGAACATACAGGAGATGACAAAGTGGGAAATGGGAGTTGGCTTGGGCAATGTTTCCTTGAATTTTCTCTTTCTTTGCAAACAACCCAACTTACCGGCAGCGGTAAGGATTGGGCGCTCTTGGAGATGACATTGGCTTTGGGCAGGACCCCCTTTCGACCTATGAGTGCAACAGGATTGCTTGGATGTAAATAGGTCGATCTAGACTGCCAGCACCGTCTACGGATGTCCTGCAAGTTGAGATTAGTTTGATGCAAATAGATTGATTCTGCTATGCATGGCTACTTGTCATTGATGCTTTGCCATGTGTCAGTTGGTCTCTGGATGTTCATGTGTGCCGCGGTGGTCAGCTACACACACAGAGAGGGTGCTTATCATGGGATGAGTATGCAGGGGAGAGGAAACTTCGTATTGAGCAGCATGAAGGAGGCTGGATTATGCAGTCCGGCATGAAAACTCGGTGTGATGGGGGGTTGGTGTGAGTCTGGCGAGGACGACAACACGGTAGATGCTGTGTCGTATTAGCCCACCTCTACATTTAGCTACATTTCCTCGTGGTGTCTCGCCGGCACAAGGCAATCGTTTCTACACAAGTACTCCTTCAGAAGCCACTCCGTCTTGACTAGCACCGATTTGAAGTGAATGGCATTAGTATTATGCTAGAATGCTAGTTCCTCGCCTCACCATGCTAGAGAAACACTTGGATCCAAATCCACGTGGTGTGAGAATCCCTAAATTCGGTCTTATTTTAGACTCAACTGAGACTCCATCTTCTTCCGGGTACTACTGTCACTGAGGTATAGGTAAGTAGGTTCGCGCTGTCGAAGTGACAAAAGCTAGTCACATTTACTTGTCTGATGCATGCATTCTTTCGCAGGTAGGTAGCCGGCGAAGCTGAGCCGGACCCGGTCGCACTGTGTACGAGTACCGCGTCTTCTGACGACAAAGCCATTGGAATTGGCTGTGTGGAGCAGCCGCAGGATTGACAGGCTGCTGTTGGTTCGAATGCCAATCTTGCAACGTCAATGCGATTGATTGAGATGACGAGGCGATTGATGAGCGTCGGCGTCTCAACTCATGATGGGGGGAGGGGGAGACCTTGGCCGGAGCATCTTGCACCTCGCTTAGGTGCTTGCATTGCTTTGCTGGCCTTGGAAGAAGATGATGTGAGTAGCATTAGCATTAGCATTCGCAGTAGCATTCGCAGTAGCAGGTACATGTAGGCGCAATGCAGGCAGCATCCAAGTTATTACAGCAGACAGTGATTGGTGGCACGTCCAGATGAAAATGATTTGAGCTTCTCACCGGCGTGGAGACACCCCCGGGCTTTGAAGCTTGAGGCATGTACGCACAGATGCAGGCATGGATGAGCCCTGTCTCAAACACCCAATGATCACCGCGGCTCGCACGTGTGTGTGACGAGAATGCAGATGCAGATGCAGATGCCTCTTGGGTTCGTATTTTGCAACCTTCTTTGTTTCCGGGTACTCGTGCGGTGATTTGGCCTGAAGATATTCGGCGCGGGATAGCTCGCATTGCATGCCTTGGTTTGCAAGCAGTGTGGCTGCACAATCCCTGCGACCGGTGAGGCAAGCGAGACGAGTGTTTGCTTTTTCCTGCGACTTGGGGTTGATCCCACCGACTTTTGTTCCCTGTCGTGTTGTTCATGGCTTTTCTGTTCTCATGGAGGGGGTTGATTGACTGGACTGGACTGGACTGGACTGGACCAATGTCATCTCGTCGGCACATGGACATGGACATGAACGCTGCACTGAGCACAAGTCACTGGGCACAGGCCACACGCAAAGCCGATCAGTTGCTGTACGTTGGATTGATTGATTTCTTTCCTTCTTTCTTACCTCCGGCGCCACACTGCTACCTTTAATCTGTCTGAGACTTGATTGCTGAAGAAACCAACGGCGGCGAGGCCTTACTTACATGTCGCCAGATCCTCAACAGGCTAGAATTCCTCACTATCAAAGTGGCGTGGGCTCGGCTAAGTCTACCAGAAACGGCAGTCTCTAGCCTGCAGCTGAAGATTGCTGGCAGCTTAGCGCTTCGTACCTTATTAGTACATGTACTTTAATAGCTGCCAGCCTCACTGCTCGGCGCTGTACTATGGATATCCCTCCGTGCTTCCCCGGAGGATTTGCAACGAGGCAAGGACTTGTGTCTGAAGAGGGCGTGTGCCGAATTGGACGAGACAACAAAAGTCGCACACACATTGTGTGCGGAGGCCTGGCTTGGGGGGAATACAGCGTCAGGTGGTGGTATTACTCGACGAGCAGGGCAAGGTACGGATTAGGAATATGTACATCCACAGTACCAGCCTCAACTGTCTACCTACCTACCTAAATGCCCTCCTCTGAAACAGAGCACTAACGCCTCCATTGAAGTCCAGTCCTCTCCAACGCCAACTGGCTGGCTGGCCGGCCATCCATCCATTCCAATCTGGACCTTGCAAGGCCCGGCATCTTTGGCACCATCCATTTTCTCTTCTAGAACAGGCACAAGCCCCTCCATTACCTACCTAGTTTACCCATTCCTTCGTTCATTGTCCATTTGATTGTATCGTTTCCATTTTTACTCCAAATCAATTATCAATAATCAATGGCAGTTTCAACAACCCTCTCAAGCACGCTAGCAAGCGTTAGACACGGAGTCCTTAGCACCACCTACTAAATCGTGTCGTGTCCCACCAGCCGCGGCAAACGGGTGCGTCTTGAGCCCCACGGATCTCAGTCTGGCCGCAGGCTGAAAAATCCCGAGGCCCGGCAAGTGGCAGCTTTGTGTCCGGCGGTTAGGAAAAAGCACCTACACAACCTCGTACTGCGCCTGTTCTCGTGGTGAAGCGACCTTCATGGCCTGAGCAACCCCGGATCCGAGATTAGATTCCGCCTTGGGGTGCATCATCTCGCATACATACAAAGAAACGGAGACTCGTAACAGCACGCACACGCAACCCGCCTGCTCTCCCAAACATGCCTCTCGAGACAATATACGTCGTCCGTCATGGGGTAAAGTGTGCCCTTATTTGATCCCCTCACCCCCCTTGCACTGCAGACAATGGCGTCACGAGGCTGAGGGCTCTTGTATTGACCGTTGCTATTGTCAACGTCAGTTCCGGTCTAGTTGGTCCGTCGACCACACCACAGGAGTGTATTCAGCTTCGATCCCATCACCAACAGGAATCGCTGTGGACCCGGCCCTCACCGCCCACGGAGTCGATCAGTCGAGGCAGCTTGCCCAGCATCTCATGACGGTAGACCCCCCCGTGGAGGTTGTGTATTCGAGCCCCTACTACCGCTGCCTCCAGACCATCACCCCCTTTGTCGAGCTCCAGCAGGAAAAGCAGCATCATGGCCAGAGGACGAGTGCCGGCAGTGACGCCCCCTCTGCCGCCACCATCATACGGCCTGAACACGGAATCTGCGAGTGGTTCGGGTCCGCTCCGTTTGAGCATCCCGGCCCAGCCTCACCCTCAGTTCTGAAATCCTTGTTCCCTGCCTTTGACGAGAGCTACGTGTCGGCCCAGCATCCTCCCAAGAGGGGCGAGACGCTGGCCCAGCTGCAGGCCAGGCTTACGGCCACGATGCAGAGTATCATTGATCGCTGCGACGCTGAAGATAGACGAGCCGTTGTGCTGTGCACTCATGCCGCAGTCGTCATCATGTTGGGCCGCATCCTGACGGGTGACTTCCCAGAGACTGTGGATGCCGATGACTTCCGTGCCTTTACCTGTGGACTGAGTGTCTACCGCCGGAGACTTAACAATCGAGATGAAGGACTGCGAGAAAAGGGGGATTTGCCTGACAAAGAGCCCAACCCTAGTGCTGCTGCTGCTGTTGGAGGTTGGTCATGTGAGGCCAACAGTGACTGCAGATTCTTGATCAACGGCGAAGAGCGAGGCTGGTACGTAAAAGAGGCAGTGTTTGTTTGTTTGAAGAGCTATGCTGATGGCGTAATTGCTGGCGTTAGGAAGTTCGTAGGAGACGAGGAGTTTCCAGACACAGGCTCCATGTCTCAAGGTGCATCTGAGTCTAAGCTGTAACAAAAGCTCGGGATCACAAGCAGTCTATGCAGTGCATGATGTAACGACCTGCAAGCCAAGCACAAAGGACAAGGTTGGAAGAAAAGGGCTGCCTATCCCCCCCGGGCAGGCATTGGCGGCTGTGACGTTTTACTTGGCCGGATGATACACGTTGTCGGCAGATTATTATTAGGCTTCGTCACGAGAATCATACCTCGTGGCAAATTGCTCCTAGATGAGAAACGACATGATCATTAGAATGGCCGTGCATGGTGCAACCCGCGAATTCCCTTGTTGATTGCCTCGTTGGGTCGAACTCGTCCTGTTAGACTCGAGCCGTTTTTGGACATGCGGACAAACATGTAGGCAGAGTACATGTGCCTTGACATCCCGTCCGGGACCCCCTCCACGAAGCCCTCGGATCGTAGCCCTACCAAGTCGGAAAGATGCTTCTCGCAGTCCATTCCGTGACGGGACCCTCTGCTGGTCCTTGCACTGCAGCTTGACGGCTCGCTGTCTCTATATGGGCATCTATGATCTGATACTACTCTGCACTCGGGCACCGGGCAGCGGTTCCGTCAGCTCTGGGACACTACCAGGCGCGCAGGCCGTGCTGCAATTTTGAAGAAAACCCCTGGCCAATTTTGATGCACCTTGTCTCAATGAATACTCGTAACTACCTATCCTTCAATTTACGGAGTAGTGGCCAAAAGCTTCCCCACTACGGCTTGGAGCAGGGAGGAAAACGAAGCAACGCCACAAAATGATTTCCGACAATGCTTGTGTAGTGAAATGCATTTTATCATGGGAGGGGGGTCCAACGCCGAGAAACGCGAGACACACCCCGTGATTGGCCTTTTTTGGCCTTCTTTTCTTTTTTCCAAAAAAAAAAAAAAAACTGAATCGGCCTAACATTTAGGCTTGTTTAGAATTCCCCCGTCCTGATTTGCAGCCAAGGAGATTTAAGCTCCATCAAAATATACTCCTGATGGCGATGGGCAATCTAGTGTGGAGCTCCCAATGTAACGTATGTAAGGGCCATTCAGAGACATGCATTCGCGGATTCTGTCCCTTGCGTGTATAGAAATAGTTTCACTCTCTCATATCAAAATGTTTCACGGCATTGGACGGGCTCGAAAAAAACGTGGCGTTCTGGCTTTGTCGATCCGAGGGCACAAATGGTGGTTTTTCTTGACTCTGCCTGCTTTTCTGGCTGGGAATTGCAATTTGCCTGCAATGGCCCATCTGCCCGTGCGCGCCTGGTTGCATGTACCTACTTTACGTATATCAAGATTCAGGACCGGAAGCCGTGATAGAACAGACGACTTTCATCTGAGATTTATGCACCGATGCATACAGAGGTTGGATACAGACCATGCCAGGGGAGCACACGCCATCTCCGTTGCCAGGGATATCTGATGGATTCTCCAAGGGCACGCCTCAATAGAGACAGTCACACGGACATTGATAACGGCTACTGCCTTGTGTTCCGCCAAAAAATGGCCACTCTGGAGAAAGGCAAGGAAATATTGAATGTGAGATTTGACAGAAAAAAATTGCCTTCGTGGAGAGACGGCTCATGTAAGGTACGCCTAGTTAGCGATCTATAGACTGGTTCCCTGTCAGCACAGTTGTGGTGGCTGAGATCTGTTTCTGCCCCATCTGTTGACGGCTTTCTATTTTTTTCTTTTTCGTTATTAAGCCAAGAGCTATTGCTCCCTCCCGTGCGCCAAAATCCACCTGTCACTTTTTTGTTCCCCAGTTGCAATTATTAACTCCTTGTAAGGGAGGAGAACGCCACGCCGCTGTTTATTCATTATTGGGTAGAAGATAGACGAAGCCCCTCCCTGTACGGCCCGCGCGGCAAGATACAAGATATAGTTGAGTTCTAGTAGTACAAGCACTCGTACTCGTAGATGATCTACGGAGTATGAGAAGAGTTGTTGAGAGTAAACCCGCCAACTTAGCCATGTCTCACTGTGGACAATCAACCAAAACATGGATCCGGATAGGAAAATGCCGGCAACAATGAAAGCCGAAGAGCAAGGTCAACGTGTGTTTGCTTAAATCTTGGCAGAGGGGAACCTGGATAGGTACTCGTACACTGGCATGCATGTGCTTTCATACAGCAATGTGTTGTACTCGTACCTCAGGGCATCAAGAGACGGCATCGTCGTGTTACTCACGGGCGACGGTGTGCCAAGTACAAAGTACAAAGCACAACGTGCACACACCTGTCTTGTGCAACACGCCGGTTATGAACTATTAGATTAGTATCTGCCTCCGTCAGTAGCATGTAATAAGCAGTGCCACCCTAATAGGTAAGCGGCAGAGTCGACTTGACGTGGAATCGATTGATGCATGTACCTTGCTGTGCCGTGGTGGTGTACTATAGGTACTAAGGCAGGCAGTTTGGACCATTCAGGAGCCGTCTTTTGCAGTCAAATGCAGAGGCGTGTCTCTGGAAAAGAGACAACAAAAAGCGACAACAAGCCCAAGTCGAGCCTAGCTGCAAAGTCCCGACTGCGTTCGACGGATGAGTTGCGCGTTGCATTGGGCGCATGTACCTGTACTCGTTCGTACGCATGCAAATGCACCAGGCCAGACGTGCATGTTGCTACAAAGTCCACGTCCTTGGAACCACACCAATGGACCAAGTCGTCGAGCTGCAGCAGGGCGGAGCCTCTCACCCATGCGGCACCACATCCCGATAGGCTGCAGAGGGCGATTGCAGCTTCACCGGTCAGAAGCAAGAAGCAGCTTGCTGAGACATGGCGGCGAGCCGGAAGCAAAACCGCCTCTCCGGAGCTCTGCTGCTGCTGCTCTGCTGCTCTGCTGCCGCTCGTCTTCGGCCTTTTTCCCCTCCGTTCCTGTTTCTGCCCAGCTCTGCGCCCGCAGACACCGCCTGGACACCGTTTGTACGAGTATGTACGAGTATGTACTAAGCTGAGGCAGAGAGTCGGAGTTGAGTTACGTACTGACTGTACAGTACAGTGGGATGCATGGATGTGTTGACGAGTTCAAGGTTGCTGCGTCGCCCTTTTGCATCGCTCCCTTGCTGGTACAGTCATATGGATTGCTGACAGGGTTCTTGCCTTGACCCGGGGGATAAGACGAGCTGAAAGCTTATCAACGGATCAACTACTACTGCTACGGAGTACTGCTCCGTGCCTTCCCATGGATTATGCAGCACTCGGCCGGCAGATGAAAGTACATGTACACGATACGTAGGGTCTAGTGCTGCGGCCAATGCCCTGCAAAGGTCCAGGTACTCGTACTTACAATTGAGATTGAGCTGCACCTTGATAATACGGTCCAGTGCGACCTACTAGAGGTAGTAGACACGGCCACTAAATTGCAGCGGGCTCTCGCCCTGGGTTGCCGAACCGCTCCAGGTACAGAATAAGGCCTGGTCGCTGATCGCTGCTGGCATTTTCGCCCGTAGAACGTAGAACCCAGCCTTGAATCACACATCCACACATCCACACATCCCCATCAAACACTGATCCGCTGCAGTTGCCCACCGGTCAACGCAAGAGCAAGGGCACAGCAGCCAATCAGACACTGGCGATGGCTCATTCGATGCCGGTGCTCGCATCGGGCTTAGCGCCGGCCGGGGACTCATTGGTCTCCATCGCTCCCTTGCCTAATGCTCTAACACAACCTCCTCTCGACAAGGAAAAAGCAACGACAAAGGCCGACAAAAAGGAACATGCTCTCGCGGGGGCGCCACACTCATTTTCCTCGTATGTGCAGTTTAAATTTTTTTTCTTTCCTTTTTTCCCTTTCCCCTTCCTCTCCCCTAGGCGTTTTGCTCGTGACTAGTGCCAAGCACTGTCCCCCTCATGGTCTGTGGAAGCGACGCTGTCTGACAATGCCACCACTCTTGTCCACAGCAGCTGGCACTAATGCTGCTCAACACGCCATTGCAACATCTCGGCCCAACACAGCCGGTGATGATTATGATGCTGTTGACAATGAGACGGGCTGCCAACGCTGATGAATGTTGTTGCGGCGCAAATCCTGAATGAGAGGGGCGAGGGCTTGCAGAGCATGGACCAAGGGCCGCCAGTAATGAATTATGGGCTATGGATGATGGCTTGACCCTCTTCACGAGCAAGTGCTTCGCGGAGAACTGCCAAGTTCATCCGGCACTGCACGGCGGGCTCAGCCGCGAGGCAAGGAGGTCTGTTCTTCGCTGCTTTGGATTTGGGACCTCTCCGTAGCTGCCGTCTCTGTCTGGGACTCTTCCCTGCATCTGCTTCATTGCTCCATTGCTCCCAGACACGCAGGAATGCGCCGTCGCATCGCCTGCAGCAAAAGAAAAAAGAAAGGAAAAAAGGGAACCGACTACGCTAATATGCATAGGTAAAACGGCCTAGGCTTGATGTGGCATCTCTCATTCAGCTGCTGGTGGTTTACCACAGACTTGGCCGTGACCGACCCCCCGGCTTCTAGCAACCAGTCAGTTCTCAGATCTTGTTCGGCCTCCTCTTTATCGGCCCCGGGTGAGGGTGAGCCACGTCTAACCCAGACTTGCTTCCCTTGCCGTCGTACCTTCAATCGTCCAAAACCTCTACTGTATGCAGAGCCGCCCGGCATGGAAGCCCGATGATACTAGCTGCCACGCCTCGCCTCCCCACGAGATTTGGACAACTGTTGCCCAATTGGACATGTGAATCAAAAGGTCTCGAATGCCGCTTATTCTCTCTGTGAGTTGGTCGCCACCATCTAGACTGGTCTTTGAACCGCAATTCTATGCAGGTCGCTGCATCCGCGCATGCCATGTACCCGTATTATCGCAGAATTCAGCTTGGTTTGAGCTGTCGTGTTGTTGTGTTTCTGGATGGAAGCAGTCTCCATCGAATTTCCAGCCTCTCGGGTTCAGTCCCTTTGGAGGGTGAGCTTGACAATACATACTTGCACAAAGCATGTAAGCCGTGAGCAAAGCCCGGTGTCCGGCACTGTGTGCGTATGTGAACGTGCCCAAAGCCATGTTGTTGGTCCAACGCAGAAGATTGCTGTCAATCTTGGTGCAAATCCCCCAGTTTGGCAGCAGCCCCTCCGGCATCTGAATGCAGCTCCCTGGACGAGATGATGGTCCACTACCCAAACGGCTACGTCTAGGGAAGATGGAGTGCGAGGGCTATCCTGCTACTGCACATTTCATGCGGGTGGCGCCTCGTGGCGAGGATCCGTCTCGCACCGATTGCTGCTAACTTTGATGGTTGCAAACGTACCAATATCAACCAACACGGGTGGATATGCTTAGCAACATGGTGGTGCTATTGGGAGATCTCTTCAATGCCAACGGGTCCCTCTCTGGTCCCTAACAATATCCACAATCTGCCCATGCGTCTTGACAGGTTCTTTGCTTTGGGTGAAAAATGAAAAAAAAAAAACACGCCATCTCTGGTACAGAGTCAAGGAAGTGGCTTACATGCCTCAGATGATGGGACACGTGTCGAGCTCAACACTTGTTCTTGTACGGAGTATAGCCAAAGTTTTCGTGTTGGTGATTATCATCTATGATCGGTTTGGCCATCGGCCAGTATCTTGTGTACAGACTATCTCCCACTCTCCCCCCTCCCCCCTCTCTATCTATTGTCATCACCCATGGTTCACCACCCCCAGCTCAGCCCTTTGGCACTAGCCTCGCTTTAGGCGCGCATTGGTTCATGTTGCCACGCCGGATCTGTCTTAATCAGTGAATACTCCCGAGTTTCTCTTGACCTTGCAAAAAGCGGCTCGCCCTGCAGAGCACAGGCGGAGACAAAACAGCCCTCTGATGGACACCCCGGCTGGTGCCAATTTGGTCCCCTGTCTACTCAGACAGGACAGCCGCAGGTACCGTTGTTTCTCATCGATTCTGCGGTTGATCCACTCGAACACACTGGGGCACACCTTGTCTGTTGGTCCTTGTCTTCCTGTGCAGGGTTGACTGGGCGAGGGCGGACACAGACCCTCCCCTCCCAGAATCAAGACAGTAGTGGGAGTGGGAGTGAATTGTACCGCCCTCTCTGGGGCCTATCACGGCTGATCCGGCTATTGGCCATGGCAGAAGCAAAGCGGTGCATTAGTAGATCATGGCTGAGGCCTGATCCCACAGGGTCTCGACACTCCACGACAATGTGCAGCAAAGTACAAGAAGACCGTGCTCCTCGTTTTGACTCTCACTCAAGTGTTATCCTCAAACCTATCCACTCCTTCCCTTCCCACGCAAGTCTTGTTCTTCTACCCTTTTGTCACAGTCCATATCCCTCGTTACTGCGGCCATCTACCTATTGTGCTCTCCCTCTTGTCCAGTCTGGACCAGTGTGTCTTAACTGCAGTTTCTATCGATTCAACTATTGTTTTTCAAGACAGCTCAGCTGTGCAGGAGGCTCGCTCATTGTTTGCTGCTGTCTTATACGCCTTACGCAAGAGGTGAACTTGGGTCACTCTGGAACATGTTCACCATGCAAGAGGTTCGAGAGATCCGGAGCTCTTCTCCGACCAGACTCAACATGCTGGGCATCGCCAGCATGATGCATAGAGAAGCACTCTTCCCTAGGAAGCAGTCTACAGACCATCTGTCTTCGATTCCAAGATCTCTGCTCCACCCACAAACCCCTCCTGACTCAACCTCAGGCAGTCCGATCGTCAAACCCGAGGGTATGTGCTTCTTGGCAGCCGGATTCCCAACTTTTCGGTTCAACGTTACAAGAGTACTCGACTCGGGACAGCTAACATTGTTCCGATAGGGTCTTTCTCAACTGCTTCAAGCATCTCTCGAGAGTGCTCTCCAATCCCTCGTTTGACCCGCCTAAACTCATACGCCAACCCTTCTCCCATTAAGTTGCCTAGTCTCGAAGAATTCGACCAAGGCGTTGACGCCATCGCACGATCGTATGGATCAACACGGTCCTGGACTCCCCCTTCACCTCTTCCTAGCTTGCGTCGCGGCTCCATACTTCCTCAGCCACTGCCATCAATGTTGGCTTTCTCAATCCACGAGCCCACTTACCCAAACTACGCCATTAGCAGTGACTTCTGCCCTTCAAGGATGGACGGCTATCCCAGCCCACCTCCAGACAGCGAAGGGCGGCACATCAACCAGAAGTACACCACAGAAGAGGGAGATTTCATCATCTACGCCTGGCACGACAGGAAGCTCAAATGGCAGCGTATTAAGCAAGACTTTGCGAGCATGTTTGGCCGCACACCAGAAAGGACTGTTCAAGGCCTTCAGGCCTGGTACTACCGCATGAACCAGCGTATCCCCCTCTGGGATGATGATGGCTGGCTCATCTTTGACAATGACGATGACATGGAGCCGAAACACATCAGCATCAAGTGCCGAGAGAGAGACACGCAGGACCGACCTATGGAGCCCTTAGGGCTTGCCCAGCGGTACCCTGAACGAGCCATCCACTACTCCTGGGTCGACGCCGAAACAAAGCGCAAGTGTCGCGACTGGGGTGAGTTTGATTCACAATGATACATGAAAAGTACATAGTTGAGGTGCTAACCGATTCTGTCTTGTAGCTTCCAAACGAGCCTTGCAGTTCCGTGAACGCAGAGAGCGGCGAAAGAGAAAGGAGCAGAGACGCCTAAAAATCTAAGCGGCCGTTGCTCCAACTACAACAAATTCCTAGAAGAAAAAAAGAAGACAAGAAATCCCGTCGGAGTGGGAGAAGAGACATAGTCGTCATATGTCCCCTCCTCTCGGAAGATTTTCTCGACAACAGTATGGCCGTGTACTACTAATTATACTCTCCCAAGCGGAGATGCCACCATTCACACACATAGTTTTCTTTTGTCGGCCACCACACTTTCTTACGACAAGACTTATAAAACGGCTTTTTTTTTCGGGTCCAAGTGTACATGCTACAATGAGGGCATGGTTCGAAGCATCAAGCATAGGAGGAGAGCGTTCATTTGCATTTTGGGTTTGCTTTGTTTTTCGACTTTTTCTCTGATTTTACAACCCATTGGTTTCTTTCCCATGTACTAGTAACATAACTATTTGCTGCTACAGTTTTTGTTATTTTTTTATGGCTGGCTGGCGAAAGCCCCCGTCTTTTCCTTGCACATATTTAGGGCTGTAATGAGGAGGAACATGATGGTAACGCTGAGCGGGTATAGGAAAAAAAGGGTAATGGACTGGCTACGGGCATGTGGCTTTAGTGTGTTTTAAAAAAAAAGACGGTCAACATATCACCTCGTATATTAAGATGACAATCTATCCAGTATTGTTACTCTGGCTTCTTTTTTCGGTTGTGATTTACTGCTCCTACTCCTCCAAGCTTTTCGCCACCCTCCCCCTCTGGGGACCCCTTTCGGGTCGCCCTGCATTGGTTTAGCTATCCCTTGCGTCTCACAGCATCTAGGCCACCGGCATCCGAAATCATGGCCCAGCTTTGAACGCGTCAGAATCGAACATGTACCCTCCCCCCGTCGACAAAGCCAGCGGCATGTGACCCGACAGAATCTCATCCCCCTCCCCGCTGGTTTCTCTGCCTTGGCCTTTGCCCCTCCATGGGATAAGGAATAAGGAAAGGCCAGGTAAGCAAGCAAGCAAACTAGGCAGACATAGAAAACCTAAGTGGTTTGTTTGTTTGTTCTTTGGGGGTCAACGATATGCAAAGCGTGAGCCTCCACAGTGGGAAGCCGGTTTTCGGAAGGGTGTGTTGATCAGTACAACATGCTCAGCGGTGACAAGAAGCATGTGTGTATTTTTACATTAAAAGGAGGGCCAAAGCGTCGTGTACTTTTTGATGTTGTTTCCCTCCTCTTTTTTTTTTTCTCCCACGGAAATGGGGGGCTGTGGGCTCAACGAGGCGAGGGCAACGAGAGCGGTGAGTGCCATGTCGAAAGGGGACCAGGGGTGCAGGAATGCGTCGCCCAACACATACATACATGCGTATATAGGTGTTACATGTAATACAACAAACGTCAATTGGGCGAGTGTGTCTGCATAGGTGCGCGCCATGTTGCATCATGTTCTGCAAGAGAGTGAACAAGTAGCCCGGCCACGTGGGGGGGAGTGAGGCCCAGGGACCAAAACGGCCGTTGTCACACGGGTAGGTTGGTGATTCCGAGGAGGGGATGACGATGCTGGGCAGGAAGCCAGCGAGATCGGGGGGCCGGGAGGATGGCGTGTGTGTGTGTTTGTGTGAGTGTGTGTGTGTGTGAATCTGCCGTGCATAACAAAGAGACGGATAAAGAGCAGCAGCCGTCTTATCGCGCGTCTCGAAATGCGGCGTTGCGTTGCATGAATTCCCGAATTCGGTCCATTCTTGCGTCATCGTCGTCGTCGTCTTGGCCTTCCATGACAATCTCGTCACTGTCGTATTCGTTGTCGTCAAACTCTTCCTCGTCTGAGGCGTTAGCATTACGATACATGTAAGCGTGACGATCGAACTCGTCCTCGGTGTCGACTTCGTCCTCTGGATAGTCTGCCGTATAGTAGTTTTCCGCTAAAAAAAAAAAAGAAGGTGAGGCTTTGTTTCGCGTGGATCAATGTCTCGCATGGCGGTGACTTACCATTTTCATCCTCATCATCTTCGGCATACTCGTCCTCTTCATCTTGAGGCGGCCCGTAAAACAACATATTCTCCTCTTCTCCATTCAGGACCAAGATGCCGACATCAGAGGGTAGGACATTGAGGCCCATAGAGTGAGCCGGAATGCGGACGTATTCCTCAATGATCCAGTCCTCATCGTCCCCTTCCTCCTCGCTTGCATCTGCCATCGGTGTATCTACCGATTCCTCGACAGGTGCTGTTGCAACCTCAGGGTGACGCTCTTGGTATCTCTTTTCGGGAGCTTTAGGTCTGAATCTCGGCTTCTCCGCCTGCTTCCTTTCCACCTCCATGGCGTGTAAGTTTGCACCAATCTCGTTTAATACCCATTGGTTCATATCAGCGGTGATCTTGTCCATGTCATCAATATCGCGGTTGATTAGCGACTGTGGGAGAGGAGCACGAGCCGGAGGCTCTTGGGAAGGATCTCGTCGCTTCGTGACTCCGGGCTTCTTGAGGTGTTTCTGCTCAATGGGCTCGTCGGGGCTCATCACCACTTCCTGTTGATGGCCTGCTGCTATGATGGTGTGGGCATCTTTTATGACAAGGCTCTGGCGGGAAGACCTTGGTACAATCTTTTTACGCCCGGTACGCTCGACAAATATAGTTGGTCCATACCGCACATGTTTTGAGCTTCCTGGGCTGGCTGGTCCTTGGTTGGTGGATGTCTGTGCCAGCATCGCTCGAGATACATGGAACTTGCGCTGTTCCGGGAGCTGTCCATCCGCAGGTCGCTTCGTAGCTCCCCGTATATCCCCCATCGAACCGGAGCCGTGATCATCGTTGTGTGTCTTGGACCCTTCCGGCTGCGAGACATGAATCACTGGTCTGCCATCGCCGCGGCTAATGGCTGGGCCCGCCGGCGCGGCGGTTGATTCTCGTCGCTGGTATACCCAATTTGCCTCGCTTCGATGGCGTTTAGCCCCTTCATCGAGCTCTACATGGTGTTAGAGGAACGCTGGTGCTGAGAGCCGTCACTGAGCAAACTGACGGAGAAAAGTAACGGGAGATTCATCGTCCCGTTTGCGCTTGACGCGGATGAGCTGCGGGGGGATCGACATGGCTGCGATCTTGACGAAGCAGAGGGACGCTGACGGCAAAAGAAGAGAAGAAGAAGCCGCGCAGGTGCCAGCTGAAGCACAGCTCTTGTTGTAGTGAGGACAGCGAGAAACCACGAGGTTTGAATATTTTTTTTTAGAGGTTACTCCCAGCTAGTACGAGTACGGGCTACTAGGTGCCGTACTCCATACATGGGCAGGTACCCGGCGGCGTTGCATGACAAATGACGTCGCGTCTCGTTACACGGAGGCTCAGCGCCCTGACTAGACGGCATTGCGTCTGGTTTTCAATTGTTTTGTCAAGTCGCTGTCAATCGCAAAGCAAAGTATGACTCTGAATGAGGTAAACAGCTATTTTTCATTATCCAGTTCCAAGATGCAAAAGTTAAACTAGAGGTGGTAGGTACCTATACCAATGATTCAAAGTATTTCCATGCCACACCTGCCAGTCTTGGCACTGACAGCGGCCAAGCACTTGAACCTTGTTTTGAGGTACCATTAACCATCAAACTAAAGTAGCGGTAGGTACCTACTAGCAGGTACCTTAGTAGTGGTACTGTAGTAAATCCCCAGCACTTGCCATATCCTGTACTTAATATCGCATCGGACCAGCTTCTCCGCACAAGTTACCCATTAGAAGATGTAATGTGATTGGCCCAACCCCAGGCCCATGATCTCACGCCTAGCCCGTCCTGGCCACTACAGAAACCAGCAAGTACCGCGTGTCCAAGTAACCTCGACCCATGGCTCTCTCGCCCAGATCTGCGTCGTATTGGAGACCTTGCGCTGTACTGCAGAGGAGACCTGGTTACCTCACAGAAAAGTAGAGGTGCATTGCATCGTGCTCGGCTAATGACTAAATCAAATCAACGGCCAGCGTGCCGTGGAAATAAATACCTCTCTGCTCTCTCTCCAATGCTGCTGCTCTCCCCCAATCCTCCTCCTCTCGAGGCATTTGACAGCTGCTCGGGCTGCTTTAGGCCTTACGCGACGCCCACGTCACCGCCAGGTGCCACTCACCAGCCATGACGATTCGATGAGCCGTACGGGATCCAGAGCCGCCCTCCATCACAGCAAGCAATTAGCCTTTGGCACCATCAGCATCGTCACGGCCCGGCAAACCCTCCAGGCCCATCTTGGCCCATCTGGGAGCTTGTCTTTACTGTCCATTTCACGCCTGAACCCCGCATAAGAGACGCTGCCATTTGACCAGTTCTTCCAACCCTTGCTTTGCCATATGCAAGGCAACAGAATCCAGCTCCTATACTTCACCAAACAAGTGGCGCGGATTCTCATTCACCAACTCACCCCCTGCTCACCCTCAATTGGAATACTGTATAGGTGCCTTTCAGCATCTTGACAGACCCCACCGCGCATCACCTTTATCGCCTTCATCATCTCCATCACCCATCGTCCATCACCATGTCGTCAACCGCCGTTCCTTACACCGTTACGTATCGCTCCCCTGGGACAGAGCCTCCCGTGTTCCTGGCCGGAAATTTTACGAGTCTGGAGTGGGGTCTCCAGGAGATGGGCTCTCGCCAAGAAGGAGGTGAATACGTTTTCGAGTCGCGCGTTTTCGTTGAGCCTGGGAGGGAGTATCACTTCAAGTTCAAGGCTGGCAGAGATGGCCCCTGGATATTGGACGAGAATAGGGCAACCGGTGAGTGCTCATCGTCTCTCGCTCTATTATTATATTGGATTGGGCCCCCTGACGAAACTGTTTTCTTCCAGCTACCGACGAGATGGGCAACCGCAACAACGTGTTGAAACTGCCCAAGAGCTACGTATCCAAGATCAAAGACGAAGGAAGAAGGACTTCAACCCCTATTGAGCAAGTTGCTTCGGTTGCAGCCGAGGTTGCGGATACAGCTGCAAAGCTTGACGAGGTAGGATTAGGCGCCATGCCTGTGAACAATAACCCAACACGGTAACATCTAACAGACCGAATAGGACGACTCGTCGTCGCCTCAAATCAGTGGGTCTGGCGGTGAGAGCGAGATCGATGAAGACCTCAAAACTCCATTATTTGCACACGAGTGTTTCGGCGCCTACGAATTTGTTGACGATGCTTTGGATCATGATGCCCTTGATGATAGTAAAATACGGCGGGATTCGCGGCAGGGGCTTGCCGAGTACGACATAGACGACGCGGATATCAACGACCCGACCCTTGAGCAGTTTCCATCGGACAAATCTTCCATCTTCAATACGCTGCGCAAAATCCAATCCAGTCTAAGCGAGGACCAAGCCATCATTGATGATCCTCAGCCATCACCTCGACTAGACGGGAGAAGATCAAGCATAGACTCGGATGATAGTGTCTTGTCAGCAGGGTCCCTCAGTCCAGTCACCGCTAGAAGGCGAGAGAACCGCATGTCTAGCAGCGGTCGAAATAGGTCTCTGGTATCACTTGGATCCATTGCTGAAGAGCCCAAAACTCCGGGACTCGAGGATGGCTCCCATCCAATGGCCGCGTCCAGCTACCTCAAGAACGGCACCGGCCGTCCCAAGAGTCCCGCAATCGAGCAAGGCGAGCACCTTATGATGAAATAATCCATGGTATACTCCGAGTGAATGTGATGTGAATCAGGGACCGAGTCTATAGAGTGGGATTGCAGTGACATGACTGACAGTACATGACGTCAGTCCTTATTTATACGCCGTATTAGGTCTACCGCAGTTAGCGGAGGATATTTCTTTCTTTCTTTCTTTGGACTTTGCAAGCAGCCACTTGTCGGTGGTATTAGCATCTAGTTTTCCTTCTGCTTCATACGAATTAAGCATCACGAACATATTGTCTCTATAAGAATATGAATCGAACCATCCCGTTTCCTCCTAGCTTAGCAGCGTTGAATGCCAGAATCTAGAACCTCATTTCGTAAATTTCACCCAGTTCTTCTCCACTATGGAATGGCGCTTCATTGCAGGATATCCAACAAATATCTAAATATCTATATGATGAAACAGCTTATTCAAATATATGTAGTCGAGTTACCATTTTCCCGCCTTCTAATATTGACGTCGGGGCCGGAGCGCGGCCCAACGGAGCCGGCGCTAGCACTACCGAAGCGCACGCCGGACCGATAAGCTGCAAGGGAAAAAAAAAAGCTGCAACTTTGAAATCTTATCGCATCACCTCCATTACACCAACCGACCACGCCATAATGCGCCGCGCAGCCGCAAACTCGGTTTGCTTACGCTGTGTTCACACAATTAGAAGCCGCCCGTTGCTGCAGCCTTCAGTGATACCATCGGTGCAACCATGTCTAGACCAGCGCTTCTTCTCGCAGCGAACCAAGGACAGGCCCTCGCGCATGGTCCTTGCCGATCAAGTTCACCGAACACCACGTCTGTCTCGAGATGACCGCAAACCACACCGAGAGAGGATTGCGGGCCCCTTTGCTGGGATGAACCGGACGGTTGCCAACTTTGACCCAAACCGTGCGTCGACAAGAGCTCGTTCGGGCGATCGCAAATCGTCTCAAGAGGATGGCAGAAGGCGGCCGCAGGATGATAGAAAGGCGCTCAAGATGCAGCGCGCCTTGGCGTCGGTGTCGTACAACAAGCGCACGTCGTTAAAGGAGCGGATGCAGAGCTACGAGTCGTTTGATCAGTTTGACCTTCTCCCGGCGCTAAAGACGGCCGCCGTCGACGAGGTATTCGCAGGAATGGTTGACATCCGCCCGACACCGGTGCAGCGGCTAGCGATTCCCGCCCTGCTGGGACAAAAAGAGCCGGGAGAGAAGAGGGTTCAGCATGAGGGGCAGTCTTCATTCTTGTTGGCGGCGGAGACGGGATCAGGCAAAACCCTTGCCTATCTATTACCTGCCATTGATGCGTTGAAGGCGGCCGAGGCACAGGATACAGAGATTCAAGCCTACAAAGAGCGAGCAGAAGTGGAGAAGCAGCGTCAAAAGGCTTCAGATTTCAAAGGAAAGCCTTTCGAGGAACCTCATCCCACCATGGCCAGGCCCAAGGTGGTTGTCCTGGTTCCTACGGCCGAACTAGCTCACCAGGTTGGGCTCGTCGCCAAGAAGCTGTCACATGTGGTCAAATTCAAGACAGAGATACTGTCATCCAACCTGAAGCCTCAGCAAATCCAACGAAACTTGTACGGACCAAAAGGCGTCGATGTCGTCATCTCAACACCTCACCTGCTGGCCTCGATTGCAGATTCTGACCCCAATATCCTCTCCCGAGTGTCACATTTGATCATTGACGAAGCTGATTCGCTATTCGACCGAAGTTTCTCTTCTGTCACCTCTAGCATCGTCGAGCGCTCGTCGCCCTCTATGAAGCAGCTCATCTGTTGCTCAGCAACAATTCCGAGGAAATTGAACAACTATCTGGCTACCAACTATCCCAAGATGATCAGAATCACTACACCAAACCTCCATGCCATCCCCCGACGTGTTCAACTTGGTGTCATTGATGTCTCCAAGGATCCTTATCGTAACAACAAGGACCTTGCATGCGCCGACGTCATCTATACAATCGGAAGAGAGGCTTCGCAGCACGAAAATATGATCAAGGACGAAATTGACGTCCGTAGAGTCATGGTCTTTGTCAACGAGCGAGAAAAGACGGAGCAGGTTGCGGAGTATCTTCGCTCAAAGGGTATTGATGCTCAGGCGCTGCACAGAGACACTCCTGAAAAGCGTCACGGTGAAATTCTAGAGACTTTCACGACGCCTGAGCCACTACGAATCATTGCGTCCCCGAACCCATCCCGCCACCGCTCCTTGACAAACGTCAAGGTTCTGGTCGTGACTGACTTGGCATCCAGAGGCATTGATACTCTTGCTGTTCGACACGTTATTCTGTACGATGTGCCTCATACCACCATTGACTTTATCCACCGCCTAGGCCGTGCCGGGAGAATGGGGCGACGAGGACGAGGTATTGTCCTTGTGGGCAATGATGATAGAAGAGATGTCGTTGCCGATGTGAAGAAGAGCATGTTCATGGGCCAGGCGCTCATTTAGACAGCAATGACGGATTATGAGTGATTTATGATCTACTGATTGGCACACCATTGGAGCAATAAAAGGGAAATGGGATCATGTGTATGATTAGGAGCCGTGTACAATTAGCTATATTGACGAACCACGAGAGATGAATTGACTTGAAGGCCTCTGGTGTGTATGTAGGATTCTATGATATGAGGGCATATCTCCAATATGAAGGGAAATAATAGAAAATGAAAGCATACACGCATCTGTTTCCCACGACCATTGCGAGTAACTGAGTTCAATGTTGATAAAGCCTTACTATAGAAAACGATAAGGGCGATTTTGCTTCAGGGCCTGAACTAAGTTATCTGCCATCTTCTCTCTCTTCCTAATCTTCCACTTTCACTTCCTTTCATATTTTTGGGGGCGCCTCATGAGAAGATACCCGCCACAAAGGGGTTGATTTTAAATTAGTGAGGCGTTTTGGATAGAAGATTTTTGTTTATATTGATCTGATGGCATGCTTATATTATAGCAAGATTGTTATGGAACCGTAACGATTAGACGACAGCTTGGAAATTCTTGGGTAGTGAGTGCTCTTTGTTATATTACACGAGTTGTAATACCTATTCCCGAGACATCGAAGGAAACAGTGTTAGTAACTGAATGTTCTTTATACTCTTGAGCTAATGACATGATATGCTTAGAGCTATGAATAAAATTTAGAGAAGAAAAATAAGAATTGTTAGGCAGTTATGAGACAGATATTGTTCTTCAGACTTATCTCAGTTGACTGATAAGGCTGAAGTACCAAGTACCCTTGTGGGCTAGGTATTTTTTTCTCCCTCCAATTTTTATTTTTTTAAGCAAAGCAGAGCCCCACCTACAAATGACAGCCTCGCGAATCCTCCCTCCACTTCCGCCCGCGTCAGGACGCGTCAAGACTTTAAGCTAAATTAGCATTCACGGTCACATTGTCAACCCACATCGTGGTCATCCCAGTAGCAGCAAACCAGGATTTTTTTGTGTTTTGCGCTTGAAATCGGCCAAACCAAAGCGCCAGGCCTATTCTCGTCCTGTATCATCAGCTTCAATCACTAAATCATCGTCCTCCCTTTGCGCACTTCACGCTGATTGCAATGCCGCGGCCCAAGAGAGGACGTGGTGGTGCGGCTCGAGCAGCCAGAGCTGTTGCAGAGCCAACCAGCAGTTCCAGCGTTGCGATTGAAAAGAAGCCCGAAACCAGGGGACGCCCCAGAGGACGCCCCAGGAAGACTCCATCCGTTGCACGACTCAGCATCAACGATGAGGATACAACCCGCACTCGCGACGAGGCGCTCAATAAGCCCGCCAACGGAGATGTGACTATGACAAGCGAAGCAACGCCGATACGCGCAAGCTCAAGGAGCTCAATAGAACTCGGTCGATATACTGCGGCGACGCCTGGACACAACCGACGTACAAGTGGGCTGGATCTGGGCGACAGTGTTTTTGGTGACTTGGACGACAGTTTTGCGGATGGCGACATTCCCGGCTCGGCGCTCTCAGGGGACATTTCAAACTTGTCATATAGCGCCCTCCGCTCTCAGTCACGACGGTCTAGTTTCATAGGAAGAAACGACCCCCCCATTCGACCCAGCAGCCGGAGCAGCAATACCCCTAGGGTTGGCTCTTCCTTCAACATTGGTCTTTTCAAGAGGCGTGCGCGAGAACCAAGTATTCTTGGGGCCAGCCGGAAAGCTCTCGAAGAGCCTTCGGCGGTCGTTCAAGATTCAGAAGAGGGAAGCGAGGAGGAATTCGAGCCCGAGGCTGAATCCACTCCGTTAAACAACAGGCGACGCACACGCGGAAACGATGAAATCGGTGAGCCAGAATCACCAGAAACGGCCGAGTCTTCCAATCCGAGAAAACGTAAAAGCCTGGAGGTGCAGCAGAGTAGCACACGGCCTGAGAAGGTATCACGGACGGAGGCTGGACCATCCAGGAGGTCAGGCGATCGGAGCTTATCTGAACTGCCGGATGCTCCTCCATCCCCCCAGCAGGATCTGGACGAAACTAGCGAGTCTGAAATATCGGAAATCTCTTCACCTGGAAGGCTTCACGCTAGGCTCCCTCCACGCCCAGTCACACCAGTCAACCAGGCGGAAATTGCGGCTCCGCCAGCAAGCAGCGGGTCAGAAGGTCCAGATGTGTGGCCGGACATTCGATCACTGGCCAAGAAACGCCGTCGACCTTCCGTCACCACTCCCTCACGCCTTGAAAACCTCTCGGACATGTCCTCGCCTCCTTCACTGACACATTCACCAAACTACGACACAGCCAAGACTGGCAAGACGCGTGGGCGACCACCGTCACGACAGCAAGCGTCACCAAAGATGACCACGGCGGACCTTACGAGCTTGCTGCCCAAACGGCGATACAAGAAATCGCGTGATCCACTCGGCCTAGAGAGCGATGAGGAGCTTGATACTTCAGGATTGGGCCACGAGGATGATGAACTGTCATATCTGGACACCCAGGCAGCTCGCCGGCGGAAGAGGGGTAGGCCCCCTCGCTCGGCTTCTCGGGGTGATAAGGCTGGTGGTTCGTCTCGGCGTGCTCTCAGATCACGGTCCCGTCATTCGTCAGACAAGGAAAATGCAGAGAACGATGGTAGAGGCCGTGATAGCAATGAGAGTGAGGACGAGGATGAAGGCGAAGGGGGCAGCCGGTTTATTCCTCTGGCGGATAATACGTTTGACGATGCCGCTGCCGGGGGCTCAACCAACGCTATCCCTACCGAAGAGCTGAAGCAAGCGAGCAGCAAGTTCAAAGAAGTAGACAAGTGGGAACTGGATTTTGAGGAAGTGGCGGAGCCATCCTCACCGCAGGATGGGAGATGATGTCGTTGATTTGTGTATTGTTCTCTGTTACGCATGAATGCCCCTTTTTGCTTTTCTCAGTTGCAGCCTTGGGCCATGTCTTTGCGGTGTCTTTGTAACTACTATACGCCTTTCTCACATTGAAAGTGTTTGATGAAGAGCGGATTTGAAGGGAGGGGGCGTAGGTCTGGGTTGGTCGGTTGGATTTGTATTATCAATGTTGATATCCATGGTCTCGTATCTTGTTGCTTCCTCTCTTTCTCTTTTCTATGAGAATCATAGGAGACCTTTTGTGACGCTCCAATTTATTATACTTCAAAAAATGGACAGTTTACAAGAAGATCAAAATATCCTAAGCATCATACCTAGTCCCAAAACGCCTTTTCATGAATTAGATGCTCCCCCCATGGCCTTCTAAATGGTCAAATATGTTCTGTCTTATGTTTCTTCGCCTTTACTCAATTACTGCTGCGCTGCTAGTGATATCGCTTCTATCCTGTGTTCGACAACTCCCAGGAATGGATCTAACGCATTGGGATCTCGTAAAGCAACTGTAATATCATCAGGCAGCCTTCCCGATCTCCGAAGAGCCTGTAGCACATTAGCCAAATTGCCCTGCAAAAAAAAAAAAAGGTTTCCAAGTATTTGATTGCCCAGCACACACTCACATTCTTTACGTCGGCAAACCTGCCTTCCTTGGCCGTGTACTCGCGCAGCACCTCGTCCGTCTCAAAGTCCACATAGATCCTCGTGTCCCGCAACCGCACCAGGACATTGTCTAGGCGCATAAACAGGCGACACAGCAGCAGCATGCGCTTGTCGTGGACTCTCAGCTTTGCGCTGTATAGCGAGATGCCGTTGTCGTCCAGCTCGCTCTCGTACAAGACGACCTCGTCGAAGAAGAGGATCGGGTCGCGCCGCTTGAGCAGCTCAATGGGGATCTGCTTGTCGGTGGGCGCAAAGGCCCGGCCGTCGACGGAGCCGCAGTAGGCCGTGGAGTAGCTCCAGTCGTAGGGCTTGACGACCTCCTTGATGTTCTGGGTCGTCTCCTCGCGGGTGCTCTCCCAGTCGCGGGCGTAGGCGACGCGCAGCATGTGCTTGTCGGTCTTGTCGACGGCGTCGAGCGCATCGGTGGTGTTGAAGCTGAGGGTCCAGTTGGAGGGCGTGTGGGTGATGGAGACGAGGTTGTCGCCGAAGATCATCTCGGGCACGGGGATGCCGAGCTTCTTCTCGAGGGCATCGATGGCGGCGGACTTGGAGATGGGGAGCTTGCGGGTTGAGATGCGGAAGCGGTTCTGCGTGTGCGACGTTGTTGCCGCGGCGAGGGCGTCGGGGGCGTCGGGGGTTGGGAAGGGCTCGTTGGGGGAGGTTACGTGATTCATTGTCGGTGGCGGTGGTAGAAGCTGGAGGGCAGCTTCATATGGCGTTGCTGGAGAGGGTGAGGCTGGAGGATGGAGGTCGAGATGCTAAAGTCGAGAAGAGCTATGGTGGGGTTGAGGATTGGGCGTAGCGGGGTGGTTTACACATCATACATGAGACATGAATATTCACGCCTTGGCAGTTGGAAAACTAATCTTCATGTATTTTTTTTTTTTTATTTTTTTTTAACCGTCTTCTCTTTCAACTAAACTCAATAATACCTATCTGCCAAAAGAGTTCAGCTCGTTGATGATGAAGTGGAATTGGAACCGCACTGCAGAATTCGCGGAGCCGCCACAAATACTAGCACGATAGGATGGCTCAGTAAGGCGCCTTTGTATTCGACTACAACTTGTAGCACAGGAGAGAGCTAGGCATGAAAATCGATCGGCAAGTTGAAGGCTATTAGCCTCACCTTCAATAATCAGTACTTCATTAACGTTAGGTTGGGCTTTGCGTCTGGTATCTTTCAACAATGACAGACCCGGCTATCCCGTCCAACAATGTGTGCTCCTTAGAAACCTATAGACCCAACACGAATACACCTATACGTAGCAATAAACAAACTGAACCTCATGTGGGCTTAATTCAACCTATTACAAACCACTTCTACGAGACCGGACAATATGATACAGCAGCCGGGTTCAATATAAGCGCAAAGTACAGAATACGTGTAGGTAGTCATATAGGTAGGTAGGTGCCAAACATTCACACCAACTACCTAGGTACCTATTATCTACCTCCTAGGTACGCGAAGTATAGTACTTAACAACTAATTCTAAACTGTCAGTTAAATTTCTAAATCTACACAAAGCCTCACATCCGAGTCAACTTGAGCCTTGGGTTCATAAGGCCCGTTTGGTCGTATTTCCGAATCTTGCGTGCTCATGAGGCGTTCTTGACCAATACTGGGTTGCGTTTATGTTCTCGTGATATTTGTAAATTAAGTATTGCATACCCCGCTCAGGAGAGCCTATCAAGCTCTGAATTCCATGAAGCCTGATTCATTGTGCTACCACACGTTTGTTGCAGCCCGGGCGGGGCAGTGCTCACATCTTAGGGAGTATAATATTGGACAATATTCCAAACAATTTTCGCTTCTTCAACTCCAAGACTAAGCTGTATACTTTCTCCTGTTAGCACTCCAAACGTCAATTTGTCCTTCTTGCAGAGTTCAAAATGGCCGATGATAAAAAACCGGCAATTGCCTATGACCTTGCTTCGCATCACGCGCTTGGAGGAGGATCCTACGTCTTCAAGTCTGACTATCCAAATTACCTCAAAACGTTGTTGCCTTGTCCTGAACGCCGGACGGAGATTAACATCATCATACAACCCAACAGCTCTCCTCATATTGGAACAATCTGTAGCCTGGGTCTAGCTTTCGTTGTTGCGCGTCGTATGCTCGATATTGGGCTTGACGTTTCAGTAACCTGCGACTTATGGGACCGGGCTAAGGGGAAGCAAAGCAATATTGATGGAATGATCTATCAGAAAAGCCTGCGCGATATTGGCCAATTTCAACGATATCTCCCAGATTATGTTGAGATTCTCAATCTGCTTAGTGAAAGATACCATGTTCACTATAAATTACGAATGGAAGAAGAGTTCCTAAGCAATCCAGAAATGCCTGAGGTTCTTCGTGAGATTATTATGAAACGAGACTTTTACGCGCAGTACTTGGCACCTGAGACCAAAACCCTCGCCATTCGAGCTGCATGCCCCGAATGCGGTCTTGTCGAGAAATACGGATTAAAAAACGGCTATGCCGAAGATGGTTCTAGCGTTTCATTCGAGTGTCCCATTCATGGGCAGTTCTCTTACAGCACAAAGACTCAAACCAACCAGTTTCAGTTCAACTGTCAGCTCTTCAACCTCGTCCTAGCTTTGTTCTATGAGCGAGTTTCGTACAACTACATTGAGATATGTGGGGGGGACTACGCTGGATTCTGGCAGGAACAGCTCATGTGGCGGTTTCTATCGAAACCCATCATTATTGTTTATACCCCTCTCATATCGGATTGGTCAGGCTCTAAAATATCAAAGTCCCTTTATCTGTCTGACACCGCATACGATTATCTTCGCCACGCCGGGCTGAAGTATTTACTCAGTTATGAATGTTTCCGAGAGGAAAGAAGGGATTTAGCACTCCTATGGAAAGAAATTGAGCTTTGGGTAGATCAACCTTACCGGCTCTTTCGGGGATACAGTGTCCATTATATGCACCTCCTGTTCGAAGAGGAAGAAATGGTACTTGGAACAATCCATGACCAGTCAAAGGAGCCGGAGCATGACTGAAATTATTTCTCTACTGATATATAGCGGTAGGTTTCGAGGTGCTTTTGAGTCAAAGATGTAACTTGAGCAGAAATTTTTCCCCTCATCAGCGTACAGAAATGATATGTTGTTAAGTAGCAGATAGAAAAGTAGAAATTGGAGTGATTTTGAACCGCACCTGTGAAATTCTACAGACGCAATCGCTTAGTCCGCTCATGACGGGTAGGCGTCCCATTTTCAAATGTAGTTCAGTAAGGTACGCACTGATTCATCTCTGTTGTCGCTTCTCCTCTCTCCCTCACTTGTCCGTGTATCCGTTTCCTTATTCTTAAGGGCTTGTCACGAGTCAAGGCACAAACAGCAGAGTGATGAGATCAAGGAGGCTGAACCCGGCTGGCTCGCGGAGACACCGCTGCTAGGTAGACAATAAAGACTGTATTTATCTCTGATCCTGCTCAACAAAGAGGGAAAACTCCTTCCTTTTAATACTCTTATTTAACAATGCCTAGTTCGAAACTGTTGCTTCTCAGCTGCGAGGAAGCTTCTAGGTTTCCGACAGGGGCAATCTGGTGTGGATTGCAAAATTTCTCCTATCACAACGCCTTAACGGATTTTAGTCTGCTCTGCCCACTTGAATTGCTCTCGTATCGATTGTGGCAAGGTAACTCGCCCGCGGGGAGGGCCTTTCATTCCATGCTCATCTCTCAGCGTGGCCCATTTGATGCCGCCTGATGCGTTGATCTCATACACAGAGTTGATGCGATACGCAAAGTCATATCCATCCCAATCAGCATGTCTATCGTTGAATTCCTTGTTGCCCAATCCATCTTCTGGGAGAGGGTCGTGACCTGGACCTCTGCTCGCTGCAGGCTCGACTTCACAAACGTGGGTAATTGCCGAGTGTGGTGCAGTGCGATAAAACCAGATTCGTTTAATTCCCATCATACTGTATTTCCGAAATTCGTAGGTTTTTGACCCATCAATAATTTGTTGCATGTACGGATCGTTCATTGCAAGTATCATGTCTGCTCTCGATGCAGGAGTTCCTCGAGCACTAGGAGCTTGGCGTCGTCTCGCATCCCTTGCTTTCTTGGACGATCTCTTGAAAACTGGAGGCATGATCGTTTACTAGGGAAGTAATTTGCTGCTGCTCGTAAAAAGAAAAGATAAATCTGTGGAAGGATGGCGGTACGAATGTGGACTGTTGGCTTTCAGTAATGATTGTGATGGAAGAAGGGTCAGGCGCGTCAGTTGGATGGATCAACATTGCATATGCAGGTTGGTTATACAGCCTCGAGTGTGTTTGAGGGAAGTCACTCAATATATACACATATAGAAGAAGGTACCTAGCTTTCGGTTTTTTGTTCTTGCAGAACAACAGATTATAGATGGGTATTGTCAAGCTTTTCAGAAAAAAATGGTTCAAAAAGAAAAATTATATATATAGCTACCTACCTATCCCCCGTTATATGTAAGTTTTTTGAAGTATAAAAATCACAAAGCATCTATACTAACCTTTCTTTTCACCTCCTAACTAATACCTAGGTACCTAGCTAGTAGGTGCCCGGTCGGTAAGTGCCTAGCACACAGTGGATCTCAGCCATTGGCTAGAGCCCCTAAGCCCCCTAAAACCCGATTCAGTCAGCTGGGCAGGGGCCGTTGGCTTAGTCATGCCAATATTGGCTCGCTGTTGCCCCGACAACGTTGGACTGCGCCAAAGACAACATGCCTTACCCCCGTCGCTGCCAGCCGCAGTCCCGCAAACTCTCCTCACTTATACCTGCAAAATCCAGCGACCACCAGATTTGCCCAACTGCCATCTCCAAGTCACCAAGGCAGTCAAGCAACATGACGACACGCATCCTTGAGACGCGCTTTGAGCACATGTCCGTCCAGGACGAAAACGATGTCGGCGAGGCCACCAAGCTCTACTCAAAGACAAAGGTATGGCTAGCGCCCCTGCAAGTTTGGCTACTCTCGGAGGTGATATTAACCTGGACTTAGCTGGCAACGACGTCAAGCAATACCCGAACGAACCTTTATAAAGTAGCTCTTCAATCGCAAAGCAACAATGCAGTTGCTTCCGTTACCTTGCCTTCACAAGCGGCCCAAAGGAAACCACCACCACCAGTCAATCCTGCTTCACCGCCTCCACCGAGAAAGGCTGTGCCCTCTACTTCATCACGAGTAAGAGAGGAGAGGGAGAGGGAGAAAGAAAAGGAGAGAGAAAAAGAAAAGGAGAAGGAAAAGGAGAAAGAGAAGGATGGCGAAGAGGTCAAGTCCGCTCTGACTGAACAGCCGGGCGTACCCAAACAGTTTCACTTGGGTATGTTTGAGATTGGACGGCCGCTGGGCAAAGGCAAGTTTGGCCGCGTTTACCTTGCCAGGGAACGGACGAGTGGCTTCATCTGTGCTTTGAAAGTGCTTCACAAGAGTGAGCTTCAGGCTGGGGGAGGTGTAGAAAAGCAGGTTCGGCGAGAAATCGAGATCCAGAGCAATCTACGGCATCCAAACATCCTGCAGCTTTACGGCCATTTCCACGATAGCAAGAGAGTCTTTTTGATCCTCGAGTTTGCTGGAAAGGGCGAGTTGTACAAGCACTTGCGAAAAGAGACCAAGTTCCCTGAGTGGAAGGCGGCACAATATGTCGCTCAGATGGCTTCTGCGCTGCAGTATCTTCACAGAAAGCACGTCATTCACCGTGACATCAAACCTGAGAATATCCTCGTTGGTATCCACGGAGAAATCAAAATTTCCGACTTTGGTTGGAGTGTGCACGCCCCCAACAACAGGCGGAAAACGCTGTGCGGCACGCTTGATTATCTTCCTCCGGAGATGATCAAGCCCGGCTCTTCGGACAACTATTACAACGAAAAGGTTGACCTGTGGAGCTTGGGCGTGTTGACATACGAGTTCCTTGTCGGCGAGGCTCCTTTCGAAGATACTCCTGTCATGACGCAGCGGAGGATCGCCCGTGCGGATATGCAAATCCCAAAATTCGTCAGCCCTGAGGCTGCTGATCTCATCAAGAGAGTGAGTGCTGGGGACCCCCTGCGAGATGATGAAACAGTGAATGGAAGCTAACAAGCGATAAACAGCTTTTGGTTCTTGACCCAGAGAAGCGAATTCCTCTTGAGGAGGTGCAGAGTCACCCCTGGATTATCAAGCATTGCGTCAAAGGCGAAAGAGCCACCAACCGTGAGAAGAGCTCCCGATCTGCTGATATATGATACATGCACACCATTTGTTTCCGTCTTTTCGTCTGATGACTTGTTTGGCTTTTGGAGTTGGGTGTGTAAGATTTGAGCTAAGATATGCCTTGCATAAGGAGGAGTTGACGGAGTTTCTCTTGTTCTTGGCTTTTCATTTTTTGGGTGTTCACATGGGGACAGCAGAGCGTTTGAGTCAGATATTTGTTCTTTGGGGTATCCTTTAATAACATTGAAAGTTAAAAGCTAAGTGTCATGCGGGGAGATGCGCTGGGGCTAGACGTTATCGTACATCATAGGGTCTATATTTACAAGGCATTCGATTTCACCTATACACCTCATCAAAGGGTCTGGTGTCCGAGAAACACGAGTCCCAGACTTCGTTGACCACTTTTGTCGCTTGCACATCGTCTTTACATCTCGGTCGGGCCATGACTGATCGAATGGCCCTTGCACGAACGCAGTTCTGGAATTGCTGGGTCAGAGCCCAGTTGCCTCGGGTGAAGAATTCTCTGCTCCAGCGACATTCTCCGCTGAGCATCGATGCACGAATCTGGTGTTCGACAGACGTCAGTTCCAGGACCAATATGACGATCGTATAACTCCGTGCTGAGGAATGCTCAGCTTAGCATCAAAGTACTGACCTCTGTGCATGCAGCATGCTTCAAGTCCTTATCTCCCATCCAGTCTACCTGCCACCTAAGATGGTCCCACGCATGCACCATCTCATGCGCCAGCGTATCTTCCAAGTGTTTGCGGTCGCGAATCTCGTTTGCGCAAATCAGGATGCCGTGATTGGGGCTAAAGCCTCCCGACTGGCGATGCACCTGGCCATCCTCCTCCAGCCGCGCCGGACACCGGCGGCACAGCACGTTTGAGGCGTCTAGTTTGCCGTTAAGATCTTGGATCTTGCCGGACAAGAAGCGGATGGCGGGCGAGTATGCAAAGAGCCAGTCGCGATACTCGTCGCAGCGCTTGCAGTCACGTTCCTCATGGACCTTGTATCGCCATTCGCGGTAGTGGAAGAGACCCTCGGGCGTCATCTGGCCGGACAGAATTCGGAAGTAGTTCATCCACCATTTCATCTGTGGGTCGAAGCCGGTTCGAGCTGGATCATTGACAACTGCTTTTGCGGGTTTCGGCGAAGCAGCGTCAGCCGGAGCTGGGGGGGTCGGTGATGCGCCTGGTGCCATGGTTGTAGGGTGTGTATCTAGAATTGAAAAGGAGAGAGATGCAAGGGCGCCTTAGAATAGTACCTCCTTTATTTCAAGGGCTAAGCGGAATGGTTGGGTGAGACAATGGAAGGGAATCTGATGCCACTGGGAAATGGATGAGGTGATGGAGCTGCCTCACCTCATACAAGCCTTGTCGTCCAGAATTCTGCCGCGTAGAATTGACAAAGCCCAGGGCGGTGAGGGCGCCTTTTCTCACTGGTGCGAGTTCGGCTTATCTTATCGCAGGTACATGGTTGTCCCGTCAGAAGAGGAAAATGTACCATGCCAAGAACCTCCAAATAGCCGGACTGGAAGAGCAAGGAGGGGCGATCTCGGCGACTTGAAGCGACACGCCTTTTGGATGCGATTTTCATCTCACCAAGGCGATTCAGTCCAATGAACTGAGCCGATATATTTTGCTTGCGCCAATTAGCTTCCTCAGGTAGACCACAGGGCGCGACAGGGGAAGTTGGCCAAAATGTCTGAAGATATTACTCAGAGTAAGCCAAGCCAGCATATATGACGAGTCTTTGTCTCAGTTGTTTTAATAGCGGTGGGCGTCTAGGATGCCCAACCGCGGTTTTTTTATTGCATCTCATACTGTTTCTTGCTTTCCTTCTTTTTGACTGGATTTATTTGCTTGCCTTTCTATTCTGACGTATTACCTGCTGTGTATTTTCCTCAATGTTCAATTCTTGGCATCTTGTCTAACTTCTCTGCTCTTGGTCATTTCAAGACGACGGCGTGTCGGCCATGAGGAAGCCAAAGCCGCTGACCGTTGTCATTAAGCTGGGTGAGTACAATCTTTGGAGATGGACGCTAGTCGATGCAGACGAGCACCTGTTTCTAACGGCCAATGAATCAAAGGGACGAGCTCAATTGTCGACGAAAACACCCATGAACCTCTGCTTCCGATTCTGACCTTGATTGTGGACACGGCAGTCAAGTTAAGGAAGGATGGCCACAGAGTGGTCATTGTCTCTTCAGGAGCCATTGGCGTCGGTCTTCGCCGCATGGACGTAGCAAAGCGTCCCAAGCATTTGGCTCAGCTACAGGCAAGGCTGCTCTCATGGACGATGTGAAATGAACTAGACGGTCTAACATATTAATAGGCATTGGCAGCAATCGGTCAGTGCCGGTTGATTAGTCTCTGGGATAGCTTGTTTGCTCATCTGGCACAGCCAGTGGCCCAGATTCTACTTACGCGAAATGACATTGCTGATGTATGATACGATCCACGACAATCTAACTAACAACAAGGACATTGCCAAGCTGACCGAGAATAATAATCCTTAGCGGACGCGATACCTCAATGCCCAAAGCACATTCAACGAATTATTAGACATGGGAGTCATCCCCATTGTAAACGAAAACGATACCCTGGCAGTTTCCGAAATCAAATTTGGCGATAATGATACCCTTTCAGCGATTACTTCGGCTATGATACATGCAGATCTCTTATTTCTCATGACGGATGTCGACTGTTTATACGACAAGAACCCGAGAAGCAACCCCGATGCAAAGCCCATCGAAATTGTCGAGGATATTTCGGCCCTTGAGGCGGATGGTATGTTGTGCTTCCACATCCCATCAAATGTATAGCTTGCTAAAGGTTAAAACAAACAGTCTCGAGCGCTGGCTCAGCACTAGGTACTGGAGGTATGAGCACCAAGATCATCGCCGCACGACTCGGCACATCGGCGGGCGTGACGACAATCATCACTAGATCGTCAAATCCCGGCAACATCCTGAGCATCGTGCGTTACCTCCACCAGTCTCAGCCTTCGAGATCGGCGTCGTCCGTGTCGCTCAATCTCATTGCTGCATCGGAAAATACAGCGACAAGACCGGCTCCGCCATTGCACACAAGATTTCTGCCTTCAACCGAGCCGATTCGAGACCGCCACTTTTGGCTCCTCCATACCCCCAACCCCCATGGCACGCTGTATATCGACGAAGGCGCCCACAAAGCGCTCCTTACCAAGGCTGGTTTGCTTCCCGTCGGTGTAGTTGAAGTCGAGGGGAATTTCGCCCAGCAAGAAGTCGTCCGCCTCGTCGTTGTCACCCGACGATCAACTCCCGGCCCAGATGGAAAGCGTTGGGAGGGTTTGGGACTGGAAGTTGGACGTGCTCTCGTCAACTATGCCGCCCCCGAAATCTCTAGGATCATGGGCCATCAGAGCACGGAGATTCGAGGCATTTTGGGCTATGCGGATAGTGAATATGTTGCGCACCGTTCACACATTGGCATTTTCAGGGCAGAGAGCAGGTCTGCGACTCCGACGAGGGACTTGCGCTAGCCAAGTAGAGAGACTGCATTTGGGGTGTTTTCAATAGGTTGATATATGATTTGGCGAGGAATAAAAAAAAAGAAGGGAATTTAGCCTCTTGGAATGTAGGAATGGGCTGTGGATAAAATGGCAAACCGACATATGTTTACCCTCCAGCGCCTTGATAGACTTACACATCCCTGGGAGTGGCAGATCAATGGTTACATTTGCCGGCCTGAGTCACCTTCTTGCGTATAGCAGTGATTAAAGGGGAAGATGCATATGATGAACATGTGAGAGCAGTAAAGTCTCGCCATCTTTATCATCAAATTGTCCAGATTAGCATCAATTCGTGTTTCGCCCTACCACCTACTATATACGTCTACAGTCACTCATCCATCACAATGTCGCATCATGTGAAGTTGCAATGACATGGACCTGGTTTAGCGCTTCAGCCGCTATGGGCTAGCCCACTCTACCGTGCAGGGTCTGACCAGTGGAGGGGCAGCCGAAGCCGGGCGCTGGAAGAGTCAATCGGCCACTGCAAGTTTAGATCCCTGGTGGGCCACGGCCGTTGGAGTCACACGCGGGCACACACAACTTTTGTCTAGATGTTTCTCCCCTCTAACCCCACCATTCCGTGCCAGAGGAAACCAGTGCGGCCTGAGTTTTTGTGACTCGCGCCCATCTTCCTCCAACTTAAAACCCTGGTGGATGAAGCCAATTCGATATTTGCTCTCCTCCCCAGCAACCCTCGCCCGCCTCAGATCCGGACTCGTCCCGCGCCAGACTCGACCTGTTGCAGCGCTGTGCCGTCGCAACTTGTCAGCCTCTTCAAAGCTTTGCGCATTCCAGCCTCTCAAGCCCCAGAACCCCAAGACCGGCGCCATGACTTCGTCCGCTACGACTCTCAAGGGCCAGCCCCTGGACAAGGTTGTCCTCGATGCCATGCTACGGCGGCGCATGTTCTACACGCCCTCCTTCGAGATCTACGGTGGAGTGGGTGGTCTCTACGACTACGGCCCGCCAGGCTGTGCCCTTCAGGCCAACATCATCGACCTGTGGCGGAAACACTTTGTCCTGGAGGAGGACATGCTCGAGGTGGACTGCACCGCCTTGACTCCCCATGACGTTCTCAAGACCAGTGGCCACGTCGACAAGTTTGCCGACTGGATGTGCAAGGACCCCAAGAACGGCGAAATCCTGCGAGCCGACCACTTCGTCGAGGCCATCCTCGAGGCACGCCTCAAGGGCGACAAGGAGGCCCGTGGCCAGAAGGTGGAGGAGAAGGAGGTCGACCCCAAGAAGAAGAAGAAGGCCAAGTCCGCCGCCGCCGTCAAGCTTGACGATGCTGTTGTCCAGGAGTACGAGGAGGTCCTCGCCAAGATCGACAACTATGGCGGCCCTGAACTCGGTGAGCTCATCAAGAAGTACGACCTGAAGAACCCCGAGACTGGCGTTCTTCCATCAGAGCCCGTGGCCTTCAACCTCATGTTCCAGACGTCCATCGGCCCGAGCAGCAACCTCCCTGGATACCTGCGCCCCGAGACTGCGCAGGGCCAGTTCCTCAACTTTGCCAAGCTTCTCGAGTTCAACCAGTCCCAGATGCCATTTGCCTCGGCCTCCATCGGAAAGTCATACCGAAATGAGATTTCTCCCCGTGCTGGTCTCTTGCGTGTGCGAGAGTTCCTGATGGCTGAGATTGAGCACTTCGTCGACCCTGATGGTGGCAAGAAGCACAGCCGCTTCCACGAGGTTGAGGACGTCGAGCTGGTTCTCCTGGACCGCCACGTCCAGCTCTCTGGAAAGACGGAGACTAAGAAGATGACCGTTGGCCAGGCCGTCAAGAACGGCGTCGTTGACAATGAGACCCTTGGATACTTCCTTGCCCGTATCCACCTTTTCATGAAGAGGATCGGTGTTGACATGTCCAAGATGCGTTTCCGACAGCACATGGCCAACGAAATGGCCCACTATGCCTGCGACTGCTGGGACGCTGAGCTGTTGACCTCTTCTGGATGGGTCGAGTGTGTTGGCTGTGCTGATCGCAGCGCCTATGACTTGACCGTCCATGCCAAGAAGACTGGCGCTCCTCTGGTCGTCCGTGAGCGACTCGACGAGCCCAAGGTCATTGAGGAATGGCAAATCGACATTCAGAAGAAGAAGTTTGGACCCCTATTCAAGAAGGATGCTAAGACGGTGGAGACCGCCTTGGAAGCTACCTCGCAAGAGCAGCGCGAGAAGCTTGCCAAGGAACTGGCCGAGACTGGAAAGATTGTCTTGGATGTGGAGGGCATTGCCGATGGCAAGGCCGTCATCGACAAGGACTCTGTCGCCATTGAATTCCGCAAGAGAGTAGAGAACACTCGCGAATTCACCCCCAACGTCATTGAGCCGTCTTTCGGTATCGGCCGTATTCTCTACTCGCTCATTGAGCACAACTTCTGGACCCGAGCCAGCGATGGTGGCGATGAATCCCGTGGTGTATGTCTTTGTCTTTTTATTCTTGCCCACACGAAGTGCCTGTTACATCATTTGCTAACCACTTGTTTCTCTTGCAGGTGCTGTCTTTCCCCCCTACCGTGGCCCCAACCAAGGTTCTTCTGGTGCCTCTGTCATCCAACCCGCAGTTCAAGCCCGCGGTTAAGGCGCTATCTCAGAAGCTGCGAAGCCTCGGCGTCTCCAGCCGCGTAGACGACTCCTCGGCCAGTATCGGCAAGCGATACAGCCGAAACGACGAGCTTGGTACGCCTCTTGGCATCACTGTCGATTTCCAGACCCTTCAGGACGGCTCCATTACACTGAGAGATCGTGACTCGACCACCCAGGTCCGAGCTGAGGAGAGCAAGATCTTGGATGCCATCAAATCACTTGTAGACGGCAGCAAGAGCTGGGAGACGATTGCGAGCGAGCTCCCAAAGTTTGAGGGACAGGAGATTGAGGTCGCCGTTCGATAGATGGTTCGAATTTAGATCTAGATGTCAGCAGCCGGGATGGAAAGAAGAATGATTTGGTAAGAAAAAGTTCAAGATCATAAAGTTGAGAGTCGGTTACATGTCACTTTCACTTTGTGCGGAAAGATTTGCGTGTTTTCAGACAGAAAGATCTAGAGAAGAATTCAAAGATGTACTAGTATCATTACGCTACCGTGTCAAAAAAAAAAAAAAAAAGACATTTTTTTCTCTTCATGAATTGTTACCCTGTAAATCTGACAGTCTCCCATCACCAACGCCCAACACCCCGCGATGATTGCACATGCAGGCGGAGACCAGGTTCTACAATAGCAGATCGGCATATGTACATAACAATTGAGCAAACTTACACATCAAAACCGCTGCCGACAGATCCTTGTCGCTGCATCTTCATTGGGCGGGGCTGCTGGCGCGCGCGTACATGATGCTACACAGAAGAGGCTACCGATTAGTATAGTGACTGCATGTTGGTTGTGCCTCTCCCTGATATGACAGCCTCGCGAGCCTCCATAAGCTCCGAGTTTTACTTCCACATCGTACTACCCTACCTGTATTGCTCTTCGGGCTTAAGCATGGAGTGGATGCCACGAACCGATGCGAAAAGGGTTGTCCCTAGTAGGTTAGACTTGCGTTTTATCGGGCGCATTGATTGGGAAAAGGGTTGGATATCATAGCAGGCTGACTCGTTGGATGGCTTCCCCCCTTTCCCCCCTTTGGTTAGGTAGCCTCTCCCCTGCCGGTCTACTTTGAGTGATCGCCAGTTGAGGGCGAGAAGAACAACAGAATGAAAGGACGACAAGAAGGGAGCAAAGCCTAGCTCACGTCACAGTGGGATGCTCCCGCTGGTCCCATGCTAGCCTTGCCTGCCTATGACGATATATTGTATTTGTCAAACTTTATTTACCCGGCTTCAAGGAGGTCTTGTTTGCAGCATGAGCGGGACGCATGAAACATTTGATGAGAAGGATGAGCGTGCTCCGGGCGACAGGGCGGGCTAGCACTTGTACCCAAGATAGTCTCATGCTGCTAGAGTATATGGAGTACGAGTAGTATATGGAGATTACCACCCTCATGACGCGGAATCGTATGCACTGGTCCGTCGGCAGAATGCAAGGCCCAGCTGACAGTACAAACGAAAATAAGTCGCCGTGTTGGTGATGGCGGATCCTTCCTCTCGGGATTGGGACTATGAAACACAGGGTGAACCTGAAGATACCACAAGGCACGCATCCGTGGAGAGTGTTTGCCTGTGATGGCACCTGCGACGCTCCTGAAGCTCAGCCAAAAAGCGGAGAAGGGCTGCTGTGCTGCCACTCAATACGATAGTAGGCATCTCCATGTCTTAATTTGAAGCATAGCATCGAGTGGGTGCGGATGAATGAACGGGTTGGCCATGAGCAGCCGAAAACCTTGAGTGGCGATATTTGCTGGCGGGCGACGTGCCGAAGAAACAAACGCGGCGCCACACAAGTACATGCACTCATATGGGACGGATTCCTGCTCGTGGGCTCCGTATGGCGTCGTCGATTGGATCAGTAGGTGCCTCTGCTGGATTCAATCATCGACGATGCTGCAAATTGCTGGTCCTTGGTGTCCCGCTCCGGCTGTCTGTCTGTAACAATGATTTCAGGTGAGCGGACGACAGTGCCGTGTTAGGGCCTAGTGCTTGCAGCCACCACTAGCAACCCCCTGGAACCCCCCCGACTCCCCTAAATGGGCAGCATCCTCAGGGGTTTCGCCTGGTGGCGGCAAATCCACCTGCAGCGCTGCTTGGCACCCCACCTCCCACCTGCCCACCTCGACCTTCTGGCCAGTAGCGGGTACGGCCTTCCGCGCTGGGCCTGTCGCGACCTTCCCCACACTGCTGTTTCTCCATTGTCCTCACCACGAGGTACCGGCGCCAGACGTCGAGGCGTCGAGGCGGTACTTGGGCTGCCGTAGCGGATTAGCCGACACGGCATGTATTCCGTCGCATGTCGGACGGCGCTGGCAGGTACCGCTCGAGAAGAGCCTTGACCCCTATGCATAATGCAATCAATGGATCCAATGGTTCAACCT